CACATCTATCCATGCAACCAGCATGTCTATCCGTGCACATCCCCGTCTTCAAGTTCGTGCCAACGGGTGCCCGTTCAAGTTCGTGCCCCACCATCCTGCGGTCGCATCGCAGCACATCGCTCGTTCAGCTTCATGCCCATTGGCTGCGATGTGACTGCACGATGGTGAACCAAGGGTCACCCTGAGCCGCCTCAAAAGTCGACTGCACGACGGTGAACCAGCTGCGCTCGTGAGGCCTCGATATATCGCCCAGTCCCCCTCAGCGCGAGAGTACATGCATACAGATCCATCCCATGTCCCTATCCGCCCATGTTCCCATGCTCCTCGCCTCCCGCCCTCGCCCAACCAGTCTCCAAGCCGCCATTATCGTTCGGGCAGCGCCTGGCGATAGGAGCGGAGGTGGCGCGGGCGATCAAGTACCTGCATGCCATGACGCCTCCTGTGCTGCACCGGGACATCAAATCAGAGACAATTCTGCTGGATAACGACTTCAAGGTGCACTCGGGCCTCGTTATGAGCTGATTCGTTATCTCCTATAATTAGGTGCACAACTGTCGGTGCGAATCGTTGTTTTGACTACATACATAGGGTTATTTGGATCATTGCTTCCTTATCCTAACATCCTTTTGAGGCGCCTCAAAATACACCTCAAGGCCACGCAGCTGTTTACGTGCTCCTTGACTCTCCTTCTACTTCCCTTCTCTCGTGTCTCTCGCACACGGCAGCATGTCAAAGTGGGGGAAAAGCATGGTGAAGCTTCCTCTGGGAAAGGCCGTGCTTCTGTTTCTGTGGCACTCTGACTTCTCTGCAGCTCCTATGATTACTCCCTTGATCTTCCACTTGGTTTATGTCTGTTTCTTCTTGCCTCTCCATCAGGTCAAGGTGGGCGGGCTGGGCGTGCTGAACCAGCTACCAGGGGAGGCCGTGAGGCTGCTGCTGCGACATTCTAACTGCATTACAGCTTATACAAATACTCTCTTACCCTATTCTTCCACTTTCATAACAGGTCAAGCTGGGCGGGCTGGGCGTGCTGAAGCACCTGCCAGGGGAGGCCATGCGGCTGCGCATGCAGCGCAAGCGAGGCTACCTGGACCCGGAATACTTCCAGAGCTTCCGAATCACTAGCAAATGCGACGTGTACAGGTGCGTGGGGACTCATTGGGTGTGCAGTTAAATTTAAAAATTGTACCATATACACAAACTCATTACCTTTCCACGCTGATTTTTCAACGCAGTTTCGGAGTGGTGCTGCTGGAGTTGATTACAGCGAAGCTGCCAATAGTGGATGAGAAGGACGTTGTCATGGGATCCCGCACCAGCAAGCGATTCGTTACCCTTGTGCAGTGGGTGAGTTACGCTCTAACACGGCGTTACCATTACGTGGCATTACCATTACACGGCGTTACCATTACGTGGCGTTACCATTACGTGGCGTTACCATAATGTGGCGTTACCATTAAGTGGCGTTACCATTACGTAGCATTTCCATTACGCGGCGTTACCATTACGCGGCGTTACCATTACGCGGCGTTACCATTACGCGGCATTACCATTACGCGGCGTTACCATTACGCGGCGTTACCATTACGCGGCGCTACCGTTACGCCGCGTTACCATTACACGGCGTTACCATTACGGCATTACCATTACGCGGCGTTACCATTACGCGGCGTTACCATTACGCGGCGTTACCATTACGCTGCGTTACCATTACACGGCGTTACCATTACGCGGCGTTACCATTACGCGGCGTTACCATTACACGGCGTTACCATTACGCGGCGTTACCATTATGCGGCGTTACCATTACGCCGTGTTACCATTACGCGGCGCGTTACCATTACGCGGCGTTACCATTACGCGGCGTGTTACCATTACCCGGCGCGTTACCATTAGGTGGCGTTACCATTACGTGGCGCTACCATTACGTGGCGTTACCATTACGCGGCATTACCATTACGTGGCGTTACCATTACGTGGCTTCGTTACCATTATGTGGCTTCGTTACCACTACGCTTCGTTACCACTACGCTTCGTTACCATTACGCGGCGTTACCATTACGCGGCGTTACCATTACGCGGCGTTACCATTACGCGGCGTTACCATTACGCGGCGCTACCATTGCGCGGCGCGTTACCATTACGCGGCGTTACCATTACGCGGCATTACCATTACCCGGCGCGTTACCATTAGGTGGCGTTACCATTACGTGGCGCTACCATTATGCGGCGTTACCATTACGCGGCGTTACCATTACGTGGCGTTACCATTACGTGGCTTCGTTACCATTACGTGGCTTCGTCACCACTACGCTTCGTTACCACTACGCTTCGTTACCATTACGCTTCGTTACCATTACGCGGCGTTAGCACTACACGGCGTTACCATTACGCGGTGTTACCATTACGCGGCGTTACCATTACGCAGCGTTACCATTACAAGGCGTTACCATTACGCGGCGTTACCATTACGCGGCGTTACCATTACGCGGCGTTACCATTACGCGGCGTTACCATTACGCGGCGTTACCATTACGCGGCGTTATCATTACGAGGCGTTACCATTACGCGGCGCGTTACCATTACACGGCGTTACCATTACGCGGCGTTACCATTACGTGGCGTTACCATTACGCGGCGTTACCATTACGCGGCGCGTAACCATTAGGTGGCGTTACCATTACGTGGCGCTACCATTACGTGGCGTTACCATTACGCGGCGTTACCATTACGTGGCATTACCATTACGTGGCTTCGTTACCATTACGAGGCTTCGTTACCACTACGCTTTGTTACCACTACGCTTCGTTACCATTGCGCATCGTTACCATTACGCGGCGTTAGCACTACCCGGCGTTACCATTACGCGGCGTCACCATTACGTAGTGTTACCATTACGCGGCGTTACCATTAAGCGGCGTTACCATTACGTTGCGTTACCATTACGTCGCGTTACCATTACGCGGCGTTACCATTACGCAGCGTTGCCATTACGCAGCGTTGCCATTACGCGGCGTTGCCATTACGCGGCGTTGCCATTACGCGGCGTTACCATTACGCGGCGTTACCATTATGCGGCGATACCATTACGCGGCGATACCATTACGCCGCGTTACCATTACGCCGCGTTACCATTACGCCGCGTTACCATTACGCCGCGCTACCATTACGCGGCGCTACCATTACGCCGCGTTACCATTACGCCGCGTTACCATTACGCGGCGTTACCATTACGCCGCGTTACCATTACGCCGCGTTACCATTACGCCGCGTTACCATTACGCGGCGTTACCATTACGCGGCGTTACCATTACGCGGCGTTACCATTACGCGGCGTTACCATTACGCGGCGTTACCTTTACGCGGCGTTACCATTACGCGGCGTTACCATTACGCGGCGTTACCATTACGCGGCGTTACCATTACGCGGCGTTACCATTACGCGGCGTTACCATTACGCGGCGTTACCATTACGCGGCGTTACCATTACGTGGCGTTACCATTACGTGGTGTTTCCATTAATGATCCTCGTTCTACCGCATTGTCTTATGACACTTGAGCATTTCAGCAATGTTAGTACTGTAACATCCTTGTTTCATCACAAACATAGCCTTCCGTGCCATCTTTTCGTGCCACCATTCCAGGCCCTTCCAAGGATCAAGGAGGGGCAGTACAACGACATGGTTGACCCGCGCCTGGGAGCGTACCCCGGGGACCTCTGTGGCATTGCAGCACCCAACTGAACCGCATCCCACCCTTCTGTACCACCATTCCAGGCCCTTCCGAAGATCAAGGAGGGGAAATATAACGACATGGTGGACCCGCGCCTGGGAGCGTACCCCGTGAGGATGACATTTGAGGCGTCTCAAAAAACTCCTCCCACCTTTCCGTGCCACCATTCCAGGCCCTTCCGAAGATCAAGGAGGGGAAGTACAACGACATGGTGGACCCGCGCCTGGGAGCGTACCCCGGGGACCTCATGGAGATCTTCTGTGGCATTGCCGCAGAGTGCGTGACTCCGCAGCGCAAGAACCGACCCGACATCGACGTGGTGTCTGCTTGGATGGACGAGCTCATTCAGAAGGATGCTGCCTCGCGAGAGCCGCTCTCTCGGTTCATGCGAGCGGTGCCAGAAGAGGAGGAAGTGGAGGAGGATGAGGAAGCGGGGGAGGTGGGTGAGGTGGTGAAGGGAGGGAAAGAGGTGGTGGTGGTGATGACAGAGGAAGCTGGTGATGGGGAGAAGGTCGGGGAAAGGAGCAAAGAGAGGCCCAAGGATGGCCCTCTTCCTGGTGGTGGGACTGAGGTTGCTGCTTCTTCGGCTGATTCGGTTAGTGCCCAAACAGATACCGGTATTGGCATCAGCGCAGGTGCTGCCGCTGTCAGTGCTGAGGTTTGCATCGGAGTCGATGGAAATGTGGCACCGGCTCAAAAAGAGGACGACCGTGTGGGTGTAGAGGTTTATGCTGGACTTGGGACTTAGATCCCCTTTTCAGTTGCATTGTACCATAATAATGCCAATGTGGCATCGGCGAGACATTTCATGGTACCGTATCAAATCTGGATTGTTGGGATGGGTCTGGGCAATATGTTGTGGTCAGGGGATCGTGTGCATTCTGTAGTTCCAATATAAATGTGTGTTTTGGTTTGATTTCTTATGCTTTTAAAGTGCACAACTGTTATTCCACAATACAGTACACCCTGACAAGAAAGCTTCCCAGTTTTAGTCATCTGCTTTGCAGGTGAAATAAAATACGACACTCCAATTGCATCGTGCTTCAATGGAGCTCCAGCGGAGGACCCAAGGTGCGGTGCGAGATGAATAAAATTGGCTCTCGGGGGACAGAAAACCAGCAGCAACTGAGTGGCAGGATACCACACAATGCAACACAGAGACACCTACAAAACGATACAGAGTGGGAGCCCTATCATCAAACACTGGCAAGAGACCAGCATTGTAAAAGATATAACTGGGCTCCGAGAGTATATCACATTTTCATTAACTAGGACACGGTGCGGCCGTAGCTGATGGATGAAATGTATAGATTCTTCGCCCATTTTTCCTGCATATGGGTAAGATGCACTGTGGTAAGTACACGCAAAGCGTACACACCAACAAAAAGCAGGGCTGTCTGAACACTGACCTTAACATGTGTGCTTGGAAAGGCTGAAGTTCTCAAAGTCTCCTGAGTCTCATCCGCAGGACGGCGCCTCGGGATGCTTAACAGAAAGGCAGCTTGATCCCAAGTTGCTGCAGTCGCTGTAATCCGGTAACCAGCATCCCATCGGCGGTGGATCCCTTCACTCGGGTACAAAAAGTCGAGCTCAACCACCTGGGGGTAAAGACAATAAGGAGGTTTAACCAAACGATATTGATGCGCGGCAAAATTCAATGAAACATTTGGCTACATACCTGATCTGTGAAGCCAGCATTCCGTGACATAACCACCCCCCATCTGCTGCCTGCAGTTGCCATGGATGTGACATAGAAGCCTTCCCTCCATTTCTTGTTGATCCACTTGAAGGGGAACGAGTCACTTACTTTGTATGATTGTTGTGTATAGGATGTTCCTGTTAGCACAACACAAACACGCAATTGAGCTACAACTCCTGAAGCCAACCATGACAAAAATATGGGATACCTCACCTTTAGACATAACCACCAAGGAATTGCCATTGCTGGCCCCTGCAATTGAGGTAATGTAGAAGTTCCGCTCCCATTGCTCCATAATCCATTCCTGTAGAAACAACTCGGCCATTAGCCTGGGCATTGAATACAGAAGCATAAAAGGGGGACTGGAAGCTAAAAAAAGCAGACCTTTGGAAGGAAGACATGTGAGAGTTCATAGACTTGCGAAGTGAAGTTTGTGCCAGCATCCATGATGAGAGCCCACAAATTCTGACATGATGCTACACTGCTAATAAAAAGCCCGTCCTCATTTCCTTTCTCCACATGTTGTGCTAGTCTCGCATCAGCCACGTTGTAGTGGTATCTGAAAAAAAAAGGCACAATGCACAGGAACAAAGGATCATGCTTAATAAAGCATAAGCAGGAATAAGTGGGGCTGGGGGGAATGAATGAGGATAAATAAGGATACAGAAGAAGAAGTGGGAGAAAAATAATCAAGGTTAGGTAATGGATGAGGATCCTCTGTGGTCTGTACCTATCATTCATGTCTTTGTACCTTTGCTTCATTGGCCGACGAGCACTGTACACAGAGATCCACTGCGTGGCAGGCATTCCAAGCCTAACCTTCTTCTTTGGTTGGTCGTCAGCTTCCTCTTCTGCTGTCAAACGTCCACGCTTCTGACCCACCTGCAAAACAAGGATGCAAGTTCAGAATCCTAGCCTGGTGAAATTGCGAAAAAATACGCACAACGTCACTGGCTATGCACCTTCAAAGCGCCTTCTGTGTCAATAGGCCGATGCGCCGGGATGGGTCCCAAAACAGGGTCGAACATTGCAATGCACTTGGCATAGTTTGGCTCCTCATCGAATTTCAAATTCACCACATACTCCAGAAAGAGCTTGAACGGAACTGGACAAAAGCAGCACAGCATTTCAGGAGATGTGGCCATCTTCTTCTTGCAAACCAGGAAGCCCTTGTTGTCTCCCTGCTCAGTCAAAACAGTTCCCACATTAGCAGCAGCGGAAAGTGCTAGCAGATGACCTTTCAGTCAGAAATACTCACCTGATAGCCCTGCCATGGCAAGCGACCCCGTAGAAGGAAAACCAGAGTGTAAGCCAGGGACTCTAGATCATCTCTTCTACTGCCTGTGCGGCCAAGATGCGCATGAACACTGGCATATCGGACGGTTCCCCTGCACGAGAAGAAAGGAGTCTCACATTGTCACACGGGACCGAAAGCACCATAAAAGGCAAATCGGCTAGTGCACGGACATCATGAGCACCTGAATATGTCTGGACGTTGATCATACTCCACATGCTGACCAGAAGTCGCGTCTTTCCATCGTGTTGCTGCATACTCCAATAATTGATATTAGTACAAACGAAACAGCGGAATATCTGGCGACATAATGGTTTTATATACATTACCGAGTCCGAGGTCAACAAGGTATAACTTCTTCTCGTCGGGAGATCCTGGTTGCCCTAGAAGAAAGTTTTCTGGCTTCACGTCTCCATGGACGTATCTGAAATAGCAACAAAGAGCAGATAAATTACCCCCAGTTTACGTCTCATGGAACAAGGCAGGCAAACCAGCTCGCATTCTACTTACCCCCGTGCGTGCAATTTCTCGAGAATAGAAAGAGCTTCCACGGCAATGCATGCTACCATTTCCGTTGACATCCTGAAATCGTCGATGGCACGATGTTAGAGGAGCTAGCAGTGTAAGAAGGTTAATCGAAATAAGAAATTCCCTTACGCTTGATTGGAATTGTTCCAGACGTCCCACAAGCTCGGTCCGAGCATATCCATGACCTGTACGCGAAGATTCATAGCACTTTAGGACAAGGCTGGAATTCGGAATAAGGATGACGTTGAAGCTCTGGGAGATGCGCACCATGACGTAGTAGTCGCCTTGTCTGCCTTTGTAGTGAACCCTAGGAACTCCATGACTCCCTCCAAGCGTGCTGTCATGACGGAAGTTCGTTAAGTTAAGAGATGCGGGTTCCGAAGATACCAAACGTGCATAGACGACGTTGACTTACTTGTAAACTTGCCACTCGTACGGAGGCCCATAATTACATCCCTTGCTGCTTCTATGCTCGAATTTCAGTGCTACCTGCGATCAAAAGAACGATCTACTGAAGGTTCTGGGACTAGTTAAGAATCACACGGACTGGAAAAGAAGCTATTGCGTTCACTACCTCGACAGCATGAGGGCCAACACGCTCCGTCCCTCCATGAACTCTACGACCCACGTAAACTTGACCAAAACCTCCCTTTCCCAGCTTCCGATCCATCTTGTACACTGGTGATCCGCCGACTTGAACCTGTGAACCAAAACGAGAGGGCCATTAAGAACCGTGGCTTGGATTTACGGGGAAAACATGCTAGATGGGTGTGTACCCTTTCCGGAAGCGGTGCGATTCCGCCATCATCTTCCGCGGGTTTCTCTCCCGTCTTCTTCTCACTTTCACCTTCCATAAGAGCAGCAAGTCACAGCAACAAGCTAATGCCAACAAATGGACCTTTCTGAAGTGCTAACACAAGCTAAGCAGACACATTAGCTGCTAGGGTTAGAAGCGCTGGGTTGGAGGGATCCGTGAGTTGCTGATGTGGTGGTGGTGGGTGTGGAAGGAGAGCCACGGATGATCTAGAAGGGGTGATGCCATCATTCCATCCGTTCTGGCAGGGAAAGGCGAAAACAGGACAGAAAATAAGCGGGGAAATTGAGAAAAATTGTCAGAATACGGCAAGCTTTCGACGGATCGCGTTTACTCGCCCGGTCTCCCCTTCCCAAACCACCTAGCTTGGTTCGGATAAAAAAATTCCTGATGAGAAAATTCCTTGTTTAAGATAAGCTCATATACACACCAGTTTCGAATGAACGAAAGTGTATGCACAATAATGTCGAAGCCATCCATGGGCCACTTTGAAGTGTACTTCTGTTTGTCTAGCCAACCACATTGTCGAATACACCACATAAAACCCCGCAGAAGAACGCAGAACCACAACTCTTTACGGCAAACTTCGAAGTCAAGCAGAAGCTGGTTTCGGCTCTGTACGGCAATTTTCTTCAAGACTGGCTGTCTTCCTCGCTTTTCCAGACCATTACCCACGTCTTATGAAGGCTAGGCACGGTAATTTTTGCTGCATGTTGACCTTCTCAGTGGCGCGCTGAAAACGAAGCCTATGCTTTTCTAAGATCGTTAGACTGCGATCTTATTGGTCAGGGTGACAAGGGTGGTTGTGCCATGGGAAAAGCTGTGAAAGAAGCGACGCACTGTATGTGTTTATAGGCCGTCTAGTGAAACTCTAGTGTTAATTTCCGTCAGCATGGGCTGTTGTGTGTCTATAGACGAGGAGGTCGTACGCCCGGCCACACCACGCAAGCCTGAGACTCCTAGAGAGAGTAAGTACAACGCAACTGAGTCTGTTCGCACGGATCCGGTTGTCTGTTATTTTTCAATAATTGAAGTCGCCCTATTGTCGCCGTGTCAGGTTCTGTATCCCACGTCTATTGTAACATTACTTACCCAAGCCCTATTGCCATCCTGCCATTGCAAATTGCCCTTTACCCATGCCCTATTGTCACCCTTCTTTTGCAAATTCCCCTTTTTCCCTCCACAGCGATCAAGAGACAATCGACTGGTGATCACCCCGTCGGTTCCTTTAACGATATAATAGGCTCTAGCACCTCCTCAAGCCAGCATCAGCGCGTTGCCTCGGGAGGAGGCAGTGGAGCCGCGTCTGTAGGAGAGAGCAAGCGATCAAACGGGTCAGCACCCGGGAGTCAAGTTGGCACGAGTGTTGGTCACTCAGACGCTGGTCGCGTGATCATCAGCGTAGGACACCACAGCGGCTCCGGGACAACTGAGCTGAGTATTGACGCCTCGTTAAGAGAATTCTCGTTCAAGGAGCTGGAGAAAGCAGCAAAGGGTTTCAGAGACGATGGAAAGCTTGGCGAGGGAGGGTTTGGGAGCGTGTATAAAGGGACTATTGATGCAAACAAGTCTGGAGGAGGGCAAAAGGTCGCCATTAAGATGCTGACGCTGGACGGAACACAAGGGGACCAGGAATGGATGGTAAGTCTCGATGGGGGAAGAGAGGTTCCGTCGATGTGGGAGGCGGAATGGTCACCTGAAGGGAGGATTGTACTCACGAGAACTTCTTATGATGTTATAGTTTAACCGAAGTTGCCATCTACTGTATCGTCCACACTCGACTGTATCTGTTCTGACCCGCAGCATTCAGATCCCATCGTTTACATTTACCTCTCCTTACCTTTCCAGGCTGAGGTTCGGTACCTGGGAGAGCTTCGGCATCCAAACCTGGTGCGGCTAGTAGGGTACTGTGCAGAGGACATGCAGCGTTTGCTGGTGTATGAGTTCATGGAGTATGGCAGCCTCGAGCGATACCTCTTTTCGCGTAAGCAGCATCCCTGCCTGCACTATTACCCAGCTGATGTTTCCCTCAGTTTCCCTGCTTGCTTCTGAGACACGTTATGCCGCTAGTTTCTTACTTCACTGAAAGCTTTTCACATCAGGCTTGACCAGCAATGCCTCTTTTGACAGACTCCAGTTGACTCGGTTGATTGGTGCAGGCACCCGGGACCCATTGCCATGGGACATTCGCATGAAGGTGGCACTGCATACTGCTCGCGGCCTTGCATTCCTGCATGAAGAGACGGAGCCGCAGGTCATCTACCGGGATTTCAAGACATCCAACATCCTCGTGGACAGGGTCAGTCTTTGCTGATTGAGGTTGCTACCAAGGAGAATGTTGCTTGATGTTTGTCAGGGGGAATGCTGCCAGAGACGTTGCCAAGGAGAAGGATGCAGAGAATGCTGCAAGAAGTTTGTCAATGGGAACGCTGCTAGGAGCGCTGCCAATGGGAGTGCTGCTAGAATTGCTGCTGAGGTGATCGCTGCCAAGGGGAATGCTGCTGATTTCGTTGCCTGGGGACATGCTGCTAGGAATGTTGCCTCGGGCAATGGTGCCAGAGATTATGCCAAAGGGTGTTGGTCCCGATGCCAGGTCGGATCCAGCACTGCACTCGCTAATCACGTTTTTCACCTCTCTGCCTTCCACCTGTCTGTCCATTCCCTTCACCCCTTTCCCTTCCCGCTCTCTCTCCCTGCAGGAGTTCAATGCGAAGCTGTCTGATTTTGGGTTGGCAAGGGATGGGCCCCAGGGAGGCAACACACATGTGTCCACACGAGTCATGGGCACATTCGGCTATGCTGCCCCCGAATATGTGCTCACCGGTATGTACTTGCTGCTGCCCTGTCAGTTCAATCTACCGCTGTTTAGATTCTGTTTCAGTCTATATAGCCAATTTGCGGCTTTTTCTCAAGTAAACCAGTCTGTTACACTTTTTTTGCAGAGTATCACCAATTCCCCCTGCTGCCTCCCTTAAAACCCTTCCTTCTCAAGTAGACGCATCCTGTGTGTGCGTGTGACCCGGCACCCCCCAGGCCACCTGACAGCCAAGTCGGACATCTACAGCTTCGGCGTGGTGCTGCTGGAGATCATTGCCGGGCGCAAAGCCATGGAGCAGCAGCTGGTCCGGTCAGAGCAGAACATCATTGACTGGGCGCGGCCCTACTTCCGTGACCGCTCCCAACTGCCACGCCTCCTTGACAAGCGCATTGTGGCAGCCGCCCAGGCCAAGCAGCAGCCCATGCCGCTGGCTAAAGCGGTGGCGAAGGCGGCGGTGATTGCGCAGTGCTGTGTGAAGGTGGAGCCCAAGGAGAGGCCCGCCATGTCTGATGTGGTCAGGTCCTTGGAAGCTGTGTTGCAAATGTCTGTGCCTGCTGCACCTCCTGCTGGAGGCACATAGCATCGATGCGGCCTCTGTTGCGCTTGCATGCCAATGTGTAGGTAAGAAGAGATGACTGCATCACAGCATCCACTTGGCAGGCTTCTTAGCTAAGCCGGGTAGATAAGGTAACCACTGAGTGGTTAGCATGTGGTTAGAATAAATGTGATAAGATAACCACCGAGTGTTTGCATGTTTACAACCAGCAACAGGGAGTTGATGCATGCAGGTTGAAATCATGCCAAAGCATACCGGTATTGATGAAAATTACTTCAAGGCGCTCGTCTCACTGAGGCTGCATCAAACTTCTACGCTGACCTAGCCATACTTTGTTCTAGCCAAGTCCTAGAGAAATGGAATGGTTTACTGGTAGGTGGTGGTGATGAGATTACAATAACATGGGGGGGAAGCCTGAGTGTTGCGTGATGCCTGCATAAACTTAACAAAATAATGAAAACCTGAACAATATGCTTTCACTGAAGCGTATTCCCTGCATGACATAAAAATCAAGGCATCAAACAGATGGTTAGCAATGAGCAGTGGAAGCAACGGCTGTGTGGAAGACCCTTGCCAAAAATGCAGTGGGAACAGTCCAACTGACCTGAAGAGGCGTTCCGCTTGCACTCAGTAAGCATGTCCAGGTAGAATTGGCATTTGGAGATGTCGCTCCCATGCATCTCCACACACTGCCCAGAACAGACAAGCAATGAGGGGCATTGTGAAGCCCCGAACCCAAAGCAATCCTGCATTGCTTCCCATGAACGACAGATCTTTCGGGAATATTTCAGATCTCTCGCACTAAGGCCTACCTTGTTGAAATCCTGCTGCAGCTGAGCGCAGTCCGCCGGCGAGCTGGCAGTCGCAGGAGCGGCAGCAGGCGCGGCGGCAGGCGCGGCGGAGTTGACGTGTTCGTGCACGACAGTGCGCGGACCCATGATGGCATCCACGGCTCTGTTGGCAATGGCGGATCCTGTTCCGAACGCCATGCCCTCTCCCACCGTCTGCATCAACCCACCCAGCATGCTCCCCCCTCCAGAGGCTGCTGCTGGCTGCGCTGGGGGAGGCGCTGGTTGCGCCGCTGCGCAACCGGTCGGGAGGGGAGAACACGAGAATGCGAGGTGTCAATAGAAGACACGAAGTGGATGACTTGAAAGCAGGAGTAGAAAATCTGACGAATTGGGTTGGATCAGGCACGACAAAAGGGCGGGATCGGTCTTATTGAGTACCCGGTGCGGGTGGAGGCGCGGAGTGAGTGTGCGATGCAGGGGCTGGCCTCGGAGCTGGTCTCGCTGGAGCAGAGGCCCTCGATCCTGTCGGCGAGCGAGATAAAAGCAGACAAAGAGACAATGATCCAGAGGTAACGGAATGTCGGTGACCGCGTACGAATCGAAATGAATCGAGATTCTGGATGATATCAAGAAACAAACGCCTACCAGAAGATCTGCTGGTTGCACGCGGCATCCTGTCTACGGGACGGTAGCGAAAAGATAGATACGGGACGAAGAAACACAGCGATCGCTTGATCCCGCAACGAGAATGCTTCAGAACGTAAGGTAACTGCGAAAAGCAAGTGTGGCGTCTGAAGATGGGCGAACCCGTTCACATATAAATTATGGCGAACTCGACAACGTGAGAATGAAAAGAAAGAAGCAGCGAAAGCAGATGTCCTCGAGGACTCGCTTGGTTCGTTTGGGCCTTCGGTGTAATCGAGGAGTCACTCACGACTTACGAAGACTTGACCACCAATTGATTTCCAGCGGCGCTCCAGAAAGTTCGGCGCCCAATCATGAGTGATTTGTGCACTTCCTTAGTCGAATCAATCCGCGCTATGACGAGACCCTTTCAGTACACGGTAGATTGTTTCACTTGTCAGATACCAAATGCACAAAGCTTACGGATTCTGTATTTGATGCCAGTGTCAGATTATAACGCGTTGTAAGGGAAGCGCGGATGCCGTACTGGAAAGCCGAATAATCTGACCTGGAAAGCAGATTTCCCAGTGCAATTAGTTACTACCACCTCTGCGCGATTCCGCCATTCGACGGTCGCGATTTGGGCGTAGACCCGCTGCTCGGCGTGTATAACATTGCCAGATTCGGTGCGCTTGAGATTCGCAGGCGCGCTCATGGCGACGACAACCCAGCCGCTGCTGCCATCTCAGGCGGACTCCGTAGATGATCTCTTTCGCGCCACGCCCGCTCTTTCCCACGAATACAGCGGCGTCGCGCCTGCCAGCGCCGCCAGCGCCGCCAGTGCAGCCAGCGTAACTCCAGCCAGCGCCGCGGCCTTCCCCCCGCCACGCCCGCAGAACACACTGACGGGTGGGTTGGGTTGAGAGTCAGTGGAGCCAGTCGCATGGGGAGCCAGTCGCATGGGGAGCCAGTCGCATGGGGAGTCAGTCGCATGGGGAGCCAGTCGCATGGGGAGCCAGTCGCATGGGGAGTGAGTCGACTTGAGATTCCCTCACTGCCTTACAATGTTTCTCCTCCCCTCCCTGCCTCTCCACCTGCCAGAGCCTCTGTCAGAAACCCTGTGGAGAGACGAGCAGTGAGAGGGGGCGAATCTTGAGTCCACTCATTAGAAGCCCTCTTTCCATTCCACTCTTTCTCCTCCCTCCCCCCCCCCCCTTTCCCCACCTCTCCTCCCATCAGAGCCCGTATCAGTAACCCTGTGGAGGGACCAACAGCGAGTTTGGGTGAATCTTGAGTCGAATCAAGTCATGACCTCCATCCACTCCTCCTCCGCACCCCACATCTCCTCCCACCAGAGCCCGTATCGGAGACCCTGTGGAGGGACGTGCAGCGAGTGTGGGTGAACCTGCGGTGTGTGCTTATACCGAGTGAACGGAGCTCCCTCAGAGACTGGGACCTGTGGGGGCCGTTCTTCTTTATAATCACCCTCGCGCTGCTGCTCTCCTCGTCTGCCACACACAACAAGGTGAGCATGATGGACGGCAGATCAAGGTGAGTGTAGCGACGCCAGAGCTGTGCGGAGCTGTGCAGAGCTGGACGAATACTATTTGAGTTGTTCCACCAGCATGCGACTTGCAAACTATCTGCGCCGTTCCATCTTGCATCTGCCAAATAAAGGGTTCTTGCTCATTGACTGATTCACTCGTTCTCTGTGTTTCTCAGGCGCATGTGTTTGCAGTGGTGTTCGGAACAGTGTCAACAGGAGCCGTTGTCCTCACTCTCAACGTGCAGCTGCTGGTGAGTGCCTCATAAGCACTCCGCCTTAAACTCAGCCAGAGACATGTTCGCCCTTCGCTCCCGTTCCTCTCGCCACCTCGTCGCCCGTCGTGCTTCCCCTGGCCCGCGTGTACCCTTTTGCATCTCACTGCACCCCTCAGGCTGCCCCATGCACAGGCATGCCCCTCTGCATCTCACTGCACCCCTCATGGACCCCCCGTCATGTCCGTCATGTGCCTCACATGACTCCCTCACACCACGGGGCGGGCGCATCATATTCTTCCAGAGCCTCTCCCTGCTCGGCTACTGCCCCTCACACACATACGCCCCTTTGCACCTCACTGCACCCCTCATGTCGCCCTGCGTATCTTTCTCTCTCTCTCTCCTGCACCCCTCTCCCCCTCACCACAGGGCGGGCGCATCATATTCTTCCAGAGCCTCTCCCTGCTCGGCTACTGCCTTGTGCCTCTCGACCTTGCCGCCCTCCTCTGCCTCCTCACCACCGCCAAGCTCGCCCGCATGGCGCTCGTTTTAGTCACATTCGCTTGGAGCTCCTCGGCTGCATACCCCTTCGTGGCGAAGGCTGTTCCTGAGACTCGCAGGGTGCTGGCAGTGTACCCTGTGTTCCTGCTCTACACTGCTATTGGCTTCCTTGTGCTCGCTAATGACTAGCGTACCAGCACAGCAATACCTCGCAGAACAGCAGACAGCACAGCAGTTCCTTACAGAACAGCAGACAGCACAGCAATTCCTTACAGAACAGCAGACAGCACAGCGATTCCTTACAGAACAGCAGACAGCACAGCAATTCCTTACACAACAACTGACAGCACAGCAATTCCTTACCCGCAGGGTGCTGGCTGTGTACCCTGTCTTACTCGTAGGTGTGACTTTGACTTTGCCTGCACTCGGCTGTAGCGGACTTTCAAGGCATCTCAAAATCACAAAGCAGCAACTCGCTCACGCGGCTTGCTCCTGACGACATTGATTTCGCCTGAACTTGGCTCTAGGGAAAGGGGAGGCGTGCACTCGGCTGTAGAAGATATGGTAGGAGGTGTGCAGTACAGGGTATGGAGTAGAGGAGTGAGGAAGTACGTAGGTGTGTGAACGACTTCACTTCGGCCTGCTGTTACCATGTTGATGGGTAGGGACTTCCATGAGTCTCTGTTGGGTGGTCGGTCAGCACTAAGGGTACGTTCCTGTGGAGACACTTGTGTCTCAATCCCCTTTTTTCCGAGTCGCATCTACACATTTTTGCAATCTCGCGTCACAAAAAATGAGTGTATCACGAAACTGTGCGACCAGGCGAAATTTACAGCTGTGCTCATTTGATTGGATTTCAAACTTGACTGAACACCTGTTTCTTCAACTGTCTGGTTCGGGTGGGGTTTTGACGAGCGGAACTTTTTCCCGCGCGAGATTTTTACTGTGGAATGTCCAGGTGCATTGACATTTCGAACCGCGTACAGAGTTTGTTTACAATGACGGGTCGATACGCAACTCGTCCGCGACATCAGCGCGTTTCACGCTGACAAATGAAAAATACATTAAAAGTCGCACAAGGGCGACACGCGTTTGTGACATTGTTACGTTATAAGCTGGTTTTACGCGTCACAAAAGGATTGAGACACAAGTGTCTCCATAGGAACGCACCCTAAGTGGAGACACAAGTGGGCAATGTCCCATGTTTGAGAGGACATGTTGCCATGTCAGAAGGAATTAGCCTCTGTTGCGTGTTCCTGATTGTTTTGCTATGATATAATGAACTGAATGTGAAGGGTCCCCCTATTCTGTGATGTTAGAGGTCCTTCATTTCCTGTTTATCAGCAACACTGCAGCATGTGCTTCCCTGGTGTGCGTTACCTAGTTTCAATCGTGCATGCTGAGACCTACCGGTAGTTGTCTGTTTAATGACCTAACCAGAGCTACCATACTATCACTATCTAGGCAACAATAATCTAAAATATAAAAATAAAATCATAATAGAGCTCTCCACGGTCTTGGGTCTTCTGGGCCCCTCTTGGCCACTACGGGGGTTAACCCCTAGAGTTACACCCACACACCGCGCTGAGGTGGGGACCCTTCGTGTGGGACCGCAGCCCCTAAGCGACACGAGCCGGGCTGCAGCGTCCCACAGCCCAGCTCAGACCAGGTGGCGTAACACCTGGCCAGGCGAAGGCAGGGTGAGGAGGCCATCAGAGTTCAGGGAGCGTCCCCCCATCCCTCGTCAGAGCACTCACTCACACACAGGGGCGCTTCAGGCGCGGGCCGCGTCCGACCCAAGGCCGTCAGCCACCCCTGCCGCACAACACCTATGCTGCAGTCGAGGGCGGTCTTCGGTCTTGGACCCTGCCAGCTGCAGAGCGACACACACCACAAGACAGACACACCACACGATAAAGTGAAACAGGCACGACAAATAAAGTGAAACAGGCACAACGAAGCGGAAAAAACAGAAAGAAAGCAACACAAATTTGAGAACGAAAGCAAGACAAAACGGACAAGGGAAGAAGGTCACCTCCGTCCGTGTGCCGCCCGCTGTGCCGCCCGCCGTGTAGACCTCCGCGCTGCCCGCCATGCTGAAGGGAATGGAAGGGGGAGATTAGATAGAAGCCTCTTGCTGCCCCGCGCTGCCCCCTCGCCCTCCTCGCCCCATGAGTCGACCTGAAGGGAAGGGGGGGATTAGAGAGACAAACAGAAAAAAAAGGATCAAGTGAAACATGCACGACAAATACATGAAATGCGAAAAACAGAAAGAAATCAAGGCGGAAACGAACAAGGGAAGAGAGGCTTACCTTGCTGAAGCGATGAATCAGCATCTCACCTCCGTCCGTGCCGCCCGCCGTGTCGTCTCCACGCCCGCCATGCTTAAGGGAATGGAAGGGGGGGGTTAACCAGAGGGACGCCTCTTGATGCGCGCGCGCTGCCCCATCGCCCTCCTCGCCCCACGAGTAGACCTAAAGGGAATGGAAGGGGGGGGGGAGGGTAGAGAGACAAACAGAAACAAAAGGATCAAGTGAAACATGCACGACAAATACATGAAATGCGAAAAACAGGAAGAAAGCAAGGCGGAAACGGACAAAGGAAGAGGCGTACCTTGCTGAAGCGATGAATCAGCACCTCACCTCCGTCCGTGCCGCCCGCCGTGTCGTCTCCACGCTGCCCGCCATGCTGAAGGGAATGGAAGGGGGGGGTTAACCAGAGGGACGCCTCTTGATGCGCGCGCGCTGCCCCATCGCCCTCCTCGCCCCACGAGTAGACCTAAAGGGAATGGAAGTGGGGAGGGAGGGAAGAGAGACAAACAGAAAAAAAAGGATCAAGTGGAACATGCACGACAAATACATGAAATGCGAAAAACAGGAAGAAAGCAAGGCGGAAACGGACAAGGGAAGAGAGGCTTACCCCGCTGCAGCGATGGAGCAGCACCTCACCTCCGTCCGTGCCGCCCGCCGTGTCGTCTCCATGCTGCCCGCCATGCTGAAGGGAATGGAAGGGGGGGGGGTAACCAGAGGGACGCCCCTTGATGCGCGCGCGCTGCCCCCTCGCCCTCCTCGCCCCACGTGAAGGCCCGAACTGAAGGGAATGGAAGGGGGAGGAGTGAGGACGGAGTGCGGGTCAGGAGGACGTGAGACAGGCATGGAAGAGGACAGATCCAAGGGCCAAGGTGCTGGAGGTATGTGAGTAGCCGCAGAGGCCGAGGGTGGCCCCGTGCTTCAGGACAAGACCAAGAGAGAGCTGGGCCCCCCCACTCTCAAATGATCAAGCCCATCCACACCCCCTCGGCTCTGTATGACTCTCCCTCTCCATTCAGCAGCACCCCTCCTTGTAATCGCCTCAATTCCGCCCGTCAGTCGCTCCATCTCGTTCCTCCGCCTCACCCCATGGACGCAGGGGGAGAAGCCAGCACACGTGGGAGAAAGACGACTCGTCGCAGCGCCGCCTCCGCGGCTTGCCTTCGAGCGCGTGGTAAGCAGGGCGGGTAGGAGGCAGCCACACGCTTGTGACTGCCGGCCGTGCGTCATCCCACCACGCTCGCACTTCCGCGTGCCTAGGAGAGAGATGATTAGGGGAATACAGCGATACGGAAACCTGACAAAGAATGCAGGCAACGGAAAACGCAAGACGAAAAAAAACTGAAAAGCATGCATCAGGTGTGAGTGGCACACACAAGGCAGTAAGCAGCAAGCACTCTCACAACCGAACACGCAAGCACACACAAGGCAGTAAGCAGCAGGCACACTTACAACCGAACACGCAAGCACACACAAGGCAGTAAGCAGCAAGCACACTCACAACCGAACACGCAAGCACACACAAGGCAGTAAGCAGCAAGCACACTTACAACCGAACACGCAAGCACACACAAGGCAGTAAGCAGCAAGCACACTCACAACCGAATACGCAAGCACACACAAGGCAGTAAGCAGCAGGCACACTTACAACCGAACACGCAACCACACACAAGGCAGTAAGCAGCAGGCACACTCACAACCGAACACGCAAGCACACGCAAGGCAGTAAGCAGCAGGCACACTTACAACCGAACACGCAAGCACACGCAAGGCAGTAAGCAGCAGGCACACTTACAACCGAACACGCAAGCACACACAAGGGAGTAAGCAGCAGGCACACTTACAACCGAACGCAAGCACACACAAGGCAGTAAGCAGCAGGCACACTTACAACCGAACACGCAAGCACACACAAGGCAGTAAGCAGCAGGCACACTTACAACCGAACACGCAAGCACACGTAAGGCAGTAAGCAGCAGGCACACTTACAACCGAACACGCAAGCACACGCAAGGGAGTAAGCAGCAGGCACACTTACAACCGAACACGCAAGCACACGCAAGGCAGTAAGCAGCAGGCACACTTACAACCGAACACGCAAGCACACACAAGGCACTAAGCAGCAGGCACACTTACAACCGAACATGCAAGCACACGCAAGGCAGTAAGCAGCAGGCACACTTACAACCGAAAACGCAAGCACACGCAAGGCACTAAGCAGCAGGCACACTTACAACCGAACACTCAAGCACACACAAGGCAGTAACCACCAGGCACACTTACAACCGAACACGCAAGCACACACAAGGCAGTAAGCAGCAGGCACACTTACAACCGAACACGCAAGCACACACAAGGCAGTAAGCAGCAGGCACACTTACAACCGAACACGCAAGCACACGCAAGGCAGTAAGCAGCAGGGACACTTACAACCGAACACGCAAGCACACGCAAGGCAGTAAGCAGCAGGCACACTTACAACCGAACACGCAAGTACACACAAGGGAGTAAGCAGCAGGCACACTAACAACCGAACGCAAGCACACACAAGGCAGTAAGCAGCAGGCACACTTACAACCGAACACGCAAGCACACACAAGGCAGTAAGCAGCAGGCACACTTACAACCGAACACGCAAGCACACACAAGGCAGTAAGCAGCAGGCACACTTACAACCGAACACGCAAGCACACGCAAGGCAGTAAGCAGCAGGCACACTTACAACCGAACACGCAAGCACACACAAGGGAGTAAGCAGCAGGCACACTTACAACCGAACACGCAAGCACACGCAAGGCAGTAAGCAGCAGGCACACTTACAACCGAAAACGCAAGCACACGCAAGGCACTAAGCAGCAGGCACACTTACAACCGAACACTCAAGCACACACAAGGCAGTAACCAGCAGGCACACTTACAACCGAACACGCAAGCACACACAAGGCAGTAAGCAGCAGGCACACTTACAACCGAACACGCAAGCACACACAAGGCAGTAAGCAGCAGGCACACTTACAACCGAACACGCAAGCACACACAAGGCAGTAAGCAGCAAGCACACTCACAACCGAACACGCAAGCACACACAAGGCAGTAAGCAGCAGGCACACTCACAACCGAACACGCAAGCACACACAAGGCAGTAAGCAGCAGGCACACTTACAACCGAACACGCAAGCACACACAAGGCAGTAAGCAGCAGGCAGACTTACAACCGAACACGCAAGCACACGCAAGGCAGTAAGCAGCAGGCACACTTACAACCGAACACGCAAGCACACGCAAGGCAGTAAGCAGCAGGCACACTTACAACCGAACACGCAAGCACACACAAGGGAGTAAGCAGCAGGCACACTCACAACCGAACACGCAAGCACACACAAGGCAGTAAGCAGCAGGCACACTTACAACCGAACACGCAAGCACACACAAGGCAGTAAGCAGCAGGCAGACTTACAACCGAACACGCAAGCACACGCAAGGCAGTAAGCAGCAGGCACACTTACAACCGAACACGCAAGCACACACAAGGGAGTAAGCAGCAGGCACACTTACAACCGAACACGCAAGCACACACAAGGGAGTAAGCAGCAGGCACACTTACAACCGAACACGCAAGCACACGCAAGGCACTAAGCAGCAGGCACACTTACAACCGAACACTCAAGCACACACAAGGCAGTAACCAGCAGGCACACTTACAACCGAAAACGCAAGCACACGCAAGGCACTAAGCAGTAGGCACACTTACAACCGAACACTCAAGCACACACAAGGCAGTAACCAGCAGGCACACTTACAACCGAACACGCAAGCACACACAAGGCAGTAAGCAGCAGGCACACTTACAACCGAACACGCAAGCACACACAAGGCAGTAAGCAGCAGGCATACTTACAACCGAACACGCAAGCACACACAAGGCAGTAAGCAGCAAGCACACTCACAACCGAACACGCAAGCACACACAAGGCAGTAAGCAGCAGGCACACTTACAACCGAACACGCAAGCACACGCAAGGCAGTAAGCAGCAGGCACACTTACAACCGAACACGCAAGCACACGCAAGGCAGTAAGCAGCAGGCACACTTACAACCGAACACGCAAGCACACGCAAGGGAGTAAGCAGCAGGCACACTTACAACCGAACACGCAAGCACACACAAGGCAGTAAGCAGCAGGCACACTTACAACCGAACGCAAGCACACGCAAGGCAGTAAGCAGCAGGCACACTTACAACCGAACACGCAAGCACACGCAAGGCAGTAAGCAGCAGGCACACTTACAACCGAACACGCAAGCACACACAAGGGAGTAAGCAGCAGGCACACTTACAACCGAACACGCAAGCACACACAAGGCAGTAAGCAGCAGGCACACTTACAACCGAACACGCAAGCACACACAAGGCAGTAAGCAGCAGGCACACTTACAACCGAACACGCAAGCACACGCAAGGCAGTAAGCAGCAGGCACACTTACAACCGAACACGCAAGCACACGCAAGGCAGTAAGCAGCAGGCACACTTACAACCGAACACGCAAGCACACGCAAGGCAGTAAGCAGCAGGCACACTTACAACCGAACACGCAAGCACACGCAAGGCAGTAAGCAGCAGGCACACTCACAACCGAACACGCAAGCACACACAAGGGAGTAAGCAGCAGGCACACTCACAACCGAACACGCAAGCACACGCAAGGCAGTAAGCAGCAGGCACACTTACAACCGAACACGCAAGCACACACAAGGCACTAAGCAGCAGGCACACTTACAACCGAACACTCAAGCACACACAAGGCAGTAAGCAGCAGGCACACTTACAACCGAACACGCAAGCACACACAAGGCAGTAAGCAGCAGGCACACTTACAACCGAACACGCAAGCACACACAAGGCAGTAAGCAGCAGGCACACTTACAACCGAACACGCAAGCACACGCAAGGCAGTAAGCAGCAGGCACACTTACAACCGAACACGCAAGCACACGCAAGGCAGTAAGCAGCAGGCACACTTACAACGGAACACGCAAGCACACACAAGGGAGTAAGCAGCAGGCACACTTACAACCGAACGCAAGCACACACAAGGCAGTAAGCAGCAGGCACACTTACAACCGAACACGCAAGCACACACAAGGCAGTAAGCAGCAGGCACACTTACAACCGAACACGCAAGCACACACAAGGCAGTAAGCAGCAGGCACACTTACAACCGAACACGCAAGCACACGCAAGGCAGTAAGCAGCAGGCACACTTACAACCGAACACGCAAGCACACACAAGGGAGTAAGCAGCAGGCACACTTACAACCGAACACGCAAGCACACGCAAGGCAGTAAGCAGCAGGCACACTTACAACCGAAAACGCAAGCACACGCAAGGCACTAAGCAGCAGGCACACTTACAACCGAACACTCAAGCACACACAAGGCAGAAACCAGCAGGCACACTTACAACCGAACACGCAAGCACACACAAGGCAGTAAGCAGCAGGCACACTTACAACCGAACACGCAAGCACACACAAGGCAGTAAGCAGCAGGCAGACTTACAACCGAACACGCAAGCACACGCAAGGCAGTAAGCAGCAGGCACACTTACAACCGAACACGCAAGCACACACAAGGGAGTAACCAGCAGGCACACTTACAACCGAACGCAAGCACACACAAGGCAGTAAGCAGCAGGCACACTTACAACCGAACACGCAAGCACACACAAGGCAGTAAGCAGCAGGCACAATTACAACCGAACACGCAAGCACACGCAAGGCAGTAAGCAGCAGGCACACTTACAACCGAACACGCAAGCACACACAAGGGAGTAAGCAGCAGGCACACTTACAACCGAACACGCAAGCACACACAAGGGAGTAAGCAGCAGGCACACTTACAACCGAACACGCAAGCACACACAAGGCAGTAAGCAGCAGGCACACTTACAACCGAACACGCAAGCACACACAAGGCAGTAAGCAGCATGCACACTTACAACCGAACACGCAAGCACACGCAAGGCAGTAAGCAGCAGGCACACTTACAACTGAACACGCAAGCACACACAAGGGAGTAAGCAGCAGGCACACTTACAACCGAACACGCAAGCACACGCAAGGCAGTAAGCAGCAGGCACACTCACAAGTGGCGAGAGGAGGAGGTAGTGGCAATGACGGCGAAGGCGAGCAATGAAAGAACGAGTGCAATCGTGAAAATATGAGCGTGAAAATAAATCGTGAACAAGAGTGTCAAAATCTCAAGAGAAGAGAGATTTCTTAGACGTATTTAGGAGGGGTCGAAGCTGCATGCACGTGCGCTCGCCAGCAGCTGCACCGCTCCCTCCGCGCCTCGCCGTTCCTCCGGAGGCGAGCAGTGATCAGCAGGGAACCAGAGTGGTGCCTGCCGTGCGTCATCCCACTGCCGCCATCCCGCAGGTGCAGTGCAGCAGCCTCCGCCCCTCCAGTCGCCACCCGCCTCCGCCCCTCCAGTCGCCACCTGCCTCCGCCCCTCCAGTCGCCACCCGCCTCCGCCCCTCCAGTCGCCACCCGCCTCCGCCCCTCCAGTCGACACCCGCCTCCGCCCCTCCAGTCGCCACCCGCCTCCGCCCCTCCAGTCGCCAACCGCCTCCACCCCTCCAGTCGCCACCCGCCTCCGCCCCTCCAGTCGCCACCCGCCTCCACCCCTCCAGTCGCCACCCGCCTCCGCCCCTCCAGACGCCACCCGCCTCCGCGCACAGGTGCAGTGCAGCACCCATCCATCCTCCTCCACCCACCCATCGCTCCACTCCACCTCGCCTGCTCCTCGCCTCCTCCTCCGCGCCTTGCCTCCGAGTGAGTGGTCAGCAGGGCGGGTAGGAGGCAGCCACACGCCTGTGACTGCCAGCCGTGCGTCATCCCACCACGCTCGCATCCACCTCAGCCACGTGCCGTCCACCTCAGCCACCTCAGCCACACGCCCACACGCTTCCCCTCCCTTTGCATGCGCTTGCGTTGAGTGCGCTGCATGGAACAACAAGCACGGTGGTGAGTCGAGGAACCGTGAACAAGCAAGGAAGCGAACGGAGGAAAGAAAGAAGAGACAGCAGCAACAAGGAAAGGCGGGAACACGACGAGCGACGTACCGTGAGTGTGGGCGCTGGAGGTGCTGCGCGGGGTCTTGTCAGTCCCCAAGGTGGCGCGTTGAAGGCGCTGCAGCAACGCACGAGCGCGTACCCACGCTCGTGCAGTACACACACCTTGCTGCAAGCATGCACTCACCAGTCGAGCTCGCCCCTGCCGTTGCCGCGTGTGCCTCACACGCTCGGGCCTCTGCCCGCTTGCCTCAGGGCACTGCCCCTAGCTAGCCAATGTCCAATCCAAGCCTCAATGTCCAATCCAAGCCTCAATGTCCAATCCAAGCCTCAATGTCCAATCCAAGCCTCAATGTCCAATCCAAGCCTCAATGTCCAAGGCCCAAGGCACAATGTCTGCTGCTGCTGCTGCTGCTGCTGCTGCTGCTGCCGGGAGGTGTATGCAGGGACAGCGGTGGTCCCAGGGCATGCCCAGGCCGTGCGTCATCCCACCGCCCCGTAGCTACCTCTGCCTCCTCGCCTCAAGTGCATGGGCGACCTTCACAAGTGACAGAGCACAGCATCAGTCCCTGGCTATTCGAATCTGACATGTGGAGGCGCGCAGCAGAGCATATGAAGTGTTCCGACTCTGGCTGAGTAGTGGTGGTGGGTCTTTGACCTCAATAGCAGAGTGAATGGTGAATGCTTGAGATAATTAAAACAAGCAAGGACAAGGAATATAAATAAGAGAATAGGGGAATATCAATTGTCCTAGCTGGCCATGTACTCTAAGGGGTACATTCCCTTATTACAGCGAAATCCAACCGTGCGACTCCAGGTGGTTACGAAACTGTTCGGGTATAATCTTTGCCATAGCTGCTGCGTGATGCTGTCTGCCCGACGGTCCAGATCCTTCCGTAACCGTACGATCCTTTGCATCATTTCCGCCCTTCCGTCTTCAGCCTCGGTAGTGCTTGCTTCGATTGTTGCGGTAAGGAGTGCACAGTAGTTCATTCATTTTTCACTATTCGTAACAACTTTGAGAGAATATGGCATGAAACTGCGGAGAGTCACCCTACAACGGGAGTGGACTACGATCCAGGGATGTATCGCCGCGATTTCCGCGAAGGATTCATGAGTCGCTCTCATACCATGCTGCGATCAGCAATTGATCGTTCCTAGGATCACACCAGGAACGTTCGTACACGACTGAGTAGTGGTGGTGGGCCCTTGACCTCAATAGCAGAGTGAATTTAAAATGCTTGAGATAATTAAAACATGCAAGTACAAGGAATATAAATAAGAGTACAGGGGAATATCAATCGTCCTAGCTAGCCATGTACTCTAAGGGGTACACTCCCTTATTACAGTGAAATCCAACCGTGCGACTCCAGGTGGTTACGAAACTGTTCGGGCAGAATCCTCGCCACAGCTGCTGCGTGATGCTGTCTGCCCGACGGTCCAGTTCCTTCCGTAACCGTACGACCCTTTGCATCATTTCCGCCCTTCCGTCTTCAACCTCGGTAGTGCTTGCTTCGATTGTTGCGGTAAGGAGTGCACAGTAGTTCAAACATTTTTCACTATTCGTAACAACTTTGAGAAAATATGGCATGAAACAAATGCACATGGGTAACAAGTTGGAAGTTCTCACTTAGAACCATACTATCGTCCCCAATGGCATGAAATCTATAAACTGAGGAGATTTCCATTGAATACATGATGTCTACAGTTGCTATTTCAGTTCATTTGTGGAGCAGGCGAGATTCAGCCCAGGATGTACAGTACCGATCGATGATGTAATGTGGGCCCACAAGCATGCGCTCAGCCGTCCGATGAACATTACCAGAGACGATGATTGGAGGGAGAACCGCCGAAGGTCCGCCAGCACCTAGGTCAATCTCCGAAGCGCAGTTTCTTAGCCCGCGCAAACACCAACTCAGCGCACACTTCCCGCTGCGCGCTTCTGTTTACGACCGTCGTTGATTCGCGACTGACTTTTCCGTGTTCCCCTCCTCTCCCCCCCGCCACTTTCTGCCAGCCGCGCGCCGCCTGGCGCAATCCTTCCCCACCCCACCCACTGACACCACTTTGGTTTGGCGCTGGTGGCGGAATGTCACCCTCGAGCCAGCACCACCCCTCCATCCAGTGAGCGAGAGTCACCACTTTGGGTTGACCCTGGTCACCCTCGTCGAGCCAGCACCACCTCCATCCAGAGCCAGCCAGAATCAGGCACCTCTTCCGACCGAGTGACTATCCCACATTACACTCTGCTTTCTCCCACTCTCTCATCATGCCAAGCAAACTACTCTACTCAAGGCCGCCATGAATTTCGTGAAAGATAGTACGTTCTACGTGCTTTCGCTGAGGCTTCCGTCTCCGTGGATTACTTCCGTTCGTTACAGATATATTCTGAGTGTTTTTCGCGGTGGTTTAGTTCCGCTAAGCTTTTTTCCAGCTTAAACCAGCTCGACGGTTAGATTCACCCTGGAGGCTGATATCGCAGTAGTATCTCAATAGCGTATGTGATCCAATCGTCAACATCTTTCAGCCACCACTTCAGCAAGTCGTCAACATCTTTCAGTGAACTGTTAGGGTTAGGAATGGACGGCTTATTTCAGTCAGAGATGTTGGCAGAATCAGCGACGGCAGTTACCTTCGTGCCAGTGGCATCATCAGCAGCTCGGGTGTCGCGGGGGGGGTTTCTGCTTCAACCGAGCGACGACGGACAGGCGACGACGGACAAGCGACGACGGACAAGCGAAGCTCGTGAAGGAATGCTCCCTACTACGGCTTTTAGATAAAATTCCGGGATTCTCCCTACGGCTTCATCCCTACGGCTTCATCATCGACATATCCTGATGCTCTTCTTCTTGAAGCCTCAGCTATGGCTTTCCGGCCGTATATTCCGTGGCATCATTGACAAATCATATCGCCGAGATTTCACGGATCTCTCTTCTTATTCGTGTCATGTGATGAAGTCGGCGAACGACGAGCGGTTAGCAGCGACGAGCCTGATAACGAAAGGCGACTTTGCTGACGAGGAGGCGAAAGGCGATGACCGACGAGCATTGACCTCGGAAAAGCGACGAGCGGAATCAGAGAGCGGAAATGCGACGAGCGGAATCAGGGAGCGGAAATGCGAAGAGCGTGCGACCGTGTGCGCGCCGGCGACTTGATGCGTGCGACCGTGTACGGGATGGCGACTTGCTGCGTGTGACCGTGTGCGCGACGGCGACTTGCTGCGTGCGACCGTGTGCGCGACGGCGACTTGCTGCGTGTGACCGTGTGCGCGACGGCGACTTGCTGCGTGCGACCGTGTGCGCGACGGCGACTTGCTGCGTGCGACCGTGTGCGCGACGGCGACTTGCTGCGTGTGACCGTGTGCGCGACGGCGACTTGCTGCGTGCGAGCATGTGCGGGACGGCGACTTGCTGCGTGCGACAGTGTGCGCGACGGCGACTTGCTGCGTGCGACCGTGTGCGCGACGGCGACTTGCTGCGTGCGAGCATGTGCGGGACGGCGACTTGCTGCGTGCGACCGTGTGCGCGACGGCGACTTGCTGCGTGCGACCGTGTGCGCGACGGCGACTTGCTGCATGCGACCGTGTGCGCGACGGCGACTTGCTGCGAGCATGTGCGAGACGGCGACTTGCTGCGTGCGACCGTGTGCACGACGGCGACTTGCTGCGTGCGACCGTGTGCACGACGGCGACTTGCTGCGTGCGACCGTGTGCGCGACGGCGACTTGCTGCATGCGTCTGTGTGCGCGACAGCGACTTGCTGCACCCGAGCCTGAGGAAACGACTCCTGCACTGCTGCACCTGAGCCTGAGGAAACGACTCCTGCACTGCTGCACCTAAGGCCAAGGAAGCGACTGCTGCACTGCTGCCGAGCGTCTGCTGCCGAACGACTGCTGCCGAGCGACTGAGGCGAGGAGGAATGGCGCCACTGCTGCCGCACCGGAGGAACTTGTGAGTTGCCTTCCCTACGTTAGCTGAATCTGTTCTTCAGCACCTTCAATGTTGGAAACCCGAGAGATTTTCTTTCACTTCTTGCTTTCTTAGGAACTCCATCATCTAGTCACTGATGCTGACCACTGCGCGCCTCTTAGGGAGCTGGCGAGCAGCAAACTGCGGTAGCGGCGAGGAGGACACGGGTGGACGGAGCGATGGCTGAGGCGAGGAGGAACGGGCGCCGCTGCCTCAACCCCTGCCTGCTGAAAGAAGGCTAAGATATCTCGTTTACTCACGCACTTGTTGGCACTCATTCGCACTTGCTCGCTTCCGCCCTCATAGCCGCCTCCTCCTCCTCGCGCCACTCGTTCCTCCTCCTCCAGCTCGCACCGGCGGCACCATTGGACCATTCCCCAGGTGTGTTGAGGTAACGGCGGCATCATGCGTAAGTAGGTGTGCTCAGGTACGGTACGGTCCTTTGGTGCCCGCCCTGCAGCTGCCACCCACCACCCCGCCTGCGCTGCCGCTGCCGCTGCTGCCTCTGACACTGCTGCTGACACTGCTGCTGCTGCCGCCGCCGCTGCCGCTGGCACTGTCACTCACTACACTGCACTGGCACTGTCACTCACACCACCTTCACCTGATACATGCTTTTCAGTTTTTTTTCCGCCTTTCGTTTTCCGTTTCCTGCATGCTTTGTCAGTTTTCCATATCTCTTACTAATCATTTGCCCCCCCTCTCCTCCAGCCCACATCCTCTGCTTGCACGCCTACAGGCCGGCACACTTCATACGTGGGGGGCAGCAGCGACGGGGAAGCAGCGCCGGGCGAAAATCACTGACGATAGTCACAATAGGCTTGAGTGTGCCTAAAACGAAAGATAGAGAGCACAGACGGATTTCTGCACAGCGGCTTCAAACGTTGATAGCGTTCTGCTCACAGCTGCAAATGACTTGATTCAAATTGGATCTGGAGCGTCTTCACGTCGTCTACAATTAGCAATTTAGATTGCATGATTTGATAAAGAATTGACGACACAGCGTCGGTTTGAACGAACGGTACTATGGCAGCCACTATAGTCTTAGAACACAAGATAGGAAGAGTTACGAGTTGGGAATGACTCCCAGCTCCTACAAACCCCAAGAGCCGAGGTACAGTGATGTGGAACAGTGCCACACTGTCCCCAACCACGAAGGGTCTCGAAACTACCCTTCACTAGGGCCTACACCAAGTGAAATGTTACACTACACAAAGTAATGTAACTATCTTCAATATCTTGAGGTGTACCCTTTTGGCAAGCTTCGAAATCACTTGAGGCTTGACACCAAGGCTCGGGCTCTTTATCACAAACTCATCCTTGAGTTCTTGATGGGTCTGCTGCACACACCTGCGACACGCCGAACGTTCGACACAGGACAAAATAGAAACCGCGCACGACAAAATAGAAACCGCGCGCGAGACACAAACGACCGCGTAACACGCGTCTAGCGATAACTCGCTATTGACTCGACACACACACTCGACATCATGACTCAACATTCACACACAATTATAAGCATGAAATATATATTATCCCATGCCCTCATACCATTCCATACACACACACATTCACGCACACGGACAACAAGCCGAGTGCAAACCGTAGGGTTGCACCAACAGGCAGCAGCGACGGGGAAGCAGCGCCGGGCGAGAATCACTGACTGGCGGACGGACGGACGGGCTCCTCTGCCATTCACCTTGTAAGTTGCCCTCCACCACTCGTTCCGCCCTGGTGCGTTGAAATCTTAGCGCCCTTTTTTACTGTTTTTGTCAGATTCGAATAGCCAGGGACTGATGCTGTGCTCTGTCACTTGTGAAGGTCGCCCACGCACTTGAGGCGAGGAGGCAGAGGTAGCTACGGGGCGGTGGGATGACGCACGGCCTGGGCATGCCCTGCTGACCACCGCTGTCCCTGCATACACCTCTAGGCAGCAGCAGCAGCAGCAGACATTGTGCCTTGGGCCTTGGACATTGAGGCTTGGATTGGACATTGAGGCTTGGATTGGACATTGTGGCTTGGATTGGACATTGAGGCTTGGATTGGACATTGAGGCTTGGATTGGACATTGGCTAGCTAGGGGCAGTGCCCTGAGGCAAGTGGGCAGAGGCCCGAGCGTGTGAGGCACACGCGGCAACGGCAGGGGCGAGCTCGACTGGTGAGTGCATGCTTGCAGCAAGGTGTGTGTACTGCACAGGCGTGGGTACGCGCTCGTGCGTTGCTGCAGCGCCTTCAACGCGCCACCTTCGGGAGTGACAAGACCCCGCCTTGCTGCAGACTGCAGCACCTCCAGCGCCCATACTCACGGTACGTCGCTCGTCGTGTTCCCGCCTTTCCTTGTTGCTGCTGTCTCTTCTTTCTTCGCTCCGTTCGCTTCCTTGCTTGTTCACGGTTCCTCGACTCACCACCGTGCTTGTTGTTCCATGCAGCGCACTCAACGCAAGCGCATGCAAGGGGAGGGGAGGCGCATGGGCGTGTGCCTGAGGTGGACGGCACGTGGCTGAGGTGGACGGCACGGGGCTGAGGTGGACGGCACGTTGCTGAGGTGGACGGCACGTGGCTGAGGTGGACGCGAGCGTGGTGGGATGACGCACGGCCGGCAGTCACAGTCGTGTGGCTGCCTCCTACCCGCCCTGCTGACCACTCACTCGGAGGTAAGGCGCGGAGGAGGAGGCGAGGAGCAGGCGAGGTGGAGTGGAGCGATGGGTGGGTGGAGGAGGATGGATGGGTGCTGCACTGCACCTGTGCGCGGAGGCGGGTGGCGACTGGAGGGGCGGAGGCTGCTGCACTGTGGGATGGCGGCAGTGGGATGACGCACGGCAGGCCCCACTGCTGCCCTGCTGATCACTGCTCACCTGCGGAGGAACGGCAAGTCGAGGAGGGAGAAGTGCCGCTGCTGGCGAGCGTGCGTGCATGCTGCTTCGACCCCTCCTAAATTCGGCTAATAAATCTCTCTTCTCTTGATATTTTCACGCTCTTGTTTGCACTCGTTCTTTCACTGCTCGCCTTCGCCGTCATTGCCACTACCTCCTCCTCTCGCCACTCGTGAGTGCGTCTGCTGCTTACTGCCTTGCGTGTGCTTGCGTGTCCGGTTGTAAGTGTGCCTGCTGCTTACTGCCTTGTGTGTGCTTGTGTGTTCGGTTGTAAGTGTGCCTGCTGCTTTCTGCCTTGCGTGTGCTTGCGTGTTCGGTTGTAAGTGTGCCTGCTGCTTACTGCCGTTGACTTTTGAGTCCACTCAAAAGTCAACTCGTGTTCGGTTGTAAGTGTCTGCTGACTGCCTTGTGTGTGTGCCACTCACACCACCTTCACCTGATGCATGCTTTTTAGTTCTTTTTTCATCTTGCGTTTTCCGTTGCCTGCATTCTTTGTCAGATTTTCGTATCGCTGCATTCTTTGTCAGATTTCCGTATTATCGCTGCATTCTTCACTCCTTCATTTTCTCTCTCCAACGTGCGCACAGGCTGTGGGGGAGCGAGCGTGGTGGGATGACTCATGGCCGGCAGTCACAGGCGTGTGGCTGCCTCCTACCCGCCTTGCTGACCACGCGCTCGGAGGCAAGCCGCTGAGACAGCGCTGCGACGAGGCGTCTTTCTCCCACGTGTGCTGGCTTCTCCCCCTGCGCCCATGGGGTGAGGCGGAGGAACGAGTCGGAGAGACTGACGGGCGGAATTGAGGCGATTACAAGGAGGGGTGTTGTTGAATGGATAGTGAGAGTCATGCAGCAGATGAGGGGCAGACGGACTCGGTCATTTGAGAGTGGGGGGGCCCAGCTCTCTCTTGGTCTTGTCCTGAAGCACGGGGCCACCCTCGGCCTCTGCGGCTACTCACATACATCCAGCACCTTGGCCCTTGGATCTGTCCTCTTCCATGCCTGTCTCACGTCCTCCTGACCCGCACTCCGTCCTCACTCCTCCCCCTTCCATTCCCTTCAGTTCGGGCCTTCACGCGAGAGAAGCAAGGATGGCGAGGGGGCAGCGCGGCAGGGCAGCAAGAGGATAGTCTCTGCTTAATCCCCGCCTTCCTTCCCTTCAGGGCTTCACGTGGGGCGAGGAGGGCGAAGGGGCAGCGCGTGGGCAGCAAGAGCGTCTCTCTGCATACCCCCCCGCTTCCTTCCTTCAGCATGGCGAGAAGGCAGGTGGCGACTGGAGGGGCGGAGGCTGCTGCACTGCACCTGCAGGATGGCGACAATGGGATGACGCACGGCAGGCACCACTCTGCTGCCCTGCTGATCACTCGCCTCCGGAGGAACGGCGAGGCGCGGAGGGAGCGGTGCAGCTGCTGGCGAGCGCGCGTGCACGCAGCTTCGACCCCTCGTCAATTAGGATAAGAAAATCACTGCCTTGATTCCGCCCGTGTTGCTCACCACTGCCTTGATTCCCCCCGTGTTGCTCACCACTGCCTTGATTCCCCCCGTGTTGCTCACCACTGCCTTGATTCCCCCCGTGTTGCTCACCACTGCCTTGATTCCGCCCGTGTAGCTCACCACTGCCTTGATTCCCCCCGTGTTGCTCACCACTGCCTTGATTCCGCCCGTCTTGCTCACCAGTGCCTTGATTCCCCCCATTTGCTCACCACTGCCTTGATTCACCCCGTGTTGCTCACCACTGCCTTGATTCCCCCCGTGTTGCTCACCACTGCCTTGATTCCCCCCGTGTTGCTCACCACTGCCTTGATTCCCCCCGTGTTGCTCACCACTCTTAGGATCGTAAACACCTTAGTCGGCAATAGTCTACTTGCTATTGCTTATCGTGTTCTCCACGATCTCCCAAATCCAACGATATGCGCAGCTCTGCTTGAAGTTGTCAATACACACTTCAGCAATTTCCAGAATCTGATTGGTTTCAATGTTGTGATTTCCAGAATGAGTACAAGCAATTTTATAGTCAAGCAAGTCACAAAATGCGATTCGTAACTTCACTTGTTTCCCAAGTAACCCCGTGCGCCTCGTTTCACCCCGAGTCGCACACGGAACCGAACTGAATGCACCGAACACTCCTCAAGTCCGAATCTGGAACCTTCTCGAACGCGCCTCGAGCTCGTACCACAGTTTCCCCCGTCGATCTCATTCTCGATACTTCTCTACTCTTCTCCTCCATTTCTCTAGTATCTTCCCGATCTCTCTCCCGCTTCTCACGCTGTAGCTTCCAATATCCACCGTAGGCCGATTTCCACCGTTTCACCTAGAATCATTCACGCGCTTCCATTTCGCCGTCATTCCGCCGTCGTAGAGACTTTCGCCATAGGTTCCGTGGTTGGGCGAACCAACCCTAACAATCTCCCCTGTGGTTCGTCAACCACGAACTCCACTCGCACTCCTCCCCTGCTCCTTGTAGCCTTCACAGGGTCTAGGTCGGCTTCACACTCCCCTGCAGCTCCTGCACCTTGAACCTCTGCTTACGTGTCTTGAAGTTGAGCGCCTTGACATCCAAACCTTGAGAGATTTTCTTAAGCCTCTCACTTCTCCTCGGCATCTTTACACCCAACACCTCTCGGGTCTCGTACCCTTCAACGCGTTCATCCTCCTTAAGCACTTGCCCCTTTGCAGTTGCATTCGCCTTTGATCCTTTCACCATGATGTCCCCTTTCACAGCTTCAACTCCCACACACTTCGCATTTACTGCTTCATCTTCAACCACGATCGCTGCTGCAAAAGTGTTGACATCGTCTCCATCTCCACCGTTTACTGCTGCTGCCTCCATGGTCACTATCTCCTCTTCCTGCTTCACTGCTGCCTCCACACTCGCAGCCATATCATCCGAGTCCTCACTCTCATCATCCTCAGTAGACTCAGGATCCTCATAAATCTCATCCTTATCGTTCGTCGCGACCAAGTTCATCTCATAGAACCCATCACTGAAGTAACCATCAGCATACTTCTAAACCCAGGACCAAACACTGTAACCTCGCCTTTGTCATAAAATATCTTGCACCCCAAGTCATCAAGCTGTGACTGACTCATCAAATTCACCTTTAAATCCTCAACCAAGAGCACATTCTCCAGTTTCACCTCTCCATACGGACTTTGCAGCACCACGTCACCCTCTCCTGTCACTGGGAACTTCCCACTGTTACCTTGCAGTATATAACGCTCACTCGACTCCCTCACGTTCTCCATCCAATCCGACCTGAATGTCATGTGACGCGTGCATCCGCTGTCCATGAACCATGCCGTCTTCTCACGTCCGTCCGTCTGACGAACATCCTTCGGTAAACGCACCACGTTCGCACGATGCGCTCCTCCCAAAATCACATCCTCCTTTTCGGCTTCCGCTACATTCGCCTTACCCGCCACAATCCTCTGCTGCGACGGACCCTTGTAGCTCCTGCTGTTCGGATTGGAGTAGCACTCTGCGGCACGATGCCCATAGCGCCCACAATAATCGCACTTGCCGCCAAAACCTCGTTTCTGTTGCCACTCTGCTCCCCCATTTTCTCCTTTCTCGTTCTCCACCGCTTTGCCCTTGTAGTTTCTGCTTCGCGGGTTTTCGTAGCAGTTTATCGCCTTATGCCCCCTCTTTCCACACTGGTAGCACGCTCCAAACGCCTTCGTTGCATTCACCATAGCCGGCCTTTCCTCGTCAAAATCCGTAGCTGCTGCTGCCGCTTTCTTTTTCCTCATCTCCTTGACCGTCTCAAGCGACTGTAGAATCTCCTGCAGCTTCATCAAACTCTCCGGCGGTTGGTACGTAAGCATACCGATGTCGGATTCCCACTCCTTAGGAAGGCCTTGGAAGATGTAGTCAATCATCTCATGCTCCGTCTCCGCGGCTCCCATCACCCGCAAGTCGTCGTTGTAGTTTTTCGCCCTGTTGATGTAGGTGATGATTTTCTCGCCTTTCTCCATGCTCAGCATCAGCAGTTGCTTCCTAATCGCCTTCTTGTTGACATCGTTCGTGCCCATGTACGTGGACTCCAGGTACTCCCACGCTTTCTGTGCAGAGTTCAGCTCCCCTGCAAACTGGTCCAAATCCACCGCGATTCCATCGGCAACTGAGTGACAAAGCTGAAAGAACGATTGCTTACTTAGCTTTTTAAACGCCGCTATTTTCTCCTTCGTATCCGTCGGGGATGGCGCAACTCCCTCCATCGTCTCCTCGTCGGGACGGTAGTACGGCAAGAGGTCCACCTCCTCTGCCCTTCGAATGAACTTCTTTCGCCACACGTTGTAGTTGCTCTCGTTGAAGCGCTGGGCTTCACTGAGCCCGATCGTCGGTTTCGCCACCAATCGGCCACTCGCAAGGGCCTCGAGAAGAGCCTTCAACTGCGGGTCTCCAAGACTTACACTGGAACCCGAACTCGCCTCGTCTCCCATAGCGTAGGCGTGAACGACTCCTCTTCTCCACTAATTTCACTTAGCGCACCAAGTGAATTCACCGCGATCGACGCGCCCGTTCGCCAAGCTCTGATACCAGTTCTTAGGATCGTAAACACCTTAGTCGGCAATAGTCTACTTGCTATTGCTTATCGTGTTCTCCACGATCTCCCAAATCCAACGATATGCGCAGCTCTGCTTGAAGTTGTCAATACACACTTCAGCAATTTCCAGAATCTGATTGGTTTCAATGTTGTGATTTCCAGAATGAGTACAAGCAGTTTTATAGTCAAGCAAGTCACAAAATGCGATTCGTAACTTCACTTGTTTCCCAAGTAACCCCGTGCGCCTCGTTTCACCCCGAGTCGCACACGGAACCGAACTGAATGCACCGAACACACCTCAAGTCCGAATCTGGAACCTTCTCGAACACGCCTCGAGCTCGTACCACAGTTTCCCCCGTCGATCTCATTCTCGATACTTCTCTACTCTTCTCCTCCATTTCTCTAGTATCTTCCCGATCTCTCTCCCGCTTCTCACGCCGTAGCTTCCAATATCCACCGTAGGCCGATTTCCACCGTTTCACCTAGAATCATCCACGCGCTTCCATTTCGCCGTCATTCCGCCGTCGTAGAGACTTTCGCCATAGGTTCCGTGGTTGGGCGAACCAACCCTAACAACCACTGCCGGCGAGGAGGCGAAGGTGCTGCTGGCGTGGAGGCGAAGGTGCTGCTGGCGTGGACGCGAGCGTGTTGGGATGACGCACGGCCGGCAGTCACAGGCGTGTGGCTGCCTCCTACCCGCCCTGCTGACCACGCGCTCGCAGGCAAGGTGCGGAGGTAGCGCTGCGACGAGACGGAGGCATCTATTCTCCCCCTGCGTCCATGGGGTGAGGCGGAGGAACGAGACGGAGCGACTGACGGGCTGGCTGAGGCGATGCTTGGATTGAAGGGGATGCTGTCGTATGGGGACGGGGAGTCGCCAAGGGAACCTGACGGCTTGATCTTGAGTGGGGTGGGACCGTCCACTCTTTCCAGATCTCGTCCTGAAGTGTGGTCCCACCCTAGGCCTCCTCGTCTTTCCCTACAGCACCTTCGCCGCCTCTTCCATGCGTTGACGTCCTCCTGACCCGCACTCCGTCCTCACTTCTCCCCCTCCCATTCCCTTCAGTTCAGGCTGCGAGGAGGGCGAGGGGCCAGTCGGGGCAGCAAGAGGCGTCTATCTAACTTCCCCCTTCCATTCCCTTCAGTTCGGGCTGCGAGGAGGGCGAGGGGCCAGCGCGGGGGAGCAAGAGGCGTCTATTTAACTTCCCCCTTCCATTTCCTTCAGTTCGGGCTGCGAGGAGGGCGAGGGGGCAGCGCGGGTCAGCAAGAAGCGTCTATCTAACTTCCCCCTTCCATTCCCTTCAGTTCAGGCTGCGAGGAGGGCGAGGGGCCAGCGCGGGGCAGCAAGAGGCGTCTGCCTAACTTCCCCCTTCCATTCCCTTCAGTTCGGGCTGCAAGGAGGGCGAGGGGCCAGCGCGGGGCAGCAAGAGGCGTCTATCTAACTTCCCTTTTCCATTCCCTTCAGTTCAGGCTGCGAGGAGGGCGAGGGGGCAGCGCGGGGCAGCAAGAGGCGTCTATCTAACTTTCCCCTTCCATTCCCTTCAGCATGGCGGGCAGAGTGGAGACGACACGGCGGGCGGCACGGACGGAGGTGAGGTGCTGACTTATCGCTTCAGCAAGGTTTGCCTCTTTCCTTGTCCGTTTCCGCATTGCTTCTTTCTGTTTTTCGCATTTCATGTATTTGTCGTGCATGTTTCACTTGATCTTGTTTTCCTGTGTGTCTCTCTAATCCCCCCCTTCCCTTCAGGTCGACTCGTGGGGCGAGGGGGCAGCGCGGGGCAGCAAGAGGCTTCTATCTAATCCCCCCCTTCCATTCCCTTCAGCATGGCGGGCAGCGTGGAGACGACACGGCGGGCGGCACGGACGGAGGTGAGGTGCTGATTTATCGCTTCAGCAAGGTATGCCTCTTTCCTTGTCCGTTTCCGCCTTGCTTTCTTTTTGTTTTTCGCATTTCATGTATTTGTCGTGCATGTTTCACTTGATCTTGTTTTCCTGTGTGTCTCTCTAATCCCCCCCTTCCCTTCAGGTCGACTCGTGGGGCGAGGAGGGCGAGGGGGCAGTGCGGTGCAGCAAGAGGCTTCTATCTAATCCCCCCCTTCCATTCCCTTTAGCATGGCGGGCAGCGCGGAGACGACACGGCGGGCGGCACACGGATGGAGGTGAGGTGCTGCTCCATCGCTGCAGCGAGGTACCTTCTTCCCTTGTCCGTTTTGTCTTGCTTTCTTTCTCAGATTTGTCTTGCTTTCTTTCTGTTTTTCGCATTACTATGTATTTGTCGTGCCTGTTTCACTTGATCGTGTGTTGTGTCTGTCTTGTGGTGTGTGTCGCTCTGCAGCTGGCAGGGTCCAAGACTCGAAGACCGCCCCCGACTGCGGCATAGGTGTTGTGCGGCAGGGGTCGCTGACGGCGTTGGGTCGGACGCGGCCCGCGCCTGAAGCGCCCCTGTGTGTGAGTGAGTGCTCTGACGAGGGATGGGGGGACGCTCCCTGAACTCTGATGGCCTCCTCACCCCGCCTTCGCCTGGCCAGGTGTTACGCCACCTGGTCTGAGCTGGGCTGTGGGACGCTGCAGCCCGGCTCTTGTCGTTTAGGGGCTGCGGTCCCACACGAAGGGTCCCCACCTCAGCGCGGTGTGTGGGTGTAACACTAGGGGTTAACCCCCCTAGTGGCCAAGAAGGGTCCAGAAGACCGAAGACAGTGGGGAGCTCTATTATTGCCCGAATGATTTTAAAATTATACCGTATTTTAGATATCTATAATTGCCTAGATACCGGTAGTGATGGTAGCTCTGGTTAGGTAATTAGTTGGACAACAAGGTCTCAGCGTGGACGATTGAAAATAGGGTAACACACACCAGGGAAGCATACGGTAATATGCAGTGTGGCAGATAAACAGGGAATGAAGGTCCTCTAACATCACAGAATAGGGGGACCTTTCACATTTGGTTCAATAATTCATGGAAAACAATCAGGAACATGCAACAGAGGTGTAATTCTTTCTGACATGGCAACATGTCCTCTCAAACATGGGACATGGCCACTTGTGTTGCTACTTCTGGCAATGCTGTGTGCTGCCCACCCAACAGAGACTCATGGAAGTCCCTACCCATCAACATAGTAACAGCATGCCGAAGTGAAGTCGTTCACACACCTACTTCCTCACTCCTCTACTCCATACCCTGTACTGCACACTTACTATCTGCTACAGCCAAGTACACGTCTCCCCTTCCGTAGAGCCGTGTTCAGGCGAAATCAAGGTCGTCAGGAGCAAGCCGCGTGAGGCAGTTGCTGCGTGCTTTGAGATTTTGAGATGCCTTGAAAGTCCACTACAGCCGAGTGCAGGCAAAGTCAAAGTCGTCAGGAGCGAGGTGGGCTAGCCAGTTGCTGAGCGTGCTCTTGGCGTTGAGCGTGTCAGACACCGCCAGCTCGTACATGGAGCACAGGTTGAGCACCACAGTCTCGTCGACAGCTGTCAGCGGGCTCGCCTGCAATTGGTCCTCCAGCACCAGCACCGCCGTCGCGAGATCTCGGCCGTACATCAGGCAGAGGGCCTGATTGGGAACAAAAGGCAAGGGGATGAAATGGCAAGTGGAACCATGTGAAGGGTAAACTTTATGACGATACCACACCAATGTAACTCTGTTACAACACACCAAATGTAACCTGTGAGACGCCTTCTGCACTGCCTGACTCACCATGGCGTGCTCTTGGCGTTGAGCGTGTCAGACGCCGCCAGGCGCAAGCGACAGGAGCGAATGCTGGTTACAAATGCGTTGGCCTGCCTCAGAGGGGAGGTGACGTGGCAGGGCGTCAGAGAGGAGGTGACGTGGCAGGGCATCAGAGGGGAGGTGACATGGCAGGGCGTCAGAGGGGAGGCGACGTGGCAGGGCGTCAGAGGGGAGGTGACGTGGCTGAGGACGGGTCAAGCGGCAGCGAGATTAGTACATGGGGACGGGTGAACGGAGCCAAGTGACTGGAGCTCACTGACTGGAGCTCACTGACTGGAGCTCCCTGACGAGCTCCCTGACTGGAACTCACTGACTGGAGACGTGGCAGGGCGTCAGAGGGGAGGTGACGTGGCAGGGTGTCAGAGGGGAGGTGACGTGGCTGAGCGACGGCGTGCGCGGCCCGGAGGATGGCCCAGAGGGGAGGTGACGTGGTGGGGGAGCGCGCGGCACGGGCGTCAACTATCTGAACGTGAGCAGGGGAAAGGGGAGAGGGGAGGTTAGAAAAATCCGAGCGCGCCCATGTGCGGCGCACTGCGCCCATGCGCGTCGCACTGCGCCCATGCGCGTCGCACTGCGCCCATGGGAGTCGCACTGCGCCCATGCGCGTCGCACTGCGCCCATGTGCGTCGCACTGCGCCTCGAACTGTTCTTCTACCGAGAGCCGACCCAACGCCATCGCGGTGATGACGCGAAGAGGTAACGGGTGGTGGCGAAATTTAACCGCCACGATCCGAAGGAGAGCGACCATTATGCGTTGAAGCTTTTCATCTAATGCCTGTGATCACGGCCAGAAACTATCCAAACAGCAAGGAGAGACGAGATGACGGGGGGTTCATGTGATGAGGTGAAGATCAGCAATAAGGTAACGCAATGTGAGCGGGGGCATCGTATGGGGGAGCATTGTGAGTGGGAGCAATAAGGTAACGCAATGTGGTCGTGTGCTGCACTGTATACTGTGCTGTGTGCTGACTATAACGGATTTTCAGAAACCTGCGTGTCTCGATTCTCTGCTTGTTAGGCAAAGCATTCAGCGAACATAGTCGCAGCCGCCAGAATTCGTCGCAGCGGAAAATTGCTGGGTGTTACGAACATTTGCACATCGCAGCACAAGTGTTACCACCTCGGAAGGACCATGGCCCAGCCCACTTCCACAGATTTCTCAAATTATTTCGTTCCTTTTCTCCAACCCTCCTTCTCCTTTCTCCGCATCTAGCGCCGCTCGCCGCACTTCGCAAGCGTGACATCCCTTCCGCCTTGCCTTTTCGCCCAGCGCACTCCTGTGTTTGCGTAATTTCGCGAATTTGTGTCTTACGTGCCGTCGTTGGAATCGATAGCATTCGCCAGCAATGGCGGCAGCGGTTGCAGATCTGACGGTGACGGCGGAGAATGTGGGCGCGTCGGGCGAGTCGAAGGTGCTTCAGGCCATTCGGTATTCCCGAGGGAAGCTCGAGCTGCTGGACCAGGCGAGTCGTGCTGGCGAGCTTTCAGTTACAATTCTCGGTAAAAACATTATGCGCACGAGACTGTCGCACCCTTCTTGTAAAGGGAGCGTCTTACGTAAAGGTTAAGAATCACTACGGCTCCGATGTAATAAAGGCGCGCGTTTAACCAGACTGAGGCGCTGCTTCTTCTTTCCCCCTCCATTCCACACCCCGCCCCGCGTGTTGCCTCCATTCCAGCGGAAGCTTCCTCACGAGTCGATCTACCTCGACATCCCAACCACCGAAGCTGCCTGGTGGGTTCGCGATTCTCATTATCATGTTCTGTGTTTGGATTGAAACCCCATGCATCACGACACGCCGGAAATGCGACCACGAACATGTCAGTTAATGCCTCCTCCTGTGAATTGCCTTGCACCGCACTCCACCGCACCGCACCCATCACAACCCTCAGGCACGCCATCAAGGACATGGTGGTGAGGGGAGCGCCGGCGATCGCCATCGCAGCAGCGCTGGCGCTGGCAGTGGAGGTGCACCAGCACAGCGTGTTCGAATCCGCGGACGCCGCCGTGAAGCACATCACGGACCGCCTCGACTATCTCGTGTCCAGGTGGGTGCGTGTTTGACCGTGGCCGCCTCAAAAGGCGCTGGCGCTGGCAGTGGAGTGGAGGTGCATCAGCACAGCGTCTTTGAGAGTGCTGATGCTGATGTGAAGCACATCACCAATCGCCTTGAGTACCTCGTGTCCAGGTGCGCGTTAGGTTCACTCAGTTGTCCTCTAGGTTCACCACTGACAGTCAGTGTTAAAGATTGAGACGGTTAAGGCTAACACAAGCCCCCCCAATTCTCTTCTGGGCTGCTCTCCCCCCTTACCCCTTCCAGTCGCCCCACGGCAGTGAACCTATCAGACGCAGCAGAGAAGCTAAAGAAGGTGGCGGAGGATGCAGCCAAGGAGGAACCCACGCCCGAGGCGGTAGTGCTGGTGAGCCCAGGTAGTGCTGGTGAGCCCAGGTAGTGCTGCTGGTGATGGTAACGGTGCAGTGGTGGTAATGGTAACGGTGCAGTGGTGGTAATGGTAACGGTGCAGTGGTGGTGATGGTAACGGTGCAGTGGTGGTGATGGTAACGGTGCAGTGGTGGTGATGGTAACGGTGCAGTGGTGGTAATGGTAACGGTGCAGTGGTGGTAATGGTAACGGTGCAGTGGTGGTAATGGTAACGGTGCAGTGGTGGTGATGGTAACGGTGCAGTGGTGGTAATGGTAACGGTGCAGTGGTGGTAATGGTAACAGTGCAGTGGTGGTAATGGTAACGGTGCAGTGGTGGTAATGGTAACGGTGCAGTGGTGGTAATGGTAACGGTGCAGTGGCGGTAATGGTAACGGTGCAGTGGCGGTAATGGTAACGGTGCAGTGGTGGTAATGGTAACGGTGCAGTGGCGGTAATGGTAACGGTGCAGTGGTGGTAATGGTAACGGTGCAGTGGTGGTAATGGTAACGGTGCAGTGGTGGTAATGGTAACGGTGCAGTGGTGGTGATGGTAACGGTGCAGTGGTGGTGATGGTAACGGTGCAGTGGTGGTAATGGTAACGGTGCAGTGGTGGTGATGGTAACGGTGCAGTGGTGGTAATGGTAACGGTGCAGTGGTGGTAATGGTAACGGTGCAGTGGTGGTAATGGTAACGGTGCAGTGGTGGTAATGGTAACGGTGCAGTGGTGGTGATGGTAACGGTGCAGTGGTGGTAATGGTAACGGTGCAGTGGTGGTAATGGTAACGGTGCAGTGGTGGTAATGGTAACGGTGCAGTGGTGGTAATGGTAACGGTGCAGTGGTGGTAATGGTAACGGTGCAGTGGCGGTAATGGTAACGGTGCAGTGGTGGTGATGGTAACGGTGCAGTGGTGGTGATGGTAACGGTGCAGTGGTGGTAATGGTAACGGTGCAGTGGTGGTGATGGTAACGGTGCAGTGGTGGTAATGGTAACGGTGCAGTGGTGGTGATGGTAACGGTGCAGTGGTGGTAATGGTAACGGTGCAGTGGTGGTAATGGTAACAGTGCAGTGGTGGTAATGGTAACGGTGCAGTGGTGGTAATGGTAACGGTGCAGTGGTGGTAATGGTAACGGTGCAGTGGCGGTAATGGTAACGGTGCAGTGGCGGTAATGGTAACGGTGCAGTGGTGGTAATGGTAACGGTGCAGTGGCGGTAATGGTAACGGTGCAGTGGTGGTAATGGTAACGGTGCAGTGGTGGTAATGGTAACGGTGCAGTGGTGGTAATGGTAACGGTGCAGTGGTGGTGATGGTAACGGTGCAGTGGTGGTGATGGTAACGGTGCAGTGGTGGTAATGGTAACGGTGCAGTGGTGGTGATGGTAACGGTGCAGTGGTGGTAATGGTAACGGTGCAGTGGTGGTAATGGTAACGGTGCAGTGGTGGTAATGGTAACGGTGCAGTGGTGGTAATGGTAACGGTGCAGTGGTGGTGATGGTAACGGTGCAGTGGTGGTAATGGTAACGGTGCAGTGGTGGTAATGGTAACGGTGCAGTGGTGGTAATGGTAACGGTGCAGTGGTGGTAATGGTAACGGTGCAGTGGTGGTAATGGTAACGGTGCAGTGGCGGTAATGGTAACGGTGCAGTGGTGGTGATGGTAACGGTGCAGTGGTGGTGATGGTAACGGTGCAGTGGTGGTAATGGTAACGGTGCAGTGGTGGTGATGGTAATGGTGCAGTGGTGGTAATGGTAACGGTGCAGTGGTGGTGATGGTAACGGTGCAGTGGTGGTAATGGTAACGGTGCAGTGGTGGTAATGGTAACGGTGCAGTGGTGGTAATGGTAACGGTGCAGTGGTGGTAATGGTAACGGTGCAGTGGCGGTAATGGTAACGGTGCAGTGGCGGTAATGGTAACGGTGCAGTGGTGGTAATGGTAACGGTGCAGTGGCGGTAATGGTAACGGTGCAGTGGTGGTAATGGTAACGGTGCAGTGGTGGTAATGGTAACGGTGCAGTGGTGGTAATGGTAACGGTGCAGTGGTGGTAATGGTAACGGTGCAGTGGTGGTAATGGTAACGGTGCAGTGGTGGTAATGGTAACGGTGCAGTGGTGGTAATGGTAACGGTGCAGTGGTGGTAATGGTAACGGTGCAGTGGTGGTAATGGTAACGGTGCAGTGGTGGTAATGGTAACGGTGCAGTGGTGGTAATGGTAACGGTGCAGTGGTGGTAATGGTAACGGTGCAGTGGTGGTAATGGTAACGGTGCAGTGGTGGTAATGGTAACGGTGCAGTGGTGGTAATGGTAACGGTGCAGTGGTGGTAATGGTAACGGTGCAGTGGTGGTAATGGTAACGGTGCAGTGGTGGTAATGGTAACGGTGCAGTGGCGGTAATGGTAACGGTGCAGTGGTGGTAATGGTAACGGTGCAGTGGTGGTAATGGTAACGGTGCAGTGGTGGTAATGGTAACGGTGCAGTGGTGGTAATGGTAACGGTGCAGTGGTGGTAATGGTAACGGTGCAGTGGTGGTAATGGTAACGGTGCAGTGGTGGTAATGGTAACGGTGCAGTGGTGGTAATGGTAACGGTGCAGTGGTGGTAATGGTAACGGTGCAGTGGTGGTGATGGTAACGGTGCAGTGGTGGTAATGGTAACGGTGCAGTGGTGGTAATGGTAACGGTGCAGTGGTGGTAATGGTAACGGTGCAGTGGTGGTGATGGTAACGGTGCAGTGGTGGTGATGGTAACGGTGCAGTGGTGGTAATGGTAACGGTGCAGTGGTGGTGATGGTAACGGTGCAGTGGTGGTAATGGTAACGGTGCAGTGGTGGTGATGGTAACGGTGCAGTGGTGGTAATGGTAACGGTGCAGTGGTGGTAATGGTAACGGTGCAGTGGTGGTGATGGTAACGGTGCAGTGGTGGTAATGGTAACGGTGCAGTGGTGGTAATGGTAACGGTGCAGTGGTGGTAATGGTAACGGTGCAGTGGTGGTAATGGTAACGGTGCAGTGGTGGTAATGGTAACGGTGCAGTGGTGGTAATGGTAACGGTGCAGTGGTGGTAATGGTAACGGTGCAGTGGTGGTAATGGTAACGGTGCAGTGGTGGTAATGGTAACGGTGCAGTGGTGGTAATGGTAACGGTGCAGTGGTGGTAATGGTAACGGTGCAGTGGCGGTAATGGTAACGGTGCAGTGGTGGTAATGGTAACGGTGCAGTGGTGGTAATGGTAACGGTGCAGTGGTGGTAATGGTAACGGTGCAGTGGTGGTAATGGTAACGGTGCAGTGGTGGTAATGGTAACGGTGCAGTGGTGGTAATGGTAACGGTGCAGTGGTGGTAATGGTAACGGTGCAGTGGTGGTAATGGTAACGGTGCAGTGGTGGTAATGGTAACGGTGCAGTGGTGGTAATGGTAACGGTGCAGTGGTGGTAATGGTAACGGTGCAGTGGTGGTAATGGTAACGGTGCCGTGGTGGTAATGATAACCTCTCCTCTTTGACCTCACCCTTCATCTCCCTGCCGTCTGCCGTCTGCCGTCTGCCGTCTGCCGTCTGCTGTCTGCTGTCTGCCGTCTGCCGTCTGCTGTCTGCTGTCTGCCGTCTGCCGTCTGCTGTCTGCTGTCTGCCGTCTGCCGTCTGCCAACCACCCCCTGGGCCCACCACCCTCCACGTCTTTGCACCCCATCACTGCCATCTGTTAACCACCCCCGCCCCCCACTCTCAGGCGACGGTGCTGGCAGCTGAGGTGATGCTGAGTGATGACGTGGCGGCCAACAAGCGCATCGGGGCATTTGGCGCACAGGCCATGGTGGAGGCGCTGAGGCAGAAGGGCGTTGAGGGGAAGAACCTGAGGGTACTCACCCACTGCAACACCGGCAGGTGAGGGTAGTCACCCACTGCAACACTGGCACGTGAGGGTAGTCACCCACTACAATACACACCCATGCGTACAACACGACTCGTCACCACGTACCTATTGGTGTAACATTGCTTTGCATATTTTCTTCCCGTTCACATTCACTGCCACAGCAGTCTGCTGGAAACAGCAGTGTGCACCCCTACAACCAGGGCTCGCGACTTCACATGAATTCCCCTGTCCTCACGCCCCTCACCATCCACACAGCCTGGCCACAGCCGCCTATGGTACCGCTCTGGGTGTCATCCGCTCTCTGCACGCGCAAGGCCTGCTGGAGACAGCCGTGTGCACAGAGACGCGCCCGTACAACCAGGGCTCGCGGCTGACAGCATTTGAGCTGACTCACGACGGCATCCCCGCGCTGCTCATTGCTGACTCCGCCGCTGCCTCGCTCAAGGCTGCTGGCCGCATTGATGCTGTTGTCGTGGGCGCCGATCGCATCGCTGCCAATGGTGGGTTCAATGTTGACCGCTCTTTGCTCTCTGCTGCCTGCTGCTTGCCTGCTGCCTGCTGCTGCTATTGCTCGACCTGTTTGTGCTTATCTAACACCCATAACCATGCCCGTCTTCGTTGTGGCGCCACTCACCCCGTCTCAACCCCTTCTCACCTCCCGATCGCCAGGTGACACGGCAAACAAGGTCGGCACGTACTCACTGGCGCTCTCAGCCTTCCACCACAAGATGCCCTTCTTCGTGGCAGCGCCGCTCACCCCTTCTCTACCCCCATCTCTCGACCCTCCACCTGTCGACCACCACCAGGTGACACTGCCAACAAGATCGGCACGTACTCACTGGCGCTGTCAGCCTTCCACCACAAGACGCCCTTCTTCGTGGCGGCACCGCTGACGTCCATCGATGCGGCGATCAAGACGGGCGAGGAGATCGTGGTGGAGGAGAGGCACGCCGCTGAGCTCACCCACTCGCTGGGAGGTGCTGGGCCTCAGGTGCGTTAGAGGGGCATGGTGGTGCATTGCTTGATTGGGGATGAGGGCCTCAGGTGCGCTGCTGACATCCATCGATGCAGCCATCAAGACAGGGGAGGAGGAGATGGTGGAGGAGAGGCACGCTCCTGAGCTCACTCACTCGCTGGGAGGGGCAGGGCCTCAGGTGTGTTAGGAGGTGCTGATGCATCACTCATTCCTGCTGGTGCCTCAGGTGTGTTAGGAGGTGCTGATGCATCACTCATTCCTGCTGGTGCCTCAGGTGTGTTAGGAGGTGCTGATGCATCACTCATTCCTGCTGGTGCCTCAGGTGTGTTAGGAGGTGCTGATGCATCACTCATTCCTGCTGGTGCCTCAGGTGTGTTAGGAGGTGCTGATGCATCACTCATTCCTGCTGGTGCCTCAGGTTCCCCTGGTATTTTATAGCTGAATCTACTCACTGTTGGTTTGTCTGCGCTCTTTCCATGTGCTGCTGTGCCATGTGCTGCTGTGCCATGTGCTGCTGTGCCATGTGGTGATGTGCCATGTGGTGATGTGCCATGTGGTGATGTGCCATGTGCTGCTGTGCCATGTGGTGATGTGCCATGTGGTGATGTGCCATGTGCTGCTGTGCCATGTGGTGATGTTTCCGTGCTGTATTGGGCGACTCATCTGGCAGGTGGCGCCTCACGGCATTGATGTGTGGAACCCGGCGTTTGACATCACACCAGCGCAGTTCATCACAGGGCTCATCACCGACAAGGTGGGTCGGGGGGAAGTAGAGAGGTATTTCCATGTCACCGCACCGCTGTTTCTGTTCTACCTGAGGCATCATCAGCCTGGACCTTACTCTCTCACACCCCCTTCACCTCCTTCTCACATGCCCTTCACCTCCCTCTCACACCCACGCCCCTCGCCCCTTTCTCCCCCCCCTGCAGGGCGTCATCTGGAAGAAGGAGGGCGCATCAGTCTTCGACATCCGCGGCTTCCTCCACTCCCTCGGCGCCCCCGTCCCCTCCTCGCCCATGTACCCACCGCCCGCCAACAACCCGCACCCCAAGGAGGACGACGCGCAGCCGCACGACCCCCACAAGGACCGCATCCGCAAAGACGCACTGGAAGCCTCTCGCTTCACGCCCGTCAGCGAGCACACCGTGCCTGCCTTCCTCCAGGACCACCCGGACCTCGCCGCCAGGCTCGGCGGCGGCCCGGACCAGTGGTCCGTGCGGGAGGTGGGCGACGGAAACATCAACTTCGTGTATATCGTAGAAGGGCCGGGAGGGGCCTTAGTGGTGAAGCAGGCTCTCCCATACGTGCGAGTGGTGGGTGAATCCTGGCCCATGACTCTGGATAGGATTTACTATGAGGCGCTCGCGCTGCGGCAGCAGTTTGCGTGGGTGCCTGAGCTGGTGCCCGAGGTGTATTTCTTTAGTCACCCGATGGCGCTGCTGGTGATGCGGTATGTGGCGCCGCCGGCGATCGTGCTGAGGAAGGGGCTGGTGCAGGGGCGCGTGTACCCGCTGCTGGCGGAGCACATGTCGTCGTTCCTCGCCAGCACGCTGTTCCTCTCCTCGCTCATTGCCATCAACACCGAGGTCTACCGCGACAAAGGTGCGCCGTTTTCAATTGTTGCAGGCAGTTTATGAGAGATGGATTTTGCTCAGTATATTCAAATGTGAGACCATTGAAATCAGCACAGTATAATTAGGTTCCCAGCCCGTGCCGTCCCAACGCTCTGCCGTGCCATTCCTCCGCTCCCTGTTGCCTGCAGTGCGCGAGTTCTGTGGCAACGTGGAGATGTGTCGGCTGACGGAGCAGGTGATCTTCACGGAGCCCTACGTGCTGGCCACCAACAACCGCTGGACCACTCCCCAACTGGATGACGACGCTGCTGCTCTGAGGGAGGACGTGGAGCTCAAGCTCGCCATCACAGAGCTCAAGAGCAAGTGAGTGCCGCTCAATGCCCCCCTCCTGATTCCTTCCACCTCCTGATATATTCCCCTCCTTATGTACTCCACCTCCTCCTGGGTACCCTTTAGCTCTTTCGGAGCAACCCCATTTCTCTCTTCTCCCCCACCCATCCTTTTGCAGGTTCTGTGAGCGAGCACAGGCGCTGCTGCATGCGGATCTGCACACAGGCTCAGTCATGGTCACGGAGGAATCAACGGTCGTGATCGACCCGGAGTTTGCGTTCTACGGTCCGATGGGCTTTGACATCGGGGCCTTCCTGGCCAACCTGCTGCTGGCCTATTTCAGTCAGGACGGCCATGCCACGGCTGATGACTCTCGTGCTGTGAGTCTGCTCCATGGGATCTTACTGTGTAGCTGAGCTGAATGAATCCCGCTTATCCTGTTACCTTCCTTCACGATCCCTCAACATTTTTGCCGCATCCCTCACGATCCTCTCCTCCACATCCCTCTCCCAGGCCACCAAGAAGTGGATCCTGCAGTGCTTCACGGAGACGTGGCAGAAGTTTGAGGCCAAGTTCCTGGCGCTGTGGAATGACAAGGCGCTGGCCAAGGGAGACGCGTACCCGCAGGCGCTGTACCGCGACAACGCCGCGCTGCTCTCCGCCGCCCAGACCGCCTTCCTGCGCGAGGTCTTCCTTGACTCGCTGGGATTCGCCGGTGCCAAGATGGTCAGGTGAGAGCTGGTGCAGGCCTAAGGGAGCGCGGAACCTAGTTGCAGCTTTGGTGCTTTGCTGTGTCTTGCCAGGTTTTCAGGTATCAGGTTCTGCCGTCCACCAAAATCTGTGAGGGAATGGAAGTCCTGACTCCCGAGTGTCCGTGCTGTGTCTACTCTTGCAGGCGCATTGTTGGCATTGCGCATGTGGAGGATCTGGAGTCCATTACAGACCCTGATGTGAGGGCAGCTTGCGAGCGCAGGGCTCTCAATTTCGGCAAGCACCTCATCAAGGAAAGGCAGAAGTATAATAGCATTGCGGAGGTGGCTGCAGCTGTGGAGGCAATAGTATAGGCTAAATCAGTAGAATGCTTTCATGATTAGCACTGATGGCAAAAGCAACTGTCAGCCCCTCCCAAAAATTTACTGTAACTGGATTTGATCCTACTTGGTAGTGCAACGCACCAAACCTCGCATATCTAACCATATATTTTACTGTCTAACGGGGACGTAGAAACACATCCCTTGGGGCAACGGAATCCAACGGCCAAGGATCTGGGATGGACTTGGTTGTGCAAGGAAATTTCATTTCACCAAGCGGCTCGTGCTGCGACACGATGAGGACCTGCAGCGAAAGCAGAGGATGGATCAAATTTCTGGTTTTCGGGAATTCCCTCGCACCCATATGCCCTCATCCCAATGTCGCACATGATTTTCCCTCCCGCATGGCCATTGGCCACATGACATGGTCGCACATGTTTCGCCATCGCAGAGTCGCGCACACTTTCCCCATGGAGTTGCAGTGCTTGCGGTTCGTTGGCGAATTTGAGATGCTTCGCACAGCTCGGCTAGCTGGACTGCTCAACACGGGAGTACCATATATCTTGCTCAGGTTGGCTGATTTCTTGTGAATTGAAAGCTGGAATCGGCGTGAACGAGAATCTGATAACGACGCTTCTCCACGTACCTCGCCGCTTAGCCAGTTGCAGGAAGTTCCAACGTCATAAACTCAATTCGAACTGTTACTACCTCAAGATTATTGAGGTTGCGCCTGTGCACCTCGTTGCAATCGTTGCTAGCTAAGGGCTGATAGACGCTGCTACTGCACGACTTTAACACAAACCAGGATTAAGGATACATCGAGCATTATCCAATCCCTCTAACTCAGCTCTTTTAAGGAGATTAGTCTCTCCGAATTCCCCCTCTCTGTCAATTTCAAGCCTGGATTTTCTCGGCGGAGGTTGGTCGAAGCACAGAGAGCACAGTTCGCCGTGGAACGAACTATATTAGCAGGAATGAAGCTCCACGCATCGCTTACATTGCTGCTTCTTCTCTCGTTGACCTCAGGTGCTACTCTCCGCGCTTCTTCAGGACCTCGTGATTTTTTTCAGAAACTCTTTTGATTGATTTTTCGATTCGCGTTTCCATCAAGCCTTAAACGAGGACGCTCGGGATACACCTCGGTGCATTCAGCCCTTCAGTGCACACATGCATGGAACTCCCATCTTTCGCGACGATATTGTACGTGGCAGGGCCGTGGTTAGCCGTAGCCGGCGGCAAGGAGTCAGGAGGCCTACCTGACGGATCCACATGCTACTACGACAAGAACTATACCCCCATCAAGCCCTACTGCAAGCGAGATTTCGGGTACGCTGCGAAAACCATAAAATTCTTAGCCTGAATTTCCGGCAGTGCTATCCAGCGATTCACTATCTGAGATGCTATTACTTCAGGGAGCAGCTTGACCACCATGCAAGCACAGCTTAAATTTCGTTGCCGACACTCCTTCCGTGTTCGTCACATGATCTTAATGCAGGTGTGTGGTGACCAAGGTGATTCGCAACTCGCCGCATTTCAAGTTCAAGGGTGAATGCGCCTCCGACGTTCCTCGTAAGACTTCATTTAATCCCGCTTTCGTATGCCTCTCTGCACTGATTGCGACTTCATGCAAGAAACACTGCTCACGGAGACAAAAAAATACGAACAAAACAAAGTTGCCTCTTTCTCGGTGTTACAATGTCATTCACGATCCTTGAATCTCCTTCCCAGTGGACCAGATAACCAAGCGGTTCTGCATGTTCCGCTCCGTGATGTTCGCGCCGGGGACCAGCGGCATCACGGCGACGTCCATGTGCCCGCACTGCACGTGCCGGCAGCTCAAGGGCGGCCCCACATGCTTGTGTCCGCTGGGCAAGCTGTGCAAGCAGGACGCGGTGGGGCGATGGAAGGACGGCACGCGATGCAGAGACACCAGGCAGAACCAGTTGAGTCGGGGGATTGGGAGTGAGATCAGGGACGAATTAGAGACTTTATGCCCCTGACTCTCCTGTGCACAGGCAAATCTTGTGATGTGGAATGGAGTAATTTCCGGAACACATTGTACATATTTACCCCCGTCCCATGTCGTCATTGCACCACCAGGTGTGAAGTATCACGGGTGGTGAACGGCTCATACGTTGGCAACTGCATCAACCCTGCTCGTCAGTTCCTCTCCCTCCATCGTTGTTTTCTGCTCCCTTACCGCTTTCGTGCTTACAGATCCTATTGTTCAAGTGTTGTTCATCTGTTACCGGTACACAACTTATTGTTATTGTTTTTGCAACGTGTGTAATCTCCCGTCCTTTAACATTCATTCTATCATCGTGTTCCCACCCCCTTATTCCATCACTGTCAGAGGGTCCAAACGAGTGCATCAGTGCAGGACCAGGGTGGGGTCCCATTTTTGTGAGAAACAGGGCTCACAACATTACCAAGACTGGTGATCTATGCCAACGCTGTTCCTGCATGAAAGGACAGTTTGTCAACTGCAAGCCTGTGCCTGGATGTGCCAGTAAGTTCGTGGGGGGTAGTGTTATGGAATGTGCTGTAGCGTTCAGTTTTTCGTATTAAACTCGCGTCCTTGTTTCTTGTTTCTTCGGTTTGTATTGCTCCCTTGGTACTCTGCTCTTTTGCAGTGTGTGTTCCAAAGAGTCCAACCAACGTCGCACAGCAATGCAGCCAGTGCTGCAAAAAGGCCACCACACCAGAGGGTGCTGAGTTATGTGAAACAGCATGTAACAGGGTTTATCGGCAGGCTTCAGGCAGTCCGTCCTAACCTCTATGATGAAGCGCGTATGCCCTGCCTTGCCTGCATGTGTTACAACACAGTGACCTCAACATGCCATCATTGGCTCCCCTTGAGCCTTCTGTAGTTTTAGCACACCAGCTTGTAATCTCATATCCTCTCCAGCTAAGCAATTTTGATCACAGAAGAATGGAGCTTCCATCTCTGCAGAGATGTTTATTGATACAAAATAATGGAAGGGGCTGGAATGAAAAGTGGCAACTAACACTTCAGCCACGACTACACATCCCCACAAATCACACGTGTTTTTTATGTTTTAACATTATGTCTGCTAAGAGGTGTTTCAGATTCCCTATTATTTCACCAGAAACTAAAAATACAGCACAAGTCATGCCATTGTGCTGTCCTAGTGAGCTGTTTGGTTTATGGTAAATGTAAGTAAGCTCAAATGCGTGTATGAATGGTACGGACCTGTAACATCTTCTGAGGACATTTTCAGCACTGACATGTGCTGCGGCGCGGACGCAAATCCCTCGCACATTTGTTGAACCAACGGAAGGAACTCCCTCCGCTCCGCACTGCCGCCCCTCTTCATGACATCATCATCCGCGCAGCATTACTCATATGAGCATGCCCGATGCGACTCCCGGATAAGCTTTCAGATGCTGCTATAAATTCCCAGAGCCATGAATCTTTCGGACACAATAATCTACATCACCTGAAATAGTGGCCTCCTGTAGCTTCTCGGGTCATCATAGCAGGCAGCGGAAAGCGATCAAGACATCGGCAATGAAGATCCTCGCATCTCTTCCATTGCTGCTGCTCCTCGCTTCAACTTCAGGTGATGCGAGGACATTCTTGAAAGTGCTTGCGCTTGCGCGACATACTATTTTACATTCGAATATGGATCCTGATGCTCTGTATTTCATGCAGGGTCATGGGTTGTCCGTGCAACTGGAGCTGCGTCAGGCCTACCTGACGGATCCACGTGCTACTACGACAAGAACTACACCCCCATGAAGCCCTTATGCAAGCGAGACTTCGGGTACGCGGGTCCCTCTGTGAGAATGTCATGACATCACGGGCATAGTTGTTGACTGGAGTGAATTTGATATCATTTTGTATCCAATGCCGTCTTTCTGCTAATTCGATTGATCGTTTCAGGTGTTTGGTTACCAAGGTGGTGAAAAACTCACCGCATTTCTTGTTCAAGGGGAAATGCGCCTCCGACGTGCCTGGTAAGCCATCGATTATCAACAATGTGTTCTGCGACCCTCTCTACTGCAAGAAACGCTTGAAAATACCGCAGAGTATTTCGTCTTCTAACAATTTCTCCGTTTTCTGTTCCTGACGTCGTGAAACAGTGGATCAGATAAATCAGAAGTACTGCATGTTCCGCTCCGTCATGTTCTCACCGGGTACTAGCGGCATCACGGCTTCGACCATCTGTCCGCGCTGCACGTGCCAGAAGCTCAAGTCAGGCCCCACTTGCGTGTGTCCGCTGGGAAAGCCGTGCAAGCAGGACGCGGTGGGGCGATGGAAGGACGGCACGCGATGCAAGGACACCAGACAGAACCAGTTGAGTCGCGTGGGTTGTAAGATTAACCAGCAGTGAGAATCATCTGACTTGCTTCAATGCAACTCCTGGATGCGCTACCCGTTAATGACGTTTTTCTTCATTCTCTGTGCATTAATTTTACTTCTTGTTTCTCCGTCAACCACAAGGTGTGAAGTATCACGGTTTGTCAACGACACATTCATTGGCAACTGCATCAACAGTGCTCGTGAGCTCCATTCCCCTTACGTGCCCCTTCCGTCAGCATTTTTGTGCTAATATGCCATTTGGACCCTCGCACAGATGTCATTGTGTATGGTATTGTTGATTACTTCATCGAACTTTTAGGCTCACCGTGTCCTCTTCAATGTGGTTTTTCCTCCGTTTCCCTCAGAGGGTCCAAATGAGTGCGTGAGTGCTGGACCAGGATGGGGTCCAATTTTCGTGAAGAACGGAGCTCAGAACATGATCAAGACTGGCGACCTCTGCCAGCGCTGCTCCTGCATCCGTGGGAAGTTTGTCAACTGCAAGCCTGTGCCTGGATGCGTCAGTAAGTGCCAAGTTATTCCATTATAGTCCTGTGCATGGTCGCCACAAAACAAAGTACATGAAAAGCTGTGCCCTAGTAAACTTAATCTGAATGTCTCTCCCTTTTGGTCCCCCCTCCCAGTGTGTGCACCCAAGACTTCTAGCAACACCAAGCAGCAGTGCAGCCAGTGCTGCAAGAAGGCGACCACTCCAGCAGCTGTTGAGCTGTGCAATACAGCGTGCAACAGAGTCGTTATAAGTGCATGAAGTTAACTATCTCGTTTATGAGTCATCCTGCATTGGTTGAGCAAGCAGTTAACGTCTATGTGGATCAAAACCAGTGCCCTAGATATCAGACTTTGGAGTCTGAATCAGAGTCCGTTCAGACTTTTTTTTTGTACCTAGTCTGAACTCCAAGAATTTATTTATGTACCTTGTCTGATTTTCCAGAGTTTTTTCTTATGAGTTGTCTGAAATTTCAGCCTAATTTTACTAGGGTAGGCTGAGCCTCAGACTTGTATCGGGGGTACACTCTGCGCGCTTATCGGAGGAAAGTTTCCTGCAAGTTTCCTTCCGATATGCCCACTTCCGAGATGGCAGTGGAGTGCCAGGACGTGAGCAACGCTCACTTCGACAGCTGGGACATCCAAATACACTCGTTCGTCGAGAATATCTTCCAGTTTCGCTGAGGAAATGGTTGCGTGATTACGAGATTTCTGAAGACAAAATCTCGTCACATGTAAGTTATCGCTAATGTATTGTAAAGAATAGGCGACTTTGATGCTGATTCGCTGTAAAAACATCTGCAGCACGCACTGGTGTGAATTGCGAAGTTCCTGATTCGTACTGAAAGTTTCGTGTGGCACTTGTCTGATCCTCACATGCCACGCCAAGCAACAGTTCTGCCTGCTGCCAGCTCAGCTGCGTGGCACTTGGCCCACCTGATACAGATCGGGTGAACGATCGAATCGCTTGAAAAGCAAATCCAAAACTGACAAAATCGGCACACATGCGAGAAAATGGGTACAGAACGGTAATCACACACACGACAAAACGAAATGAGATCAGCAGAGCAGAAACAACCATGCGCTGCACGTGACAAAAACACTGGAACTCCGCCGACATGAGCAGAGGCGATGCACGAGCACGAGCACGTTGCCTGATGCGTTGGTATGGTAGGCTGTAATCAGCCTCAATGCTATTATAACTGCTTTTACGAAACTGCATGAACATCTTAAAATTTGAAGTAACTCTGACAGTTCAGACAAAAAAAAATGTGCTTGTCTGAATTTTCAGACTAAAATTTTGAGGCACCTCTGACAGACAGAGTTCCAGGAGGGGTGTACTCTGAGGCCTCAGACTACCTCAAAACGAATCTAGGGGCCTGATCAAAACACACCATCCACTGCTGTTTCCTGCTTCGATTTTGGTTCCGTATGACAGGTGTAATGCAATATGCGGATGTGTAATAAGATTGCATAAATGCATAACCACCTTTTTTTGGTAGGTTTGATTGCTCAAAACATGAGTACTTTCATAGATTTCATCCCACAACGACGTTATAGATTATGTACAGTTTCGTACCGTTATCTGGTAAATCGACGTGTCCAGAACCCACCCACCCACCTTCCTCGAGTTGTGTTGCGATGCGACGTTGGACAGGGTGGTGGGGAGGAGCAATGCACCAAGCTTCTATTGATGGCTACTGCTCCTCGCTTCGCCCCCCAATGCACCAGTCTCGGAACAATGCAGGCCAACCATAACTTAGGCTAGCCATCCTTAGGCTTCTATGTTTTCGAGTTGCGACAACACACGCAAGTAGACTGTTATCCAAATGTGTTTACGGCTGCTGCATATTTATTGATCGATTCTACATTCGGTCGGAAGGTCTAGGCACGAACGTTGATCGATTTAGTCGTATCAGCCGCCTTATGACGGAGAACATCGGCCTGATCAGCAGCATGGCGACCGAGGGCGCAGACCGCAAGGATCAAGAAGAGGGTCAAGTGCACGTTCCCGAGGTAATTCCGTCCTGGCGCGAGACTCGGCCGTAGAATGCGGAGCACTTCGGTTTGTTCATTTAGGCATCTAAGCTTACCGTTCCTAATCGGAACGCAGTATCGACAATCCCTTAGTTTGATGTCGACCGTCGAGAATTAACGTTCGTATACTCGTTAGATGAGGTCGGTCGCAGCTGGAATTGTGTGTCTGGCGTTCAGCTAACCCGTGCGTGTCCATGCGCTAGTGATCGCAGGAGCGAGGATGGAGTAAATTTTGGGCGTACGTCGGACCTGGATTCCTCGTCGCCATAGCCTACATCGACCCGGCGAATTGTGAGTCGCTTAGGCTGCTTGTCAGGTGCTCACTCACAGTATTGCCTACACTGTTGTTCTTGCATGCACTCAACTTCCGTGCGGATCGGAGCACACTATCCCTGCCCGTCGTGAGTGCACATTCCTGCGAAATCGGGACGGTGCTGATGCCCTCGCTCTCACCGTCTCTTCCTGTCTCTTCACCCCTTCCCCTTTCTCTCTTGTCTTTGCTTCTCTCCTTGTGCAGTTGAAAGCGATCTCAAGGCAGGAGCAGCCTACCAATACTCGGTGAGATACGGCTAAAGACTTTTCATTTTCTTTTCTACCAACCGTCAGTAGCATACTGGTTCACAATCACGTGACTTTTGAGTTGACTCCATTGTGACAATGTGCTGTGCATGATCACTTACGCTTCATCCATCACATGCGGATCTCTTTCTTCCTGATTTTCCATCTTCAGCTCCTCTGGGTTCTGCTGCTGGCATCACTAGCGGGCCTCCTGATACAGTCACTGTCAGCCAACCTCGGTATAGTCACAGGTTAGTTCTCGACCCAGCAGCAGGGAAGAGTCAAGGAGCCACAGCATGGCCCCGCATCTACCAATACTGTCTCTCTTCAAGCCGGCATGCCATTCCATGCCTTACTATGCCATGCCATCTGACGCCATGCTATGAGATGCCAACCCATACCATGCCATGCCATGCCATGCCATGCCATGCCATGCCATTCTATGCTGTTTCCATGCCATGGCTTTACCTGATACAGCCTCACTTCATGTGTACATGGCTCTGATTTTCTGTGCTGTGCCGTGCTGTGCTGTGTTGTGCTGTGCTGTGTTGTGATATGCTATGCTGTGCTGTGCTGTGCTTTTCTGTGATGCGTTGTGCTGTGCGGTGCTGTGTGGTGCGGGGCTGTGCGGCAATGCACGATGGCAGGCAAGCATCTGGCGCAGCACTGCAGGGCGGAGTACCCCCGAGGTGTCAACCTCGCGCTCTGGGTGATTGCAGAGATTGAGATCATCGCCAGCGACATCCCAGAAGGTGTCTCCTCCTCTCCCTCGTCTCTCGTTCTCTCCCTCGTCTCTCGTTCTCTCCCTCGTCTCCCCTTTTCTCCCCCTCTCTCCTTCTCTCCCTCTCTCTCCTTCTCTCCCTCGTCTCCCCTTTTCTCCCCCTCTCCTTCTCTCCCTCTCTCTCCTTCTCTCCCTCGTTTCTTCGCCTCTTCCTCCTCTCCCTTCCGCTCGTTGCCTGGATTGGAATGTATGGCGTGTATCCACCACTGCTCAACACTTGCGCACACTCGCTTCTGTATGGCTTGCACATGCCTTTGCACTCAATCTTTTCTCTGCAATGTATGTGTGTGTGTGTGTGTGTGTGTGTGTGTGTGTGTGTGTGTGCATGCTTGTGTGTGTTTGTGTGTGCATGCATGTGTTTATGTGCGGATGCATGTGTGTGTGCATGTGCGTCTGTGCATGCGCGAGCGTGTGCGTGCGTGTGCACGTGAGTGTGCATGTGCGTGTGTGCGCCTGTGCATGCATGGCAGTGATAGGAACGGCCTTTGCACTGAACATGTTGTTTGGCATTCGACTATGGGCGGGAGTAATCATAACTGGCTTCAGCACGCTCCTCTTCCTTGGCCTCCAGCGATTCGGGGTGCGTTCATGTGTGCAGGTGATGGTGCATGTATGCATGTGTGCGTGTGATGGTGCATATGTGCATATGTGCATGTTTGTGTGCATGTTTGTGTGCATGTGTGCATGTGTGCTTGTTTTTTTGTGTGCATGTGTGCTTGTTTGTGTGCATGTGTGCATGTTTATGTGCATGTGTGCATGTGTGCTTGTTTGTGTGCATGTGTGCATGTTTGTGTGCATGTGTGCATGTGTGCTTGTTTGTGTGCATGTGTGCATGTGTGCATGTGTGCATGTGTGTGTGCATGTGTGCTTGTTTGTGTGCATGTGTGCATGTGTGCATGTGTGTGTGCATGTGTGCATGTGGGCATGTTTGTGTGCATGTGTGTGTGCATGTGTGCATGTTTGTGTGCATGTGTGCATGTGTGCATGTGTGTGTGCATGTGTGCATGTGTGCATGTGTGCATGTGTGTGTGCATGTGTATGTGCATGTGTGTGTGCATGTGTGCATGTGTGTGTGCATGTGTGTGTGCATGTGTGTGTGCATGTGTGTGTGCATGTGTGTGTGCATGTGTGCATGTGTGCATGTGTGTGTGCATGTGGGCATGTGTGTGTGTTCATGGGCTTCAGCACGCTCCTCTTCCTCGGCCTCCAGAGATTCGGGGGGGCCCTTCTCCCTTCTCCCTGAGCCCACATTTCTCCTCCTCACACACTCTTCTATTTGAGCTGTCCGAATTTGTTCACAAGCATGTGCCTATTGTGTGTTCTGCTCTTTCAGTCATCCTCTCGTCGACCTTCTAACTTGACTCAGCACCGTTGTTCTTGTGCTCACCTCCTCGCCCCTCCCCCCTTCCATCTCCTCCGCACCTCCTCACCTCCTCATCCCCTCCTCACCGCCTCCTCACCTCCTCTCCTCATTCTCTCTGCATGTGCGCAATCTGGAGGTGTTCATAGCACCGCTCGTGCTGGTGATAGCTTGCTGCGTCTTGAAGCGACTCAGTGCCTTCTTTCCCCTCCCTACCCCACCCCCCGCCTCCCTCTCCCCCCACAGGTGCGCAATCTGGAGGTGTTCATAGCGCTGCTGGTGCTGGTGATAGCGTGCTGCTTCTTGAAGCGACTCAGTGCCTTCTTTCTTCCCCACACCTCACCCCCACTCACTCCCCCCTCTGTCCTTCAGGTGCGCAACCTAGAGGTGTTCATAGCGCTGCTGGTGATGGTGATAGCGTGCTGCTTCTTCATAGAGATGGGCCATGCTCCAGTGGACGGCATGGCAGTGCTGGAGGGCATGTTCGTCCCCCGCATACAAGACCTGGGGGCGCTTGCGATTGCCATCTCTCTCATCGGCGCGCTTGTCATGCCGTAAGGAGGAAGGAATTGGGGGGTTGGGTGCATGGATGGCATGGCGGTGTAGAGGGCATGTTCATCCCGCGCATTCAGGGTCTGGGGGCGCTCGCCATTGCCATATCTCTCATCGGCGCGCTTGTCATGCCGTAAGAGGGAGTCGTGGTGTGAGATGGTGTGAATGGAGTGATTTTGCAGGAAGAAGAAGGAGGTTTTGTGTTGGACTCGTGGCGTAAGTCGTGGGTTTGCAACACACACACACACACTCATGTTGTGGGTTTGCACACACACACTCATGTTGTGGGTTTGCACACACACACACTCATGTTGTGGGTTTACAACACACTGCATTTGTGTGCCCCAAGATATCATGGCATATCACCTCGACCGTCCTTCACCTATGTAGCTCTAGTCTTTTAAGAAGATCACACATTCTTGATCCAGATTTATTCTCCACCTATGTTGACCCTTTTTCCGCTATTTCCCCCCCTCGTTTCTCCCTCTTCCCCTCCCTCCCACTCTTTACCCCTCCTCTCTTCATTTTCCGCCCCTCACCTCTCCCTCCCCACCCTCCCAGGCACAACCTATTCCTGCACTCTGCTCTTGTGCTTAGTCGCAAGCACCAGCGCACCGCTGCAGGCATCAAGGTGCGCTGCACTGGTTTGTTGGGGTTTTGAATGGGCCTGGAATGTGCTGGGTGCTAGGCTATGGTGGGAGTTAGGCACAACCTATTCCTGCACTCTGCTCTTGTTCTTAGTCGCAAGCACCAGCGCACCGCTGCAGGCATCAAGGTGCGCTGCTCTCACTGCTGGGGTTATGCTGAGAGCAGGACGGCGGCGGGGGCTGGTAGTGTGGCATGTGCAGCTGATGCGAACCTGATGTGGACGGGTGTGTTACATCCGTTTGCATGTGTCGTTTTCCGCTCTCCTGCACTTTCCACTCTGCCATGGTTGTGTTTCGTGCTTTCTAGCCAGGCTTGACCTGACTCTGTCTGTCAAACCCCACACTGTTCCCCCCTTTCACTCACCCCTGCTATCAGGACGGGTGTCTCTACTCGCTGCTGGAGGTGGCAGCGGTGCTCATCATCAGCATCGCCTTCCACTGTCCCTCCCTTCACTTCCCACGTACCAGGATTGTCTCGACTCAGTTGTTCAACCACACACCGTCTCTCCACCCCGCTCCTCCCCCTGCCATCAGGACGGGTGCCTCTATTCCCTACTGGAGGTGGCAGCGGCGCTCATCATCAGCTTCGCCATCAATGTGGCTGTCATCTGCATGGGCGGGGCGGTCTGCTCCCTCCTCATCCCTCCCCTCCCCCACTCTCTCCCCCCACTCCTCTCCGCCCTGCCAGGAAGGGTGCCTCTACTCATTATTGGAGGTGGCAGCGGCGCTCATCATCAGCTTCGCCATCAACGTCGCCGTCATCTGCGTGGGTGGCACAGTCTGCTGTGCTCTCCCACCTCATCCCTCCCAACTCCCCTTCCCCCACACCTCTCCGCCCCTGTCAGGACGGGTGCTTGTACTCCCTACTGGAGGTGGCAGCGGCGCTCATCATCAGCTTCGCCATCAACGTGGCAGTCATCTGTGTGGGCGGGGCGGTCTGCTCCGCACCGGACCTCTCCCCGGACGTGCAGGCGAGCTGCAGCGACATCAGCCTCAGCAACGCCTACTTCCTGCTGCGCGACGTGCTGGGCGCGTGGGCCTCCACGCTCTTTGGCATCGCTCTGTTAGCCTCAGGGCAGAGTTCCACCATCACGGGGACGTACGCGGGGCAGTATGTGATGTCGGGGTTCCTGGAGCTGCACCTGGCCTCGTGGCTGCGCAACCTGCTCACTCGCCTCGTTGCCATCGTGCCTTCTCTCGCTGTCGCCATTGTGGCTGGCTCTACGGGCGCCGGCAACCTCATCATTGCCTCCTCGGTGGGTTGAGAAGGGTAGAGAGGAGGGGAGAAAGATGGCCGGCAATTTTTTTTTTTTTTTTTTTTGAAGGATTTTCTTTTGATTGTTGCTCCTTGCATTCCGTTTGTGTCTTCCAGCTTCCTTGCATTTGGTTGCTTCTCCTCGTTCACTCTGCGCTGTTTTTCCACGTCACTCTTCCTTGATCCTCTGCTAGCATCGTCTTCTGCCTACATCCCATCTGCCTAACTCCCATTTCATGGTCTTCACCCCCCACCGTGCACGCCCACAGATCATCCTGTCGTTTGGCCTGCCCTATGCGCTCATCCCTCTGCTCAAGTTCACCAACAGCCCTGTCAAGATGGGGCCCTTCACCAACCACCCCACGGTGAGCGGAGTGTGACACAGTGAGTATAGCGGTACACAGTGGGCAGAGCACGACACAGTGAGCAATCCACAACAGAACAGAGCATGCCACAGTTAGCCTACAGATACTTCTACCTATGGAACTCACTCTGCCCCAAGATTGTTGGCAGCGCACGGAAAATCGTTGCATCATATCCATGTGCATGCTTCCACTGCCTCTTTTCATCACACCTTGCATGTGTCCATCTGTTCCCTTCCTTCCGCTCCTTCCTTCCAGGTCACTGTAGCTGCATACATCATCGGCACTGTAGTTATCTTTGTTAATTGCGTGCTCGTGGTGCAAGCCTGTGTGGAGTACCTGGTATCAGACCACATTCCCCAGGCCGCCCGGATCCCCCTTGGGATTGCCATAGCCCTTGTGCTCCTCATCTACGTCGTCTCCCTCGCGATGCTCGCACGGCGGCCTGTAACGGAAGTTACGTACATTTCGGCAAATGAGGGGTCGAGTGTTGAGCTTGATGCTTACATGGGCTCTCCCCCTCATGACTTTGGGCGGAGTGGGGGGGATGGTGAGGATGGTGAGAAGGGAGAGTTGGAGGATGGAGAGGAGAGGAGAGAGGAGGGGAGGGAGGAGAGAGGGGAGGGAGGATCGATAGCGATGACAAATGGGGTGGAGGGGAAAGGTGGTGATGGGGGAAGGGACGAAGGGGATGATGGAGGAGAGGTTGAAACGAGGGAGGGATTGCAAGAGGAGTTGCTAGAAGCCGGGCACATGGATAGCTCCTCGCTAGCCCAAAAAACATGACCAGACGGTTAGCTTGCTTGTGTGTTTTCATGCTTTATGCTACACAACATCATGTTTCATTTTTTACAAATTGTGTATGATGAAATGGGAGAATCCATAGCTGCGTAACAGATACTGGCGAGTCAACAGATCAAGCTACCTAAAAAAGGGCTGGCGGCTCTGTACCGAGTACTGACAGTCATTGTAATGCTGACGATTTTCGTCGCTGCTGGTAGACAGTCCACGCGCTGACAGCCTCGCGTCGCGTGGCTTCTCCGATGGCTGAGCGCCACGTGGCCGCGGCTGTCGCCGTGCGAAGGGGCTTATTCCATCGCGCGTCTCGACTTAGCGACGTCATTGACGGCCCTTGTCGCGGCCAGCCGTACGATGCGTTCATCCGATCCGTCGCATCTCGAAGCGGGGATCCTGATCGCGCGCTCCTCCCATCAATCCCGATCCTCCCCGCGACAATACGATCGCACGATGCTGGGTGTGACCATACCGAAAGCACGTCTCTTCGTTTCGGGAACCATTTTTTCAGCCGACTCTATTCCCTTGCTGCAAGCACATCCGCCAACGTTCGTGAGGGGCGCGAGGGGAGTGACTTTAGCGGTGGTAGGATGAAGCGGGAGCATGACGCGCACGAGGCGTTGGTGTACGCGCGGAATCTCAACGAGTACAACGCCGCGGCGCTCGAGCTGTCGCGGTCCCGAAAGTGAGTCGCCGAGGCGCATCGGATTCACTCGCGACGCGGATCACGTGATGATAGATGCTCGCGCGCTATCCCCTCGGTTCTATCGCCGCGCCATCACACATTCCAGATCCTTGGTAGTACCGCGCATCACCTCCGCGGATCCTTCTCCGCCTCACGTTCATCCGCCAACCACCCCCCTGCCCCATTCCCCGCGCCACACCCCCCGTCCCGCCCCTCCCTCCCCCAGGCCATACCTACTGCGCACGCTGTACGGCGACATGCTGATGGACGGTGTGCAGCCCAACTTCGTGACGTTCCATGCCGCCATCACGGCGTGCATGCGCGCCAACCGCCTGCACGACCTCGTCTTCTTCTTCAACCAGATGCGCGCGCGCGGCATCACGCCCGATGTGAGCAGCAGGTTTAGAAGAAAGCATTCGTTTAACTGTGTAGACGGCGTACAGTTGCAGTGGGCACGCAGAGAAGGTGGTTGATGCGGCCTCCTCCCCGCTACCACTCCCACCAAATCAGCGCTACATATTCAACTGCGTCATGACGGCGTACAGTTGCAGCAGGCATGCGGAGAGGGTGTTTGTTGCTGCCTCCTCTCCCTTCCTCCACATTCCCCCCACCCTTCCCCCCTCCCCCTTCCCCCCATCCAGCGCTACATATTCAACTGCGTCATGACGGCGTACAGCCGCAGCGGGCACGTGGAGAGGGTTTTCAGGGTGGACTGGGACATGCGCGCTGCAGGGCGCCCGCCCAACATCCGCACCTACCATGCGCTACTCACTGCCTGCACCACCACTGGCCGCTTCGACAAAGCGTAATCAACTATCCTACCTGCCCTGCCCTGCCTTGCCACTTGACTGCTCCCTATCCTCTCCTCTGCCCCCTCAACATCCGCACCTACCACGCGCTGCTCACTGCCTGCACCACCACCGGTCGCTTCGACAAAGCGTACTGCCCTGCCCTTTCGTCCTCTCCCCTCCGCTCGCCTCCACTGCCGTCCTCTCCTCTCTGTGCAAGCAATGGAGCATCGCCTAGTGCTGCGCCCCTCCTGCATCCAACGGGCCATTGATCTGTTGCTCCCATGGCCATTGATCTGTTGCTCCCATGGCCATTGATCTGTTGCTCCCATGGCCATTGATCTGTTGCTCCCATGGCCATTGATCTGTTGCTCCCATGGCCATTGATCTGTTGCTCCCATGGCCCCATACGCCCAGCGCAGAGGTGCAGGAGCGCATGAAGAAGGACGGCGTGGCAATGAACAAGTTCTGCCACGCTGCTCTCATCGCCATGCACCAGCGCGTGCGCCCCTCCTCGCCCCGCATCGTTGCCAAGGTATGGTGGGGGAGGGGTGGGGGGAGCGCCGAGGGGAGAGGGGAGAGGGGATGGGCGCATTGTTGGGGGGATGGTACTGGGGGGATGGGTGTGTTGTTGGGGGAATGGGCGGAAGGACGGATGTGAACTGTGGTGGCGAACGCAAATCACTGTCACTGTCACCGCACACATTGCGTCCTTGCTATCCTTTCAGCGTAGCTGCATGGCAACCTTCAAGTGCTCTTTTTCTGCCTTCCTCCACCTCTCTCCCCCTCCCTCCCACTTTTTGCCCCCCCTCAATCCTCTCACTCCTCTCCCTTCCTCACTCCCCTCACTCCCTCGTCCCCCCTCACCCCCCCCCCCACTCCACTCCTCCCCACAGATATTCTCTCTCGTGGAACAGTCCCTGACAGCACCCACCTACAGCATTGAACCCGACTCCACGCCCCCCACCACACCCGCCACAACCACCACTGCTGGCACCACTGATTCCCCTGCTGCCACTGCCACTGATCCCACCACTGATCACCCCGCTGCTTCCACCCTTGAATCCGCTGCTGCTGCCGCCGCGGCCTCAGATTTCACCAGCAGCGCCACCCACGCCACAGGAGCTGCTGAGCCCGCCCACGCAGGAGCTGCTGACGCCCCCCACACAGGAGCTGCTGCTGCCGTGCCTGCTGGTGGTGGCATGGGCGTGGGTGCGGGGGCGGGGTCAGAGGAGCATGCTGAGATGGAGGAGATGGCGGAGCAGGAGGGCGGGGTGGGCATGGGCCTGGATGACATGGGTGACATGGGTGATTACGGTGGGCGGGAGGAGAGGGCGGGAAGGGCGAGAGGAGGAGGCGGGCTGGTTTATGCGAATGCGGATCTGGTGGTGCACCGCGCGGCAATCAGGGCGTTCCTGGACGCACACCAGCTGCAGGTGCGCCCTCGGTATGCTCAGGTGTGCTTTCAGTTAGCTCGGTGTGCTGTAGGTTGACTCAGTGTACTTTAGGAGAGGGGGGATGTGCGGTGTTTTCAGCGTGGCTGCTGATGTGCTGTGAGGGGCAATATCTGAGTCACTTTTGAGAATTCTAAATATATATGTGCAGAGAAATGGTGATACCTGCTTTTTAAGGATTTGCTTGTGTTTGCATGGTCACGTGTGTTTGTGTGCGCCCGTGTGTGTGTATGTGTTCGTGTGCGTGCATGTGTGCACGTGTGTGCATGCATGCTCCATCCCTCCCATGCATGCTCCATCCCTCCCATGCATGCATGTGCCACCACTCCCGCCCATGCATGCAGGCAGCATTCCGTCTGGTGCGAATGATAGAGGAGAGTGGCACTGTCCCAGATGCTGCCCTGCAGACTCTCCTCTTCAGGTGGGTTCCTGCGCCTCTCATGGCATGCCATCGTATGGCATGGCATGGCATATTGATCCATGGCGATGTGTTTCTGTCACGCAGGTAAAATTCTGCATCCGGGCTATTATTTGTTCTTGTTGATTGCCCTCACTGTTCTCATTGCACGTGCTGGTGCATGTGCATGTGCATGTGTACACACACACATGCACGCACACACACACACACGCACACACGCATGCATCAGGGTGCATCTGCAGGCGGGCAACGAGGCAGAGGCGCTTAAGCTGGCAGACCTCTATTACGGCCCCAATGCGCGCCCCTACATCGACCAGTTCGTGGTGAGCCGTCAGCACTGCAGCACTGCAGCTTTTAGGCAGCGCTGAGGCAGTGTTGGAGATTTTCAGCCACGGAGAACTGCTCATGCCTCAATGGACATTGCATTGATCAGTTGAGCCATGAGCACTGATGCAGTGAGCACTGATGCAGTGAGCACTGATGTAGTGAGCACTGATGCAGTGAGCACTGATGCAGTGAGCACTGATGCAGTGAGCACTGATGCAGTGAGCACTGATGCAGTGAGCACTGATGCAGTGAGCACTGATGCAGTGAGCACTGATGCAGTGAGCACTGATGTAGTGAGCACTGATGCAGTGAGCACTGATGCAGTGAGCACTGATGCAGTGAGCACTGATGCAGTGAGCACTGATGCAGTGAGCACTGATGCAGTGAGCACTGATGCAGTGAGCACTGATGTAGTGAGCACTGATGCAGTGAGCACTGATGCAGTGAGCACTGATGCAGTGAGCACTGATGCAGTGAGCACTGATGCAGTGAGCACTGATGCACTATCCTTCCCCCACTCTCATTTCCCCTCTCTTGGTCTCCTTTTCTCCTCCCACCTTCACGCGCCACCACCATGCGGTGCTGTGCCCTGCCATGCCATGCCATGCCATGCCATGCCGTGCTGTGCCCTGCCATGCCATGCCATGCCATGCCATGCCACCCGTCCAGCCTGAAGGAGTTGTTGAGAGTTCCCATTATTCCCCGCATTGCTGATCCTCCTTTCTCCTCCCGTCTCCACCACCCCATCATGCCATCCGTGCCAATACACACCACCCGTGCCAGCAAGCCATCTCGTACAGTCTGAGGGAGCTGCGCCCCATCGGAATGAATGTTGCCCTGCGACTGCTGGTAACCACCCTCTCTCGCCCACTCTCGCCCTCATCTCACCTTCCAACATGCCCACATCCCGTCCTCTTCTTTCACGTATCACTACCCCGCGTCTTCTCTCAGCTCGGCTCCCCCACACTCCCGGCCGGATCGCTTTACCCCCCTCATGCATCGTCTATCATGCCCTTGCAGCCTATCTGCATGTGACAATCCGACTCACTCAGACCCCTGCACCCATCTGCACCCCCCTGCACGCCTCTGCATGTGGTCACACCAGGAGCTGTTTTTCAACCACGGCTTTTACTTCACGCGCAAGCAGGGTAGCCAGCTATTGCAAGAGGCGCTCACCAGCGATGTGAGTGTGATGTCATATGGGCGAGCAGTCATATGGGCGAGCAGTCATATGGGCGAGCAGTCATATGGGCGAGCAGTCATATGGGCGAGCAGTCATATGGGCGAGCAGTCATATGGGCGAGCAGTCATATGGGCGAGCAGTCATATGGGCGAGCAGTCATATGGGCGAGCAGTCATATGGGCGAGCAGTCATATGGGCGAGCAGTCATATGGGCGAGCAGTCATATGGGCGAGCAGTCATATGGGCGAGCAGTCATATGGGCGAGCAGTCATATGGGCGAGCAGTCATATGGGCGAGCAGTCATATGGGCGAGCAGTCATATGGGCGAGCAGTCATATGGGCGAGCAGTCATATGGGCGAGCAGTCATATGGGCGAGCAGTCATATGGGCGAGCAGTCATATGGGCGAGCAGTCATATGGGCGAGCAGTCATATGGGCGAGCAGTCATATGGGCGAGCAGTCATATGGGCGAGCAGTCATATGGGCGAGCAGTCATATGGGCGAGCAGTCATATGGGCGAGCAGTCATATGGGCGAGCAGTCATATGGGCGAGCAGTCATATGGGCGAGCAGTCATATGGGCGAGCAGTCATATGGGCGAGCAGTCATATGGGCGAGCAGTCATATGGGCGAGCAGTCATATGGGCGAGCAGTCATATGGGCGAGCAGTCATATGGGCGAGCAGTCATATGGGCGAGCAGTCATATGGGCGAGCAGTCATATGGGCGAGCAGTCATATGGGCGAGCAGTCATATGGGCGAGCAGTCATATGGGCGAGCAGTCATATGGGCGAGCAGTCATATGGGCGAGCAGTCATATGGGCGAGCAGTCATATGGGCGAGCAGTCATATGGGCGAGCAGTCATATGGGCGAGCAGTCATATGGGCGAGCAGTCATATGGGCGAGCAGTCATATGGGCGAGCAGTCATATGGGCGAGCAGTCATATGGGCGAGCAGTCATATGGGCGAGCAGTCATATGGGCGAGCAGTCATATGGGCGAGCAGTCATATGGGCGAGCAGTCATATGGGCGAGCAGTCATATGGGCGAGCAGTCATATGGCGAGCAGTCATATGGGCGAGCAGTCATATGGGCGAGCAGTCATATGGGCGAGCAGTCATATGGGCGAGCAGTCATATGGGCGAGCAGTCATATGGGCGAGCAGTCATATGGGCGAGCAGTCATATGGGCGAGCAGTCATATGGGCGAGCAGTCATATGGGCGAGCAGTCATATGGGCGAGCAGTCATATGGGCGAGCAGTCATATGGGCGAGCAGTCATATGGGCGAGCAGTCATATGGGCGAGCAGTCATATGGGCGAGCAGTCTATGGGCGAGCAGTCATATGGGCGAGCAGTCATATGGGCGAGCAGTCATATGGGCGAGCAGTCATATGGGCGAGCAGTCATATGGGCGAGCAGTCATATGGGCGAGCAGTCATATGGGCGAGCAGTCATATGGGCGAGCAGTCATATGGGCGAGCAGTCATATGGGCGAGCAGTCATATGGGCGAGCAGTCATATGGGCGAGCAGTCATATGGGCGAGCAGTCATATGGGCGAGCAGTCATATGGGCGAGCAGTCATATGGGCGAGCAGTCATATGGGCGAGCAGTCATATGGGCGAGCAGTCATATGGGCGAGCAGTCATATGGGCGAGCAGTCATATGGGCGAGCAGTCATATGGGCGAGCAGTCATATGGGCGAGCAGTCATATGGGCGAGCAGTCATATGGGCGAGCAGTCATATGGGCGAGCAGTCATATGGGCGAGCAGTCATATGGGCGAGCAGTCATATGGGCGAGCAGTCATATGGGCGAGCAGTCATATGGGCGAGCAGTCATATGGGCGAGCAGTCATATGGGCGAGCAGTCATATGGGCGAGCAGTCATATGGGCGAGCAGTCATATGGGCGAGCAGTCATATGGGCGAGCAGTCATATGGGCGAGCAGTCATATGGGCGAGCAGTCATATGGGCGAGCAGTCATATGGGCGAGCAGTCATATGGGCGAGCAGTCATATGGGCGAGCAGTCATATGGGCGAGCAGTCATATGGGCGAGCAGTCATATGGGCGAGCAGTCATATGGGCGAGCAGTCATATGGGCGAGCAGTCATATGGGCGAGCAGTCATATGGGCGAGCAGTCATATGGGCGAGCAGTCATATGGGCGAGCAGTCATATGGGCGAGCAGTCATATGGGCGAGCAGTCATATGGGCGAGCAGTCATATGGGCGAGCAGTCATATGGGCGAGCAGTCATATGGGCGAGCAGTCATATGGGCGAGCAGTCATATGGGGGCGAGCAGTCATATGGGCGAGCAGTCATATGGGCGAGCAGTCATATGGGCGAGCAGTCATATGGGCGAGCAGTCATATGGGCGAGCAGTCATATGGGCGAGCAGTCATATGGGCGAGCAGTCATATGGGCGAGCAGTCATATGGGCGAGCAGTCATATGGGCGAGCAGTCATATGGGCGAGCAGTCATATGGGCGAGCAGTCATATGGGCGAGCAGTCATATGGGCGAGCAGTCATATGGGCGAGCAGTCATATGGGCGAGCAGTCATATGGGCGAGCAGTCATATGGGCGAGCAGTCATATGGGCGAGCAGTCATATGGGCGAGCAGTCATATGGGCGAGCAGTCATATGGGCGAGCAGTCATATGGGCGAGCAGTCATATGGGCGAGCAGTCATATGGGCGAGCAGTCATATGGGCGAGCAGTCATATGGGCGAGCAGTCATATGGGCGAGCAGTCATATGGGCGAGCAGTCATATGGGCGAGCAGTCATATGGGCGAGCAGTCATATGGGCGAGCAGTCATATGGGCGAGCAGTCATATGGGCGAGCAGTCATATGGGCGAGCAGTCATATGGGCGAGCAGTCATATGGGCGAGCAGTCATATGGGCGAGCAGTCATATGGGCGAGCAGTCATATGGGCGAGCAGTCATATGGGCGAGCAGTCATATGGGCGAGCAGTCATATGGGCGAGCAGTCATATGGGCGAGCAGTCATATGGGCGAGCAGTCATATGGGCGAGCAGTCATATGGGCGAGCAGTCATATGGGCGAGCAGTCATATGGGCGAGCAGTCATATGGGCGAGCAGTCATATGGGCGAGCAGTCATATGGGCGAGCAGTCATATGGGCGAGCAGTCATATGGGCGAGCAGTCATATGGGCGAGCAGTCATATGGGCGAGCAGTCATATGGGCGAGCAGTCATATGGGCGAGCAGTCATATGGGCGAGCAGTCATATGGGCGAGCAGTCATATGGGCGAGCAGTCATATGGGCGAGCAGTCATATGGGCGAGCAGTCATATGGGCGAGCAGTCATATGGGCGAGCAGTCATATGGGCGAGCAGTCATATGGGCGAGCAGTCATATGGGCGAGCAGTCATATGGGCGAGCAGTCATATGGGCGAGCAGTCATATGGGCGAGCAGTCATATGGGCGAGCAGTCATATGGGCGAGCAGTCATATGGGCGAGCAGTCATATGGGCGAGCAGTCATATGGGCGAGCAGTCATATGGGCGAGCAGTCATATGGGCGAGCAGTCATATGGGCGAGCAGTCATATGGGCGAGCAGTCATATGAGTGGGCATGCAGAAGCACCGTATGGTGAATTGTAGGATGAACCATGTGTCTGTTCCCCCCCACCCCCCCCCTCCCCTGGTTCTCGCAACATGCAGAGGCGCAGCATGGCGGCAGCAGAAAGGCTGTTTGACCACGTGGTGGGCAAGCACCAGGCGCCCCAAAGCCCCCATACCCCGCACACTCCTCCCCCCTCTTCTCCCCCCCACCCACGTTTCTTCCCACACGGCATGGCAGAGGCGCAGCATGGCGGCAGCAGAGAGGCTGTTTGACCACGTGGTGGCGAAGCACCAGGCGCCCGAGTTTGACGCCGTGCTTGACTTCATGCGCGCCCTAAGGGTGAGAAGAAGCTTTTAGGGTGAGCATGACGGGCTTTAACGAGAGGTTGTTTGACCACGTGGTGGCGAAGCACCAGGCGCCCGAGTTTGACGCCGTGCTTGACTTCATGCGCGCCCTAAGGGTGAGAAGAAGCTTTTAGGGTGAGCATGACGGGCTTTAACGAGAGGTTGTTTGACCACGTGGTGGCGAAGCACCAGGCGCCCGAGTTTGACGCCGTGCTTGACTTCATGCGCGCCCTAAGGGTGAGCAGAAGCTTTTAGGGTGAGCATGACGGGCTTTAACGAGAGGTTGTTTGACCACGTGGTGGCGAAGCACCAGGCGCCCGAGTTTGACGCCGTGCTTGACTTCATGCGCGCCCTAAGGGTGAGAAGAAGCTTTTAGGGTGAGCATGACGGGCTTTAACGAGAGGTTGTTTGACCACGTGGTGGCGAAGCACCAGGCGCCCGAGTTTGACGCCGTGCTTGACTTCATGCGCGCCCTAAGGGTGAGAAGAAGCTTTTAGGGTGAGCATGACGGGCTTTAACGAGAGGTTGTTTGACCACGTGGTGGCGAAGCACCAGGCGCCCGAGTTTGACGCCGTGCTTGACTTCATGCGCGCCCTAAGGGTGAGCAGAAGCTTTTAGGGTGAGCATGACGGGCTTTAACGAGAGGTTGTTTGACCACGTGGTGGCGAAGCACCAGGCGCCCGAGTTTGACGCCGTGCTTGACTTCATGCGCGCCCTAAGGGTGAGCAGAAGCTTTTAGGGTGAGCATGACGGGCTTTAACGAGAGGTTGTTTGACCACGTGGTGGCGAAGCACCAGGCGCCCGAGTTTGACGCCGTGCTTGACTTCATGCGCGCCCTAAGGGTGAGAAGAAGCTTTTAGGGTGAGCATGACGGGCTTTAACGAGAGGTTGTTTGACCACGTGGTGGCGAAGCACCAGGCACCCGAGTTTGACGCCGTGCTCGACTTCATGCGCGCTCTCCGGGTGAGTGTCATGGGACGGGCTTTAGGGTGAGAAGGGGCTCTCACGGGCGCCCGAGTTTGTCCGCGTGTGGTGAGTCGAGTTTTGAGTCGACTCAAAACTCGACTCTCCGGGTGAGTGTCATGGGACGGGCTTTAGGGTGAGAAGGGGCTCTCACGGGCGCCCGAGTTTGTCCGCGTGTGGTGAGTCGAGTTTTGAGTCGACTCAAAACTCGACTCTCCGGGTGAGTGTCATGGGACGGGCTTTAGGGTGAGAAGGGGCTCTCACGGGCGCCCGAGTTTGTCCGCGTGTGGTGAGTCGAGTTTTGAGTCGACTCAAAACTCGACTCTCCGGGTGAGTGTCATGGGACGGGCTTTAGGGTGAGAAGGGGCTCTCACGGGCGCCCGAGTTTGTCCGCGTGTGGTGAGTCGAGTTTTGAGTCGACTCAAAACTCGACTCTCCGGGTGAGTGTCATGGGACGGGCTTTAGGGTGAGAAGGGGCTCTCACGGGCGCCCGAGTTTGTCCGCGTGTGGTGAGTCGAGTTTTGAGTCGACTCAAAACTCGACTCTCCGGGTGAGTGTCATGGGACGGGCTTTAGGGTGAGAAGGGGCTCTCACGGGCGCCCGAGTTTGTCCGCGTGTGGTGAGTCGAGTTTTGAGTCGACTCAAAACTCGACTCTCCGGGTGAGTGTCATGGGACGGGCTTTAGGGTGAGAAGGGGCTCTCACGGGCGCCCGAGTTTGTCCGCGTGTGGTGAGTCGAGTTTTGAGTCGACTCAAAACTCGACTCTCCGGGTGAGTGTCATGGGACGGGCTTTAGGGTGAGAAGGGGCTCTCACGGGCGCCCGAGTTTGTCCGCGTGTGGTGAGTCGAGTTTTGAGTCGACTCAAAACTCGACTCTCCGGGTGAGTGTCATGGGACGGGCTTTAGGGTGAGAAGGGGCTCTCACGGGCGCCCGAGTTTGTCCGCGTGTGGTGAGTCGAGTTTTGAGTCGACTCAAAACTCGACTCTCCGGGTGAGTGTCATGGGACGGGCTTTAGGGTGAGAAGGGGCTCTCACGGGCGCCCGAGTTTGTCCGCGTGTGGTGAGTCGAGTTTTGAGTCGACTCAAAACTCGACTCTCCGGGTGAGTGTCATGGGACGGGCTTTAGGGTGAGAAGGGGCTCTCACGGGCGCCCGAGTTTGTCCGCGTGTGGTGAGTCGAGTTTTGAGTCGACTCAAAACTCGACTCTCCGGGTGAGTGTCATGGGACGGGCTTTAGGGTGAGAAGGGGCTCTCACGGGCGCCCGAGTTTGTCCGCGTGTGGTGAGTCGAGTTTTGAGTCGACTCAAAACTCGACTCTCCGGGTGAGTGTCATGGGACGGGCTTTAGGGTGAGAAGGGGCTCTCACGGGCGCCCGAGTTTGTCCGCGTGTGGTGAGTCGAGTTTTGAGTCGACTCAAAACTCGACTCTCCGGGTGAGTGTCATGGGACGGGCTTTAGGGTGAGAAGGGGCTCTCACGGGCGCCCGAGTTTGTCCGCGTGTGGTGAGTCGAGTTTTGAGTCGACTCAAAACTCGACTCTCCGGGTGAGTGTCATGGGACGGGCTTTAGGGTGAGAAGGGGCTCTCACGGGCGCCCGAGTTTGTCCGCGTGTGGTGAGTCGAGTTTTGAGTCGACTCAAAACTCGACTCTCCGGGTGAGTGTCATGGGACGGGCTTTAGGGTGAGAAGGGGCTCTCACGGGCGCCCGAGTTTGTCCGCGTGTGGTGAGTCGAGTTTTGAGTCGACTCAAAACTCGACTCTCCGGGTGAGTGTCATGGGACGGGCTTTAGGGTGAGAAGGGGCTCTCACGGGCGCCCGAGTTTGTCCGCGTGTGGTGAGTCGAGTTTTGAGTCGACTCAAAACTCGACTCTCCGGGTGAGTGTCATGGGACGGGCTTTAGAGTGAGAAGGGGCTCTCACGGGCGCCCGAGTTTGTCCGCGTGTGGTGAGTCGAGTTTTGAGTCGACTCAAAACTCGACTCTCCGGGTGAGTGTCATGGGACGGGCTTTAGGGTGAGAAGGGGCTCTCACGGGCGCCCGAGTTTGTCCGCGTGTGGTGAGTCGAGTTTTGAGTCGACTCAAAACTCGACTCTCCGGGTGAGTGTCATGGGACGGGCTTTAGGGTGAGAAGGGGCTCTCACGGGCGCCCGAGTTTGTCCGCGTGTGGTGAGTCGAGTTTTGAGTCGACTCAAAACTCGACTCTCCGGGTGAGTGTCATGGGACGGGCTTTAGGGTGAGAAGGGGCTCTCACGGGCGCCCGAGTTTGTCCGCGTGTGGTGAGTCGAGTTTTGAGTCGACTCAAAACTCGACTCTCCGGGTGAGTGTCATGGGACGGGATTTAGGGTGAGAAGGGGCTCTCACGGGCGCCCGAGTTTGTCCGCGTGTGGTGAGTCGAGTTTTGAGTCGACTCAAAACTCGACTCTCCGGGTGAGTGTCATGGGACGGGCTTTAGGGTGAGAAGGGGCTCTCACGGGCGCCCGAGTTTGTCCGCGTGTGGTGAGTCGAGTTTTGAGTCGACTCAAAACTCGACTCTCCGGGTGAGTGTCATGGGACGGGCTTTAGGGTGAGAAGGGGCTCTCACGGGCGCCCGAGTTTGTCCGCGTGTGGTGAGTCGAGTTTTGAGTCGACTCAAAACTCGACTCTCCGGGTGAGTGTCATGGGACGGGCTTTAGGGTGAGAAGGGGCTCTCACGGGCGCCCGAGTTTGTCCGCGTGTGGTGAGTCGAGTTTTGAGTCGACTCAAAACTCGACTCTCCGGGTGAGTGTCATGGGACGGGCTTTAGGGTGAGAAGGGGCTCTCACGGGCGCCCGAGTTTGTCCGCGTGTGGTGAGTCGAGTTTTGAGTCGACTCAAAACTCGACTCTCCGGGTGAGTGTCATGGGACGGGATTTAGGGTGAGAAGGGGCTCTCACGGGCGCCCGAGTTTGTCCGCGTGTGGTGAGTCGAGTTTTGAGTCGACTCAAAACTCGACTCTCCGGGTGAGTGTCATGGGACGGGCTTTAGGGTGAGAAGGGGCTCTCACGGGCGCCCGAGTTTGTCCGCGTGTGGTGAGTCGAGTTTTGAGTCGACTCAAAACTCGACTCTCCGGGTGAGTGTCATGGGACGGGCTTTAGGGTGAGAAGGGGCTCTCACGGGCGCCCGAGTTTGTCCGCGTGTGGTGAGTCGAGTTTTGAGTCGACTCAAAACTCGACTCTCCGGGTGAGTGTCATGGGACGGGCTTTAGGGTGAGAAGGGGCTCTCACGGGCGCCCGAGTTTGTCCGCGTGTGGTGAGTCGAGTTTTGAGTCGACTCAAAACTCGACTCTCCGGGTGAGTGTCATGGGACGGGCTTTAGGGTGAGAAGGGGCTCTCACGGGCGCCCGAGTTTGTCCGCGTGTGGTGAGTCGAGTTTTGAGTCGACTCAAAACTCGACTCTCCGGGTGAGTGTCATGGGACGGGCTTTAGGGTGAGAAGGGGCTCTCACGGGCGCCCGAGTTTGTCCGCGTGTGGTGAGTCGAGTTTTGAGTCGACTCAAAACTCGACTCTCCGGGTGAGTGTCATGGGACGGGCTTTAGGGTGAGAAGGGGCTCTCACGGGCGCCCGAGTTTGTCCGCGTGTGGTGAGTCGAGTTTTGAGTCGACTCAAAACTCGACTCTCCGGGTGAGTGTCATGGGACGGGATTTAGGGTGAGAAGGGGCTCTCACGGGCGCCCGAGTTTGTCCGCGTGTGGTGAGTCGAGTTTTGAGTCGACTCAAAACTCGACTCTCCGGGTGAGTGTCATGGGACGGGCTTTAGGGTGAGAAGGGGCTCTCACGGGCGCCCGAGTTTGTCCGCGTGTGGTGAGTCGAGTTTTGAGTCGACTCAAAACTCGACTCTCCGGGTGAGTGTCATGGGACGGGCTTTAGGGTGAGAAGGGGCTCTCACGGGCGCCCGAGTTTGTCCGCGTGTGGTGAGTCGAGTTTTGAGTCGACTCAAAACTCGACTCTCCGGGTGAGTGTCATGGGACGGGCTTTAGGGTGAGAAGGGGCTCTCACGGGCGCCCGAGTTTGTCCGCGTGTGGTGAGTCGAGTTTTGAGTCGACTCAAAACTCGACTCTCCGGGTGAGTGTCATGGGACGGGCTTTAGGGTGAGAAGGGGCTCTCACGGGCGCCCGAGTTTGTCCGCGTGTGGTGAGTCGAGTTTTGAGTCGACTCAAAACTCGACTCTCCGGGTGAGTGTCATGGGACGGGCTTTAGGGTGAGAAGGGGCTCTCACGGGCGCCCGAGTTTGTCCGCGTGTGGTGAGTCGAGTTTTGAGTCGACTCAAAACTCGACTCTCCGGGTGAGTGTCATGGGACGGGATTTAGGGTGAGAAGGGGCTCTCACGGGCGCCCGAGTTTGTCCGCGTGTGGTGAGTCGAGTTTTGAGTCGACTCAAAACTCGACTCTCCGGGTGAGTGTCATGGGACGGGCTTTAGGGTGAGAAGGGGCTCTCACGGGCGCCCGAGTTTGTCCGCGTGTGGTGAGTCGAGTTTTGAGTCGACTCAAAACTCGACTCTCCGGGTGAGTGTCATGGGACGGGCTTTAGGGTGAGAAGGGGCTCTCACGGGCGCCCGAGTTTGTCCGCGTGTGGTGAGTCGAGTTTTGAGTCGACTCAAAACTCGACTCTCCGGGTGAGTGTCATGGGACGGGCTTTAGGGTGAGAAGGGGCTCTCACGGGCGCCCGAGTTTGTCCGCGTGTGGTGAGTCGAGTTTTGAGTCGACTCAAAACTCGACTCTCCGGGTGAGTGTCATGGGACGGGATTTAGGGTGAGAAGGGGCTCTCACGGGCGCCCGAGTTTGTCCGCGTGTGGTGAGTCGAGTTTTGAGTCGACTCAAAACTCGACTCTCCGGGTGAGTGTCATGGGACGGGCTTTAGGGTGAGAAGGGGCTCTCACGGGCGCCCGAGTTTGTCCGCGTGTGGTGAGTCGAGTTTTGAGTCGACTCAAAACTCGACTCTCCGGGTGAGTGTCATGGGACGGGCTTTAGGGTGAGAAGGGGCTCTCACGGGCGCCCGAGTTTGTCCGCGTGTGGTGAGTCGAGTTTTGAGTCGACTCAAAACTCGACTCTCCGGGTGAGTGTCATGGGACGGGCTTTAGGGTGAGAAGGGGCTCTCACGGGCGCCCGAGTTTGTCCGCGTGTGGTGAGTCGAGTTTTGAGTCGACTCAAAACTCGACTCTCCGGGTGAGTGTCATGGGACGGGCTTTAGGGTGAGAAGGGGCTCTCACGGGCGCCCGAGTTTGTCCGCGTGTGGTGAGTCGAGTTTTGAGTCGACTCAAAACTCGACTCTCCGGGTGAGTGTCATGGGACGGGCTTTAGGGTGAGAAGGGGCTCTCACGGGCGCCCGAGTTTGTCCGCGTGTGGTGAGTCGAGTTTTGAGTCGACTCAAAACTCGACTCTCCGGGTGAGTGTCATGGGACGGGCTTTAGGGTGAGAAGGGGCTCTCACGGGCGCCCGAGTTTGTCCGCGTGTGGTGAGTCGAGTTTTGAGTCGACTCAAAACTCGACTCTCCGGGTGAGTGTCATGGGACGGGCTTTAGGGTGAGAAGGGGCTCTCACGGGCGCCCGAGTTTGTCCGCGTGTGGTGAGTCGAGTTTTGAGTCGACTCAAAACTCGACTCTCCGGGTGAGTGTCATGGGACGGGCTTTAGGGTGAGAAGGGGCTCTCACGGGCGCCCGAGTTTGTCCGCGTGTGGTGAGTCGAGTTTTGAGTCGACTCAAAACTCGACTCTCCGGGTGAGTGTCATGGGACGGGCTTTAGGGTGAGAAGGGGCTCTCACGGGCGCCCGAGTTTGTCCGCGTGTGGTGAGTCGAGTTTTGAGTCGACTCAAAACTCGACTCTCCGGGTGAGTGTCATGGGACGGGCTTTAGGGTGAGAAGGGGCTCTCACGGGCGCCCGAGTTTGTCCGCGTGTGGTGAGTCGAGTTTTGAGTCGACTCAAAACTCGACTCTCCGGGTGAGTGTCATGGGACGGGCTTTAGGGTGAGAAGGGGCTCTCACGGGCGCCCAAGTTTGTCCGCGTGTGGTGAGTCGAGTTTTGAGTCGACTCAAAACTCGACTCTCCGGGTGAGTGTCATGGGACGGGCTTTAGGGTGAGAAGGGGCTCTCACGGGCGCCCGAGTTTGTCCGCGTGTAGTGAGTCCAGTTTTGAGTCGACTCAAAACTCGACTCTCCGGGTGAGTGTCATGGGACGGGCTTTAGGGTGAGAAGGGGCTCTCACGGGCGCCCGAGTTTGTCCGCGTGTAGTGAGTCGAGTTTTGAGTCGACTCAAAACTCGACTCTCCGGGTGAGTGTCATGGGACGGGCTTTAGGGTGAGAAGGGGCTCTCACGGGCGCCCGAGTTTGTCCGCGTGTGGTGAGTCGAGTTTTGAGTCGACTCAAAACTCGACTCTCCGGGTGAGTGTCATGGGACGGGCTTTAGGGTGAGAAGGGGCTCTCACGGGCGCCTGAGTTTGTCCGCGTGTAGTGAGTCGAGTTTTGACTCGACTCAAAACTCGACTCTCCGGGTGAGTGTCATGGGACGGGCTTTAGGGTGAGAAGGGGCTCTCACTGGCGCCCGAGTTTGACACTGTGCTTGACTTGACTTCAGTGCAGAGGATGAGGAGGAAAGGACTGTTTCAGATTAGTGCGGGCAGTGACTTTGGGGACAGGCTCTTCGGGGAAAAGAAGGTTGCTTGATTGCTTGCTGCCTTACGGCTCTTTCTTTCTCATGGCATTGCAGATTGCCAAGGTTTTGTGCAGTCTAGGTACTTGCTGACCTGTCTCTTGGTATGTCCATGAACCCACTTGTGCATCCCTCCCTGCTGTTGCAGCGTCGACAAACTCCCAAGACCGATCAGCGGTGGTTGCTGGTCCAAGGTCTGATCAAGCGGCGGCGGAACATCCGAGGGATGTGGATGAAGGGAATGCAGGCTGAAGGCCATGAGCATGAGTCACGGCTATCGGTGGAAGAGGATGAGGTGTGATGTTGGAGATGATGATCTCTGGAGTAGAAGGGCGGTTGACGCCAAAAACCCGCAGAATAGAATATGTAGCGTAAGACATTGGCGTATTTGACTGACATCAGCAGCAGGCAGAAAGACAGAACTGGTTAGATGATTTTAAGTTGATCCATACACCACAGTTTCTATATAAGGTCTTGGAATCTTCTAGTTGGTGTCACTGCCATAAACTTCCCTCGTCCGGGTTTAACGAATTTCTCGCTGTTCGCCACGCGACTAGGGACAGCCATCTCTCGAGCGTGCGACCCGCAGGTGTAACACCGTCGCTCCGTCGTGCTTCGCAATTCCCATCATTCCTCTCTCCTCTCGCTCTAGGGCTTATCTGTTCACCCCCATCCCTCTTACAAACTAAAATATCTCCCAACAGAAAGTTCTCCATTTCGTCACTCTATCTTGTACCAGCCGTAGATCTTGTTTCGCTAGTAATTAGCTAGCTGCTTGGTTCCCGTCGTCTCATGCGCGCGGGCCTCTAGGGCATGGCCGGTCGCGGAATCGCGCTGACGAAGCCGGCATGGATGAAGGAGCAGGAGGAGAAGGCTAAAGCAGAAGCGGCCCGAGCAGCAGCCGTCGCCGCCTCCAAGGCCGGCACAGCAGGCGGAGGCGACGACACCGACAGCAGCGACGAAGAGGAGGAGGACGAAGCGACTCGACTCGCGAAGAAGCCCATCGGGCCGGTCTGCCCGGCCAAGTGCTCCGCCGCGGGATCCGGCGTCGGGGGCGGATCGGCGGGTGCGCCCGTGTCCTTCGTTATAGTCCTGAAAGACGAGGACGGGCGGCGGATCTTAGCGGGCGGCGCGAAGGTAACGGTGAAGGTGACACCTAAGGCGGGCGTGCCTGGGCAGGAGCAGATCGCAGCGATCAAGGACCACGGCGACGGGTCGTACACGGCGACTTACACCGTACAGCACCGAGGAGATTACACGGTCAACGCGGAGGTCAACGGCAGTCCCATCATGGGCAGCCCGTTCCCGGTTTTCTTCAGCGCCGCTACAGCCGGTCAACCGGCGTCAACGCCGCTTCCGGTGGCGGTCAACGCGGCGCCGGCGCCTCCGCTGATGCCGACGCCGGCGCTGCCGACGCCGCAACTGCCGACGCCGCAGATGCCGGCGCCGGGCATGCATAACCCGTTGATGGCGGCGGCGCTGCAGTTCCGCGGGCTGCTCCCGACCATGGGAGGAATGCCCTTTACCAGCCCGTACCCCGGCATGGCTGGTGGCGTGCTTCCCGGAACCGGTAAGATAGGAACTGGGAATATTTGTTTTTGTTTACAACGTGAAATCTGGGGCAAATAAAGAACAGGCGTGCCTGCTATTATTGTGCTTTTCGGCTCGATTTTTTTCAAATCCATCCTGCTTGTCCGTAAACATGTATCGATGTTTTTTTTTCCCTTCCTTTCCCGTGTGTGCTGAACACCGTAGGAGGATTGACGAACATGCCTCTTGCGCCATCAGCGGCGGCGATGGCGGCGGCGCAGAGCATCATGGCGGTGCAAGCCATGCAGGCGCAGGCGCAGGCGCAAGCACAGGCGCAGGCGCAGGCGCAAGCGCAAGCTCAAGCGCACGCGCAAGTGCACGCACAGGCGCAGGCGCAGGCTCAGGCGCAAGCGGCGGCGGCAGCGGCGGCGATTCAACAGCAGAAGCTGCTGCAGCAGAAGAGCGAATACATCGAGGACTTTTATTGTAAGTGCGCTTACCTCCCCGCACCCCCACCGCCCTGCCCCACACCATGCACTCCACCCAGCTTGTCGCACCCCACGTCGCGTTCCGCTGTCTGTGTCGCCTGTGAAGCATCCTGCGACGCACCGTGCGATGTCCCCACCCGTGGTCCCTTGTCGCACGTAGTGCATATTTATCCCCCTCTCCACCTTTCCCTCTCGCCCCGTTCCACTCTTCTTCTGATCCTTGACTTCAATCACGCCGCACAACGTGTCCCTTCGCCATCGTTTCGCTCAACCTTCCTTTTGTGTGCGACTGCCTGTGCGACTGCCTGTGCGACTGCCTGTGCGACTGTCTGTGCAACTGGCAGCGGCGATGGACGACGACGAGTTGGAGCGAACGATGCACGTCACCAACGTCAGCGCGATCCTCACGCCCGAGCAGCTTCGCCAGCTCTTCGCCTTCTGTGGCACGGTTACCCGCTGCGAATTTCTCAACGACAAGAAAACCGTCGCACACGTGCGATTCGCGAAAGCTGACGAGGCGAAAGCGGCGCTCGCGCTGAACAACATGGCGGTCGGCGACAAGCAACTCAAAGTCGAACTCGCGAAAACCGCGAAAGCCACGCGACAGGCCGTCCTCTCCGCGCTCGCTCCGCCCGCCCCCGCCCCCGCGCCCACCCCCGCTCCCGCCGCCCCCGCGCCCGTTGCGCCTGCGACGACCGCTGCGACGTCGCAGATGGCGATGCAGCAGGTCGTCGCAATGCCGTTCATGCAGTTTCAGCAGGCGCTTGCTATGCAGCAGGCGCTGGCGCAGCAGGTGCGCAGCTCCGAGGCTAAGACCAAGGCGGAACTCGCCGCCAAGCGCGCCAAAGAGATCAGCCGCGCGATTGCGGCGGGCGGCGCAGGGAAGGACGACGGGAAGGAGAAGGATGGGAAGGAGGGAGACGGGAAGGGGAAGGACGGGAGCGGGTCTGACAGGTCCCGCTCGTCGTCGCGCTCGCGCTCGCGCTCGCGCTCGCGCTCCCCATCCCGGCGCGACCGCCACCGCGGGCGGTCCCGGTCCCGCTCCCCGCGCTACCGCGGACGGTCGCGATCGCGCGATCGAGATCGACGGCCTCGAAGCAGGAGTCGCGATCGTGGGTACGGATGGCGGGAGCGCGGGCATAATCACTCTTATAAGTACAGCCGCACTAGGGACTGGGAGGCTGAGGAGAAGGAGAGGGAGAGGGAGAGAGAGCGGGAGAGGGAGAGGAAGATTGAGAGGGATAGGCAGAGGGAGAAGGAGAGGGAGTTACAGCGGGCGCGAGAGAGGGAACGCGAGAGGGAAAGAGAGAGGGAGAGGGCGAGAGAGAGGGAGAAGGAGAAGGAGAGAGAGAGGGAGAGGGCGCGGGAGCGTGAGAAGGAGAGGGAGAGGGAAAGGGCGAGGGAGCGTGGGCGGGACAAGGGTAGAGAGAAGGAGAGGGACAGAGAGGATGACGACGAGAGATACGAGGGGAGGCGCGGCAGAGGGAGGATTGAGGAAGAGGATAGGTACAAGGGGAGGTATGAATCTGATGAGGAGGATGAGGAGGAGGAGAGGGTTGAGAGGAAGAAAGGTCACGGGCGGGACGAGCCGGATTCGGAAGAGGAGAGTGAGGAGCGAGAGGAAGCCAGGCGGAAGGAAGCTGCGAGGAAGGCGAGGGGTAGGGGCGCGAGTGAGGAGAGTGAGGAGGACGAGGAGGAGGATGAGGAGGAGAGGGGGAAGGAGAGGGGCGGGCGGAAGGAGGCAGAGCGGCGGGAGAAGGAGCTTAGAGAGAAACTGCTTCGAGACAAGCTGGAGAGGCAGAGGCGCGAGGTGGAGCGGCGGAGAGGTGCGAAGGAGGAGGATGATGAAGATGAGGAGGAAGAGAGGAAGGAGAAGAAGGGTGAGCGGGTTGCGAGGAAGGGAGGGCGGGACGAGGAGGACGAGAGTGATGGTTCGGATGGGGAAAAGCGGGCTAAGAAGGAGGAGGATGAGGAGGATAGTGACCGCTCTGTAGGAGAGGGAGGGAGAGTGAAGAAGAAGAAAGTGAAAGAGGATGAAGAGGAGGAAGAGAAGCGCAGTGGGAGCGAGGAAAGGCGTGAGAGCGTCGAGAAGGAGGAAAGCGAGGAGAAGGCGAAGGACGCAAGGTCAAGGCGTGCAGGGAGTGTGGAGAGTGATAAGGGTAAGGGTAGTGAGGGTGAGGGAGAGAGTGAGAGTGAAGGAGAGAGGGCCAAGAAGATGGAGGTTGATGCGGAGAAGGAGAAGGATGAGAGTGAAGAGGAGAAGGAAATTAAGAAAAAGAAGGGAGGGGATGAGAGTGAGGAAGAGAAGGAAAAGGAGGAGAAGGAGAGGGATGATATTGAAGAAGAGAGGGAAATGGAGAGGAAGGGAAGGGTTGAAAGTGATGAGGAGAAGGAGAAAGAGGATGAGAGGGAGAAGGCGAAGGAGAGAGAGGGGGATGAGAGTGAAGAGGAGAAGGTGATTGAGAATGGGAGCAAAGGAGGATCGGAGGACGAGGCAGCTGTGAAGGAGGGAGGAGAGGGGGAGGAGGAGGAGGAGGAGGAGGATGAGAAGGAGAGGAGGAGCAGGAAGAAGGAGAGTGAACGGCACAAGGAGAAGAAGAGGAAGCACCGCCGGAGAAAGAACCGGTAAGGGAGAAGTGGGAGTGAACAATCTGGAGTGGCTTGCTTTTTAGTGACATGACCGGCCAGGTCTCATTCTGAGCTTGGTAGTTGGTGCTTCTTTTTCCTCACGCTTTCTGCTCTCCTTGTGTGCTTTCCGGTCAGTGATGATGACGAGGAGAGTGAGGAGGACGAGGAGGAGCGGCGTCACAGGCGCAGCAGGAGGAGCAAAAAGAGCCACAAGCGCCGGCGCAGCCGCCATGATGACGACGAGGATGAGGAAGGCGAGGGGGGGAAGGATAGGTCGTCTGATGAGGAAGAGAGGGATGAAAGGGACAGGAAGGAGAAAGGTCGTGGGGGAAGGCGGAAGGAGAGAGGGTCTGATGATGATGAGGAGGAGAAGGGTGGAAGGCGGAGCAGCAGGAAGAGGTCAGGGCGAGATGAGTCTGATGAGGAGAAGGGGCGGTCTTCTAGGGATAAGAAGCACCACAGCCGCAGCCACCGCTCCAGGTCTGTTTGTGCTTTGCCCGTGTTCCAGAACTTCTGAACTCTCTCCTTCTCCTTGTACTGTGCTTTGGAGCATACTGCAATGTTTGGCTGTAACATCTGTTCTCTAAAATCTGTTGTACTGCAGGCGTCGCTCGCCTTCCCTCTCTCCTGCCCGTGGCAAGGACAGTCGCCGCCCGGCCTCCGATGACGACTCTCCTTCTCGCAGCGACTGAGTTGGTTCTCGCCTAGGCTGCGAGATTCGTCTCCTGTCTGAGTTGGAGTTGCTCTTCCTTACAACCGTCTGCCACCACACCTTCGCAAGAACCTTGTTAGCTTTTCGTCTCCATTCTTTTTCTGCTACCGCTGCTGTGTCTGCAACTGCTGCTGGCCCTGCAACTACTGCTGCCTCTACTGCCGCTGCTGCTGCAACGCAAAGTCTATCTGCTATGTCCTCGGGCCCAACACTGAACTCTTCCCTTGATGGCGTTTGGGAGAAGACTGCTTGAGAATGGGCTTGTTTGGAGCGTGGATTGTGTGGGAGTGGCACAGATTGGAATTGTTTTTTCATAGCATGGGTCATGCTGGTTTGCATGAATGTGCTTGATTGCGCATCTGCATGGTTGTGCATTGATGTGCATGAGTGTGCTTCATGTGCATGACTGATCATTCATGTGCATGCATGTGCGTCAAGCGTGAGTGTGCATCAATGGTCATGACTTCACATCAGTGGCATGAATCTGCATTCATGTGACGAATGTTGATGTCATGCCTGAGCACGTGTGCATGGGATGTGCATCACTTTTCTGAGGTGTCAGCCAATGCAGGCCACTCTTGACCTTCAGATCAACATACCAGCACAGACAGCTAAACACCATTCATGTGGAGGATCCGTCCACACTCCATCATGTACCGTGCATCCAATCGGGCATCAGCCAGCCAGCCAGCCATTAAACGCACAAGGCAAGGCAGCTCATGCCATCTGTCCTTCTGTCTTCTCTGGCTGAAGAGCTCTGGTCGGCTTGTCCTGCTTTGTGATGCTATTTCACTGCAAGCATGGGATGGGATGCCTCCATATGCTGCTAGCTTGCCTTCTCATTGGCACACAGTTGGCTGCTGGGATGGACCATGTTCTCCTGTCTGCCCTGGTTGTCCCATTGCTTGTGCTGCTGGCATGGTCTGTCTGGCCTGGAATTGTGTGCATGGATGTGGGGAATGGCATGGCAGATGTATTGAGGTATGTGCATTGTGGGGGAACAGATGGCCAGAGACCTGCCTTGGAGCATGGCTGTCACCGCTGCTTTCAGCTGCTTGGTTGTCATGTCTTTCAGTGTATGTCTCTGCTCTGTTGACTTGCTGATAATGTATACATACCATTGCTGACTTCCATAATCATTCTTGTTCTAAACAGTCTAAAACTAGCTCCTAGGCGTGCACACTAAATACCAAGATCCCTCTGCGCCACTGAGGGAAGCTTGGGCCCCGTAAACTACCCAGCTACTGCACTTGCTGGCTTCACCACTTGAGAATTGCCTTAGGGATGTACTGCAATGTGACAGAGACCAGATTAGTACATGTAAGGTTGGCAAATTGAGGCAACATCTATCAATGGCAGGAAGTAACATCACTGTGTATACCTTGGCAGTGAGCCTTTGATAATAGGGCTTGAGCTCCTCCACATTCAAGCGCTGTGCACTCTTGCTGTAGAGGTCGTACTGGCTGGGGTGGGGGGGGAGGACAAGTTCAAGGCATACAGTAGTTTTAGACCTCATAATGTACACAGATGAGCACCAGGGATGTAGATAAGCGACTGAGTGTTCTTACTTGAAGTCTTTGAGCCATGGAAGCATCTCCCGATCAAAGTCGTCCATCAGGTGTTGGTACTCCTCATCCCTGTGCAGAGCTGTGTCCACAATACGGTCAGAAATGAAATGTCACCACCAAATAACAGCATCAACACACATTTGCGCTCTGTTGTACTCACCATAGAATGAGTGGTAGCGGATCATGTAGAGGCCTTGGGGTGGAATGCTGCAGCCGTTTTGGACAAGGACTTGATACCTGCAGGAGAACAACCAAATATGGTATTTTATTGAGGGAATTTAACAACACAGCGGTCTGTAAGAAAGGTGCAATTGCCACTCACATATACTCGTCATGGCCCCAGGATATATGGACCTTGTCCATTCCGCAGCCTTCCGCATAAATACCACACTCTGTGCTCAGGTCTTCAACTGACGAGTCTGGATTGCTGTTGAAGAACTGCAGGAGGGAGAACGAACAGAACGTCAGCTTGAAAGAATATGGTAGATTTTTCAGCCAAGGCAACTAGAAATTCAGATGCTCCAACCTTTGAGTGGACGATCTTGTTGCTAAACCGACAGCCAACAGGAAACGTATCACCTGCAGTAAACCCACAAGACTCTTTTAGTAACCAAGCATCAGCGAAACTTGCTGCGTGTACCCAAAATGGCATGACTTACCAACAACTGCCCACTGGGGTTCGCTGCCGAACTTCGGATGCAGGAGAACCTTCCCCATATCTAAAGCAGAAACAGTAAGAATATGTCAAATCGGCTATCAAATGTACACCAATCTAGCAAAAAGTGCAAACGTTTTTAAAGAAATTACCATGAAGGAACCCAACGAGTGGGTACCAGTCTTCTTCCTCGCTCGGGTGGTCCCGTCTGATCGCCTCTGCTGCCTGTAGTGCATGCTCGATCTGCGCCATATCCAAATCGGGATCGCTGTCGTCCACGAGCTCGTTTAACAGCTCCGCCGCTTCCCACACGCTCATCTCGGCCTTGTCCAGCTTCAGATGCCGTTCCTTCATTCCGAGCACCTGAATTCACGTCAGAAGACAGATAAACAATCAGTACACGCCATAACGTGTAACGATTGGAAGGACAAGCTGAGAATGCATCCAGACTTACAAATTCCAGGGTCTGCTTGGAATGGTTAATGTGGTAGACGTTCTCGACCATCGTGTTCCTCTCGTTTTCCTCGTCGTATTCCCTGAAAACAGCAGCGGGCGAATGGCTTAGCAGGCTTGGAGGATCTTCCAGAGCAGGACGGAACTCATGGCGGATGCAGTGGAATGTAATACCTGAAGCCCCTCCCGAACTTGTTTTTCGGACTTGTAGTGCACGGAACAATCGCCATGTTCGACGGAGTGTTGATCGGAGCCATGAATGGTAAGAATAAAGGCGAGAGGACGGTATGAATGGATGGCGTCAGCGAGACGTTATCACAGATCCGGAATAACTGCGAAGTGTGAGCACTGGGTTTCGTGGATTACGATTAAAATACATGCGGAAGGACTAGAGCAGCCTTAGTGAAAAAAGCGGTGCGATCGCCACTCAACAACGTAAACGGCGGCTGTCAGAGAAATGGCGACAGGGGTGTCAGTCTTGTGTAATAAGTTGGCTGACTGACTCCAACCTGACCACCTGCTGAGAGCAGCAGGGGGCGCCTTTTCTCGACATTTTCGAGCCAAGCGCTCGGCGTTCCAGACATGCTCGAGGGCGTGACTCCGAGATTGGGTCGAAATCATTTGAATAATAACACTCATAATGATGTTCACCACCTATATACATTCAACTCACTTCCACAAAATGCTGGGAGACTGAAGTGGGTTATTTCTTGTTGTGTGCAGCATGTACGAGCCTGGTATTTTTGAAATGTATACAAGTAATCGGCAATCTGCGGTTCTATATCATATGCACTGAAAGACCTTGCCAAGATGAGCAACCTGCATGTTGCAACTGAGGACTTCTGTTGGGCCCTTAGCGATCTTCGTACATTAGCTTCGCTTCACGTCGCGTACATGCTCTATCATCACAATTCTACTGTAGGAGGAAATGGCGCAAGATTTGAAGGGGTGGCAGCAGGATCCAGCTCTAGAGCACCACGGGGAGGAGGGGGCAATCTTTTAGGGCTGCTCTCATTGCCTTGTAAGTGGAAGCTTGGAACGAGGTGCGAGAAACTGTTGAGGAGAACGAACCGCGTGCCACCAGGAATTCTCTGTCGTGGAGGGAAACAGAGATGGGAAGAAATGAGTTGGCAACGGCCAAGGGACAGGCAGTAAGAGAGCGAAAGGAATAGCAACACTGCAAAGTTGGACACCTATCTCATTACCGTAGGCACATGCATGTCCCATGCACACTTGCAAGCATACCCCATGCACGTATGCATTCACAAGCCCACGCAAACACACCTGAAATAGTGAGCTGAACACTCCACCAGGGACCCTCTCCAGGAACCACACAGCCCTCCACCCCAGCGCTGTAACCCCATGTACTCCCGCTGCTGCTGCTGACTCTGCTGTGGGGTCACTCGGCAGAGGTATGGATGACTCCGCAGGTATCACCTCCACCAGATAGTATTTCCGCCTGGCAAACGATCTCTCTGCATACAGCGCCCACACCTGGCCTATCTCCGGCAAAACTGTAGCCGTACGCGCGTTTGGGGAAGCCAGCTTGGAAATCCGGAAAGAGAAGGTGTTAACAGAGTCGAACGTTGTGGGCTTGCCGAATTTGAAGTATCCGATGCTGGGCTCTGCTCGTTCTGCTGGGTCGGCCAGAGCAGCTGCTGCCTCGGTCTGAGTGATAGTAGCAGCGGCAACGGTGCGCTTCTTGGAAAGTGCGGCCGCCTCGAGCCAGACTATAGTGCAGGAGAAGGGCGAGTGGGACACTTGGCGGATAGCGCAGAGGAAGCGGGGGAAGCCGTCAGAGTCATCATAGAGGGTCCACACCTGTGTTGGGGTTCAGGGGAGAACAAACGGGAGCAGAAACGACGGCGAGGCGTGGATTCTGATAAGCTCAAAAGCCAGGTAACGAGCTGATGGAAAGGGATGCATCATGCACGCGCATGCTGTGTGTGGCATGTGAAACAGAACCTACATCGCCTTGTCGAAATGTTTCCTCCGTGCGATCATCATCGAAGCAGTGGAAGTCGGGATCTGGAACAGAGAAGCGCACCACTTCCTCCTCCTCCTCCTCCTCCTCCTCCTCCTCCTCCTCCTCCTCCTCCTCCTCCTCCTCCTCCTCCTCCTCCTCCTCCTCCTCCTCCTCCTCCTCCTCCTCCTCGCTCTCCTCTTCCTCTTCATCAGACGAGATAAGCTCCACCACCTCCCCCTCATGCATAAACCCATTCCTCTTTCCATCACCACTCTTCTTCCCCCCACTGCTGCTGCCACGGCCCTCCCCTCGCCTTTCACCACTCCTCCCCTCTTCCCTCCCTGCTGCGACCCCTGGATTGTCATCCATAGGCACATCCGTGGAATTCCCCTCTCCTTGCACCCTCCCTGAGGCGTCTCCAGCCAGTCCGTGTCTGCTATCAGCCCCGGAGCCCTTGCTCGCATCACCTCCTCCCACAGCTGAGTCTTGGTCAGCCCTGGGTCTCCTGGGTTGACCACCGCCCCCTGCGCCCGTCCCATTGGCCCCTTTCATCCCCGCCCCGGCCTCGGTCACCTCCATGACGTCATCATCGTCGTTGTCATCCCCCAGGTGGTACACCACCGGCTTCCTGCTGCGCGCCGACCGCCTCATACCGCCTCCAACCATCTCCTCATCCTCCCCCACCCCTCCGCCCTCTCCCTGTGCCTGCCCCGTGCCTGCCGGCCACCCCTGGTAACCCCCCTGCAAGGGGTCCCTGTTTCCTCCCCCACCACCACCACCACGACCAGCATCGTCATCATCACTGTCTGCGTCCATACGGAAGTCCCACTCCTCGTCATCATCGCTGCTGTCCCCTGCCCCCCTTCGCCCTCCCCCCTGCTTCCTCTTCCGCAGCCGGTTCTTCCGCCCTGCCTGCTGCCCGCCACCCCTCTCACCCTCTCCACCTCCTGCTGCTGCTTGCGCGCCTGCAGTGCCATTCCCAACACCAGAAGCTCCAGCAGCTGCAGCAGCAGCGGCGAATTTTGCCTGCTGTTGTCGCCTGCGCTCCAGCAACTCATCCATCTGCATCTGCCGCCTCGCCTGCGCCTTCGCCTGCTCCTGCTGCACCTCCCCTGCTACTCTCTCCCTCTGCGCCCTCTCCTCCTCCGCTCTAGCCCTCAACGCCTCTTCCACGCTTCCTGTTTGGCCAAACTGCTGCGTACCCAACCCTGCTGCACCTGCGCCCATCGCTGCTCGCATTCTCTCATGCTGCTCCCGCTGCAGCTGCTGCTGCCGCCGCTGTGCTTCCTGCTGGAGCTGCTGCTGCCGCCGATGCTCCTCCTGCTGCTGCTGCTGTAGCCGCCTCTGTGCTTCCTGCAGCCGACGCTGCTCCTCTAAGTGCTGCTGCTGCAGCTGCTGTTGTCGCCGAAATTGCTCCTGCTGCTGCTGAAGCCGCTGCTGCTGTTGTTGTTGCTGGTGCTGTTGCCACTGTTGACTGCCATACACCCCGGCACCATCCGTCGAAAAGGAGAACTGTGCGAAGTTAGCAGCACCAGGGATAGCCCCCCCAGTCCCCATCCCTCCAAACTGCCCTGCAATTGCAGCAGCTGCCGCAGCAGCGGCAGCAGCAGCGTCCCCGGCCGCTGCAGCAGCAGCCGCCGCTCCCCCCCCCGTGCCCCTTAGGGATTCCGCGACAGCAGCGGCCTGCGCGGCTGCAGCAGCTGCCATAGCGGCAGCGGCGCTGGCAGAGGAATGCACATTGCCGTAGCTCGCTGGCATGCCGTACTGCATGCCGCCGGTGGGCATGAAGTTGGGCTGTTGAGGTGCACCCCTCGCTTGTGCTTGTGCCTGTGCCTGTGCCTGTTGTGCTTGTGCCTGTGCCTGCCTTACTGCCTGTGCATGTGCCTGTGCGTGTGCTTGCGCGTGTGCCTGTGCTGCTGCCTGTGACTGCGTCCGTGGTTGCGGCACGCTGCCGTTTTGTTTACCAGCTGCATTGCCAGCGGCAGACGCGTTAGAGGCAGACGCGGTGGCAGGCATGGCCTTGAACGAGCTCTTGCAGATGATGCACTGTACAACGGCCGCCATTGCGTCCCGCAAACACAAGAACCGCGTCCCGCACGTCGGACACCGCGTCTCGAACTGATTCCCCGCTCCCTGTCCCCCCGCACCTGATGCTGCTGCTCCTCCTGCTGGTGCTGCAGGCGGGGGTTTCGCTGCTGCTGGAGCTCTGTGTTGACTCCTCGAGGCATTAGCGCCGGCTGCTGCTCCTGCTCTGCCTGCGGTTACGTTTAATCGTCGTTTGGCGTCATGAACGGCCTTCTTCTGCTTGTCTGATACCACCGTGAACGCCTCGGATAGCAGCTTGAACGCTGCTTCCGCTCCGCTGGTTTTGTTCTTGTCCGGATGCAGCAACAGCGCCAGGCGACGGTACGCCTTCTTGATCTGACTGTCGTCATCGCAGAATGCGGGGATTTGGAGAAGAGCGTACCAGTCCACGTCTCCTCCCACGCGGTTCAGCGAAGCTTCGTGGACTTCGACCACGGCACAGACCTGCGTGAGCCCGTCGAGATTGGGAAAGAGGGATTGCGCTTTCCTTACTAGTCGACGAGCCCTGGCGTAATCGCCGCCTGCAAGAGCCGCTTCGGCTAGCTCCTTAGCCTTCGTCGCGTCTTCTCTATTGCACTCCATCTAATTCAGGAACTGTACGAATTGGCGGCGAGGAGCTACTGATTATAAACGGCGACCTAGGATTTGAACTATGCGCGAGTCTAAGCATCCGATCAGAGTGCATGTACGTGGCAGACTCTAAGCTGTACCATGAATGCAAGTTTAACGAACCTGGCATAACGAGGATAGCAGTAGAGAACCTCCAACATTACGAGGACAGAATGCTCTGGTCGAGATACTAAGACGAAAACGCAGGTCTCTGGAGATAAAGACGTAAGGTCCCTTGCAGGACAACCTAGTCCCTGATGCCTACCAAGGGAACCAGAGTCAACGATACGCAGCGTGGATGGTGATTATGGATCCAAAACCAGGTGACTTGCAAGAGCTCTGACAGCCTTGTACACATGTTGCTCAACTGCTGCGCGCGAATTTGCCCTGCACGCGCCAGAAAGTCTGCACCCGTGTATTTTGCGCCAGCCAGCTGCACCCACGATACAAGCACCCCAAGCAAGTTGCATTGGCTATGAACCAATAGTAACCACAGAAACCAAAGAATATCTGAAGAGACTGAAGTCAAAAAGTCAACGAGGAGTTACAATTTTTTTATAAGCCCTTTTTTGATAGGTGCGACGTTGACGAAATTTGTGAAATGACTTGAATCACTTAAAAGCCCCCTTCACAAGGCAACCTTGGGTTAGTCAAACGAGCATCATGTGTATTTGGAAGACTGCCACAAAATCACCACTGCGTGGATGGTGATTATGGATCCAAAACCAGGTGACTTGCAAGAGCTCTGACAGCCTTGTATTTGGACGACTGCCACAAAATCACCACTCTGCACACAGATGCGTTTCGCGACATACCACCCTTCAGAGTTTCAGAAAGAAACACTACTGAAAAAAACGATTGCGTTTCCTGTGCTGTTTGTTCAGGCAAATTTTACAGAAACATAGGGTTGACTCAGGGGACCACGATTTTTGTGTGATTTTATTGAAGGGAACCCAGCATCTTTCCCCCAATATCTCCGCCACGTTGCGTGATTCGTTTTCCTCCTCCACGTCTTCTCTAGTTTCCAGCGTCGGAGTTTCATTTTGGTTCAGCGAACCAGCAAAAATCCTCCTCTCTTCCCTAGTGTTCGTGCTTTCTGTGCCGAACCCTAGCAATCTCTTCCTTTCTCGTCACTTGCATCGACCGCCATGGGAAAGGGTCCTGGTTCCTTCTCAGACATTGGCAAGAAGGCCAAGGGTAAGACCGTTTGTCTCAACAGTTACTCTGTAGTCGTTACTTCAGCACGTCGTATGTGCGTTCTGATCTAGCATTTATGGATCTTGAACAGAGCTTCTTTTCAAGCATTACGCTTACGATCACAGCATCAACATCTCCACAAAGACTGATTCGGGCCTGGTAAGTACATCAGATACAGCTAAACAAGAGCCAGGATGAGATCCAGTAGTGCTGATGTTCCCTTCATTTGAAAATGCAGAAGTTTCAAACCGCATCAGTGAAGAAGGGAGACGAGGTGTCGTGCGATGTGAAGACCGAGGTCGAGATTGGAAACGTTGAGGCCGAGTTTAAGCTTGATACGAAGTCCAAGGTACGTACTGGCGGGAGTGCGCTCTAAGAATATAATGTGCCTTAGAAGGAGCCACTGGTTGACAGTCTGATTTGGAAACGTGTTCTTCCTTGTGTTTCAGCTTTATTTCAAGGCCGTTTACGAGGATCTTGCTCCTGGTCTGAAGCTTGCCCTAACTGGAATTGTTCCGGATTCGAAGGCCACCAAGGTGAGTGGGTTAACCCCGATCAGCACTCATTGTTTGCTCGCGCGGAATGATATGAACTTCATTTGGTGTCGCGATCCATTCATGAAATATTGCATGACATGAGCATCTCGGAGTTTTGCAGGCAGAGCTGACCTACAAGCAAGAGTTGCTACACGTGAATGCCACCGTGGGTCTTGTTACACAACCCGTTTTCGAGGGTGCTCTTGCCGTCGGAACCAAGGGTGTGGTTGTCGGTGCTGAGCTTGGCTACGACACTGCCACTAACAGCGCGACCAAGTACAACCTTGGCGTGGCTTACTCCGAATCCGATTTCTCTGCTTCCTTGTTGATGTAAGCCTGTGTTACCCGCTCTATTGTTTCCCATTTTTTCACCACACCGGTAGCTGACGAAACCTGCAATGCTCCCCTGTGCTGCAGTGCTGACAAGCTGGATACGTTGAAGGCTGCCTATTTCCAGAAGGTGAAGAAGGACGTTGAGGTTGCTGTTGAGGCAGCGCACAAACTCTCCAAAAGCGACACAACTTTCACAGCAGGTGCTTCCTTCGAGCTTGATCCCCTCACAGAGGCGAAGCTGAGGTTCAACAACCGTGGCACAGTTGCTGCTCTCCTCCAGCACGAGTTCCGGCCCAAGTCTAAGGTCACCATTGCAGGAGAGGTTGACTCCAAGGCTCTTGACAAGTCAGGCAAGGTTGGGCTTGCCATTGCTCTCAAGCTGTAGCTAGGTGGTCTGGTCAATTGCACCCCCACATTCCATAACACCAGTAGTGGTTATGAGTCTCACGTTGCATATCATTGTTTATCTGTAGCAACCAGCTATAATTACCCAAACACTAGTCCAGCCCTGAGGTTCAGTAATGTAGATTTTTGTCAGACTGTCTACATACGCTAATGGAACAACTCAAAGGACTAGAGTTTGTTATAGACTGTTTTGCTAATACTCACGCTAATAGAAACTGGCTAGTTCGGTGGATCAAATTCATTCCACATCATTTTTCCACTGAGCCGCCGACTTCCCCATGACTAGTCAGGAGATGTCTTTCGGCGACGCTGTGGAGACATTCTGAGTTACTTCGCAGGATTTCTTTCTCGCATTGACTGAGCGAGCCATTGAGTCAGGCAGTGCTAGTGCAATGGCGTTGAATTCCGCTGTAGCCGCCTCGGCTCCAGGCAAGGTGCTCCTAGTGGGAGCGTACCTTGTGGTAGAGCCTCCTAATCAAGGCCTCGTACTCGCCACGAACGCGCGCTTCTACGCCATTGCGCAGCCGCTAATCGCCGAGAGGGAGAAGCAGGTTACGGAATCAGCGGAAACAGCAGATGCGGGCAGAGAGAGCCTGATGACCGTTTGCGTGGATTCGCCTCAACGAGGCAGCTGCTACTTCTTCGACCTGTCCCTTGCAAATCTCGAAATCAGCAACCGCAGGTAGTTAGAGTTCAGTTGTGGCAGATGCCTTCGGATAAAAAACCATTGAAACTCGATTTTGTCACACGCCACCGCGAAGGCCACCGGTTGTGCCCCTTACGCTGCATTCCGATGGTCCGTGCCCCCTTGAGGTCCGTGCAGGGAAGGTGACGCCTGTGCGGGTGAATGCACAGGACAGAAAGGTCAAGCGGAGGAAGGCAGCGCGCAGAGGGTTTCAGGCAACCCTTACGTGGAAAGGGTGGTTCAGGTGGCTGTGGGAGCTGCCCTGGGGGAGACAGGCGGATTGAGGGACGGAGCAACGGACAAGCGGCAGCTGAGGGAGCGGCTGACGAGTGCAGGAGTGCGCATCACGATTGCAGGAGACAACGACTTTTATTCGCACCGCCACACTGTACGCTGCCGTTCCATGCACAAGTCCCTTCATGCACATTCCCCCAAGAACATTCCTTTATGCACGTATCCCCTGCACATACCCCCATACAAATTCCCCCATGCCCCACGCACATTACCCCATTCCCTATGCACAATCCTCCTACATGCCCCATGCACATTCCCCCGTGCACACCCCTCTATACGCACCCCTCCGCGTGAGTGCAGCTGCAACAGATGGGCCTGCCGCTCTCTGCGTCCTCCCTCGTCCGCATCCCCCCCTTCGCCCCGATCGTCAGCAACCCTCCTTCAGCAGCCCCAGCCACATCAACACCCCCGGTCACAACAGCAGCCCCACACGCAGCAGCACCAGCATCAGCATCAGCAGTCGCAGTAGCAGCAGCAGCAGAGGCGACGAGAGGGCACGTGCCAGAGGTGGCGAAGACAGGGCTGGGGTCGTCTGCCGCCATGACTGCTGCTGTCTCCGCCGCCCTGCTGCGCTTCCTCGGCGTGCTGGAGCGCACAGGGAGTGGCGCTGCTGATGAGGGTTCTCAGGAGCGGGCCATGGGGAGTGGAGCGGAGGAGAGCTCTCAAGGGGAGGCGGTGGGGAGTGCGGGGACGGTGGGGAGGGAGGAGGTGGTGCATCGGGTGGCGCAGGTGGCGCACTGCCTGGCGCAGGGCAAGGCGGGCAGCGGGTTTGATGTGGCAGCTGGCGTGTTTGGGTCCATGTGCTACCAGCGCTTCAACCCGTCCGTCATGCATGCCCTCATGGTGGGTGCTCTCGTGCTGGGTGCTGCCGTGATGGTTGCTGCCTTGCTGTGTGCTGCCATGATGGTTGCTGCCTTGCTGTGTGCTGCCATGATGGTTGCTGCCTTGCTGTGTGCTGCTCCATGATGGGTTGTGTTGTGTCATGCGCACGGCCATAATAAGTGATCAGGGCTGCAGGGAACATGACGCCTATTCACTTGTGTAACACCATCTTGCACATATGCCCTCCTGTGTGAACCTTGGGGTTGTGGCAGGGAGCAGAGGCAGCAATGACAGTGAGCAGCATATCAGCCACACTGCGGTCGCCTCTGTGGGATCACACCATCGCTCCCTTGCACCTCCCACCAGGCCTTCTCCTGGTATGCCTCCCTCCCACTCTCCCTCTTCCCCATTCTAACACTCTCATTCTACTATCCCATTCTCCCACCCTCCCGTTTTTGCCAAATGAGCATTGTTTTATTCTCCTCTCACGTACCCACTCATGCCCCCTTTCTTTTCCACGCGGTGTATGTGCCTGGCTGTGGATGGTAGGTACTGGGCGAGCCAGGCACAGGGGGTACCGCCACACCCTCCATGCTTTCTGCTGTCATGAAGTGAGTGTGAGCGTGGCCGTTCTGGAACATAGTTTGATCGCTTTTAGTGGGTATCGCACTGCTACGGGCGTATTCACGCATCGGTTATTTCAAGTTAGCACAAATCATTCCATCAACCCATATTAAGATCATGCCATCTTACCAGCATGCCATCATGCCATCCCCCATACCGCTCTGCAGTTCGTTGCTGCAGCAGTCCCTCACCTCTCCCTGACCCCATGCAATCATATCTTCCTTCTCCTTTTCCCCGTTTCCTCCCCCTCCCCACAGGTGGCGGCGGCAATCACCAGGAGAAGCAGAGCCCATTTGGGAAGGCCTAAAAGAGGCCAATGCGGCAGTGTCTGCTGCTCTCTCACACCTGTCCCTTCTCGCTCGCACCCATCCAGACGCCTTCTCCACCACTCTGAACCGCCTGCAGCACGTGCCTCTCACTGCAGCAACCCCAGTGGCGCCTGTTGCTGCCGCAACCCAGGTGAACCCTTTGTGTGCCACCTATGAGGCAACGGGAGATCTCCAGGCTGAGGTTGAGGTAACTCTGGAGTCTACTCAACAGTTGCAAGCAGGCACATCGGTGCATGGTAGCAGCGACATCAGCCACACAAGCAGGGCCATCAAACCACACGCACCACAGCAACCACAGGAACATCAAGAATCGCAAACAGAACAAGAGCAGCAAGGTGGTGACATCCGGAATACCATCCTACACGCGCTTCTCACCCTGCGGTCCTCCTTCCTCTCAGTGCGCCACCTGCTCTCTGCCATGGGCTCTGCTGCCGCCACACCCATCGAACCCCCCCAGCAGACCGCACTTCTTGACGCCACCATGCAGCAGCCGGGGGTGGTGATGGCGGGGGTGCCGGGTGCAGGGGGATTTGATAGTGTGTTTGCGGTGGTGGTGGGAGAGGAGGCGGCGAGGAGGCTGGATGGGATGTGGGCTGGTATGGGGGTGATGCAGATGGGTGTCAGGAGTGGGGCGGAGGGGATGAGGTGGGAGGAGGTAGAGGGGGTGATAAGGAGGCTGGGAAGGGGATGAGAAGCATGGGTCAATGTGGCATGGGTCAACGTGGCATGGGTCAACGTGGCATGGGTCAATGTGGCATGGGTCAATGTGGCATGGGTCAATGTGGCATGGGTCAATGCGGCATGGGTCAATGTCAGAATAATGATTTGCCCTTTCCCTCGGTCTTCACACATGTTCATCCCAGTTAGAGTGCAGTACAAGTCACTGAATGTATGGGTGCGTTCTCTCATGGAATAGATGCATAGAACAGACAGGCACATGGCTACTCATGCCATGCATAAGGACGTACAGCACATGCATGGCCACTATAGAATGGCTTACAAGTCTACTTCCGCAGCCCTAACATACCGTATCATGGGTTTTAAACCATGGCCATATTTTCTACTTGACCTTCTAGTTCTGTCACTCCACCACACACCCCTCTTGGGGCACAATAATGAGAGAAATTCCCACTTTTATAATATTGCATCATACAATAATTCGGCTAGCGACCCTGTTAGTGATGCTACCACTACAATGGTGATGCTGTGGTTAGTTACCCTTGCTCCAGGTGCCTCTTCCACCCCTCTGTTCCCACTTTCACGGCACCTGACGGGAAACCTGACGAGGGAACCTGCCAAGGCTCTGTGACAAAGCAGTCGCCTCACCTCTACTCGGGCTCCTTGTGGGTCTGTGGCTCCACCACGAGGGTGTGGCGGTCGCTGTGGAAGTGGAAGGGCGCCTCAAAGGCGAAGGCAGAGAGATCGTCCACCTGCCACTCGTGCTCGTGCACCCCCCACAGCGGATCCATGCCCACCCCCATCTTCACACTGCGCCGCCGCACCAGCGCCCGCACCGTCGCACTGAAGGCTCGGATGGAGGCTCGGGAAGCGGTAGGGGAGGCGGGAGGGGCTCGGGAAGGGGTGGGGGAGGGTTGGAGAGAGGGGGATGTGGTTGGGGAGGGGTGGGAGGAGGGCGATGGGGAGGATAGGCTGCGAGGGTTGAACTCGATGCTGCTGGTTACCACGTACTGTGTGCATGGCGGTGTTATACCGCAGTGGGGGTGGGAAAGAGGGAGGGAGGACGAGACAGAATCAGACAAGGATAAAATGAGGTCAGGGGAGAGGGTAAAGGGCATAAGAGAGGGAACATAGAACTGGAGCACAGCAGCACATTAGCCTGCACAAGGAGCAGTCGCGTGCTCGCAGATGCAAAAGAACAGCCGACACGGGAGAATTCGAACTAATGATGCAGTGACGTGCAGTGCAGTGCAGTGCGGTGCAGCAGCACTGACAACGAGGGAGAAGTCCCGTTTGAAGGGCCACTTGAGCGCCCACACGGTGCCTGGCTGCGGATACACCGCGTGCACACTCCTGCCCGCCCCGCCTGCTACCCTGCGCACCCTCCGCACCCTGATGGGGGTGATGGGGGTAATGTGATGGGAATGACGGGGATGATGGGGATAAGGGTGGCGTTCGAAGGGCCACATGACAACCCCAAGACGGTGCCTGGCTGCGGATACACCGCGTGCACACTCCTGCCCGCCCCGCCTGCTACCCTGCGCACCCTCCGCACCCTGATGGGGGTGATGGGGGTAATGTGATGGGAATGACGGGGATGATGGGGATAAGGGTGGCGTTCGAAGGGCCACATGACAACCCCAAGACGGTGCCTGGCTGCGGATACACCGCGTGCACACTCCTGCCCGCCCCGCCTGCTACCCTGCGCACCCTCCGCACCCTGATGGGGGTGATGGGGGTAATGTGATGGGAATGACGGGGATGATGGGGATAAGGGTGGCGTTCGAAGGGCCACATGACAACCCCAAGACGGTGCCTGGCTGCGGATACACCGCGTGCACACTCCTGCCCGCCCCGCCTGCTACCCTGCGCACCCTCCGCACCCTGATGGGGGTGATGGGGGTAATGTGATGGGAATGACGGGGATGATGGGGATAAGGGTGGCGTTCGAAGGGCCACATGACAACCCCAAGACGGTGCCTGGCTGCGGATACACCGCGTGCACACTCCTGCCCGCCCCGCCTGCTACCCTGCGCACCCTCCGCACCCTGATGGGGGTGATGGGGGTAATGTGATGGGAATGACGGGGATGATGGGGATAAGGGTGGCGTTCGAAGGGCCACATGACAACCCCAAGACGGTGCCTGGCTGCGGATACACCGCGTGCACACTCCTGCCCGCCCCGCCTGCTACCCTGCGCACCCTCCGCACCCTGATGGGGGTGATGGGGGTAATGTGATGGGAATGACGGGGATGATGGGGATAAGGGTGGCGTTCGAAGGGCCACATGACAACCCCAAGACGGTGCCTGGCTGCGGATACACCGCGTGCACACTCCTGCCCGCCCCGCCTGCTACCCTGCGCACCCTCCGCACCCTGATGGGGGTGATGGGGGTAATGTGATGGGAATGACGGGGATGATGGGGATAAGGGTGGCGTTCGAAGGGCCACATGACAACCCCAAGACGGTGCCTGGCTGCGGATACACCGCGTGCACACTCCTGCCCGCCCCGCCTGCTACCCTGCGCACCCTCCGCACCCTGATGGGGGTGATGGGGGTAATGTGATGGGAATGACGGGGATGATGGGGATAAGGGTGGCGTTCGAAGGGCCACATGACAACCCCAAGACGGTGCCTGGCTGCGGATACACCGCGTGCACACTCCTGCCCGCCCCGCCTGCTACCCTGCGCACCCTCCGCACCCTGATGGGGGTGATGGGGGTAATGTGATGGGAATGACGGGGATGATGGGGATAAGGGTGGCGTTCGAAGGGCCACATGACAACCCCAAGACGGTGCCTGGCTGCGGATACACCGCGTGCACACTCCTGCCCGCCCCGCCTGCTACCCTGCGCACCCTCCGCACCCTGATGGGGGTGATGGGGGTAATGTGATGGGAATGACGGGGATGATGGGGATAAGGGTGGCGTTCGAAGGGCCACATGACAACCCCAAGACGGTGCCTGGCTGCGGATACACCGCGTGCACACTCCTGCCCGCCCCGCCTGCTACCCTGCGCACCCTCCGCACCCTGATGGGGGTGATGGGGGTAATGTGATGGGAATGACGGGGATGATGGGGATAAGGGTGGCGTTCGAAGGGCCACATGACAACCCCAAGACGGTGCCTGGCTGCGGATACACCGCGTGCACACTCCTGCCCGCCCCGCCTGCTACCCTGCGCACCCTCCGCACCCTGATGGGGGTGATGGGGGTAATGTGATGGGAATGACGGGGATGATGGGGATAAGGGTGGCGTTCGAAGGGCCACATGACAACCCCAAGACGGTGCCTGGCTGCGGATACACCGCGTGCACACTCCTGCCCGCCCCGCCTGCTACCCTGCGCACCCTCCGCACCCTGATGGGGGTGATGGGGGTAATGTGATGGGAATGACGGGGATGATGGGGATAAGGGTGGCGTTCGAAGGGCCACATGACAACCCCAAGACGGTGCCTGGCTGCGGATACACCGCGTGCACACTCCTGCCCGCCCCGCCTGCTACCCTGCGCACCCTCCGCACCCTGATGGGGGTGATGGGGGTAATGTGATGGGAATGACGGGGATGATGGGGATAAGGGTGGCGTTCGAAGGGCCACATGACAACCCCAAGACGGTGCCTGGCTGCGGATACACCGCGTGCACACTCCTGCCCGCCCCGCCTGCTACCCTGCGCACCCTCCGCACCCTGATGGGGGTGATGGGGGTAATGTGATGGGAATGACGGGGATGATGGGGATAAGGGTGGCGTTCGAAGGGCCACATGACAACCCCAAGACGGTGCCTGGCTGCGGATACACCGCGTGCACACTCCTGCCCGCCCCGCCTGCTACCCTGCGCACCCTCCGCACCCTGATGGGGGTGATGGGGGTAATGTGATGGGAATGACGGGGATGATGGGGATAAGGGTGGCGTTCGAAGGGCCACATGACAACCCCAAGACGGTGCCTGGCTGCGGATACACCGCGTGCACACTCCTGCCCGCCCCGCCTGCTACCCTGCGCACCCTCCGCACCCTGATGGGGGTGATGGGGGTAATGTGATGGGAATGACGGGGATGATGGGGATAAGGGTGGCGTTCGAAGGGCCACATGACAACCCCAAGACGGTGCCTGGCTGCGGATACACCGCGTGCACACTCCTGCCCGCCCCGCCTGCTACCCTGCGCACCCTCCGCACCCTGATGGGGGTGATGGGGGTAATGTGATGGGAATGACGGGGATGATGGGGATAAGGGTGGCGTTCGAAGGGCCACATGACAACCCCAAGACGGTGCCTGGCTGCGGATACACCGCGTGCACACTCCTGCCCGCCCCGCCTGCTACCCTGCGCACCCTCCGCACCCTGATGGGGGTGATGGGGGTAATGTGATGGGAATGACGGGGATGATGGGGATAAGGGTGGCGTTCGAAGGGCCACATGACAACCCCAAGACGGTGCCTGGCTGCGGATACACCGCGTGCACACTCCTGCCCGCCCCGCCTGCTACCCTGCGCACCCTCCGCACCCTGATGGGGGTGATGGGGGTAATGTGATGGGAATGACGGGGATGATGGGGATAAGGGTGGCGTTCGAAGGGCCACATGACAACCCCAAGACGGTGCCTGGCTGCGGATACACCGCGTGCACACTCCTGCCCGCCCCGCCTGCTACCCTGCGCACCCTCCGCACCCTGATGGGGGTGATGGGGGTAATGTGATGGGAATGACGGGGATGATGGGGATAAGGGTGGCGTTCGAAGGGCCACATGACAACCCCAAGACGGTGCCTGGCTGCGGATACACCGCGTGCACACTCCTGCCCGCCCCGCCTGCTACCCTGCGCACCCTCCGCACCCTGATGGGGGTGATGGGGGTAATGTGATGGGAATGACGGGGATGATGGGGATAAGGGTGGCGTTCGAAGGGCCACATGACAACCCCAAGACGGTGCCTGGCTGCGGATACACCGCGTGCACACTCCTGCCCGCCCCGCCTGCTACCCTGCGCACCCTCCGCACCCTGATGGGGGTGATGGGGGTAATGTGATGGGAATGACGGGGATGATGGGGATAAGGGTGGCGTTCGAAGGGCCACATGACAACCCCAAGACGGTGCCTGGCTGCGGATACACCGCGTGCACACTCCTGCCCGCCCCGCCTGCTACCCTGCGCACCCTCCGCACCCTGATGGGGGTGATGGGGGTAATGTGATGGGAATGACGGGGATGATGGGGATAAGGGTGGCGTTCGAAGGGCCACATGACAACCCCAAGACGGTGCCTGGCTGCGGATACACCGCGTGCACACTCCTGCCCGCCCCGCCTGCTACCCTGCGCACCCTCCGCACCCTGATGGGGGTGATGGGGGTAATGTGATGGGAATGACGGGGATGATGGGGATAAGGGTGGCGTTCGAAGGGCCACATGACAACCCCAAGACGGTGCCTGGCTGCGGATACACCGCGTGCACACTCCTGCCCGCCCCGCCTGCTACCCTGCGCACCCTCCGCACCCTGATGGGGGTGATGGGGGTAATGTGATGGGAATGACGGGGATGATGGGGATAAGGGTGGCGTTCGAAGGGCCACATGACAACCCCAAGACGGTGCCTGGCTGCGGATACACCGCGTGCACACTCCTGCCCGCCCCGCCTGCTACCCTGCGCACCCTCCGCACCCTGATGGGGGTGATGGGGGTAATGTGATGGGAATGACGGGGATGATGGGGATAAGGGTGGCGTTCGAAGGGCCACATGACAACCCCAAGACGGTGCCTGGCTGCGGATACACCGCGTGCACACTCCTGCCCGCCCCGCCTGCTACCCTGCGCACCCTCCGCACCCTGATGGGGGTGATGGGGGTAATGTGATGGGAATGACGGGGATGATGGGGATAAGGGTGGCGTTCGAAGGGCCACATGACAACCCCAAGACGGTGCCTGGCTGCGGATACACCGCGTGCACACTCCTGCCCGCCCCGCCTGCTACCCTGCGCACCCTCCGCACCCTGATGGGGGTGATGGGGGTAATGTGATGGGAATGACGGGGATGATGGGGATAAGGGTGGCGTTCGAAGGGCCACATGACAACCCCAAGACGGTGCCTGGCTGCGGATACACCGCGTGCACACTCCTGCCCGCCCCGCCTGCTACCCTGCGCACCCTCCGCACCCTGATGGGGGTGATGGGGGTAATGTGATGGGAATGACGGGGATGATGGGGATAAGGGTGGCGTTCGAAGGGCCACATGACAACCCCAAGACGGTGCCTGGCTGCGGATACACCGCGTGCACACTCCTGCCCGCCCCGCCTGCTACCCTGCGCACCCTCCGCACCCTGATGGGGGTGATGGGGGTAATGTGATGGGAATGACGGGGATGATGGGGATAAGGGTGGCGTTCGAAGGGCCACATGACAACCCCAAGACGGTGCCTGGCTGCGGATACACCGCGTGCACACTCCTGCCCGCCCCGCCTGCTACCCTGCGCACCCTCCGCACCCTGATGGGGGTGATGGGGGTAATGTGATGGGAATGACGGGGATGATGGGGATAAGGGTGGCGTTCGAAGGGCCACATGACAACCCCAAGACGGTGCCTGGCTGCGGATACACCGCGTGCACACTCCTGCCCGCCCCGCCTGCTACCCTGCGCACCCTCCGCACCCTGATGGGGGTGATGGGGGTAATGTGATGGGAATGACGGGGATGATGGGGATAAGGGTGGCGTTCGAAGGGCCACATGACAACCCCAAGACGGTGCCTGGCTGCGGATACACCGCGTGCACACTCCTGCCCGCCCCGCCTGCTACCCTGCGCACCCTCCGCACCCTGATGGGGGTGATGGGGGTAATGTGATGGGAATGACGGGGATGATGGGGATAAGGGTGGCGTTCGAAGGGCCACATGACAACCCCAAGACGGTGCCTGGCTGCGGATACACCGCGTGCACACTCCTGCCCGCCCCGCCTGCTACCCTGCGCACCCTCCGCACCCTGATGGGGGTGATGGGGGTAATGTGATGGGAATGACGGGGATGATGGGGATAAGGGTGGCGTTCGAAGGGCCACATGACAACCCCAAGACGGTGCCTGGCTGCGGATACACCGCGTGCACACTCCTGCCCGCCCCGCCTGCTACCCTGCGCACCCTCCGCACCCTGATGGGGGTGATGGGGGTAATGTGATGGGAATGACGGGGATGATGGGGATAAGGGTGGCGTTCGAAGGGCCACATGACAACCCCAAGACGGTGCCTGGCTGCGGATACACCGCGTGCACACTCCTGCCCGCCCCGCCTGCTACCCTGCGCACCCTCCGCACCCTGATGGGGGTGATGGGGGTAATGTGATGGGAATGACGGGGATGATGGGGATAAGGGTGGCGTTCGAAGGGCCACATGACAACCCCAAGACGGTGCCTGGCTGCGGATACACCGCGTGCACACTCCTGCCCGGGCCCCCTGCCTGCGCTGCCACCCTCCTCACTCGCTGCAACCTCATGTGTGATATGGGCGGGGCGATGGGGGTCATGGGGGTGATGGGGGTGATGGGAGTGACGGGGGTGATAGGGGTGGTGGGGGTGATGGGGGTGATGGGAGTGATGGGGGTGATGGGAGTGATGTGATGTGATGGGGGTGATGGGGGTGATGGGGGTGATGGGAGTGATGGGGGTGATGTGATGTGATGGGGGTGACGGGGGTGATGGGGGTGATGGGGGTGATGTGATGTGATGGGGGTGATGGGGGTGATGGGGATGATGGGGATGATGGGAGTGATGGGAGTGATGGGGGTGATGGGAGTGATGGGGGTGATGGGGGTGACGGGGGTGATGGGGGTGATGGGGGTGATGTGATGTGATGGGGGTGATGGGGGTGATGGGGATGATGGGGATGATGGGGGTGATGGGAGTGATGGGGGTGATGGGAGTGATGGGGGTGATGGGGGTGATGGGGGTGATGGGGGTGATGTGATGTGATGGGGGTGACGGGGGTGATGGGGGTGATGGGGGTGATGTGATGTGATGGGGGTGATGGGGGTGATGGGGATGATGGGGGTGATGGGAGTGATGGGGGTGATGGGGGTGATGGGGGTGATGGGGGTGATGGGGGTGATGGGGGTGATGTGATGTGATGGGGGTGATGGGGGTGATGGGGATGATGGGGATGATGGGGGTGATGGGAGTGATGGGGGTGATGGGGGTGATGGGGGTGATGGGGGTGATGGGGGTGATGTGAGTGATGGGGGTGATGGGGGTGATGGGGGTGATGGGGGTGATGGGAGTGACGGGGGTGATGGGGGTGATGGGGGTGATGGGGGTGATGGGGGTGATGGGGGTGATGTGATGTGATGGGGGTGATGGGGGTGATGGGGATGATGGGGATGATGGGGGTGATGGGAGTGATGGGGGTGATGGGAGTGATGGGGGTGATGGGAGTGATGGGGGTGATGGGGGTGATGGGGGTGATGGGGGTGATGGGGGTGATGTGAGTGATGGGGGTGATGGGGGTGATGGGGGTGATGGGAGTGACGGGGGTGATGGGGGTGATGTGATGTTATGGGGGTGATGGGGGTGATGTGATGTGATGGGGGTGATGGAAGTGATGGGTATGCGAATGTGTGAGAATCGTGATGGCACAAGGGCAGCAAAGCAACGCTGCGAGAGCAGAGAGAGGGCAGCAGAGCAGAAAAACAGCACCTACCTGTGGCTGAAGACAGTGAGGCTGGTGGCCGTGTGCGTCTCCTGCTCCATCTCATACAGCCCTGCTCCATGCCACGTGTGCTCGTCCTCCCCCTCGCCCTTGTACTCGTCTCCCTCCTCATCCTCATCGTCCTCTTCCTCTTCCTCCTCGTCACCACTCTCGCTCTCCTCCCTCTCTTCCCGCTTCCCATTTGCAGGATGCCCAGCTGATTGAGCGTCTACAAGATAGAAGTACCGGCTGAATGGAGGAGAAAAGATGTGGGAGGGTGGAGAGGAGGGAATATGCAGCAGCAATGTGGTCACGAAGCAATGTGGTCAAGAAGCAATGTGGTCAAGAAGCATTTTAAGGCACTAGGAACAACAGTTACAGGTGTGCTTCAACAGGTCGCAACTTGCGAGAAGCAAGCAAGGTACGGAAAACGAATCTCAAGATGCATTGAGAGATTGTGGCCGGTGCAACAGAAGCAACAGAGGGGTGCGCTCTCGAGACATATCCAGCCGAATAACGCGTGATCTGTTCAGAGTGAAGGGGAGCAGGATTGGCATACTATGTGATCTGGCCCTATGTTGCGAGCTCACTAGGTGATGCAGAGAGGAGTCGGCTTGCGCAGCGACTCGATGTCGAATCTGCCGCCCTCCACGGAGAGGATCAGCGCGTACCAATTGGGTAGCTTGGACCAGCTGTATGCCGCCCATACCTGGCGCAGTGCGGTGAGATGGGTTGCGGTGGGGAGGGGTTGGGTTGGGTGGGGTGGGCACGGCACAAAAACGCGGGAACTGTGTGAGAGTGATGAGTGCAGTGTGGGGGAGATGAGTGCAGTGTGGGGGAGATGAGTGCAGTGTGGGGGAGATGGGTGCAGTGTGGGGGAGATGAGTGCAGTGTGGGGGAGATGAGTGCAGTGTGGGGGAGATGGGTGCAGTGTGGGGGAGATGAGTGCAGTGTGGGGGAGATGGGTGCAGTGTGGGGGAGATGAGTGCAGTGTGGGGGAGATGAGTGCAGTGTGGGGGAGATGGGTGCAGTGTGGGGGAGATGAGTGCAGTGTGGGGGAGATGGGTGCAGTGTGGGGGAGATGAGTGCAGTGTGGGGGAGATGGGTGCAGTGTGGGGGAGATGAGTGCAGTGTGGGGGAGATGAGTGCAGTGTGGGGGAGATGAGTGCATGTTGCCTGGATTGAGCACCACTAAAGACCTAATCACTTCGAGATGGTTACCCTTCATCCTTCACTTCCACCCACGCTCATTGCTCAACGGAGGCCCCCTTGGAGACATATTCTTTTTGTGGCAGCGATTGCGTAAACAATGATTGATAGTAAAAAACTGTCTTGCTTGCTTGTATTCTCATAACCACTCCGAGCTAGCTACCTTTCATCCCTCACTTCCACACACACTCACCGCTCACCTCCCCTGGCACCCATGAGGTGATTGGTGCGGGTGACAAGGGGCAGGCAGCGCACAGGGGGGAGCAGAGAGGTGCCCGTCACACTCCCTGCCCGCCCATTGCCCTGCACGCCACTGCCCTGCTATCACACACCCTTACCCTTGAAGTGCGCTCACCTCCCCCGGCACCATGAGGGCGCACTTGGTGCGGGTGACATGGGGCGGCACACAGGCAGGCAGCGCACAGGGGGGAGCAGAGAGGCCCCTTCACACTGCTCCTCAACCCCACGTTCTCATCTCTCACCCCCCCCCTCTTAACACCCACGCTCAGTGCTCACCTCCCCCGGCACCATGAGGGCGCACTTGGCGCGGGTGACATGGGGCGGCACACAGGCAGGCAGCGCACACGGAGGAGCGGAGAGGCGCAGCGAGGGGGACAGCAGCGGCGTGAGCAGGTATGATATCACGGCCACCTGTGGGGGAAGAGCAGGGGGCATTGGGAGAGTGTGGGAGAGGGGTCTTAGAAAGCAGGAGACTGTTACAGGGGGGAGCAGAGAGGCGCAGCTTGGGGGAGAGCAGCGGCGTGAGCAGGTATGATATCACTGCCACCTATGGGAGAAAAGAACGGGGGATAAGGGAGAAGAGGGGGGTTGATGATGGATAAGGCAAGGGGGAAATAATAGGGTGGTGAGGGGTGGATTGGTCGCAGGGGAAGATAGCAGCATAGGGAAAGGCTTAGCAAGTAGGAGAAGAATCGGTAAAAGGGTGAGTGGCAGGCGGGCAGGGACACTCAACTGGAAACGAGTTCCCCAGCAGGCCCCATCGGTCCCTCTCCTGCAGCTCCTCCTGCCCTCTCTCCTCCCCCGCACTCGTCTCCCCTCGCCTTCCCCCCCCCCCCCCTCCTTCCCTCTCGCCCACTCACCGGAAACGAGTTCCCGAGTAGGCCCCATCGGTCCCTCTCCTGCAGCTCCTCCTGCTTACTCTCATCCCACCGACAAGTCTCCTCCCTCCCACTCATCCCGTCCGCCCTCCCGCTCGCCCTCTCACTGGCCCCACTCCGCCTCCGCCTCGTCTCTTGGGGCTGCTGTTGCACGCCCCTCCTCCTGGTGTGGTGGGGATAGAACAGGAGAGGAGAGGAGAGAACACAGGTAACGACAAGCTGTGCAATGGAGAGTGAGGTTGACTTGTGTAACTACCTTGGCGGCACATGCCCATCAGCATTGCTCACTAACCACCTCAAATCCCACTTGGCCCACACGTTCCGCTACCACCTCTACTACCCAACATCACTCCACTCACATCACTCACTCCACTCACACACATTCAATTTCACCTTCAACCACACCTCTCACACCTCTCACACCTATCAATCACCGCCCACGCACATGAGCTCTGCCTCGCTGTAGAATCCAATGCTAGGCCGCGCTCGCAGCGACCTCCCCGTGCTGCCGCCAGCAGCAGCCGGTGCAGCAGCAGACGCACCATCACCAGCAGCAGGAGAAGAGTGTTCGCTTGCCTTGGCTCCTCCTCCGTCCTCCCTTGCCTTGGCCTGGCCTCCTCCGTCCTCCCTTGCCTTGGCCTGGCCTCCTCCGTCCTCCCTTGCCTTGGCCTGGCCTCCTCCGTCCTCCCTTGCCTTGGCCTGGCCTCCTCCGTCCTCCCTTGCCTTGGCCTGGCCTCCTCCGTCCTCCCTTGCCTTGGCCTGGCCTCCTCCGTCCTCCCTTGCCTTGGCCTGGCCTCCTCCGTCCTCCCTTGCCTTGGCCTGGCCTCCTCCGTCCTCCCTTGCCTTGGCCTGGCCTCCTCCGTCCTCCCTTGCCTTGGCCTGGCCTCCTCCGTCCTCCCTTCTGCCCTTCTTTTCTCCAACCTTTTCGTCCCCCAATACCGATGGTGGCACTTCAACCACATCGTCTTCACTATCTTCATGATCCGTGGCATGACCGTTCTCCACCGCATTGTCCTCCTTCAACACCCCAACGTCACCACTCTTCACCGCATTCTCACTCTTCAATCCTGAAGCACCATTGGCAGCAGCACCACCATGATAACCATCAAAACCATCATCACCCTCATCACCATCAGCATCCACACAATCACCGCTTCTCACCGCATCACACCTAGCCGCACCCTGCAACTCTCCTCCATCTCGCCCCTTCCAGACTCTCCTCCTCTTTCCTCCACCTCCCTCCCTCTCTCCATTCGCCACTCCATTCCTCTTCCCCTCCACCCACCTCCTCGCCTCTCCGCCCTTGTGTTTTCCCCTCTCTCCAGACGCCTTTGCTGCAACGCCCAACACCCACTTCCCACCATCTCTTCCCACCACATCAAACCCCTCAGCACCTCCCTTTCCTCCATCTCCCCCAGCAATGCATGCACTCACCTCCCTCACCCCCCTCACCTCCCCCTCCTTAACCTCCCTCACCTCCGCTTCCTCTCCCTCCTCCTCTCTTACCTCCCTCACCCCATCAAACACTGCTCTGTTCAGCACTCGCACAGGGGAGAAAGGTGGAACGGAGGGGTCGCTGGGAACTGCTGCATCGACTTCCTTCACCCCTCCTTCACTCTTCACTCCCCTCTCCCTCCTCACTCCTCCTTCACTCTTCACTCCCCTCTCCCTCCTCACTCCTCCTTCACTCTTCACTCCCCTCTCCCTCCTCACTCCTTCACTCATCACTCCTCTCTCGATCTTCACCCCTTCTTCGCTATTCACCTCCCTCACATCTTCTTTCTCCTCCTCCCTTTCCTCACCTCTCAACCAATCAGCCCCAGCAGACTCCCAATTCCCTGTACCATTTTCTTGCCCCTTCCCCGCCCCTGCTTTCCCCCCTGTCGCCCCTCTCCTTCCCACCTTGATAGCAGCGAACCGGGCGGCGGGGATCTTGGTGTATCCGGGCGGGAATCCAAAGATTCTCTCGATCTCGTGGGAAAGGAAGAAGCGGGCGGCATGGGATCGCAGGCAGATGACCTGATTGGTGCGGCCCTTGCCAGCTGTGCGGTAATTGGTCTTCATGATTGGCTGGGGAAGATGGAAGGATGAGGCAGAGGGTAAGAGAGGGCAGGAGATTTATATTGAGGGGGGCACGTGTGGGGGAAGCAGAGGGAGTGGGATCGCAGGCAGATGACCTGATTGGTGCGGCCCTTGCCGGCCGTGCGGAAGTTGGTCTTCATGATGGGCTGGGGGAGAGGGAAGGGGGATGAGGCGGAGGATAAAGGGGTAATATAGAGGGTTGTGGGGGAAGCAGAAGGAGCAGGCGACCCGGTTGGTGTAAAGCGGCCCTTGCCGACCACACAAACAATGAAATTCATCACAGGATTGCAGAGCGAATGTCAACTCTCCATACGCCCCTCCACAACCCCATAGTCAGTCCACACATCCCCTTCCCCCTTCCCCCTTCCCCCTTCCCCCATACCCACCCCGCACTTGTCCTTCAGTGGCAATCGCGTCAAACAGCTTGCTCTGCAGCGGAGTGGACGGGTGGCAGCGCACACTCACTCTCCACCTGCCCCCTTAAACTCGATACCCTCCCTGCCCAACCCTCCTCTCCCTTCCCCCTTCCCCCTTACCCACCCCGCACTTGTCTTCAGTGGCGATCGCATTGCACAGCTTGCTCTGCAGCAGTGTGGACGGGTGGCAGCGCACGGGCGGCATCTGAGCTGGCAGCGGCAGGTTGGTCCAAAACAGCCGCCGCCGCGCCTGTGCGGTGAGGTCGGCGCAGTCGATGCAGACGGGTGGCACTCCCAGATACTTGGAGATCTCATCGCGATCCATCCACTGCATGCTCGCCACGTTTTCAACCAGAAACCTGGTGGAGGAGGAGGAACGGGGGGTAAGTGTGCATGTGGGAGTGGGCAAAGAGAGCAACCAGTCAGCAGCAGCGTCAATCGGTCCATGCATCCACTGCATGCTCGCCACGTTCTCCACCAGAAACCTGATGAAAAGAGGGTAGGGGAGAGAAGCGAGAGGATGAGGAGAGCCAAGGGTGAGCTCTGATAAGCACTCCCGTGTGAGCATTCACGCCCTCATCCAGAACTATCCATGCATCCATGCATGCAGTGCATGCTCGCCACGTTCCCCACCAGGAACCTGGTGGGGGGCCACAGGTGGGTGTGGGTGTGTGCAAGTGGGAATGGCAAAGTGAGCAACCAGTCAGCCACTATCCATGCATCCATGCAGTGCATGCGCGCCACGGTCCCCACCAGGAACCTGCTGTCGTGTCGTGGACAGGGAGAATGCAGATCACGAGAGGGCTCTCAAGAGGGGAACGACATGCATACACTGCAGTGAACCTTACCATGCACTCTTACTAGGACGTAGTCGCAATTCTAGAGGCCACCATCTGGGTAGCAGTTTAATCGTTACGGGAAAGAGGCGGTTACCATCTGGGTAACAGTTTACTCTTTATGGGAAAGAGGCGGTTACCATCTGGGTAGCAGTTTACTCGTTACGGGAAAGAGGCGGTTACCATCTGGGTAGCAGTTTACTCGTTACGGGAAAGAGGCGGTTACCATCTGGGTAGCAGTTTACTCTTTATGGGAAAGAGGCGGTTACCATCTGGGCGAGAGCTGTTGAATGAGGCGCAGGAGGTGGAAGAAGAGGCCACTGCGCGGGCCGTGCAGCCTGGGAGATGCATGGTGTGGGGTTGAACATGTGTGGGGTTGAACATGTGTGGGGTTGAACATGTGTGGGGTTGAACATGTGAACGAGCAGGGACGCACATGCGGGGCAGGGAAGGGGGGGAGGTGCAGGGGAGGGCAGGCAAAAGGAAACCGTTTGGGGGAGAGGTGCTGGATGAGACGCAGGAGGTGGAAGAAGAGGCCACTGCGCGGGCCGTGCAGCCTGGGAGATGCATGGTGAGGGTGAACGGGTGAGAGGGCAGGGAGAGAGAGGCAGGGAGAGAGAGGCAGGGAGAGAGAGGCAGGGAGAGGAAAGGTCAGGGCAGGGAGGGAAGGAGAGGGCATAGGAGGGAGGGCGAGGGAGGGAGAGGGGATGAGTGAGGGCGGGACGTCGAGGGTTATGCAGGAGAGGGGGAACATAAGATGGCGAGGGTGCAGGAGTGGTAAATGCTAGCTGGCAGTGCATGCAATGCAATGCAAGAGGACGGGAACGGCAGATGGGACGTTTCTGCTGTGCGCTCGCGCTCCTGCCACTCACCCCACCCTGTTTCGGTTCATGCTGCTCAGATCCTGACAAGGAAAGCCGCCCACTAGCAGGTCCACATGGACGCCAGCGGGAACATTCGGTGAAGCTTCCTTGCACTTTCTCGGTCGAAGCTCTTTGGTGTTGGCAGCGGAGGCAGCAGCACCAGCACCAGCAGTGGCGCCAGCAGTGGCACAACTAGCAGCAGCAGCAGCGGCAGCGAGGGCGGAGTGGATGGTGGTGGGTGTGAGGGCGGTGATATCCCCCACGTGCTGCACGGCTGGCCACCTGTGCCTCACCACCTCCGCTGCGAATGGGTCCTGTGGGGGAGGGAGGGGTGCGAGGAGGTGCGGAGGGTTGTGGAGAAACGATATGCAGTGGCATGAGAATGCTGCACCTCACATCAAGCGTGCTGCACGGCCGGCCACCTGTGCCTCACCTGCTGTACCACCACTGCGAATGGGTCCTGTGGGGCAGGGAGGGAGGGAGAGAGGGAGGGATGAGAAGACTGGAAAAGACTGCTGCAAAAAAAAGGTGATACAAACAGGAGCACGCAGCAAGGCCCCCACGTCTTGAGACGCTACTTCACTCACCATTTCAGAGCTGACGCTGGTGAAGGAAATGCCGCAGTCGTGCAGCGCCTGCCGTTTCAGAGCGACTAGGAACTATACAATACACCCAGCGTGCACCACACCCAGCGTGCACCACACCCAGCGTGCACCACACCCAGCGTGCACCACACCCAGCGTGCACCACACCCAGCAACGCACCCAGCGGCTCTGCACTCACGATTTCAGAGCTGACGCCAGTGAACGGAATGCCGCAGTCGTGCAGCGCCTGCCAGATGGCGCCGCACCCGTCGAACAGACTCACCACCGCCAATGGCCGCCCCTCCCACGGCCCCGCGCGCCTCCGCGCCTCCCCCAGCCAGTCCCCGTCCCACCCCGCCCCCGCCTCCCTCGCCCATTCCCCCGGTTGCCCAGCCCAAGCCCCCGAGTGTGATCCCCGCGCCCCTTGCTGCGCTCCCGTCCGCGCAGCTGCGCCTGCGCCTGATTGCTCCCGCGCCCCTGCCTGGTGAAAAGGCTCTGCTTTCCCCGCGGAACCATCCCTTTCCATCTTCCGATGTCCCCTTTCCCCGTTTCCCCCCTCCACCCTCCCGCCACCTAATGAGAGATCGCGTATAGCGGAGCCGCGCGCAGGCGGACTACGATCGTTCCGCCACACCTCGCGCGTCGCGGGGGTTCTGAGTGGGCAATGGAGCCTCGAGACGCGTCGAGACGCGTCGAAACAAGCTCTGCGCGGCAATGCCGAGGAGGAAAGTGAAAATACAGCTAATACCACTAGTACCCTTCGCCGTGCGCTAGCTAATGACCTGATAAACCACGAGTCGCTCCGGCCGCACGGCGAAGGGTGGGCAGAGAGTGGCTACTCAGCAGTCGTGCTAACCGGAGCGGCGGGTGTGCGTTTGTAGGCGTGCTTTGGAGGGCGAGGCGAGATAGGAGTGTGATTGACGTGACGAGAGGAGGGCGATTCGAGGATCTTTATCGTGAAATGTGCGGACCAGCGCAGCGGGATGGGTTGAGATGAGGATGATGGGAGTGGTTGATGTGACAGCAGTGTATTGCTCGCGAGTACAGTTACACATCAGTTGAGATTGTGAAGTCGCAAAAATAGGATATTATGTTTTGACTGTTTCATATAGCGAAGCTCCGTAACGCGGACGAGCCCACCCCTATGCCAGTTGCATTGATATTTCGGGTTTTGACGGGTTTGAGGGTTATTCCTCCTGCTCCTACAGAATTCAGGGCTTTGTCCCGTCAGCGATAGCTTTGCGTGAAATTTTCTTTCACAGCGAAGGTTGCGCATTAGCACCGTCTGTGTAGGCACATTCGCTCGACTGCGGCTTTAACGCAGACATTAAATCTCGCTGCGCGCCGATGGGCTGGCAGGTAGGCGACGGAATGCGCGGAAGGGGGAGGGGACGTGGCGGAGGGAAAGGTGGGCGCGGGTACGGCGGAGGCGCAGGCGGCGGAGCGGGCGGAGGTGGCGCGGAGCGACGCTCTACAGCGGAGCAACACGCTTTTGCGCCGTACGCACACCACACCCGACCGTTGCACACGCAGTGACATCCATCTAGCCTACGTGCTAGTCTCAATCGTCCCTCCCCTCACCCTCGACCCTCCACTCTCCCCCGCTCCTTACCGCCAGACGCGTGCTGGACCCGTCTCTCTCGCAGTACTTCACGGGAATCGCCACGTGCTTGTCCTTATCCCCACCTCGCTTTCCCGCCCGCCCCCGCCTCTCCCACGCTCCTCTCTCCACTCCTCTCCCCCCTTACCGCCAGACGCGTGCTGGACCCGTCTCTCTCGCAGTACTTCACGGAAATCGCCACCGCGTGGGAAGACACCCCCGACCCGCAAGGTGCGCTCCTCGCTCCTCCTAAACCCCGCCGCCCTAATCCTCAACCCTTCTCTTCTTGAACCCCGTCTCTCCTCTCCGCTTCCGCGCATCGCTCTCACTCTCTCCGCTAACCGCCCCCTCCATTCCGCATGGTCTTCAATTCCGCCCCACCGACCTCCTCTCTCTCCACTACTTGGCCCCAATCCCGAACCTCCCCCGTGCCTCAGACCGAGCCTCCATCGCTGCCAATGCTCTGGAGGAGGCTCGGGGGAAGGAGCACCAGCTTCTGTGGGACACCCAGACCTGCCGCACGCTCGAGCCGCTCCTCTCCGCCGCCCCCCCCCCTGCCGCCGCCCGCTTCCTCGCCGGCGCCTGCTGCTGCGCGCGCAGGAGGGGAGAGGCGGAGGGGGAAGGCGCGGGGGGAGGAGGGGAGGGATCGGGGGAGCGGGAGGTGAATGTTTGTCGGGATGTATTGGCGCATGGGCTTGCATCGAGGGTGATTGAAGCGGGTCTGCGGAATATCCGCGCGTGGGTGACGGGAGAGAGCAGGACACGTGGCAGTGCAGGATTGGACGAAAACGGGGCAGGAGACGACGAGAACGAGGAGCAGGATGGGGAGGGGGAGGAGGAGGAAGAAAACGAGGAGGAGACGGAAGGCCAGGGAGATTTACCGAAATGGACCGAAACAGTGCGGGTGGTTTTGAAAAAGATCTGCAAAGAAGTGACGGAGTATCCCCTAGCAGCCATGACTAGCCCGGCTTGCTCCCACGTGTTGCGCTCCCTGCTGCTCCTCCTCGCCTGCCGCCCCATCCACGACACGCCCGCAGCAGCAGAGGGCACGAGGAAGGCCCGGCGGGATGGGGCTGATAGCGTGGGTGGGGAGGAGAAGAGGGAGCAGGGCGGGGAGGAGGCGGGGGAGGAGCGGAGAGAGGGTGGGGCCGGGAGAAGGTTCGGCGGCCGCTTGCCTCCGCAGATCCAGCGGGCAGCTGGAAATTTCCCGCCGTCCTCTGGTGCGACCTTTCCAGGGCTGCCCGGAATGGCCGGGCAGGGTGCAGGCTTGGCAGGAGGGAAGGAAGTGGGAGCAGCAGCAGGGGGTGCAGAAGCAGCGGCAGCAGCGGAGAGGGGGAGGAGGGTGGGGGCGGCGTTGGGGTTCCCGGCGCTGCTGCAGCGGGTGGTGGTGGGGGTGACGGCGGCAGCAGCGGGGGCAGACGAGGCGGTGCCGTCAGCAGCAGTGGCGTGGTCGCCCTATGGGGACTCGTGGACCCTCGCCTGTGACCCCTCTGCTGGCCCTCTGCTGCAGGTGGGTGTGCTGTGAGTGTGGTGGTGGTGCTGCTGCTGCTGCTGGTACAAATGGTGGTGCGGATGGCGATGGTGCTGGTGATGGGGTTGAATTCAGAATGCATGTTGTATGTCGGGTGTAATCTCCACGCCTTGCTGTCGCCACGTGTGCAGGTGCTGTTGGACGTGATTCGCGATGATGCTGCCCTGCTCACCCACGTCATCACCTCTCTGCTCCACCTGCCCGAGGCTGCGCTTCGGGCTGCGGCGAAAAAAAGGAAACGGGCAGGGCCGGGCAAGCAAGAGGGAGAGCGTGGGAAGAAGAGAAGCAGAAGAGAAAAGGAGGAGGGGGGAGAGGAAGGAGATGAGGAGGAGGGGAGAGGAGGAGCAGAGGGGGGCGAGGAAGGGGAGGAAGCGGACCACCAGGTGGAGGAGGAGGTAGGGCAGATCATTGAGCTTATGAAGGACCGATGTGGCTCGAGATTCATGGAGGTGAGGGGGGGTTGGCTGACGCAGTGAAGCATTTCACCGTCCTCCCCCTGCGTTGGTGCTGTTGGTTTGACCGCCACTCCACCTCCGCATGCTGCTCTGACAACCCACCGCTTCCCCTCCCCTTGACTTCTGCCCGTCGTTCCCCATCCCATCCCGTGTTGACCCCTTCCCCATCTCCTTTCCTCCCCACCCCAACCCCCCCTCCCCACTTCCTCTGCAGACCGTGATTCAGCTCGCCCCACAATCCCTCCGCTCCTCGCTCCTGCGAGTGGCCTTGCTCCCCCACCTGCTGCCCCTCGTGCTGCACCCCATTGCCAACTACACCGTGCAAACCGCCCTCTCCGCCCTCCACTCCCCCTCCACTCCCTGTCTACCCCTCTTGGTGTTTTCAAGCAGCTTTTTTCTCCCTCTCTCCCCCATCCGCCCCCTTCCCGCAGGCTGTTCTCCTGCTCGCCCCACAGTCCCTCCGCTCCTCGCTCCTGCGAGTGGCCCTGCTGCCCCACCTGCTGCCCCTCGCGCTGCACCCCATCGCCAACTACACCGTGCAAACCGCCCTCTCCGCCCTCCACTCCCCCTCCACTCCCTGTCTACCCCTCTTGGTGTTTTCAAGCAGCTTTTTCTCCCTCTCTCCCCCATCCGCCCCCTTCCCGCAGGCTGTTCTCCTGCTCGCCCCACAGTCCCTCCGCTCCTCGCTCCTGCGAGTGGCCCTGCTGCCCCACCTGCTGCCCCTCGCGCTGCACCCCATCGCCAACTACACCGTGCAAACCGCCCTCTCCGCCCTCCACTCCCCCTCCACTCCCTGTCTACCCCTCTTGGTGTTTTCAAGCAGCTTTTTTCTCCCTCTCTCCCCCATCCGCCCCCTTCCCGCAGGCTGTTCTCCTGCTCGCCCCACAGTCCCTCCGCTCCTCTCTCCTCCGTGCGGCCTTGCTCCCCCACCTGCTGCCCCTCGCGCTGCACCCCATCGCCAACTACACCGTGCAGACCGCCCTCTCCGCCCTCCACTCCCCCTCCGACGTCAAACGCGCCTTCAAGGCGCTGGCGGAGAGGGGGACAGGGGAAGGAGAAGGGGAGGAAGGGGGTGGAAACCGTGGGGAGGAGGGGGGGGAAGCGGGAGGGAGAGGGGAGGGGTTGTTGGCACTGCTGAAGGGGGGCAGGGGCCGGGTGGTGCTGGCGCTGCTGATTGCATGTGGACGCACCAAGACATTTCAGGCGCGGGTGAGTGAGAGCTGCGATGTTTGGAGCCACTTCTGTGGATCAGGGAGCGGGGTTGTTGGCACTGCTGAAGGGGGGCAGGGGGCGGGTGGTGTTGGCACTGCTCATTGCGTGCGGACGCACCAAGACGTTTCAGACACGGTTGAGTGAGTTGTGATTATGGCTTGGTGTGACTGAAGCGAGAGGGTGGATACGGGAGTAGTAAACGAACACCGGGCCACTCACCTTTCTGCGACCGCGACCCTATCCAATTGACTGCTTCCCTGACTGCATCAGAACCCTGCTTTCCATACTCTTTGTCCAATTCTCTTTGACTGATTCTCTTCAAACGCATAACTTCCCTCGGCAGGCCTGTGACAGCCTGCTAGCAGCCCTTTCCTCATCACCAGCACCATCACCAGTGGATGCGGCAGCAGCAGATGCGGCAGCAGTGGGCGATCTGCTGTGGCTGGATGCATGGCAGGCAGTGAGGGTGAACGACGTGCGCTCCAACCGAGCCAAGAAGCGCCAGCAGCAGCAGGGGTGGGGTTCCGTGCCGGTGACAGAGCGCGGGGCGGTCTCCTTTGTGGGCTGCATGGCGCTGCAGACCATCTTCTCGTTTCCCCTGGTGAGCCTTAGTGCTGCTGCAAACGGCATTCGCAAGACTTAAGCAGCAGCGTGGGTGGAGCGCCGTGGCCGTGGCAGAGCGTGGGGCGGTGTCGTCTGTGGGGTGCATGGCGCTGCAGACCATCTTCTCCTTCCCTCTGGTGAGTCCTCAGTGCTGCAGCAACTGGCAAGGAAAGTGCAGCAAGGAGCAAGCTGTTTGTAGCACGCACATGTCCCTGATCTCCTCCGTCTCTGCTCTGCAGGCTGCTCTAACGAAGCTCCCATGTAGGCCGCCTCGCCTGTTCCATGGTACCCCTCCCACCACACACCTCCCTTCCCATCATGCTCCTCCCCGCCCACTGCCAGGCGGCGTCGCAGAGGGTGGTGCAGGCGTGTGTGGCGCTGCCGCCCTCCTACCTCATGCATCTGGCCACGGATGTCAAGGGCACCCGCGTGCTCTCCGCCTTCTTCCGTGCTGCCACTGTCCCTCTGGACCTCAAGACCACCATGCTCAACAGGTACGTGCGTTGTGGTGCTGTGAGGTGTTGTGCGGTGCTGTGAGGTGTTGTGCCGTGCTGTGCCATGATGTGCGGTGCCGTGCGTCTCACAACCTCTCCCCACCCTCACCTCTCCCTCCAATCCTCATCACATGCCTCCCTCCCTCCCGCCCCTCGCAGTTTGAAGCCGCGCCTGACGACGATAGCAGCAGATCGGCTGGGTGCGTTTGTGGTGTCGGCAGCATTTGATGCCATGACGGTGGAAGGCAAGCAGATGATCCTCGCTGAGCTGGCGACGCGCTATTCGTCGGCGTCGTCCTCTCTGCTGCAGCGGCCTCTCTTCCGTCACATGAGCCTCGCAGAGTGAGTCATTGCCCTTCTGCATGGCTTGCTCTTCTTCCTCCGCTCTTCTGCGTGTCCTCTCTCTCCTCCTCGTCTTCTGTGTGCCGTACTCACACGCTCGGCAGGGTCTACCCTAGTAAGCATCTCGCGCGCCTTGCTGTTCAGTTCAGTTCAGTCTCACCTGTTCCCCTTATGTACGTCCTTCTCTTGCTCGCTCCTCCCCACTCCACACCCACCAGATACCTGGAGAGCCCAGAGGCATGGCAGAAGCAGCAGCAGCGCAAGGAGGGCCTGCTGCGAGAGTTCCAAGACCTGCTTGCGCCTGCTCCCGCTGCCTTACCCTCACTGGCGCCTGCTCCCGCTGCCTTACCCTCACTGGCGCCTGCTCCCCCTGCACTGCCTTCCGCCTCCGCACCTGATGCCAAGCCTCGTAAGAAGAAGAGAGAACCGACTGTGGAAGTAGCAGCTTCGGCTGTGACTAAGAACACGAAAAGTGGGAAGAAGAGAAGAGGGGGGGGTGAGGGGGATGAGGGGGAAGAGGGGCGGCATGGAGGGAGTGATGTGGGAAGCAGAGGGGGAGGCAAGTCTGGGGAGGCGTTGAGAGGCATTGTGGAGCAGTTGGAGCTGGGGAGTGAGTTGGCAATGTTGGGGTTCAGTGGTGACGGTGGGGAAATGGGACAGGATGAGATGGATGGTGGGAGTGTTTCGAAGAAAAGAAAGGACAAATCTGCTGGTGCTGCACCCAAGAAAAGAGGCCGTGTGTGAAGAGTTGGTGGCATTTTTTGTTCGATCCTGGTGGAATTATGGGTGAAATTCTGGTGGCACCCTTTTTTCCTTTTTGGGTTATTTTTTAGGCCCCAGAAAATCACTCACTTATTCAGCAGCATGGTTGCTTATGTGCTCAACCAGACATATCTATATTGAGAGGACTTACCAGGCCTGACTTACAGGGAACGAGTCAATGCCACTTTGGTGGTGGGCATCTGAGATCCACAGTTCTATCTGCGCCGCAGTGCTGATTTTGACTCGCAGACGATTGGCCACTACAGTAGCCCACCAGCTCGGAACAGTGAATGGAAATGTGACTCGCTGGATGTGCTGAGTTTCGTTCCGTCCAGCCCACTGAATTCTGCAGCTCGGTGGAAAGATTTGGGCTGCTCAAAAAGGCTCTTGAGAACGTCGAATCATGTGATCCACCGCATTCGTGGAAGACAGCTCGCAGCTCGATTCATGACGAATCCAATCCCTGCCGAAGGCCATCGTTGCGCGGTTCGGTTCCTTCCTTTTTTTAACTGCCCCGCTACTGCATCCTGCAAACATACTCCGAAGGGCTGGCCGAAGCTGCGTGCGGTGTACAATTGATGCCTGTTTGAGCCCCTCCCGGTTGCCTTGTGAAGGGGGCGTATAAGCTGTAACGAGAATTTCGCATGAGTTTCGTCAATTCGCAGCTAGCTAAAAAGGATTCGCAGGTGCTTATAAACAAGATCTGTTACCTTATTTGACTTCAGTCTCTTCTGCTTGACCTCGGTCTGTTCGTTACTATTGGTTGATAACCACGCGACGCGCTTGTAACGTGGGAGCAACAGGCTGGGGAAACAACCTCGGGTGCAGCGTTTCCATCCGGCACAAGGCAAATTCGCGTGCACTGGTTGGGCATCAATTGTATTGCACCATCGCACAGCTGGCACAGCACGGCAGCCCTTCTGTCGCATCTGCGTTACCTCCCAACCCCACTCCATCCCACCAGCTTGCAACCCAACCACCGACCTTCTTGCACCTTTGCCCCACCCCACCCTACCTGATCCTTTCTCAACCATCACTACCGAGCTCAACAACCTGCCCTACACCCACCCAACCGAGCCGTGTTCTTGCAATTCCAAGGGGGGGAGCTAGCAAGCTGTCAACACCCCATCGTGCGTGGGCCACGCCAGTGTCACTCCCGCATATTTTATTTCCTCTCCTTGGCAACCGTTCCAACCCCAAAACTCCTCCCGCTCTAGCATGTAGACGCCTCGCTGTAACCGTGTTAATGTCTCAGCTCGTTCTTCAAGACTCTCGCGAAACGCGCATACTAACGGTCGGCGCTCTTCCGCTGTAGCCTGCCTATAGTCGTCGAGCGGAACCAATCATGACGACCGATCAGACGCGAGATTCGTCCGCGGAAGCACCGCTAGGCGGTCCGAACGGCCATGACTTCGCGGCGGATGTTCCGCCGGAAGCCCTGGCGGCAAGCGCGGCGATTTTGACGGAGAAGGAGCAAGACCCGGTGACGCGTCGCGAGTGGTGGGGGTGGTTTATCTACAACGCGGCGGGAAACGCGTTCTCCCTCGTCGCAATGTCGATTTTCTTCCCGTTGCTCCTCGTCTACCTCGCCACCGCGCAGGCCGCCACGCAGGCCGGCGCGCCGCCGCCGCCGCAGTGCAACGCGACGCTCACGACAGGCTGCTTGCAATGCGTGGCGGGCAAGGGGCAGCAGCTGATGACGTCAACCGGGTACGCTCGTGCTTCGCGTGCAACTTACTATCCCCCCGAAGCGTGTTAGCGTAGTAAATAAATCAGCAACCTTCGAATATGAAGTTAGTGACATAAATTCTTACGATTGCGGAGTTCCGAGAGGGCGCACCGCGGGGGTGCATGTGCGCAACGGTAAACATAGCGACACGGGGCTGTCATGTCATGTCATGTCTAATCTTATCGACCCGTTTTGAAATGGCGGTCTTGTAGCTCGCATGTCGTTCGAGGCATCTTGCTCCGCGCGCCGCATTTAGTTCTTTCCAAGACTGCCCTTTTAGCTCTCGCGCCGACCCGTAAGCGGTCCTCTTTGCATCCCGTCTCCCGCGCTCCCACTTTCTTGTAAGCTGGTCTGCTGCTGTCCATGCGGCCCGTGACGCGTACCACGGTCCCCTCATTCACCCCGCGCCCGGCGTCCTTGACACGCTCCCCCTTTCCCCCTGTCAGCTACACGGCGTACGACTCGCCGAACCTGCAGGCGGGCGCGTTATCCATGGAGCCCTTGGCGAGCACCACGGTCGTCATCGGGCTGACCCACACACTGTCATGTTGTCCCCCCATTGTCCCACACCCCTTCCCCGGCAGCTACACGGCGTACGATTCGCCCAACTTGCAAGCCGGCGCGCTGTCGATGGAGCCGGTGGCGTACACAACGGTCATCATCGGACTGGCCGTGGTGGTGCAGATCATCGGCCTCGTGTGCTTCGGCGCCGAGGCGGATTTCGGGCAGGGCCGATGGCGGGTGAGAGCATGAGGGGTGGGATTAAGGAAGGGGGGAGGTGAGGAAAGGCCGGCTGGCCGTGGGGGTGCACATCATCGGCCTCGTGTGCTTCGGCGCCGAGGCGGATTTCGGGCAGGGGCAGGTGGCAGGTGAGTAAGATGATAACGGGAAAGGACGGGGAAGGTAAAGCTGGGAGGACGTGAAGCGGGGGAGGATAGCGGGGAGGACGGGTTGATGGGATCTGTGCCGTGCATTCTCTGCCTCGTTCCTCTTGCCCTGCAGATCTCCCTCCCTCCCCCTTTTTTGCTAACTCTCACCTTCACCCCATCCCCCTCCCAAACAGTGCTGATGTGAGCGGTGCCATGCATTTTCTACTTTCTCTCCCCTCACCATTCCCCTGCATTTCCTTCCCTCTCCCTGCCTGCTCTCCCCCCCCCCCCCACCACAGATGCTGCTGGTGGGAACGCTGATGGGGGCAGTACCCTGCATTCTATGCCTGGCGCTCACATCGCCGTCGCTCTGGTGGCTGGCGGGTCTGTTTGCCATCATCGCTAATCTCGGATACGGCATCTCGCTCGTCGGCTACAACAGGTGAGAGGCTATATCAGGTGGGATGTGAGGCGCTTCAGCCGGTGATGTTGTTGCGACGTCTCAAGAACCCCTCTGGTGGCTGGCAGTGCTGTTTGCCATCATCGCTAGCAAGGTGCAAAAAAACGACCGAAAGATTGAAATTCTGGCGTATAATACGCTATCGTATTTTTCGGCCGTTTAAAACGTTTTAAAACGCCAAAAAGTGGTAATTCTAATGTGGTGCAAAAAAACGGCCGTTTTTTACACCAGAAATCTTGTAACCAGCTGGTTTACACATATTTTCAAGTATTGGTTCCAACCATGAACCCTCGATCGGATGAACCAGCCATGAGGAAGACAAAGGGGATTTATCAGTGGGACTGTAGTAGAACGGTGACTCCAGGGAGGAGAGGATGAAGAGTCTGGGGGGAGGAGGAGGAGGGTTGAACGAGCGCAACCTAGACACTTTGTAAGCATTGTATTGCTTCTTTGCTATCCTGCTCAGGAGCAGAGTCGTGTGTACTGTCTTCAAAAAAAAAAAAAAAAAGTCACAAAATCTCTAACAAAAAAACGGCCGAATTTTTTAAATCTGACCGTAAAATACGAGCGTAAAAAACGGACCGTATTTTACGTTTGCCGAAATTTTGCACCTTGATCGCTAGTCTCGGATACGGCATCTCGCTCGTCGGCTACAACAGGTGAGAGGCTATATCAGGTGGGATGTGAGGCGCTTCAGCCGGTGATGTTGTTGCGACGTCTCAAGAACCCCTCTGGTGGCTGGCAGTGCTGTTTGCCATCATCGCTAGTCTCGGATACGGCATCTCGCTCGTCGGCTACAACAGGTGAGAGGCTATATCAGGTGGGATGTGAGGCGCTTCAGCCGGTGATGTTGTTGCGACGTCTCAAGAACCCCTCTGGTGGCTGGCAGTGCTGTTTGCCATCATCGCTAGTCTCGGATATGGCTTCTCTCTCGTCGGCTACAACAGGTGAGAGGCTATATCAGGTGGGATGTGAGGCGCTTCACCCGGTGATGTTGTTGCGACGTCTCAAGAACCCCTCTGGTGGCTGGCAGTGCTGTTTGCCATCATCGCTAGTCTCGGATATGGCTCCTTACTCACGCAAGAGTTCAATTCCTATTCACCCGCTCGAGGCAACAGGATCCCTATCCCCACCCTCATCATCCCCGCTTTTGCTGGCACCTTCCTGCCGGCGCTGGTAGACTACTAAGGGGACTTGGTGCTTCAATCTAAGGTGCTTCAATCTTACGTGCTTTAATCTATCCAAACCCTGCTGTTCATCTGTCCCCTTTCCGCCCTCCCCACTTCCTTTACTCACGCAAGAGTTCAATTCCTTGTGAAGCACTTACCTACCCCATCCTTTCTCCTCCCTCCCCCCCACCCCCTTCTCCCCCACTGTGGCAGCTACCTGCCTGTGCTGGTGGAAGCGTCTCCAAAGGTGCTCCCTGCCGGCCCAGATGAGGCATCCATACTTGCGTCCCTGTCACCACCGCGCTTCCCCTCGCTCGCATTCCCCTCCCCCTCCCTCCCTCTTTTCCCTGTATCCCCCCTGGCAGCTACCTGCCTGTGCTGGTGGATGCATCACCAAAGGTGCTCCCTGCCGGGCCAGACGAGGCATCCATCCTCGCTTGTATTCCCTCTCACCACCCGTGCCACCCGCCCTCCCTACCCTCTCTTTCTTCTTGCGCAGCTACCTGCCAGTGCTGGTGGACGCGTCTCCAAAGGTGCTCGCTGCGGGGCCAGACGAGGCATCCATTCTTGCTGTCCCTATCAATCACCACCCTCTCTCCCCGTTGCTCCCACTGTCACCCCCATTTTCCCCTCCTCCCTCTCACTACGGCAGTTACCTGCCTGTACTGGTGGATGCATCACCTAAGGTGCTCGCTGCGGGCCCAGACGAGGCTTCCATCCTTGCTGTCCGCGAGAAGGTGAGCTAGCTGGCAGGGAGGGATAAGCTGAGGTGATGAGGCAGGGGAAAGGTGATGAGGCAGGGGGAAGGTGATGAGGCAGGGGGAAGGTGATGAGGCAGGGGGAAGGTGATGAGGCAGGGGGAAGGTGATGAGGCAGGGGGAAGGTGAGGAGGCAGGGGGAAGGTGAGGAGGCAGGGGGAAGGTGAGGAGGCAGGGGGAAGGTGATGAGGCAGGGGGAAGGTGATGAGGCAGGGGGAAGGTGAGGAGGCAGGGAGAAAGGGTGAGGAGGAAGGGGGAAGGTGATGAGGCAGGGGAAAGGTGATGAGGCAGGGGGAAGGTGATGAGGCAGGGGGAAGGTGATGAGGCAGGGGGAAGGTGAGGAGGCAGGGGGAAGGTGAGGAGGCAGGGGGAAGGTGAGGAGGCAGGGGGAAGGTGATGAGGCAGGGGGAAGGTGATGAGGCAGGGGGAAGGTGAGGAGGCAGGGAGAAAGGGTGAGGAGGAAGGGGGAAGGTGATGAGGCAGGGGGAAGGTGATGAGGCAGGGGGGAGGTGATGAGGCAGGGAGAAGGTGATGAGGCAGGGGGAAGGTGATGAGGCAGGGGGAAGATGATGAGGCAGGGGGAAGGTGATGAGGCAGGGGGAAGGTGATGAGGCAGGGGGAAGGTGATGAGGCAGGGGGAAGGTGATGAGGCAGGGGGAAGGTGATGAGGCAGGGGGAAGGTGATGAGGCAGGGGGAAGGTGAGGAGGCAGGGGGAAGGTGATGAGGCAGGGGGAAGGTGATGAGGCAGGGGGAAGGTGATGAGGCAGGGGAAAGGTGATGAGGCAGGGGGAAGGTGATGAGGCAGGGGGAAGGTGATGAGGCAGGGGGAAGGTGATGAGGCAGGGGGAAGGTGAGGAGGCAGGGGGGAGGTGAGGAGGCAGGGGGAAGGTGATGAGGCAGGGGGAAGGTGAGGAGGCAGGGAGAAAGGGTGAGGAGGAAGGGGGAAGGTGATGAGGCAGGGGGAAGGTGATGAGGCAGGGGGAAGGTGATGAGGCAGGGAGAAGGTGATGAGGCAGGGGGAAGGTGATGAGGCAGGGGGAAGGTGATGAGGCAGGGGGAAGGTGATGAGGCAGGGGGAAGGTGATGAGGCAGGGGGAAGGTGATGAGGCAGGGGGAAGGTGATGAGGCAGGGGGAAGGTGATGAGGCAGGGGGAAGGTGATGAGGCAGGGGGAAGGTGATGAGGCAGGGGGAAGGTGAGGAGGCAGGGGGAAGGTGAGGAGGCAGGGGGAAGGTGATGAGGCAGGGGGAAGGTGAGGAGGCAGGGAGAAAGGGTGAGGAGGAAGGGGGAAGGTGATGAGGCAGGGGGAAGGTGATGAGGCAGGGGGAAGGGTGAGGAGGCAAGGGGGAAGGTGAGGAGGCAGGGGGAAGGTGAGGTAGCTGCTTCCTTCCGTCCCTGTGTCACACCCAACCATGTCACAACCTCACCCGCCCAACAGCCCCAACGGAATCACGCCTATACAACCCCAGCAGATGAGTCACCGTGGCTGTCTGTGGCCTCTGGTGAATCGCCTTTCCCACCGTCACCTCCTTCCCCAGTTTCTTAATGCCTAAGGCGCCTCATTGATATACCTCGTCCTCTCCTCCCCTCCCTTACCCCATCAGGTGGAGAACAAGGCGTCCCTGTCAGGCCTGGCAATGGGCACGCTAGGGAGCGTGCTCGCCATGCTGCTCACCTTCGCCACCACGCTCCTCATCCCAGACGACCTGCTCAAGCTCCGAGTCACCGTGGCAGTCTGCGGCGTGTGGTGGATCGCGCTCTCAGCCTTCACCTTCGCCTGGCTGCACCCGCGCCCCGGTCCCCCCATGCCCAAGACCGGATTCTCCATGCTCAACCGCTGGCGCCACCTCTTCGGTCTCTTCAAGGAGGCCTCCCGGTACCGCTACACGTTCATCTTCCTCATCTGCCTCGTTGCGTACGGGAGCGGATTCACCACCATGCTGCAGATGGCAGTGCTGTTCGGGCAAAACGACCTCTGCCTGTCCGTATCATCCATGGCTATCATTGCGCTTACCGTTGCTGTGGTGGCGATTGCTGGCATGCCGCTCGCGCTGCTCTTCCAGCGGAAAACCCACGCGACGAACAAGACCATGGTCGTGATTCTCCTCACGTGCCTAGTTCCCCTGCCCGTGTGGGGATTCATCGGGTATTTCACCGCCGACGGGGGGTTCGGGCTGAAATCCGCGTGGGAGATTTACCTGTGTGCGGCGTGGCTGGGGTTCTTCCTGGGAGCTCTCACGTCATACTCGCGCACGCTGTTCATTGACTTCATCCCCGTGGGCCGTGAGGGCGCATTCTTCACGCTCTTCTTTATCTGCGACCGCATCAGCTCCTGCATCGGCCCCTTCGTCATTGCGGCCGTCACACAGGTCAGTGCTGGGGGGATTGTTGAGATGAGATGTAATGGATTAGCCTGGGAGGTTTAGGGGCACGGGACGGCCATTAAGCTGATGAGATGCATGCATGTGATGCTGCTGGTGAGAGCGTGCAACGTTAATCAGCCAGTGCAAGCAGCATCAGTGCCTTGAAGGTACAGTAGGGACGGTGGGCCTCACTTAGAGTGCTTGTGCTTCGGGTCTGTAAACTTTGTGTTTTCCCCTGGCCTTCCACTGTTCCCCGTTTGCCAGGTGGGGGGTCAGCTCCGGCCTGTGTTTGGATACGTTTTTATTGTGCTGGTCATCCCAGCTATCTCCGTCCAATTATTCGTCAACTATAACAAGGGAGTGGCAGAGGCTGGAAGGGCAACCAAGCATCAAGAGAGATTACAAGAGGAGAGTTTTCACGAAGGCAGTCATGCTCACGGCACTCAAGTGGTTCATGCAGAGCCGTGATCTTCAATACACGATTTTGGGACCTAAAACCCTGGCTTCTGTTCACATAGCATTAGTTGGCTCCTCGCCAACTTATCACAATATTTATTACATGCTTGTATGCTTTTTTACTCTCTACTATATTTACAGATGAGCATGCTAATTCACCTGTTGTGGTTTGTCGAATCAGCATAATCACCCAAAGGCACAGTTCAGCTTTTAATATTGGCATTACTGTGCCATCACATCCCGTCCCGATCCGACCGACCAGATTCCGTTGGGCTCCCTCGTCTCAAACCTGGAGAAAACCGTCGCGTCGCGTCGTGATGGCGATCATTCCGAATCGCACGAAATCTCAAATTTCACGCACCTCTCAATTTGGTGAAATTCGGTATGTCACAATTCGCCTCCCTCTGACATCATATTTCATAATCCATTTCTCACACACCTTTTCTGCCTGCAGTCATCCGAGTGGAAATGGTGCAGCAGAAAGTTCAGGAGGATGCTTACTCGTTGAATCAGAGAAGCGCCGTCGGTTAGTGGCTAGCGATTTCGCTTCCCGCCGCCCTCAGGTAGGACCCGAGTCATATGCTTCGACTCGAGGCACCTCTAGTCACGAGAAAGCGCATTTTAGTACCGACCCTACTGGAAGGCACTCAATACGCTGCGTAACCAGGACACTTGTTACGATAAGACCGCGAATCAACTCGATATGCGGCGTCGGGACCTCTGCTGGACCGGCTGGCTCGCTCTGCTACAAACATTCAAGGGGTTGTTAGACGCGGCAATTATCGCCTGAAAAAACGGTTAGAAACTTTTGCTCGTACTTAGACGCAGGAGCTCGTCGTCCGAGAGGGTCCCGACTCGTTGAAGCACGGACTACCGATCTCACGAGTTCCGTGGGTATACTCTGTCTCGTTGAAGCATATTTCATCGATCTCACAAGAGTTTCTGGAACAGTAAATAAAACGTATTGGTGAAGCCTAGACTATCAATCTCACTAACGGCGGAAGGACATGGCAAAGGTCGTTCCCATCCCCGCTGTAGTGTCGCGACTGGAATACACGCCCAAGGACGAGCACATGCGACAGAAAGCCGCTAGCGCGTTTCTCGACCTAGACGACCCTGGCGGAAGCGGAAAGAGCGCAGGAAGCGCGGGAGGCGGGGAAAACGCGGGAAGCGGAGAATACGCGGAAGGAGAGGAATACGCGGAGGGTTCGAGGGTTCCCCTGACGAAGCGGGAGCTATGGGGGTGGTACTCGTACAACGTTGCCGCGAACTCGTTCAGCGCCGTCGCTATGCCGATCTTCATCCCGCTGCTGCTGCTCCTCCTCGCCGACGCGCAAGCCTGGAACGACTCGGGCGCCGCCAAGCCACCGCAGTGCACCGATCTGATCACCGCGGACTGCCTGCAGTGCGTGCCGGGGAAGGGGAACCAGCTGGTGACGTCAGCGGGGGGGTACAGCGAGCTGGAGCAGCCGCGCGTGCGGCTCGGCGCGCTTAGCATCAACCCCGTGTCGTACGCGACGATCGTGATCGGCGTCGCCGTGTGCTGCCAGATCGTCGCACTCGTGTCGCTCGGCCCGTTCACCGACTATGGCCGCGGCAGGAAGCAGGTGCGTGCACAGCGTTTCTCAAAACGTTAGAGCTAAGAACGAGCAGCACATGTTATGCCACTCCTCCTCACCCTTCCCCTCACCCCCCTCCATCCGCTCCACCCGGCACTCCTCTCCTCGATTCTCCCCTTACTTCCCCGCTTCTCCCCTCACTTCCCCGCTTCCCCCCTCACTTCCCCGCTTCTCCCCTCGCTTCCTCGCGCCTTCTCCTGCTCTCCTCGTCGCTCTGGATTCGACCCGGCCCCCTCGTCATACTTCTCATCTTATCGATCCCCTACTCTCTCTCCCCAATCCCTCTCCACCTTCCCCCGTTCCCATACAGATGCTCAAGGCGGGCACATGGATGGGGGCAGCGGCATGCACAGCACTCCTCTTCATGCTCACGCCCTCTCTCTGGCTGCTCGCCGGGGTGCTCGTCATCATCGCCAGCATCGGATACGGCCTCGCCACCGTCAGCTACAACGGCTACCTGCCCCTCCTCGTGCACGCCTCGCCCGAAGTCCTCGCAGCCGAGGCCAAGGCCGACCCGGAAGCAGTCGCAGCCGCACGGGAAGACGTGGAGAATCGGTATTCCCTCATCGGGCTTGCGGCAGGCTGCCTGGGTGATATTCCCATCACGCTGATAGCCTTTGCGCTCACGCTTGTTTCCTCGGACGAGTCGGTTCAGATGCGCGTTGCCACCGCGTTTTGCGGGCTCTGCTGGATCCTCTTCGCGCTCCCCACTTTTCACTTCCTCCGTGCCCGACCGGGACCCCCGCTCCCACTCCCCGCTCCATCCTCTGTGGGGAATCACGAGGCAGAGGGGGCGCGGGAAGGCACGGACAGGGGCTGCTGGTCCGGCTGTAGCGGTGCCAGCTGCTACAGCGCGGGCGAGACCTGCCGGGGTTGCCGCTACAGCTGGGGGTCCTGCTACAGCCGGGTGCGGTTCTTTCTCAGCGTTGTCGGGGCGAGCTGGAAAGGCATGGGAGACACATTAGCAGACGCGTACCGGCACCACCGGAACGCGCTCGTGTTCATCGCATGCTACTTTGTGTACGCTGATGGGTTTTCCACTATCATCCAAGTGGGGGTTATATTTGGGCAGCAGGATCTCTGCGTGCCGCCCGCAACACTCGCCATCCTCGCCACCTCGGTTTCGTTCTGGGCGGCAGCCGGGATGCCGGTTCTCTACCTCATTCAAAGACGAACCAAGTGGAGCAACAAGACAATGGCGATGATTGCTCTGGGCGGCATGCTACCCCTGCCGCTGTGGGGCCTTATCGGCTACTTCACAGACAGCTTCGGGTTGAAGCACACGTGGGAGTTATTCGCATACGTGGGGTGGTTCGGCCTGTGTCTGGGCCCACTACTGTCATATTCGCGTACACTGTATGTGGACCTAATGCCGTCGGGCAAGGAGGGAGCGTTCTTTGCCATCTACACCATCAGTGACAAGGGCAGCTCATCCTTTGGCCCGTTCGTCGTCGCCATCATCGCCCAGGTGAGATATGCTCGTTTCAATTGCCGAGTGAGCTCCTTGATGTGCTGAGCTGGACACACATCCGCATGGGATCCATCCATCAATGTGATGTGCAGAGAGGCCACCCACATGGCAGTAAAATGCCCATTCACAACCTCAATCTCATCTCATCCCACTTGCCTCCATCTCAATACTGTACCCTAACTCTTGCTTACTCGCTTCCCGCCTTTCCCACGACCCCCTCCCCCTCCCTCCAACCCCCACCCACCTTCACCTCCATCCTGCAGGTTTCTGGCACGATCCGGCCCACCTTTGTGTACATATTCCTGGTCATGTTCATACCCCTTATAGTCATCATCGTTTGCCTCGACCACAAGCAAGGCATGGAAGACGCCGGGCGCAACAAGTTCACAACAATGAAGACATTGGAGGATGGGAAGGATGTTCCTAGTGCATGTGGGGAGGGATTGGAGATTCGCTCCTCTACTGATGCCCGGTCCAGTCACAGTGGCAGCAAAAGAGATGATGCAGGGTAGGGAGGACATCACATGCCACAGCTAGTGACATGTAATGGTGCCCTCATACTGTATAACTACGGTAATTTCATTATACTGTGTTCACTAAAGCTTTTCCCACCCACCCACCTAACACAACCCTGGGAGTTCAATTTATACAGTGTTCACTAAAGCTTTTCCCACCCACCCACCTGTAAGGAAAATCTCTTTTTCCTTACTTCGCGTCCCTGCTCAACGCGTACAGCACTGTAGCACCACAGTCAGCACCGTTACAACTCGCAATCCTCGCATCGACAATCCGCCCGCCACCTTCGCACGTCGCACCACGACCTCACGGCTCGGCGGGTAACCCGCGCTCCGGGCCTCCGCTTCGACACTTTTCCCAACCTCAGTCCCAGGCCCGTCGCGCGACAACCACAGTCCATTACCGTTACCACTGTAGTTTCGCTATATATTCTTCGCTCATGCCTTCGCTCATTGTACTCTTGCTTCGATAGTGCAATTCTCGTTCGTTCACTCAATTGCACTCGTAACACTTGGTATTCAGAGCCTACGATCTCTTCTCGGACCGCACCCACACCTTAGCTTCCCCACTATCTCAATTTTTGGGGGGGGTAGACGTCTCTCAGCGACACAGCACCGCCGCTCGTAGTGCTCTCTCGTAAGCACGCACGGCCACGACTGAGGCTCTCGCTGAGCTCGCCCGACACCCCCGCCATGGCCGAATTCACGCTCGCCACATTGACGCAGGAGCAGCTCGACCATCTGGTGCGCCAACTCGAAGATTCGGCGCTCGAAATTGCGATGCTCACAGCGGAACGTGACTCCGCGCGTCAGCAATCAACGGTGAACACTCCAGCAGCACCACACGCACCAACAAATGCACCTGCACAATCGGACGAACCAATCGTCATCTCGTCCGGGACACCAACACAACACGACAGCGTGGGACAGCGCTCGGGCGCAGCCAGTGATAGCGCCGCCCAACCAATGCCTGGCATGGGAGGAAACAGGGGCGCGCCAAGCCCGCGGGAGCCTCGCGAAGCCCGTCGGCACGTGGAGTTCGCGGCGACAAGTGGCGAACAGGCCATCATGGCACCAATGCCACTCAAGCCGCAACGCCCGCCCTGTTTCGACCCGAGCCAGCGTGGAGGTCCGACGGTTCAATCGTGGGTTTTCACGATGAACGTCTTCTTCGACGCGAATTACGTCGAGTCGGACGCAGCGAAGATTCGGTATGCCGTTTCGCTGTTAAGGGGCCCCGCCATGGACTGGTGGCGAGTCATCGTGACGTCGCCACGCGCCTACGAGCCACCGTCGCAAGAGGAAGGGCCCACGGGTCCAGCTGTCACCTGGAGTTCATTCTGCGAGACCGCCCAATACAGCACGTGGGATGCGTGGTGCGCAGGGCTTCGGGCGCGCTTCGAGCCGATCGCGGCTTCTATTTCGGCGCGTCAGAGATTGCGCACTTGGCGGCAGCTCGGGTCGGTTCAAGATTACACGAGCGGTTTTCTCGCACTTTGCGAGCAGGTCGGCTACATGCACGAAGCGGAGCGGGTGGACCGTTACGTCGGAGGGCTGAAGCTGGATATCTCGCACGAAATCATGCAACGCGGACTCTCAAACTTCAACGAGATTCTCGCGCTCGCCGAGAAAATCGACATTCTACGCCGACCGAGACCGGGGTCCTACTACGGACATCGTCCTCGGGGACCGATCGAGCACGCCACTGTAAACGCTGTTGCAACGAATGCAGCTGCCGCACCGTTTAAGGGGCGCTGCTTTGCTTGCAACAGGCCGGGCCATCGCAAGAGCGAATGCCCAGAGGAGCTAAGGCGCCGCGGAGCAGAGCAGGGGAGGGAGTCTCAGAGGCAGGGAAACGCCAGCAGTCAGTAGAAGTTGGGCCAACTACTGACGAGACTGCCTGCTCGCCCAACCGCACCGACCCTCACCGAATCACAGTACCGATTCACGCCATCGATCGGGCTCGGATGAATAAGGAGGGTACAACGACGGATTGCCCAGTACTGATCCACGGGAAAATACAGGGAGCAGCAGTGAAGATTTTTATTGACGGAGGAGCAAGCCACAGTTTAGTTAATACCGCAACTGCGCGAAAATTACAAGTGACACTTAGTCGCTGCTTACCTGAGATTGACGCACGCTTAGTTGATGGCACGCCGCTGGCCATACGGGAGAAGGTGGAGAGAGTAAAAGTTCGCTGCGGGGGAAACTTCGGGTTTACACAGGAAATGCTAGCGACGACATTGGATGGGCATGATGTTTTACTGGGACGTGATTGGCTACGACGGTACAACCCACGAATCGACTGGACGACGGGTAGCTGCACTGTGCGAAGTAGCGGTAACTGGGTCATGCTACCTCGCTGGCAGTCGCCCGAGTCTTCAACGGTCCACGTCAACGCCATCACGATGAAACGGGTTGTCGCCGCTGGAGCTGACGTGTACGCAGTAGATATAGCATTAGTAGGAGAAGCGGAGCAGCCGAGCGATTTTCAGAAACTGTTGGCAGCAGTACCGCCCGAACTACAGGAACGGTTGAAACGTTACCCGGGGATTTTTCCAGACGACTTACCGGAAGGGCTGCCACCTCAGCGGGCGCATGATCATAGGATCGAGTTAGAACCGGGGGCACAGCCAACTGTACAGCGCCAGTTCAGACTGACACAGCCCGAGCTCGACGAACTGAGGAAGCAGTTAGATTATTTGTTAGAGAAGCAGTTTATTCGACCAAGTTCGTCACCGTTCGCCGCACCGATACTGTTCACACCGAAGAAAGACGGAGGGTTTCGCATGTGCATCGATTACCGAGCGCTCAACAGGGTAACAGTCAAGTCGCGGTACCCCATTCCCCGCGCCGACGAACTGATCGACCAACTGCGAACAGCACGGGTGTTTTCGAAAATAGACTTACGGGGGGGTTACCATCAGATTCGGGTCGAACCATCGGACTGCGCCAAGACAGCATTTAGGACTAGGTACGGGTCGTTTGAGTACACGGTGATGCCTTTCGGGCTGACCAACGCGCCCGCAACATTTCAGATGACCATGAACGAGGCGTTTAGGCCACTCTTAGATAAATGCGTGATAGTTTACCTCGACGACATCCTCGTCTACAGTCGCGACAAGCAGCAGCACTTAGCGGATCTCGAAGCAGTATTTAGAGTTTTAGAGGAACATCGGTTACTCACCAAGGGCTCTAAGTGCGAGTTTTTTCGGGACAGACTATAATTTTTGGGGCACGTTATTTCGGAGGCTGGAGTTGAAATCGACCCAAAGAAGCTGGATACGGTAAAAGCGTGGCGTCCCCCGACGAACATCACGGAACTGCAAAGTTTTTTAGGGTTCGTTACTTATGTTCGTCGGTTCGTCCCCGACATGGCACAGTTGACTGCCCCGCTGACGGATTTACTACGAAAGGGGGTCGTTTTTACGTGGGGGGAGAAAGAGCATGCTGCCTTCTCTGCCCTGAAAAATGTTCTCTGTTCACCGCCCGTCCTGCGCATCGCCGACCCACACCGCCCCTTCGAGGTTGTTACAGACACAAGCGACATCGCCATTGGAGCCGTACTGCTACAGGACTTTGGCAACGGCCTACAGCCCATCGCATACGAGTCACGAAAACTGCATCCGCCCGAGCGAAATTACCCGATACACGACCGCGAAATGCTCGCGATCATGCATGCGTTCAAAGTGTGGCGCTGCTACTTGACCGGCGCAGACGTGACAGTACGGACAGACCACCGATCACTACAGTACCTCCGCGCACAGCCCCACCTCAACCCACGACAGATTCGGTGGCTCGATTTCCTCGAGTCAAACTTCCACTACACAGTCACCTATAAAAAAGGAGCCTCGAACATCGCCGACGCACTGACCCGCCCCACTGCCCAGATCCACGCGATACTACTCGCCCAGACCAGCACGCTACTGACAGGACTATTTACCCACGGATATCAAACGGACCCATTTTTCACAGGAGGAAATTCGCAGCAGTTCGCAGCAGCCAAGGGAGTCTATTACGTAAAAGCCGGAACCGACCGCATCTGGGTACCAGGGTACACACTGCTACGGGAATTACTATTACAGGAGGCACACGACGGGGTTACCTCGGGACATTTCGGGGTAGAGAAAACACGGCAGCAGCTGCAGCGGTATTATTACTGGCCCGAAATGTTGACCGACGTGCAGCGACACGTGGCATCGTGTCCCACTTGCCAGATCATGAAGTCAACACGGAAGCGGCCGGCGGGACAGTTGCAGCCAATCCCACCTCCAGAGCGTGCTTGGCAGCAGGTGACGATGGACTTCGTCACGGGGTTACCGGCCGGGGCGAGTGGAAATGACGCGATCCTGGTCGTCGTCGATCGACTGACGAAAATGGCACACTTCGCAGCCTGCAAAAAATCAATCACAGCCGAAGAAACAGCCCGCCTCTTCATCTCTACCGTCGTTCAACTGCACGGGATACCAGCATCAATCATCAGCGACAGAGACACGAAATTCACCAACAACTTCTGGCGGAACCTGTGGCAGCAGTTCGGCACGCGACTACAGTTTAGTTCAGAGTACCACCCCGAAACAGACGGACAGACAGAACGGACAAATCAGACCATGGAACAGCTCATCCGGGCCACCTGCGACGACCCAAACACGTGGGAACAGCAACTGCCACTCATCGAATTCGCATACAACAACGCCCCATCCGCCACGACCCAACAGTCACCGTTTTACCTGAATTACGGACAAGACCCAACAGTACCCATGACCCCGAATCCCGACAACCCGGTTCCACGCGCGCAACAGTTCGCCGAAATTTTGCAAGCAGCACGGACCAGGGCAGCAGACGCAATTAAAAAAGCTAACATCATCGCTAAACGCAACGCCGACCGCCACCGCAGACCTGTCACTTACCAGCCCGACGACTTAGTTTTGCTCGACACCCAAAATCTCCGATTGCCCATCACCCCGAAACTCCGCCCCCGATACTGCGGGCCATTTCGCATAAGCCACATGCTTACACCTGTCACCGCCGACCTCCTCCTCCCTGCTGACTGGTACGTCAGTCCCTCGTTCCACGTCAGCCTGCTTCGCCCTTACGTCCCGTCCACGAACCAACTGCCACGCAATCGCCCAGCCAGCATGACAAGACCACCGACTGAACCAATCATCACCCCCGAGAAAATCCTGAGTCACAGAGTTCGCGACCCTCGAGGAGCCCGAAGGATCGAGTTCTTACTCCGCTGGAAGGACCGTACACCCACCGAAGACAATTGGGTTCCCCTGGACAGAATCGAAAACCACCCCGTCCTCACCGAGTATCTGCGCAGCCGGAATTTCAGGGATGTACACGCACTTTCGTAAGGAGGACCTCCTTAAGGGGGGGGGTAGTGTAAGGAAAATCTCTTTTTCCTTACTTCGCGTCCCTGCTCAACGCGTACAGCACTGTAGCACCACAGTCAACACCGTTACCACTCGCAATCCTCGCATCGACAATCCGCCCGCCACCTTCGCACGTCGCACCCCGACCTCACGGCTCGGCGGGTAACCCGCGCTCCGGGCCTCCGCTTCGACACTTTTCCCAACCTCAGTCCCAGGCCCGTCGCGCGACAACCACAGTCCATTACCGTTACCACTGTAGTTTCGCTATATATTCTTCGCTCATGCCTTCGCTCATTGTACTCTTGCTTCGATAGTGCAATTCTCGTTCGTTCACTCAATTGCACTCGTAACACCACCTAACACAACCCTGGGAGTTCAATTGAGAGGCAGCAAGGGTGGTGCAGTTTGTACCGACAAGGTACAGTTGGGGTTGAACATGATATGCCACTTGTGTTGATGAACCTCTGGGAATTAAATTGAAGGTTGGAGTGTCAGTGAAGGGTTTAGTAGGAACTAGCATACAACTGCCTGACAGCACGTATATTCCCTACATGGGCACAGGCCCTTAGGCATACTGGATAATAATAAAGATCTTTCCCGCATCCATCCCCAGTCCCATCCCTCCTCCCCCCACCTCAAACCCATCCCATCAACCCAAATGGCCACCTCATAACCTGCCAAAACCACATCTCATTTAAAATCTTCCCCCCCCCCCCCCCCTCTCATCGCGTTCAGATGAGCGCCTCGAGAGGCTTGCCATCGTCAAAGCAACCTATCAGCCCCGCCAAGAACTCCGCGTCCGCCAATGTGTCCGCATCCTTCATCCCCATCCCCTTCGCGCCCGCCATCCCCGCGCCATCCGCGCGCGCCCGCGCCAACCCTTCATTCGCTCCGTGCGCCACCACCGCCGCGTCCGCCGCGACTCCCTCTGCGTGCGACGGAGGTGCGGTCGCACCCGTGATCGCACTGGGCGAGTGCACGCCTTCCTCTTCCGACTCCTCAAAACTCGTCGGCGCCACTAATCTCGCGCGCTTGTTCCCGGCGCCTTCCGCAAAAGGCTCCGCCACCTCTCGCTTCCCCGCCTGGCCAACCTTGAGCGCGAAGTCCGCACTCATCCCCGCATCCGCCGCCGCGTCAGCCGGTTTGTTCGCAACGGGAACGCCGGCGCGAGCGAGCGCGTCGCGTAGCCGCTTGAGTTCGTTCTGCAGGCGGTCGTTGCTCTCTTGGTATTGCCGAATGTGTTCTGACGCCTCGTTCAAGCGCCGCGTGACGGCCGCGTTCTCGACGCGCAGCTTGGCGCTCTGGATCTCCAGCTCCTCGAGTCGCTCCTGCTTCCGCTGCCGAGACCGCTTCGCTGACGCGCGGTTCGACATCATCCTGCGACGAAGGAAACAGGCAACGGAGAAGCATGGAAGACAGAAACCCGTTGATCCAACGCTGTAACTAGAGCGCAACGTCTAATGGACAGATCAAAATGAAGATATGACATGACAACGACGTATAGCTCCTCCGGCTCCTCACCTCTTATGCTTCTTCGGGTCAAGGTCTGCGAGCTCCTCCGCGGTCATGCCGTCCGTGCTCATCGCGCCCATGTCGCCCGCGTGGAACTCCATCTCCTGTGGCAGCCCGCACGGGATGCCCTGCGCCATGCCCTGCGACATGTACCCCAGCGGGCCCTTGGTCGCCAGAATCGGGGCCGGCGCCGACATGCCGTGCGCGGCGTGCGGCGGCCAGCTCATCGGGAACATCTGCTGCGCGGACGGCGTGTGCGCGGTCGGGGGTTGCATTTGCGGAGGTTTGGGGAGGGCGGGTTGGGCGTGCTGCGGGAGGAGCCACTGCGCTTGAAGCGGTTGGCGGGTTTGCATGGCGGTCATTTGCGATGGGTCTGCTGACATCATGCCGTACATTCCGGCGTTACCGCCGAATAACCTGAATCAGGGAGAACGAGGGGAGAGGGGACGGACTAAGCGTTTACTGTCAAGTATTGCGACACGAAGCTGGGGCTTCTTGGCGAGGTACAAAGCAGGGCGACAGGCGACGATAATAAACCGTGACTTATAGAGAGACCTGTAACTGCCAGCGCGTATCGCTTACCGGCCGCCAGGAGCAGTCATCGGATTCCAGTTCCATGCACCGCCGTACGCAGCAGTGGCATCATCAATTTGTTGCGCACGCCACCTGGCGTCGAGTTCTTCCTCCGCCTCGGACTGAGCCGCGCCGGGAACTACATCAGGGGGGCGACACATGGTGGCTGACCGTAAACGCCGGCAAAGATGGAAACGGCGGGACAGACGCGGCCTTACGAATGCCCTAGAGGTTCAACCTGTACTATGATACTAAGATCTTGGTCAGACTCTTCCTGACTTGTTGGAGTAATGACTAGGCGATGCGATTGAACACTGGACCAACAGGACGAAAGTAGAAGATTCAGTGGTGAGAGTTGAAGGCAAGGCAAAGTATGTCCAGCAAAGCAGCCAGCGATTGTGAAAACAAGACAGCGATGCAGAGGGAGCCGTGGGAAATGTAGGACGAGGTGGGGTTGAGGCCGAGAGGAAAGCCAAGAAAGGCGAGGGACGTGGAGGAAACTGAGGGCTCAGCGCAAGCTTGCGAGGCACGCGTGTGGGGGGAGGCTGGGTTGGGGAGGGCTGCGGGGAACAGACAGAAGGAACACTGTAGGCGGAACATGAGGTCCAGTGGGGGGAAGGTGCGGTGGGGTGGGTGGGGTGGGGAGTCAACTCGGGGAAGGGAAGGGTCACGGGGGAGAGGGGACCACTTTTGGGGCGAAACGGAAGAGGGAGAGCGGGGTGTGCAGTACATCAATTTGTCAGCTCTCAATCCATGACCGCGTGCGCGCGTGGCGTGGGTTCAACATGTGCGCAGTGCATCCCCAACTGGATCGGAAAATGACATGGAAATTGCCTGCAGTCACCGGCAGTGCTGACGCGCGTGGCATGATGAAATTGCCAGCAGCACAGCCCTAGTCCTTCGGGGAAGCGGGCGCCCTCATCGAGACAGCCTGGCGCGCGACGGACCAGTCTCAGGAGGACGCGCAATCTGCCGCCTTGCCTTCGGGCATGTTTTGAAGATCCTATTGCCACTGGCACATCACTTTGGCGAATCTAAGCTCTGGCTTAGTGTCTGAATGTTTCAGGTACAAAAAAAACTCACAGTTTCAACTCGTAGTGTAAAAACTGTACTGTGGTTGACACCCAAACGGTTTGTGCTCCGTTTTCTGAAACACGTGCCAGGGAAGCACGCTATCCAAGTTCAAAGGAATAGTGGACCTACGGTCAGTCGAAGTGTGTTCCAGAAATCAGAAATCTCGTGGATTCAGAGAGCTCTTCAGAGATTCTTATCCGAGGCGCTAGCTAAAAATTCATGGCTAATTCCGATTGGTTTTGATCGTGACGTGGATATGTGCGCTGGAAAAGCACCGTCACATTATGATGACGCTTGTCTGTGCACCAACGATATGTCCAACCAGAATAACCAGCCAGCGGGATTGACAGGCGCTGAACCTGTGCCCCCAAATTGTTAGGGCGAGTTTGATCCGAAGAAGGTCACACGTAGAAATTTTGAAGTTTGAGACAGTCACCCTGGCTCCAGCTAGCAACTACCGAAATGAGACTGCAACTGGCCATGGGGAGCATTTCGGATGACCCCTCGATTTCAGAAAAAAAATGGATTTATGTACTCAAAAGATGAACCGCTGATCACGATAAACCTCGCTAAAGCCATTCTCACTGTGACTGATCGTGATACAGTGTTCTGGGTATCCCAATGAGCAAATGTATACGTGAGCTTCAGGCCAAAAATATTATTGTCAATGGTTTGTTCAGGCCTTTTAGACTGACGTGTATTCTGGTCCAGAAGCTCTTTAGCGGAGATGATCCAATGTGTCTCCACAGGCTTGGTAGTTTTCTGTACATTCCCTGTCAGACTGACGCTACTACTTGGGCCCTGTTCGGTAGCCTTCCAGTCACACTGGGCCCACTCGAACTGGGGAAGCCTACGACATGTTTCGTAGTCTCGGGCGTCCACTCACACTGAAAGGAAGTCTCGTCCACTAAGGCAAGAAGTTACAGTGTGTTTCTCGAGAAATTACTGGTCGAAACTTTTACTTTTGTAAGAGGCTGCCCAGCTCACAAATAAAAAACAGCCCGCCAAATATAACACCCTCGATATGGATAAAAGAAATTCACGAACGGGCACGATCTCTCATTGTTTGAACGAGCGGGCTGAAAAACATAATTTGACCCGATTCAAAACTAATGCAGCGTTTCCCCTACAGCGTGCCACTCAGAGCGGGCCTGCCTGAGTGGAACTGGAAAGTAGAAATGGGGTTGACTCTCACTGGCGGTCGAGCTTGCCTGAGCAAGCATTTTCGTGGTAGCGTCCTCAACTTCACTCGGGTTGGGTTTTTCACGCGTTCGGTAGCCAACTTGCACTGGGCAGGTATGGTGTTCTAATAACGGTTTAGTGGGCTTTAAGGTGAGTCGACATTGGGCCGAGGAAGAGCACCTGCACCAACCGCAGTGTGACTGGGGGGGCTACCGAACAGGGCCTTGATTAGTGGCACATGGTATCGTTATCGGCAGGTTGCGGAACGAGCATGTGTGAAATAGACGTGGGGTAGCTAAAGCTCCGACGAAGGAGAATGGCGTCATTGAATCATTGGGGGTTCGATGTGCCATGGCTGTCAGACAACACAGATTCACCTATGGAATCAAGCACAGCTTGCGAGAGCCACGTCAACGACTTCCTTCAACACGCGAATGCTCGCTGCATTCCGTCCGAGCAGCCCGAATCGGCTCCTTGGATCAATCTGTCTAGTCATGAACGTCCGATACCACCACATTCATCGGCGAGCCTTTTTGACATGGAGTCAATACACGATCTTTCGGATGATACTTATGGAGAGCCAAGGCGCGTTTCGCTGGATGATTCTTATGGTGATCTTATAAAGAGGATAAATTGGACGTTTGGTTCTGGAACGGATCGCTGCGACCCTCCCAGGAGTAACAGGATGACGGATTGGATGCTGAGCGCGGTGACGCCGAATCCCGTCGTGACATCTGGCATCGCGGAAAAGATGCAGGCGATGTCCACGTGGCAGGCCGCTCCGGGAATCTCGGATTTAGAATCGAAGATGCGGCAGGAGTGGGGGTACTGTTTGCCATCCACCAGGCCAGCCGCTCTCACCGACCTGTACCCTTCTCCGTGCATTATTACCGAATCCAACAACTACGCATACCTAGGAGCCAGTTTTGAGTCGTCTCAAAGCTCGCAGATAGAAGCCACGGATCGCGTGTTGGAATTCGGGAATCTCGGCTCGTGGAAGGGGAATCAGGCTCGGGAAGGATTGGGTGGGGCGAAAGAGAGTGGATCAGCGGCGGGGATATGCCACCAGGGTCGAGGAACGATGGGATTGGACGAGGCGGCCGCGTGGCTGCTCGCTGTGCAGACAGCGCAGATGATGTGGCGATGGCAGGAGGCGGGAGCAGCTGCAGCAAGGTGGGGTCTCTATGCTGGAATTATTCACACACTACCTGCTCCATGTCTGCCGTCACAAGATGCTGCAGTGGCATTGCAACACGCCTCGTATTCCACCTCACCTCTTTACTGCCATTGCTCAGCCCAATCGCTTTCATCCCTCCCGATTCCACTTAACTCCCCATCTTCTTCCCCTCCCTCTCTCCCGCGCATCCCCCCCTTCTTTCCGCCTGCCAGCACCCGCACGCCCTCGCCCTCGTGGCAGCGTGCGCTCTCAGGGGGCAGCCCGCCGCCCTGTACGTCCTCCACGCCTTCGCCCTCCGCGCCCGCACCGCTGCACCCTCTGCTCTCGCTGCTCCCACTGCTCCCACCAGCTCGCCGAAGAGAGATCCTGCAGCGGCAGCTGCTTTTGAGTCGACTCAAAAGCGTGCTCCCACCAGCTCGCAGAAGAGAGATCCCACAGCGGCAGCTGCAACAGCAAGAGTGGCGCAGGCTGTGGCGAGGCAGGGGATTGAACGGGCAGTGCTGGGGGAGGTAGTGGCGGATGGGCACGTGTGCCGCAGACTGCACTGCCTCGCTGCGAGGCTGCAGGCTGCTGCTCCTGCTGCTGCCGACGCAGCAGCTGCGGCATGGGGCGTGCCACGTGTGCCTGCTGACGTGGAATGCCAGCTGGCAAGTGTGCCGTGCCCGTTGGCTGCGTGCAGGATGGTGCAGCAGGCGGCAGATGCGGGCAGTGCAGGTGGTAACGCATGTGGCGACGCTGCTGGCGGTGATGTTGGCAGCGATGGGGAGGAGGGTTCGGACTGGGATTCAGAGAGTGGGGAAGTGTGGATGGGGTGGACGGGCGGGGAGAGTGACGACGACGAGAGTGAAGGGGGCGAGGAAGGGGGAGAGCGTGCAGAGAGTGCATTGCTTAAGAGCAGCAGTCAACACCCCCTTCCCCCTCCTCAACACCCGCATGATCATGCCACTCCCAGGTCTCAGCGTGGAGAACCAAAGATAGAGGGTCTCGCAGTGGGAGCTGGAGGGGCCGGTGCAGAGGGAGATGACGCGGTTCTGAGGGGTTTTGGGAGGGCGCTATCGCTGGTTCTCGCTCAGTACGAGGCCGGGTTTGCCCAGCTCGCCCGTGCGTGCGTCGCCTCTCTTTCTGCCTCATCTCCAACAGCAGCAACAGATTGTTCCAGCCCTGCACGCTCACAAGCAGGCAGTCCAGCCGGTCCGTCAGATGCTGTGCTTCTACTGGCCATGCGGAGCAGGCGACTGAGGGCGCAGCTGAGGCGCCTGGTGATGTTGCTGGGGATGGATCCGAGAGCGAGGGAGACAGCAGGGGGTGGGATGAAGGGGCACCCATGGGAGGACGGGGCGCTAAGGGGGAGGGAGACAGCAGGGGGAAAGATGGAGGATGCGTGGTCGGTGGTGTACCAGTGCCCTCAGATGGTCATGCCTAGCTCGTCAGATCAAAGCAGTTCAGGCATGAGAGACATGCCTCTCACTCCACCCCCTCCACACAGGTCCCACACGCACCACATACACTGCACGCCCCACACGCACCACGCAGACCGTGCTGTTGCTGCCAGTGGTGGCAGCAGAGGCGTGCGCCCCACCACCACCCACAGCAGCCAAGCCGCCGCTCTCCTCTCTTACCTCCACACCATGCTCCACCTCGCAGCCGCGGATAGCAGCAGCCGCAGCAGCAGCAGCAGCACTGCCAGTGTGCGTGGTTTGAGTCAGAAGCACCACCAGCAGCAGAAGCAGCGGCAGCAGCAGCAGCGCAAAGGAGGAGGCGATGGTTCAATGGAGGCAGTGAGGTGGCTGTTTGTGTCGGCGTGCCGGCCGCTGGTGTGCCAGCTGAGGAGCACTATGGCCCTGGGTGACCTCTCCTCCCTGCATCCCTCCCTCGCTGCTGCTGCTGCTGCCACTGCTGCTACTGCTGCTGCTGCCGGGAGTGCTGCTCCTGCTGGGAATGCTAACCCTGCCACCAACGTCACCATCGCCATCACTCGTAGCCCTGCTACCCCTGCTACCCCTGCTACCCCTGCTGGGCAGTTCACTCCCACTAGCGGCGTCACTTCGCGCATGGTTGCCCCGTCTCATCTGGTTACCCCATCCCGTCAGGTTATCCCATCACAAATGATAGCCCCATCACAAATTATATCCCCATCACAGTTCGACACACCTCATTTCCTGTCCAACCAGGCAGCAGCCGGCGATGCGTGGAGTGCGGCACTCTTTCTTCGTCCCAGCAAGGTGCGTCTTTAACCTTTCTTCGCTATCAATTAAAGTCAATTGATTTGTTTTGTCTCTTTTCTTCTCGTTTTGTTATTTCTTCGTTTTTTTGGAGTTCACCATCTCGCTTAAGCAGTAACCAACCAGGGGTCAACTTCGCATGCGTGTTGATCCGTTAGACTCTGCACGCATTAAGAATGGTTCTTTTAACTTGGCTGAATACAGTTCCGCTCAGTCTATGTGGCAAAGCTCCAGGTCAACTGTGGCCTGTGCCCTGTGCCTCCCCTTTCCATCCATGCCTTTCGTTCCTCGCCCCTGTCTCCCCCCTCCGCTTCCTTTCCCCCACAACACCAGATCAACCACCTGCTGCCCTTGTTCCTCCATCAAGTCTCACACCTCGTTGTAAGAACAGCACAGCAGCAGCACATTCTTCTCTCCGCCCCCTCCCCACCGATTCGCCAACTCGCTTCCCACCTATCCTCCCTCATCTCCTCCCTCCTCCTCCCCCACTCACAACCCTTCCCCTCTCTGCCAACCAAAGGAGAAAGGCCACGTTACAATCAACCAGCTCTTGCGTCTGATTGGTCCATCGATTTCAACTTGCCTGGGGTGGCCCGAACCAGAGAGATTGTCCAGCACCGGCTTGCCAAGGCTGAGCTGCAGGTTCGGAAGCTTCTGGACGCCCTGGAACCTCGGTCCGGTGCAGAAGGCGAGGCTTGGATTGCTGATGTGGGTGGTGTGTTGGGGGGACAGTTAGCAACAGCAACAGCAGCAGAAGGAGCAGCAGCGCGAGCAGCAGAGGGAGCAGCAGTGGCAGTATTAGACATGGAATCATCTGTAAGAGATGAAGCTTCAAGTGGTTTGCAATCTGCAGAGGCAGTAGCAGCAACAGAAACAGCAGCACCGTTACCACTGCCACCACTGCCCCCCCCTCCGGGTTCTGTCAGGTCCGCACCTCCCGACAGAGCAAAGGAAAGACAATCATTAGGGAAGGAGCAAGCGAGGGAGAAGATCTGCTCTGGCTGTGGCTGGTCGCATGACCCCTCCTTGCATGCATCTGGTGATGACGTGGCAGCAGCTGATTGGCCCTGGAAGGGCAACCACCCGCCTCCTCTATCCAATCTGCTTGTTGGCGTGCAAATACCAAGCAATGAGTCAGCACGATTCCCCAGCGCCACCGCCCCCAGCCCCACGCTGCAGAAGGCATGGGTGTAGTGCGGTGCCATGCTGCGCCTCACTGACCCCCACTCTGGCCCTGCTTTTCCCTGGACGTGGATGGCCTGTAACGAGCATGCTTGTAACAAAGATGGATCTGGTGGGGGTGTGGTTCATGGTGCTGGTGGCATCTCGTGGCATGCAGTGCTCCAGCATGCATCGATCCATGGGGGGTGTGCGGTTGAACATGCATGGAGGCATGGGGAGGGTGGGGTTGAACATGCACAGGAGAGAGGAAGCAAGGGAGTAGCGAAGGGGGGAATTGAGGGAGCTAAAGGCGCAACAGAGAGATCAAAGGAAGGAGGAAAGGACGGAGGAATTAGGGGAGATAGGGAAGGATCAAAGGAGGGAGCAAAGGAGGGAACAAAGGAGGGAGTAAAAGAGGGAGGGAAGGAGGGATCAGGAAAGGGGGCAGCAGCAGGCAGTGGGAGGCGAAAACAGAAAGGCGTTGAGGTTCAAAGTGGGAAGCACAGTGGGAGGCAGAGAAGTGGGCAGAGTGGGAAGCAGGGTGGGCCGGGTAGGCAACACAGTGGGAGGCCTGGTGAGAAGCAGAGTGGGGAGCCGGGTGGAAAGGCGGGTGGGCGTGGAGCGGCAGCAGGGAGGGGAGGGGGGCATGTGACGGATGAGGAGAGGCGGCTGGTTGGCATGGCCGTTACAGAGATGGATGGGAGCTTCGATGATGCCGTCCATGCCCACCTGCTTCTGCCCATCCGCGCAAGGTATGCTGATAATGGCTCGCACTGAGCAGTATGTGATGCGAGTGCCACCACCTCTTCCTCTCCCACCTCTCTCCTCCCTGCCATCCGCTCTCCTGCATGCCCGTTATTCCTCCTCCCCTCCATTCCCTAGTCAACCATCAGTTAAACATTTTTTACCTCGACCTTTCTCGGCCCTGCCTCCCCGTCCCCGTCCTTCTTCCCCCACCAGCCACGCACTGGTGAGCAGGGCAGCAGTGCAAGTACTGTTCACAGTGGGGCGCTACCGCGACCACTGCACCGCACTGCACCGCCTCTTCCTCTCTCCCCACTCCGCCCTGCCCTCCGCCCTCCTGCACGCCCTCCATGCCGTGGTGAGTGCCGCATGCCACAGCAGCATCACGCCCTATCTGCTGCCCTCGAATGCTGTCTGATTCAACTCACTTGCTTTTGCTTTTGTCCCCTCTACACCCTCTCCAATCCCCTCACCCCTATCCCCTCTCTGCTCCCCCCATCCGCTCCCCCGTTGCCCTCTCCCATCGTCCCCTCCCCCGCAGGACTGGGCCAGCCTTCGCTCGCTGCCAGAGCAGCAGCATGCGCTCTCATCCGCCCTGGACACGGCCATCTCACGAGCCTGCCTCTCCTCCCTGCCCTCCGCTCTGGGCACGGCCATCTCTTCTAACTTGCTTGCTGCTGCTTCCATCCCATCTCCCTCTACCTCATACCCCCTTCCCCTTTCTGCAGGACTGGGCCAGCCTTCGCTCGCTACCAGAGCAGCAGCATGCGCTCTCGTCCGCCCTGGACACGGCCATTTCGCGAGCCTGCCTCTCCTCCCTCCCCTCCTCCTCCCTCTCCCACCTCCAGGCCTTCATCTCGCCCTCCTCCCTCTCCTCCTCCTCCCTCTCCTCCTCCTCCCTCTCCTCCATATCATCACCGCCACCTCAGCCAATGTCGCCAGGGTTGGGAGGGGGGGGAGTGGGCAGTGTGAGCAAGCAGCTGACGTGGAGTCCTTTGTCTGCCCACCGTGAGTGCCTGGGTTATTGTAACAGTTGGGCCACTTTCTCAACCGCACTGCATCCCTCCCCACACCCATCACCCGAATCTGGTGCATGTTACGTTCTGCGAGTGCAGTACAATACTCGCCTGAGCATCTTCTCAGCCACACTACATCCCTCTGCGCCGCTCCCCACACCCACCATCAGGGCTGGGCGCGTTTGACTTTGTGTGGGTGGGGTACGACCCGGGCTGGCCTGCCAGCGTGGTGATAACGCCCCACCTGCTGCAGCAGTATGGAAACATTCTCACGGCGCTGCTCAGGCTGCAGCACGTGCAAAGGGCCGTTGAAAATATCACGCTTCACGTCAAGGTAAGCTACTTGTGAGACGCCTTAATAGCCTTTTGAAATGCCCCAAAAGCCTGCTAGCGTTGTGATGACGCTGCTGCAGCAGTATGGGGTGGAGACACGCTCACTGCGCTGATCAGGTCAGACTGCAGCACGTGCAAAGCAAAGGGCCATTTCGAAACCTTACCATTCACGTTAAGGTAGGCCACTCTTGAGACGCCTCGAAGGCCTGCCAGCGTGGTGAGAAGGCCTAAGCTGGTGCAGCATTATGGAGACATGCTCACTGCGCTGCTCAGGCTGCAGCACGTGCAGCTGGCCACCAGCAGCCTCACCGTTCACATCAAGGTAGGCCCTGTTTTATGACTTTCGCATTGGCACCATGTGCACACGGCAGAGATGGCAGCGGCAAGATCAGTGTTCGTAACATGTCAATGCGCACCGCATGATACCAGTCGCTTCCCCTGACCTGACACATCATGTGTTCTTTTCCCTGTCAGCCATTCTACGCAGGAGCATACCCTTGTGCTCCATAGCATATAAATTCATGTGCATCATGCCGTCTCATTGCTGCATCTTGCTATTCCTTTTAATACCCCTGCTTCCTGTCAGGTCCTCCGTTCAGCTTTGCTGAACCCGTCGCTAGCACCAGCAGCAGAAGCAGCAGCAGCAGCAGGCACGGCAGTGCACAGGGAGCGGTATCGGCGGCTGTGCTTCCTCAACGTCTTCACGTGAGAGCCCCTCCCTCGTCTGCTGTATCTGAGCTGTTCTGTAACTGCACCGTGCGCGCATTGCAGCTGGTTGTGGGCATTCTGACCTTCATGAATCATGAGTTCTCAGGTGCACCGAGCAGCACTGCTTGTAGGGCAGCCACGCCCCCTCGTCACTCACCGCTCCCTGTGTTCGCCCTCCCGCCCTCTCCCCCTCCTTTTTCCCATCCAGCGTTCGTGCATCACACCTCGTGTCTTGCATGCTTGCCTTCATGAGCGCTCAGCTGCAGCGAGCAGCGCAGCATGGGGACCAGATACTGCTGCTGGGCACTCAGGCAGAACACATGCCCCCTCTGGTGGGTCTGGGTATTCCATGGGTATAATATTGAGCAGCTTCAAACATAGATTCTCGCTCAATGACTGCTAAGATGCAGCAAGCAGCGCAGCAGGGCGACCAGATGCTGCTGCTGGGCACTCACGACTCCTCAACACACAAACCCCACTTGGTGGGTCTGGGACTTACATGGTTGTGTTTCTCAGGTTTATCGGGGAAAACACAAGCACCCAAGGGTGGGTGTGAGCCTCAACTGGGGCGATTCTCATGCACTCTGAGAGTTCGGCTTGGCATTTCGGGCTAGATCGTGCCCGATTGGATCCATTATGTGCCCCTTGCTTTTCACCTTTCATCTAACTGTGATCCTTCCTTTGCCCCTTCCCTTGTTCCTCCTTCACTTGTGCCACCTCACAGGACCTATTCTCATTCCAGGAGGCACATGCACAGTTTCTGCTTTACTGCACAACCAGGTCCTTTCTCCTCCCTCGTTCCCCATTCCCATTTCACCTTCGTTATTATGACATACAGATGCATTTTTTTATCTATAAGGGTACATTCCGCTGTGGACCATGTCCCAATCGATGTGTCCCAATCGTTTCTACTGCACTGCATCGTATTACACCAAATTGCACCCTAGTTTCGAAATTTTCGCGTCTCTGGTTTAGTTCGGTTCGGAGCGGTACACTCGATTGGGACACATCGATTGGGACAGTGTCCACAGCGGAATCTACCCTAACTTCATATCATCGTGCTTCCTGTATGCCATGGCAGGTGTCTGCTGGACGCTCGCAGTGCTGCCATCAGGGAGCGACTAGACAGCCTGCTGCAGCTGGTGCTGGATGTGCATCGCAGCGTTGACTCTGCTCGCATGGTCGCTCCTCTCTCTGAGTTTTTTCTCGACGACGATGCTCCCATCTGGGAGGAGGTGAGGGGTGTAGTAACTCGAGTGCTTATGTCGTGTTATCGTGGTATATGTCAAACAAAACTATTGTACACCTGTGCTCAACCACCCCGCTCCCTGTGTTCATCCCCCGTGATGATGCTCCCATCTGGAAGGAGGTGAGGGATGTAGCACCAAGTTGTACTCAAATCTGTGCTAGTACCGGTATGTTGTTAATTTGCATGTGATCGTTCTCATTCTCACAAATTCTGCTTGCTTGTGCTCGTGATGAGTGTGGGCAGGTGGGAAGCATGTATAGGAGTCCAACGAGCTCCTGGATTATTTGTTCGATTTTGTAGCTTGCGAACATGCTTGTTCTCACAATGCCATGTCATGTTTGTGCTTGTGATGGGTGGAGTGCAGGTGGAGGAGCACGTGGGAGAGTTCAACGAGGCTCTGAATGAACGTTTAGTTTTGTTCTTGCAGTAAACATTCTCAGTAATACACCTTTTTTCGCTTGTCTGTGCTTCGGATGGGTGGGGTGCAGGTGGAGGAGCACGTTGGAGAGTTCAACGAAGCACTCAATGACTTGCTGGATTTTCTCTCGCGCAAGCAGGAGGTTTCTCGCCCTGAAAAGCGCCTTCTCAAATACCTCGTCTTTCTCAAAGTCAACTAAACCTGACTTGTCTCGTGGCTACACTTTGCTGTGTACTTGATTAGGTATGTATGCCTCAAGCTTTCTTGTAGTGTATATTCTTTGTAAAGAAGTTTGACTACGAGTTGCGCGTGCGTGTCTGAGCTCAAATTTCTCCAGCTCTTTTTGCCCGAGGCTTCCTCATTTGCCTGATGGCTTCAGCAGGAACGCCATTAGTTCAGTCGAGCCCATCGTGCGTGACCTAAGTTCCTCTGACGCTTGGTTACATCCCCCTTCGTCCTCACTCAACCATTCATCCGTATTCGCGGTTGAACGTTGCGGCGAAACTCAACAATGGCAAGCGACAACTGTGGCAGTAGCGTTAGCACCAGCAGCAGCGTCAGCACTAGACGAACGCGAGTGCAGCAGCTCGAGCGACTTCAGGTGTGCGGAACATTACACGGTTGCACCATCACTCCCGTCATCACTTCCGACTCAATCCGTTTCCTCAAGTCCTGATGCTCTCGTTTAGAATTCCGCGTTTTCACTTTACTCGTTGCCACGTCCCGGCCCATTCCCCCCTCGTCGCGTCCATCGAGGCGCCTCGATGGTACGTCGTTCGAAGCTCAAATGATTCGATCTCGTTGTCGCCGTCAATCCCTCCCGCCAACTAGGAGCTGTCGCAGCTGCGGAGGAACCTCTCTGGAGCCAAGGGTGTCAGCTCGAATCCCAGCGATCAACCTGCACACTCGGCAATCCCAAGGGCGTCTACAGACTCGGCAATCCCGAGGATGCCTGCACACTCTGCAATCTCAAGGACGTCTACAGGCTCGGAAGCGAGGGAGGGCATGAGGCGGCGAATCCAGCTGGCTCAGCCATGCGGGGAGGCAGGGGCGGAGGGCAGAGGTGGGGAAGGTAGAGAGGGGGAAGGTTACAGAGGCAGAAGCGGGTCTGATGCACAGCCCGGGAGACAAGGGGTGTGCGCAGAGCCTGGGGGGGGTGGTAGGGCTGGGTTTGGAAACACAGTGCCAGCACGGGAGGAGGCAGAATTAAGGTGCGGGAGTGGTGCAGAACGGTGCAACGAGGCGCAGAGAGTGGGGCTGCGTCTGCAAGGGGAGCATGCAGTGAGAGGCGGACGAGGGGGAGGTCGGCCGTTGGTGGCGGCGGTACCTTCGACGAGCCGGCAAAGCACAGGCAGAAGAACAAGCACAAGCACGAGCATGGACATGAGCGTGGGGATCAGCATGCACATGAGCATGGGGCGGTTCCAAGGCACCCCTCACGGCACATTGGGGAGGGAGGTAAGCAGTTGTGAGGCGTCCTTTGAATCGTCTCAAAAGTTGGCATAGGGTCAGCCCGTGATCGTTGGTTGTGGGTGGTTTGTTCGTGCGGTTTGTTCCGTTTATGTTGGGTTGTGTACATGTGCTGGTGCTCATGTGCCCTCATGCTTGCACCTTCTCTCCCTGTCACATGCTGCCCATCTTCTCATACTCCCGCCTTCTGTGTGCTCCCCATGCTCCTCATGCTTGTCACATGCGTCTATATGATCCCTATACCCCCCACATGCTCCCACGTGCTTCCCAGACAAAGCTGCTTACCCCACAAGCTAGACCGGTTGGATATGGCTCTACGGTCTAGTGACCATGCATCTTATGCTCACGTACTCCTCACGTGCTTCCCACACAAAGCTTGATCGCAGGTTCGGGCCGGCATTACAGCACGGCTACCATGCTCCTTACGCTCGTCTCCCCGCGTGCTCCGCATGTGCTCCGCATGTGCTCCCCACGTGCGTCCCAGACAGAGCTGGACCGCAGGTTGGAGGCAGCCCTACGGTCCGGTGACCACACAGCAGCGCTGCGGGTGAACGAGGCGATTATCAGAAGGGAGAGCGCGCGCCGGCAGAGACAGGCAGAATGGCACATGCAGCTTGCAGCGAGCTTGCAGGTGAGCAGACGGGCAGAGTGAGTGGCACGTGCAGCTTGTGGCTGTTCAAGGATTGCTGCAAAAGTAGCTTCAACGTTTCTGAACAGGGTCTTTCCTCAATAAACCTGCACCCTTTGCATTGCCACAGGAGCAGGAATCGGCGCGGCGCAAGAAACGGCAGCGGCTGAATTGGGGGTGAGATATTCTTTCATTTTAGCTGGTCATGTAAAAGCTTTTTGCTTTACGAAGCAGTTTACTTCATGCTTCTCTGTGCTTGTTTGCGGGCTAACCGAGTGGTGCTTGTGCAGGATGGATGTGCTGCGCAAGTCAGAAGGGAAGGGCAACATGTGAGATATTTTGGTACTTGTAGGGTACACATTGTATTTGATAGCCATTGTAACATGTCTGGTACCGTATGGAAGTTTGTCAGGCCAATTATTTAAGTATAAATATGTCACTGCACAAAGCGAAGCTTTCCGCGACGGGTGTGGTGTTTTTTCACGTCCGAGGAATCGAAATGTAGCCAGGAGAAAGTGCCCCATATGTAGACGGTTGCGATGAATCCAAAGGAACTTGATCGGCAGTTGAAAGCCTACGCGATTCGGCCAAATGGTGGGAGTGAAATTGGCGCTTCGAGAATTCTACAATCCAATTTTCAGCCTGAAAGTTTGACCAACCAGTACCAGCAATGGATTTCATGTCCAGCAACCCCTATTTGCCAACGTTCCATTCCATGTTTGCTTCACACATGTGTGCGATGGGCATGATACTTTGCTTTACTTTACCGCCGCGTTGACCGCCTATCTACCATATCTTGGCGGCCTTCTCTCTCGTGGAGATACGTTCCTCTTTCTCGCATCCCTCGACAGTTAACGTCCATCTAAAAAGGCTTATAAACTGCAACCGTGAAATGGACACGCTCTCAGCGACAAGACTCAGTTGTCCAAAATCGACGAGAAGCCTTATCAATCCTTCCCAGGTCACAGCGGCGCAGGTTAAATCATGCAGATCGATCCAGAGAGCCAATTATAAGCTTACCAAGTGTGGGACACCCCAATGGCGGTGCCGCGTATGTCACGGAAGCGTTGACTGTAGGTCCTCTGTTGCAAGAGCAGACAGGTCCACCGGCGTGACCGCCGCGACCGCCGCGACAGTGGTGGCGGCACGGGCGAGGTTATTTGGGGAGCGCTTTCGATCTCCTGGTAGCGCATCGTCGGTGTGGCGGTCCGCCGCGCTGCGCGGGCATACGACGCGGCGCGAGCGAGGCGGTAGAGGGCCGCGCGGAGTTACAGTGACGGCCACGTGTAAGCCTCTCGATGGGCGGGAAAGGGGAAACTTCCCGGGGGGAGGACGACCGGCGACGGGGAGAAGTTTTGGGGAGGAATGTGAGGTGGTAAGATGAGCACAACGGAGGGATACACCGGAGGGACATAGGCCTTTGCGTACTTCTCGCTCTTCGCCCCCTGAGAGACACAGCGTCGTCCGCGCCTTCACGGAGTTGACTTTTGAGTCGACTCAAAATTCAACTCGTCCGCGCCTTCACGGAGTTGACTTTTGAGTCCGCGCCTTCACGGAGTCAACTCGTCCGCGCCTTCACGGAGCTCGCACCCTCCATCCAATATCCCGTCCCCATCTCCCCACCTTCTCCCCTTTTCCCCCGCCTCTCCCGCCTCAACCCCATTCCCCTTTCCTCCCCTTCCCCCACCTTCTTCCCCCACCCCCCCCCCTCTCCCCGCGCTCCGCCTTCCCCCGACCTCCAGGGGACGTGGTGAGTCGCGGCGTGGACCGCGCGTTCACGGAGCTGGCGGAGTTGGATAAGTCGCCCGGGAGCGACGGGCGGCAGGTGATCAACGTGCCCGAGCTCTACACCGGCATCCTCATTGTCTACGAGTGAGTGCTCATCGCGTTAAGTGGTCCTTGTTCTGTATGAGTGGGTGCTATTGCGTACGAGTGAGTACAACTTGCGTACGAGTGAGTACTACTTGCGTACGAGTGAGTACTACTTGCGTACGAGTGAGTACTACTTGCGTACGAGTGAGTGCCTGTAGTGCATTACACCCAGCACCCAATCAAGCACAGTTCAAACATCAAACGTTACATCTCCTTCCACTTCAACCCCTCTTCCCTCCTGTCGCGCGCCCTGCAGCAAAGTGAACCAGCTGGTGCCGGGGATGCACATCAAACCGCCCTCCAAGAAGCAAGTTCTTCAGCTCGTGCAGGTACGTCATTTGAGGCGCCTCAAAAGACATTAAACCACCCTCCAAGAAGCCAGTCCTTCACCTTGTGCAGGTACGTCAACTTCATGCATTGTGCACAATGTGTACTACCCATAGGAATACTCGTTTTGAGGTGCCTCAAAACAAGTTTTTCAGCTCGTGCAAGTACTTCAACTTCATGCATTGTGCACGAGGTGTACTTTGCTTGTAGTGGATCATATTGTATCCATTCCATTTTGAAAGTCACCATTTTTGTGCACTCCATCTGCCCTGCCAAGCTTGTCGTTTACCTCTTTCGCTCTCGTCCCACCTTTTTTCGCCATCAACTCCGCTCAGAGGATGCCAACATGCCGCATGTCATGTTGCACACTTCATTCACACCCTACTAATCCGTCTCTTTTCTCCACTCGCATGTGCTCCGTGGCGGCAGGATTACGACATCAACCACGACGGCGTGTTGGACAGGGAGGAGTTTGGCAAGCTCGTGCGACACTTCGCACGCACTGTCGTGGCGCGAGTGCTGATCAACGTCCTTCTCATCTTCTCTCTCGTTCCCTTGGTGGTGTCGATTGCTAGCAACCTCGCGGAAACGTTTGGATGGGAACTACCTGAAGCGATCGCTGCAACTTTGCTCACGTTGCTCGTAAAAATGGTTGGAGTGTGACTCTTAGTGTCTTTCTGTTGGCAACAGTTCCAAGTGCTATCGCTGTACAGAAGAGTAATCCAGGTTAACAGCTGTGTATGGTAGGGAATCCAGGGAGAATGTAGTGAACTGGGGGGATCTTAGCTAGAACTTAGATCCCCACAGCTCCCAGTCCCCGTAGCAGCACCAGTAACACTAGCGGCATCGTCAGGACTAAGCACTGCCAGCAGCAGCACCATTATGAGGAGCAGCAGTAGCAACCGGGGCAGGCAGTGAGGCACCAAGCACGTGCTCCAGCAGCCCAACCCTCTCGACTATGGGCTGGGCGGCAGGGAGAAAAGGCCTGAGCAGACGACCAAGAGCAACGGTATGGATCTCCCGTTGCCCTCATCGACGCTATACTCTTCCTCCAACCTCCCCCACCCTCACCCCGTTCTGGTACCCCACCCAACACCTCCTCCTGCTTCCCCTCATCCAGCTAGCTGTCCTCCTCCCACCTGCTCTCCACCTGACGCGTTATCCGCCTCCTCCCCTCAACATAAGTCCACGAAACACCCCCCTCTTCTTCATGCCACTCTCCCCAAGACCCTTACATATTCCACTCCACCCTCCGCCGTGTACAACCTTTGCGTAACCCCCACACTAGTGGCATGTAGAAACGAACGGCAAAAGCGACAATTCGTAAGCAAAAGAGAAACAAATCCTTGTCATCTGTCCTCATATGGAGGCAACATCCATAGCAGTTGAATATGCAGTTTCTGATAGTCTTTTGGTTTTTATGTGTGTACTATATTGATATTGATCAGCATTCTAGGTGCTATCCTGTATATTTGAAAATGTGGGAGAAAAAACCTTGGGGTACACGTAAGTCACTGACACGAAGTAGAACATCTCACGACGGGGATCATGTGATTTCACATCCGACGAATCTACGTCAACGGACAAGAAAGTGCCCCATTTCTGGACGGCTGGGATTAACCATTATTGAGCGCTCCGAGTTTTCCCAAGCTGCTCGAGGGTGGCTGGACAAACATTTTGCATGTCCAGCTGGCAACACGTACATTGCCAAGCCAACATTGCCTCGAGCACTTCCAAGGCGAAGTTCGGCTGCCACAGGGCATCGACCGAGGGATGGGGGTAGGGATCAGATTTGCAGCTAGGGTTTCTAGTTCGGGGTGGTCAGCTCGGAGTCAACCGTCGTTGACTCCAAGTCTGGAGTCCAGGCGGAAGCGGAAAGTTTGGGGGAAAAGGCGCGGAGGAGCGACTCGGGAAATGGGGGCCCACGAAACTGCAGCCGCGCGAAACGAAACTTCGCGAGCTGAACAGTTAACTGCTGCGATTTTGTTTGGGTAGCTTGCTCTACTTGAATTCTGTACACCATAAATTAATTCAAGGGTGTAAATGACGATTCGACCTTATTTAATTTTGGCGAGTTCATTTCGCATCTTTGTGTTTAGCATTATAGTTTTAATGTCCGGGTTATTTGTTTTTTAGAGTGTGGAGTAAATGTATAAACGAAAATTGTGGAAGGGGGCATGGATTTTTCATTCCCCGTGGGCTGAGACCATCCACGGGAATGCACTTTCCATGCCCTGAACACTAGGGCGGAGTTTTTCCGCCATGGGGGGGAATCGGGGGGAGGACGCGGCGCGGGTTCAAGCCTAGCGCGGGGTTCGCGTCGCGTTTTAGGCTCACGTCCGACACTTTTTTCACAATTTTCATGTCTGACCGAAGTGTTCTGCCTGGTTCGAACAGATCGAACCAGGAGGCTCGGAGTTCTGATGCTCCATCCCATCCCCTCCCCCCATCCCCTGTGGCAGCCGAACATCGCCCAAAAGTAGTGATTCTTTTCTGCTTCACACTTGCGCCGCGTTGACCTATACCTATTACCTATCGGCCTTATCTCTCGCGGGTGTAAGCCCCACTCCCGCATCTTTCGACGGTTTACGAAAGTAATTAGAAGGCTCCGAAACTGCAATCGTGACATGGACACGCTTTCAGCGACGAGGCTCAAATCGCCAAGATCGACGAACAGTCGGGTCGCCGCGGCTCAGGTTAAACCGTGCGAATTAAGCCAGAGGGTCGTTCTTAATAAGTGGGGTACACCCCACTGGCGGTGCCGCGTAACCCACGCAGGCGTTAGCTGTAGGTCCATGGGGGCACTGGGCGGGTCTACCGCCGTGACCGCCGGGAACGTGGCGGCAGCAGGGGAAGGGCTATTTTGGGAGCGCTGTTGGGCTTCTGGGAGCGCTTTGTCGTCACGAAGGTCCGCCGCCCTGCGCGGGCACTCGACGCGGCGCGAGGGAGGCGGTAGAGCGGCGCGCGGAGTTAGAGTGATGGCCACGTGTAAGCGGGGGGCGGAGGGGAGGTTGAGAGGTGGAACGGCAAGGGGCGATGGGGGGAGCGAGAGGAGGAATGTGTGGGGGTTGTGGGCTGTAGAGCCGCGGGGAAACAGGGCGGGTATGGAGGTCCTATGTGCAGTTGTCGCTCTTCGCCCCGTCTCGATACAACGGTAAAACGGCGAGTCGCAGCGTCAACCGGGCATTTCAGGATTTTCCCTTCCCACAATAGCGCGCACATCCATAACTCTCCCCCCTCTCTCCACACTCTCTCTGCCCCCCCCGCCCCCACATCCTCCCCCGCGCCCGCCCCGCGCGATCCCCCGGATAATCCCAGGGGACGTGGTGAGTCGCGGCGTGGACCGCGCGTTCACGGAGCTTTCGGAGCTGGACGAGACGCCGGGGAGCGACGGGCGGCAGGTGATCAACGTTCCCGAACTCTACACCGGCATTCTCATTGTATACGAGTGAGTGCTGATTTGCGTTCGAGTGAGTGTTGCTGGAGTACAAGTGTGCACCGGAGTACGAGTGCTGCCTGGAGTGCTCGAGCTGGTTGTACTCTCCCAGCTTCAACCATTACATCTCTCCTCCCTGTTCGCCACCTGGCCATGCAAACGTTACATCTCCCACAGCAACGTGAATTCGCTCGTGCCCGGGATGCACATCAGCCCGCCTTCCAAGAAGCAAGTTGTCCAGCTCGTACAGGTACTTCTGTTTTGTACATGATCTGAGGATCTCATTATATCTTGTCCATATTAAGGCACTGACAAAATCTTCTCGTCTACCACTTCCCTCTCGTCCCATCGCACCCATTCTCGTCGTAATTCCCGTTCACAATACCTCCATCACGCGCTTTTGAGAGGACTTAGAAGCTGTTTTGCTTTCCCTCTGACGCCTGCTCTCTCGTTCAGGATTACGACATAAACCACGACGGCGTGTTGGACAGGAAGGAGTTCGGCGAGCTCGTGCGACACTTCGCACGCACCGTCGTGGCGAGAGTGGTGCTCAACCTCGTCGTCATCTTCTCGCTTGTGCCTTTGCTCGTGTCGCTCGCTAAAAAGCTCACGCATAAGGTTGGCTGGAAACTACCAGAAGCAATTGCAGCAACTCTGTTCACGTTGCTGATTAAAATGACAGGAGTGTGATGTTACCGGTATGTTTACAGCAAGCCATATGTGTGTGCTGTATATAGAAGCGACGAACTATTTAGTAGTTGTGCTGGCTAGAGCCGGGAAGGTTAGAATGGCATGATGTTTAGAGATGCCTCGACAGACGATTACAACATGCAGCATAGCCTACCACAGATAGCATGCTTTCTAAGTCTCCTGTACCTACATACCCTGTACTTATTGACCGTTGAGAGAACGGACCATGCTATTTTTCTACTGGTACTGCTATTTTTCTACTGGTACTTATCTACACATCCGCAGCTCCCAGTCTGCACAGCACCACCTCCAGCAGCACCACCTGCACAAGACGTACCAGCAGCAGCATCAGCAGCATCAGGGAGGTGACCAGGGAGGAAGGGCATGAAGAGGCCACCCAGGGCGTATGACTCGGAAGCAGCGTCACCCGCTGCTGCCAGCGGCGCTTCAAGCACTGCTGCTGCCAGCGGCGCTTCACGTGCAGCTGCTGCAGAGAATGCACCCACTCCCTGTTGGGCTAGGGGCAGCAGGTCAATCTTTCGTCGGGCCGTTGGAGCTGCTGTCCCTGAAACCTCCCCCCACTCCAGTCCACCTTCCGTCTCATTTGAATCCACAAGCGCTCTTTTTTTGCTCCACCCCTGCGCTCCATCACTCTCCATCACGCCGTGTGGACCACCCATGCCGCTCAAGCCACTCCAGCCGCTCAAGACACGTACGCCACCTACGCCACCATCCCTGTGACTCCCCTGGTCTTCTTCGATGTTGTGAATGCGCGCTCCTCTCTCCGACCCCTCCTCTTCCTCCCCTCTACCCGAACCCTCGTCCTCTCTTCCTTCCGAGTCACCTCTGTCACCTTCTGTTTCCGCACAGTCATGATCCGTCTCACTTGTAACATAGCGAAAACCGGCGACAGCAGCCATCTGTTCGCGCAGCAGAAGAATCTCCTCTCCTTGCCTCTCCACCTCGGCCCTTAAGCCCTCTACCTCCTCCTCCTCGTACCGCGCTTTCTCGACTAATATTCTCTCTCTCTGCCGGGCCGCTAACTGGTCGGCAGCTTTATCGTCTTGCAACCGTCGGATCGATTCCATACTCGCCATCGCAGCGCTGTCCGCAGCCGCTCGCTCCTGCTCCAGTTCCCGTCGCAGACTGTCGCTAAGCACCCACTCTTGCTCGAGCTCTTGTCGCAGAGAGTCGCACGTCGCTCGCGCTTGCTGGAGCTCGTGTCGCAGGGCGTCGTTTTCTTGCGCGTGCAGCTCGCCAGACGTACCCGCTGCGATAGTCCTGTTCCGCCCTTCGCCTCCTCTTCTTGTTACAAGGTCCTCTTCGCCCTCTGCAGTGGCGAGCTTCGCAACAGCCCTCGCCTCCTCAACCCATCGCCTCATGTTCTCCTCGTCCCATAACCTACCGGAAGAAGTTTTATCGCCTAGCGACGACGACGACAGCCTGAGTTGATCCCATGGCGACCACTCGTCGCAACCCACTTTCTCACCGCCCTCGCAACTCCATGTATAAGCCGCATTCTCCGTGTACTCCTCCCTGTGATCCAGATCCCGAGCCTTACCGTAGAACTCAATATCGCGTACAATAGCCGAGAGCCAGGTCTCGACGAGGCACACGAATCGCACGATTCTCTGTACGACGCGGAGCGGCGGCAAGAGAAACGTCAAGGCGAGTCTGCAGGCGGCGAGAGCGACGAGGGCGCGAAAGAGGAGGAGGAGCGAGTTGAACACGTGGATGATCTGCGAGGACATGGAGAGAATCTCAGCCGCCGTACATCGCGCCGAACGAAGAAATGACGTCGACATTCGTCTATCTGTCGGGAAAGGTTTGAGTGAAAATTTGTGCCGGTGCGCATTCTTGGTTGCAGCGTTGCTAGGGATGCCGTGTGCGATGGGCTTGCTGAAGATGATATTCCGCGTTGATATTCCGTCGCTCCGGGAGCTGCTTCTGCAGCTATATGCTAGATCGACCATAGGTTTCAACAAGCATGTGCGACGAGTAACTCGCGAGAGATGCTAAAACTCGCACCCATTTGGGAAAGGCGCTGTGCGTCCTATTTATTGAGAGTTTTGCACCCTTGTCAAGCTTGCTGGACCAGCGTCAGCAACGGGCGGCGATCAGTGCAGAACTGGGGGTTTGCGTGAACAGACTTTGGTGGGGCAAGAAGAGGGGAGGTTGCATGGTCGTGGCCGTCGAAAGCGCCTCAGATGACAAATTGCTCAATTCGGGTTTGGAATGTGTGCGTGCATTGAAGGCGACGCGTGCGTGAAATGCAGAAGGTAAGCGGCGCGAGATACAAAGGAATAGAGTCGGATCCCGACACGTGTGAGTGTGAGAAAAACGAGCGTGAAGCGCACCGAAGAGGTGATGCCTGTGTGATGGATGCTTTTTGCGAAGTGTAGGTGTTACAAGAACAGTCGAATCACAGTCGACCAGACTGCATGGACTTCGCAAACCAGACCTCCCAAGTGGCGTCGATGGCGTGGTGCTTCAAGAACTATAAATTCGCTCAATTCGCGAAGGTAAATTTTGCGAGACACGATTGGGGCAAGCCTTGTGCTCCCATCCGTTATGCGAACCAGAAAACTCCCAAAAAGTGATGTATCGGGTAACTGGACTATCCGTCAATGTGTACCGAAATCTGGTGCAACTACCATTCGCCTTCAGCAACCTCCACATGAGTGCGGTGATGACTGGCAGCAGGAACTGTAGTGTAGAAAGTAAGGGCGAGTCGAGACTCGAGACAACCTGGCGCAACCCACACCTGCCGAGTCGCATGTGAAACCTCCTCGCTGCAACCATCACTTGCAGCGTGCTGTTCCCTCACTCTCACGTTTGGACGGCCCAGATCATCCCTGCGTTGCGACCATCCAGCTCATTCCACACCCACCAAGCCAACTATGCCCGACGCGCCCCCACATGCGCCAGCGATCTCGATTCTCCAATCTCAAAACACACAAGTGATGAATGCCGCCACAAGCACTGGGATAAATAGGTCGTAATTTTCTCCAATCTACAAGCTCAATCCACTCGAGCAACTCGTAAAGCCAAGCATTTTCCTCGAGATTCCTGAATCGCTCAAGCGCATGAGCGTCTCTGCTCGCTAGTTCAATGTGTACAATTGAAATGCTAAATTCTTTGCGGGGCTCGTTGCTGGAACGAAGCGAGTGGCTCGTACTCGTAGCGGCTGTGACCTAGGCGTCCATTTCGGATTCTTCAGCTGCCAGTTCATTCAGAAGCACAATTACAGATTCCGGCGCGACAACAGCAGAGGGCTTGCAGCACTCAGCGCGGTCGGAGTGAGGGCCAACAGTTGGCAGACGATAGCAGAAGCTGCAGTTCCAAGCAGTACCACGACGAAACGGATCGCCCTGAGGCTTTGCAATCCCCTTACCTACGCGCGTGTCTGCTCACGTCAACAAATGGAAACTGCGGGAAAGCGTGAAGCTGCGGCAACACCAATGCTCACAGAAAAAAAAAAAAACTACTTTGTGGCGTCAATCACGTGGCCATGAGGAATAAGCGCTGCTTCAGCCAGTGACTACCCGCAGCGCCCTGCGGGAATAACCCGTCCAACAACCGCCGGACGAGAATAAGCGTGAGAGCTACCAATAAGCGAGGATGCGGCTCCGAAATTTGCAATCCAGCAGCATCCTCCAATATCAGCGCGCCACCTGTCCGATAGCAGCGCTAGGGACGAGAGGAGCATGCACCAATAAGCGCCGGGCTTCAGCTGGCTTCTGGCTTAGAGCGAGTCCTCCTGCATCGAGGATGCGTTGTAGCTGCAGCTTCAGCCCCCACTCTGACTCGAAGACGAATAAAGCGTGGCGAATGGCGACAGGCCACGCTGACGGCCCTGCGCAGCGAGATGCCACAAAAGTCCGTTCAACAACCGCCGGACGAGAATAAGTGTGGGCGCTACCAATAAGCGAGGATGCGGCTCCGATTCTCGCAGTCCAGCAACATCCTCCAATACCAGCGCGCCACCTGTCCGATAGCAGCGCTAGGGACGAGAGGAGCATGCGCTCTGCTGCTCCCCCGACCCCGGTCTTCTGAGTCCACCAATAAGCGCCGGGCTTCAGCTGGTTTCTGCCTTAAAACGAATCCTCCTACATCGAGGATGCTCTGCAGTAGCTGCAGCTTCAGCCCCCACTCTGACTCGAAGACAATAAAGCGCGGCGAATGGCGACAGGCCACGCGGACGGCCCTACCTAGGGCTCACATACGGTTACCCTCCCGGCACATCGCACACACAATAAGCGGCTCGACAACGATCCAATCCACTTCGGCCCAGAATCCGACCATCATCCCTTGCCGTGAACCTCCTACCTCCTGCGATTGCGACGGCCCTTCGGGCGGATCGCACAGAGTCGCAGGACTGGTCGCATGGCGAATAAGCGGCGTTATCGCCCACAGGGAGATAGGCTGCGGATTTTATCTGCGGGGGGAGTTGGAACGAGGAGTGTGGTTTAGCCGGATGCAGTGCGATGACACAATAAAGGGATGGGTACCGTCAGCTGGGAGAAGATGTTCCAGTTGCCGATTCATTAATTCGTGTCTATGTAAGGAGAATTTTATTATTGCTGTATACCTTCTCAACATCGAGCAAGATCTGTGCCAATCCAACCGACACTGCACCCATCGTAATTAAATGTGATGGCTATAATCATTTCTGCAGCACAAGCACACCCATGAGACCTCCTCCAATCTCATAATGGACTGCCTTGGAAAATCCAGCATCCTTTGCCAACTGCTCCTGCTGCCGCCCTGTGACCCGCACACACACAGCCATGCACACGATATCAGCTGAAGGCCTAATGCATGGGGCAAGACATGGGTTCAAACGTGTGGATAGTGAGAAAGTGGTAAGACAGAGGCAAGACATGGGTTCAAAAGTGTGGATAGTGAGAAGGTCAAGTGGTAGGACAGAGCTTGCACCGCTGGGTAGGCATCACCTGTGGGGCAGGTACTCGTACTCCTCTGACAGCCCAAACAGACAGCCGCACCTGGTGAGGCACTAACTGTGAGAAAGGTGTTACCTATGGAGCAGGCATTATCTGGGGGAGGTATTACCTGTGGGGAAGCGGCGGATGGAGGGCAGCAGGTACTCGTACTCTTCTGACAGCCCAAACATGCGCGCCACCGGCACCACCGCGTTCTGCAGCGCAAACTCCTGCATGTGAGGGCGGGGAGGGGTGGGGGGGTGGTGTGTTCCAGTTTCCGAGAGTGTTTTTGGCACACCGCGTTCTGCAGCGCAAACTCCTACATGTGGGGGCGGGGAGGGAGGGAGGGAGTGGGGAGGGAGGGGGGAGGGTGGTATGGTGTGTGACAGCTTCTGAGAGTGCTATTGGCACTACCGCATTCTGCAGAGAAACTCTTGTGGGGGAAAAGAGAAGGGGGAATGGCAAAAGAAAAAAGAGTGGAGGGGGAGGGGTTTGAGATGAGTCGAACCAGCACAGTGTGCTGTGCAGGACCAACTCGTGCATGCAGAGAAGAGGAAGGACTGGGGGAGCGGAAGGGCATCAATCCAACCAGTTACTAAGCAAAGTAGGGGGAAATGTGATAAACATAAGTGCTAGTGACGCCTCAACAACACTCAGCTGCTGCCCTTGAATGTACCCTTGCTGACCTGAAAAGAAATGCTGCTGACCTGGAACGGGATAATGCTGACCTGGAATGCGGCCACAAGTGGGTCTTCTGTATGGTTAAAGTCGAGAATGGCTGCAGAGCTACCTGCAGGTGGGTCGAAACACAAAGAGGGACAAGGAAACATAGAGAGATATGGCAAGCACGTGAGGCACCATTGCTCAACAAGAATGGCCGTGGAAGCGCAACAGTCCAGTCCACCCCTCAATCCCAATCTCTTCAAGCCTGAACCATCCACCCCACCATCCATCCCTCTTTCTCCCACCCCTCGCTAGCCCTCAGCACGTGGTTCAGCACCCCAACCCACCCGTGGCTCTCACCAGCCTTGAGCACGCGGTGAATCTCCTGCAGGGCACGTGGAATGCTGGTGACGTTCCTCAGCCCGTACCCCATGGTCACGGCGTCAAATGAGTTTGCATCAAACGGCAGGGCAAGGGCGTCGCCCTCCACCCACCTGGAGTGGGTGCGTATGGGTGGGGGGGGAGGGGAGATGAGGCGAGGGGGTTGGTTGATGCTGGTGGCGTTTCTCAGCCTGTACATACCCCATTGGGGGCCGCCCTCCACCCACCAGCAAGGAAGTGGGGGGGAATGAAGCAGGGGAGCAGAGTGTTGCTGCTGGTGACGTTCCTCATCCCATATTCCACCTTCCTCCTCACCTCTCCCTCACCCTCTTCCCTGCCCGCCCTCCCTACCTCATGTCCACTCTGCGGGCCGAGTAGCTGTCTTGCTGCTTCTGGGCGGCGACAACGAGCTGCTGGGCGGCAAAGTCGAGCCCCACCACGCGCCCCGAGGGACCCACCTTCTCCGCCAGAAGCAAGGAGAGATCGCCGCTGCCACAGCAGATATCGAGGGCAGTGTCGCCTGGGCGTGCTCTGTGAAAGTGAGGGTCAAGGGGAGAGGCGGGAAAAAGAAGAGAGGGGAATGATGAGATACAGCAAGCTGATAGGGCGAATTTCAGCCCCACCACGTGAACCGAGGGGCCCACCTCCTCCGCCAGCAGCAAGGAGAGATCGCCGCTGCCACAGCAGATGTCCAACGCGGTGTCGTCTGGACGAGCTCTGAATGAATGGGAAAGGCAGGGGTGGGGAGGGAGGGAGGAGGTGGGGGAGGGAAATCCCGGAATGGTTAGCCAGCAACAAGGAGAGATCGTCGCTGCCACAGCAGATGTCCAAAACGGTGTCGCCTGGGCGAGCTCATAAGTGGGGGGGAAGGGGAGGGGAATGCGGAAGGGCAAGAGGATATGCCACATTGGGCATGTTGTGAAACAGAAGGTGCCCTGACATGCCGCGTGGACATGCTCTGAGCAAGAAATCGGCACATGGGAAAAGCGGGAAATTGCTGTCACGAAGGGAGATAATAGTTGAGCATGAAGGGAGTTTGATCCAATTTAGAAATTCCTCAAAATGGCTCTGATCAGGTTTGTTCAGGAAGTGGTATATCTGGGTATGCTCTGATCAGGTTTGTTCAGGAAGTGGTATATCTGGGTATGCTCTGATCCCTCATCCCCCACTTCCTGTTCCCCTTATCCCACTTCCCCCCCCCCCCCTTCCGCTCCTCCACCCACCAGTCATTCTCTCCCAATGCACCCGCTCTCTCCCGCACACCTTCACTTCTCCCGCTTACCCGCCGTCTTCGTTCCTCCCCTCCTCAACCCTTCACTCTCCCACCCCCCCACCTGCTCCACCCGACAGTCATTCGCTTCCACACGCGGTGCTGCCCCAGGCTGAGCCAATCGTTGAGCTGCACGTGGCAGGCAGGGTAGAAGGAAAGGGGAATTAGTTTGAGAAGGGAGAGAGGGGAGGGAGAGAAGGCAGACGGGAGAGTGGCAGATTCAAATTGAGAAACGGGCAGGGGTTTGAGAAGGGAGGGAAAGGACAAAGGGGAATGAGAAGAAAGGAGGGATAATAGGGAAGTGGTGGTGGGTGGTGTGGGTGGTGGGTGGAGTATGATGGGGGGGAAAGCAGGAGACGCAGTTTGCACGCATGAATCACGCAATGCGCGTTACTCACGTCGTCATTCATTGGAGGGATGCTCTTGAAGATCTTCTGTCGACTATCGCTCTGAAGTGCCTTAACTCGCGGCATACGCCACTCAGTGTACGCACATTCCTCACGTTTCGTACAATCTCACATTCTCACATTCCTCACAAGCGTCGCGTTACTCACGTCGTCATACATGGGAGCGATGTTATTGAAGATCTTCTGTCGGCTGTCGCTCTGCGCTCGCTCTTCCTCGCTCCTCCCTCCCCTCCACCCCGCCGCCCTCCCTCTCTCATCCTCGCTATCAGTCAGGTCCGTCGGATTCACATCGGACGGCCCCTGATCGTCCCATTCCACGCCCGTCGAATCCGCCGCTGCCGCCACTACCACGCATCGCCGCTCTGAGTGTCGCTGCGCATTCCCGTTAAGGCTAATTTGACCCGTCAGTAAACGCGCGCTGACGCTGCTGCTGCGACTTAAGTTCCCGCCGCTACATGTGCTGCTCTGAAAGCATGAATCGACGCGCAACTGCGAGCGCTTCAAAGCAGCGCAAGGGCCCGCTGCAGCAGCCGCGGACGCGATGGCGGAAGCCATTCTGTAACGCGATTGGTTGCGCGGATTCGGGTTCGATAAATTCAAGGATTGCCTTGCCTCTCCCTGTCTTGGGTTTGTCTCAGCTTGTCATGGCGTGTTGCCTCTTGGAAGTGGCTATGGGACGTTTTCGCGAATGTGTCTCCGTGTAACCATCAGTGTCTCCTTCCCATGTAATCAAACAAAATCCCCTTGGGCTTGCCGAGTGTGTCAGCGGTCGGTTTCGTGATCAGCAGCGCTCGCGAACCAATCGCGTGCAGAAAGCTCTCACAATGTTTAGTTTTGTCCCGTCATTCGCGAAGTTGAAGCAGTAACTGCGCCACTACACTACTGACACACGAGAGTTGTCTCGAGTCAGTTTGAGACCTCGTTTTCTCCCTTCGAATCTTGAGAGTTGACATCCACTCCCCATAAAATCCTCTTTTCCAGTGGCATGATATCAATATCGTACTCGTTCTAGTTTGTACATCCTGATGAAGCGACAGTAGTAGTCGGATTGATTGTTTTCCGCGGCTGCCATATATCCTCCGCCGTTCATTCTCGCTGTATCTATTTTCAAGAGAGTGTTTTGTTCTATAATATCTTCAACATCGTTTCCTTCTATTCTATTCTTTCTTCAGCATCGACCGATTCATTGTAACCATCCGTAGATGGAGGGCGACTGGGGAGACTTCCAATCAGGAGCCAGCGGCTTCCTCTCAGCGCAAAACGCGCCGTCATCTGCGGCGGCACCGGCGCAGGCTGAGGGGTCCAAAGCGCCGCTAGATCCGGAGCTCTCGGCGAGCGGCGCGGGGTCTAAGCATTCGTCAGACGCGGATTTGGCGGCGAGCGGAAAGTCTGCCGCGGAAAGTAGCGACTCGTTTTGGGGGGAGGGGGAGAGCGGGGCGGCGCGGATGCGGGAATGGACTTCTGGGGGGAGGTGCAGGCGTTAGGGGGAAGCGGGGAAGCGCAGGCGTTAGGGGGTACTGCGGAAGCGCAGGCGACAGATGGGGGAAGCGGGAATGACCATATGGGGCAAATGGCGCGGGGGGCGGAGACTCCGCTTTCTCCGGCTCCCGCATCCACCGTTGACGGCGGTGGAGTTGCGCCGGCGGCAGCGGCTGCTGTAGCTGCCCCGCTAGCGGCACCGATGGTGGCACCAGTGGCGGCGTCCGCGGGAAGCGGATTAGGGTTAGATCACATGATGTCTTACTCGCACTCATCCCCGCTCCGCCCCTCCGCGCCCCACGCGCTCGACGCGCACCAGCGGAAATCCCCCACCCCCCCGCCGCCCGCCGGTGCTGCGCATCCGCCCTTCCGCGGACCAGCGCCAGCGCCTGGGTCTGCGCACTCCCCGCTCTCCGTGCGCGGCCCTCTCTCCGCCCCTCCCGTCTCTCACCCACAATCACACCCCCCCACCTCACACCCGCTACAATCACACCCGCCGTTTCTTCCCCCTCCTCCGCACTCCCCCCCGTCTCGCTCCTTACCCTCCCATCCCCCTCCCTCTCACCCTCCCCCATCGCTTCCCCACCCCCTATCCCACCCGCCACAGTCACACCCGCCATCGTCACACCCGCCACAGTTACACCCGCCTCTATCGCGCCCCACTCACCCCCCGCCCGGGTACAGACCTCCCCCACAAGGCCCCCCCGGAACTGCCAAGCCGGCCAGCGGGGCAACCGGGGGAGCAGCAGGGGGGGCAGCGGGGGGGCCAGCAGCGGGGGGAAGGGGAGGGGTGGGTGCAGCGGGAGGGGCGTTAATGTCAGGCTCAGGCGCTCCTTCTGCTGCCAACACCACTGCTACCACCACCACCACCACCACCACCACCACCACCACCACCACCACCACCACCACCACCACCACCACCACCACCACCACCACCACCACCACCACCACCACCACCACCACCACCACCACCACCACCACCACCACCACCACTACTAGCAGCAGCACCACCACCACCGCCATTGGTGCCGCTAACATCAGCACCGCTAGCAGCAGCAGCAGCAGCAGTGCGTTTGCAGCGCGCTCATCCCCGCCGGTCAGCTTTCGCCGCATGTCCAGCCTTGACGTCAAGACCTCTTTGGATGGCCTCGCTGTGCTCGCTGTAAGCTGTGCTCGCTGTAAGCTGTGCTCGCTGTAAGCTGTGCTCGCTGTAAGCTGTACTCGCTGTAAGCTGTGCTCGCTGTAAGCTGTGCTCGCTGTAAGCTGTGCTCGCTGTAAGCTGTGCTCGCTGTAAGCTGTGCTCGCTGTAAGCTGTGCTCGCTGTAAGCTGTACTCGCTGTAAGCTGGTATTTCCCATGAACTACCAGAGGCAAGCAAGGCCCATACCAGCTCGACTTTCCCTTTCCTGCATTGCCTACATATATGTTTGTTCTGTATATTCCATTTCACCAACCAGCGGCAGGGCTCGTGGCGGGCAATAGTGGACAAGGTGGTGGAGGGGTACAAGCTGGCAGGGCATGGTTTCTACAGCCTCGGCTCCACCAACTCGACTCTTCCCTTGCTGCATTGCATTTGCCATTTGTTCACTATGCTTACACCAGCGGCAGGGCTCGTGGCGGGCCATAGTGGACAAGGTGGTGGAGGGTTACAAGCTCGCGGGGCTGGCGCAGCAGCTGGCGTTACGCGGTTACCACGTGCTGGCGCTGATGAAGCTGCGCATGTATGGGGCAGCAGCAGAGGAGCTCACACTGTTAGGGAACCTTGACTCACCGCAGTACCGATACGAGGCACACCCGGGCATGTATCCTGGGAGGAAAGGTGGGTGAGAGGAATCCTATGTGGTGGGATTGCTGCAAGGCGCGGCGTAGCTCATGCTGCTGGGAAACTTCGACTCGCCGCTGTACCGATACGAGGCACACCCCGGCATGTATCCTGGGCGCAAAGGTAGGTACTCGGGTCAGGTTACATGGTTACCACGTTCTGGCGCTGATGAAGCTGCGCATGTATGGTGCAGGTGCAGAGGAGGCAAGGTGAATGCGCGCTTTGACCCGCTGTTGTTGTGGTGTTGGGTCAACTCTGCTCAGCAACCTCAACTCGACTCGCCGCAGTACCGCTAAGAGGCACACCCGGGCATGTACCCCCGGAGGAAAGGTGGGTGCCTGGGCTTTCCTCCTGGGATTTGCCCTGTGCGAGAAGTTGGGCTTTCTTTTTCCGTGCAAAATGCGATTCCTCAGCCCCACCCCGTTTACCCTGCTGCTGCTTTCCCTCTCACTTCAGGCTCCATGCTGCCCTTTGCGCTGCGCTGGTTGGCAGCAGCGCTTATCGCAGGCAATCCAATCTCTCAGCCCCATCCGTTTCACCCGTGCTGCTTCGGTCCGTATCCCCACCTGCAGGCTCCATGCTGCCCTTCGCCCTGCGCTGGCTCGCAGCAGAGCTGCCCCACTGCATGGGCAATGCGTGTGTCTCCTCTCCGTTCTCCTTCCCAACCTCAACCTCTCCAATCTGCGCCATCCTCACATCCCCCCCGTTGCAGGCTCCATGCTGCCCTTCGCCCTGCGCTAGCTCGCAGCAGAGCTGCCCCACCGCATGGGCAACCCCGCACTCACCTTGGAACGACTGTGTGCTCTGCAGGCGTACTGCACAGCTAAGGTGGGTGCAGTGCGATGGAGTCAGGTTTGTGTGTTTCTCTCAAAAACTGCCTCACCGCATGGGCAATCTGGCCCTCACATTGGAGCCCTCACTATGTGCTCTGCAGGCACACTGCACAGCTAAGGTGGGTGCATTGCGGTGCGGTGGGCCATGGTTTAGCACATTGCATTTTGCACTCTGCGTCTTGCATCGCACATCGCATTTTGCATTCTGCATCTTTCATTGCACATCCCATTTTGCATTCTGCATCTTTCATTGCACATTGCATTTTGCTTTCTGCATCTTTCATTGCACATTGCATTTTGCATTCTCCATCTTGCATTTTGCCTCCGTCTTCCAGAATACCTCCCTGCGTTCCTCAATCCGTCTGTGCCTTGCTGCGTGGATGACAGATGAAGGAGGTTCAGGCAAAAATGGCAGGAGACAGCAAGGGCAAACAGGGGAGAGCAGCACCTGCAGATAGCAGCAACAGCAGCAGCAGCACGAGCAAGAGCACGGGCGCAGTGCCGAGAGAAGGGATGGCAGATGTGATGGCCCCAGAGGATGGTGAGGGCGTGTCTTCTCATGCTGGGCCCACTGACGTGCCCACTAGCTCAACCTTACCCAGCAGCAGCAGCAGCAGCAGCAGCACTAAGAGCACATCACCAGCAGCAGCATCTTCAGCATCATCGCAGCATGCTGCGTTGGTGGCGTGTTGGGCGCGCAGGCGGCAGGCAGTGCGGCACGCGCTCGTATCCCACCACCTGGCGCAGCGAGACTACCCCACTGCACTCCTCTGGCTGCAGCGCCTCCTGCGCTACGAGCCGAGCAACGCCGCCCTGCTCTCGCGGTACGGCCTCGTTCGGCTGCAGCTGGGGGACGTGGAGGGCGCGAGCGCTGCGTTCGGATTGGTGGAGAAAATGGTGGTGCATCGCGAGGTGGAGATGGAGAGTGAGGGGGGGGGTGGGGGAGGAGGGGGGGAGGGGGCGGGGGAGGGGGAGGGAGGAGGGGAGGCAACAGGAGATGCGAGTAACACAGCAGGAGCTGGAGCGGGAGCAGGAGGGGCAGGAGCAGGAGCAACAGGAGCAGGAGCAACGGGAGCAGGAGGGAGCGATGGGGGTGTGGGGGCAGGGCGGGTGACAGCAGCGAATCTGGGCGAGATGAAGAGGCTGGTGCGGCTGAACAAAGCTCTCGTGCACTTTGCTCGCAAGGAGCATGGGCAGGCGCTGCAGCTGTTCTCTGCGGTCACTAAAGAGGATCCCACCAACTCCATTGCTGCAAATAACAAGGTGAGGGGATGTGGTAACCAGGTTACATATTGGGTGGGTAGCCAGGTGATTGTAAGGCACTTTGCTTGCAAAGAGCATGGGCAGGCGCTTCAGCTGTTTACTGCGGTGTCTAAAGAGGATCCACCAGCTCCATTGCTGCGAATAACAAGGTGAGACAAGGTGGTAACCCTGTTACATGGTGAGAGCGCCAGGGATTCAGTCATTTCAGAAGGCACCTTGCTCGCAAGGAGCACGGGGCGCTGCAGCTGTTTACTGCGGTGGCTAAAGAGGATCCCATTGCTGCGAATAACAAGGTGAGTCATCTGGGGGAGTTGACGTGCATGGTGCGGGTGAACAAGACTCTCGTGCAATTTGCATGGCGCATGGTGCACTTTGCACGCAAGGAGGCAGGTTCTGTGCTGTGTCGTGTGCTGTGTGCTGTGTTGTACAGGTGATGTGGTAACTAAGTTACATCCGATGTAACCCTATTGTGCTGCATTTCACGTGGTTCCACGTACCATTTCATATATGTCCGTTCGCCTTTTCTCCTCCTATCCCCACAACCCTGCCAAGCAGGCCCTCTGCCTGATGTACGGCCGAGATCTCGCGACGGCGGTGCGGGTGCTGGAGGACCAATTGCAGGCGAGCCCGCTGACAGCTGTCGACGAGACAGTGGTGCTCAACCTGTGCTCCATGTACGAGCTGGCGGCGTCTGATACGCTCAATGCCAAGAGCACGCTCAGCAACTGGCTCACTCGTTTGGCTCCTGACGACTTTGACTTTGCCTGCACTCGGCTGTAGCGGACTTACGTTCATCTCAAAATCACAGTGCATGCTCAACAACTGGCTCACGCGGCTCGCTTCTGACGACTTTGACTTCGCCTGCAGGAAAGGGAGGCGCGTACTCCGCTGTGGTGGAGGGGCAGTGAGCGAGACAGTGGTGCTGCACCTGAAACCTGCAGGAAGAGGGCTAGCCCAGCAACTGGGTGTGGTGCAGGAAGGTACTAGAGAATGAATTCGCCTGCACTCGGCTGTAGGAGAGGGGAGCTGTGCAGTACAGGGTATGGAGTAGGGGAGGGGAAGGGGAGTGAGGAAGTGGGTGTGTAAATAACCTCAAGTCCCTCTCCATACTTGGGTGTGTGAGGAAGTGAGGAAGTGGGGTGTGTGAGGAAGTGGGTGTGTGGGGTCAGCACTCCACAGCACAGCACAACACACAACGGGGCACACAACAGTGCACAGCACACAGCACAGCAAACAGAACAGTCGACAGTACAGCATTTCCTTACATCTCAGCTCGCAGCACAGCACAGCACAATGGAAAGCAATCTTTGACACTTGCGCACACTGTTTTCGTATTGATGGGTAGGGACTCTCTGTTGGTGATGCCTCTGCAACACAAGTAGCAATGTCCCATGTCAGAGGGAATTAGCCTCTCTTGCATGTTGCCTCTGTTGGTTTGCATGAAATAATCATCTGAATGGTGGAGATCCTTATACGGTACTGTTATGTAAGCCATTCTGTTTAGCTGCTACATTGCACCATATGCTTCCCTGGTGCATGTTGAACTACCTACTTTCAAAGGTCCACCCTGGGATGTAGTTGTCTGATTGAGCATCTAGCCAGACCTATAATTAATTAGGCAACTAGATGTATCAAAAATTTTGCGGATGCGCCATGGTCTTCAGTCTTCCGGGTCCCTCTTGGCCACTAGGGGGGTTAACCCCTAGTGTTACACCCACACACCACATTGAGGTGGGGACCCTTCGTGTGGGACCTGCATGGGAACAACGGGGGGTTAGTTAGAAAAAAACAGACGTTCGCAGGCGTCAGGAGGCAACCCCCCTAACGCCTGCCATCTTGGACGTCTGCAGGCGTCAGGAGGCGTCCCCCCTAACGCCTGCCATCTTGGACGTCTGCAGGCGTCAGGAGGCGTCCCCCCTAACGCCTGCCATCTTGGTCCTTGGACGTCTTGGGCCTTGGTCCTTGGACGTCTTGGGCCTTGGTCCTTGGACGTCTTGGGCCTTGGTCCTTGGACGTCTTGGGCCTTGGTCCTTGGACGTCTTGGGCCTTGGTCCTTGGACGTCTTGGGCCTTGGTCCTTGGACGTCTTGGGCCTTGGTCCTTGGACGTCTTGGGCCTTGGTCCTTGGACGACTTGGGCCTTGGTCCTTGGACGTCTTGGGCCTTGGTCCTTGGACGTCTTGGGCCTTGGTCCTTGGACGTCTTGGGCCTTGGTCCTTGGACGTTTGCAAGCGTCAGGAGGCGTCCCCACCAACGCCAATCTGCTGTTGTACCTCAATCTGCGCGACAAGGGGAGTGGGGAGGGTTGTGGAGGGGAGCGGAGGGGAGGGGAGGGGAGGGGAGGGGAGGGGAGGGGGGGGAAGACCAACACAACACATGCAAGACGAACACAACACATGAATGCGAAAAAGCAGGAGCAAGTGAAAAGCATGGAGCAAGACATCGTACCTCCGTCCGTGTCACCCGGCCTGCCGCCCCACTTCCACTGACACTGCAGGGAAGGGGAGTGGGGAGGGGAGGGGAGGGGAGGGGGAGGGAGGGGGAGGGAGGGAGGGGAGGGGAGAGGAGGGGAAGGGAGGGGAGGGGGGGGAAGGGAGGGGGGGGGGGGAGGACGACCAACACAACACATGCAATGCGAAAAAGCAGGAGCAAATACGAAAACAGGAGAAAGTGAAAAGCAAGGAGCAAGACATCGTACCTCCGTCCGTGTCGCCCTCCGTGCCGCCGCGCTACCTGCCATGCTGAAGGGAAGGGGGGGGGGTTATTGCAAAAAGGCGCCTCTTGATGCCCCCTGCGCTGCCACCTCGCCCCGCGCTACCCCCGTGAAGCCCTGAAGGAAGGAAGGCGGGGATTTAGCAGAGAACGCCTCCACTGCTGCCCCGCCGCGCTGCCCCCTGTGAAGCCCTGAAGGAAGGAAGGCGGGGATTTAGCAGAGAACGCCTCCACTGCTGCCCCGCCGCGCTGCCCCCATGAAGCCCTGAAGGAAGGAAGGCGGGGATTTAGCAGAGAACGCCTCCACTGCTGCCCCGCCGCGCTGCCCCCCGTGAAGCCCTGAAGGAAGGAAGGCGGGGATTTAGCAGAGAACGCCTCCACTGCTGCCCCGCCGCGCTGCCCCCCGTGAAGCCCTGAAGGAAGGAAGGCGGGGATTTAGCAGAGAACGCCTCCACTGCTGCCCCACCGCGCTGCCCCCCGTGAAGCCCTGAAGGAAGGAAGGCGGGGATTTAGCAGAGAACGCCTCCACTGCTGCCCCGCCGCGCTGCCCCCGTGAAGACCTGAAGGAAGGAAGGCGGGGATTTAGCAGAGAACGCCTCCACTGCTGCCCCGCCGCGCTGCCCCCCGTGAAGCCCTGAAGGAAGGAAGGCGGGGATTTAGCAGAGAACGCCTCCACTGCTGTCCCGCCGCGCTGCCCCCCGTGAAGCCCTGAAGGAAGGAAGGCGGGGATTTAGCAGAGAACGCCTCCACTGTTGCCCCGCCGCGCTGCCCCCGTGAAGCCCTGAAGGAAGGAATGCGGGGATTTAGCAGAGAACGCCTCCACTGCTGCCCCGCCGCGCTGCCCCCGTGAAGCCCTGAAGGAAGGAAGGCGGGGATTTAGCAGAGAACGCCTCCACTGCTGCCCCGCCGCGCTGCCCCCGTGAAGCCCTGAAGGAAGGAAGGCGGGGATTTAGCAGAGAACGCCTCCACTGCTGCCCCGCCGCGCTGCCCCCGTGAAGCCCTGAAGGAAGGAAGGCGGGGATTTAGCAGAGAACGCCTCCACTGCTGCCTCGCCGCGCTGCCCCCTCGCCCTCCACGTGAAGGCCCGAACTGAAGGGAATGGAAGGGGGAGGAGTGAGGACGGAGTGCGGGTCAGGAGGACGTGGGACAGAGGCATGGAAGAGGACAGATCCAAGGGCCAAGGTGCTGGAGGTATGTGAGTAGCCCGCAGAGGCCGAGGGTGGCCCCGTGCTTCAGGACAAGACCAAGAGAGAGCTGGGGCCCCCCACTCTCAAATGACCGAGTCCCTCAGCCCCTCGTCTCTGCATGGCGCTCACTCTCCATTCAACAGCACCCCTCCTTGTAATCGCCTCAGCCAGCCCGTCAGTCTCTCCATCTCGTTCTTCCGCCTCACCCCATGGACGCAGGGGGAGAAGCCAGCACACGTGGGAGAAAGACGCCTCGTCGCAGCGCTGCCTCAGCGGCTTGCCTCCGAGCGCGTGGTCAGCAGGGCGGGTAGGAGGCAGCCACACGCCTGTGACTGCCGGCCGTGCGTCATCCCAACACGCTCGCTCCCCCACAGCCTGTGCGCACGTAGGAGAGAGAAAATGAAGGAGTGAAGAATGCAGCGATACGGAAATCTGACAAAGAATGCAGCGATGCGGAAATCTGACAAAGATTGCAGGCTGTGGGGGAACACGATGAAAAAAGAACTGAAAAGCATGCATCAGGTGAAGGTGGTGTGAGTGGCACACACAAGGCAGTCAGCAGACACTTACAACCGAACACGAGTTGACTCAAAAGTCAACGGCAGTAAGCAGCAGGCACTCTTACAACCGAACACGAGTTGACTCAAAAGTCAACGGCAGTAAGCAGCAGGCACTCTTACAACCGAACACGCAAGCACACACAAGGCAGTAAGCAGCAGGCACACTTACAACCGAACACGCAAGCACACACAAGGCAGTAAGCAGCAGGCACACTCACGAGTGGCGAGAGGAGGAGGTAGTGGCAATGACGGCGAAGGCGAGCAGTGATAGAGCGAGTGCAAACAAGAGCGTGAAAATATCGAGAGAAGAGTGATTTCTTAGCCGTATTCCGGAGGGGTCGAAGCTCCATGCACGCGCGCTCGCCAGCAGCGGCACTTCTCCCTCCTCGCCTTGCCTTTCCTCCGCAGGCGAGCAGTGATCAGCAGGGCAGCAGTGGTGCCTGCCGTGCGTCATCCCACTGCCGCCATCCCACAGGTGCAGTGCAGCAGCCTCCGCCCCTCCAGTCGCCACCCGCCTCCTTGCACAGGTGCAGTGCAGCACCCACCCATCCATCCCACAGGTGCAGTGCAGCAGCCTCCGCTGTTGCCCCGCCGCGCTGTCCCCTCAACCGCCTCGCGCCACCCGCCATGCTGAAGGGAAGGAAGGGGGGGTTATGTGGAGAACGCCTCCACTGCTGCCCCGCCGCGCTACCCCCTCGCCATCCTTGCGTCTCTCTCGCGTGAACGCCCGAACTGAAGGGAATAGAAGGGGGAGAAGTGAGGACGGAGTGCGGGTCAGGAGGACGTCAAGGCATGGAAGAGGCGGCGAAGGTGCTGAAGGAAAAGACGAGGAGCAGAGGCCAAGGGCGGGTGCAAGGGTGAGGGCAATGCACGAGGGCAGTGATGTACTCGATCACTATGTCCCGCACCAGCTCCACACTGTAAAAGTTTGGACTTTGAGTTTAAAAGCGTGGTCCCACCTGGGGATTCATCATCACATATGTATACTACGCGAGCCCACCTAGTCATATCCATCACCAACAGAGCAAGGGCTCACCTCGGGATCCCTTGCTAGGTGAGTCCTTGCCCTGTTGGTGATGGTAATTTCTGGGTGGGCTCGCGTGGTATATAGAAGTGATGATGAATCCCCAGGTGAGACCACGCTTCTCCTGTCAAAGTCCAAACCTATATAATGTGGAGCTGGTGTGGGACAAAGTGATCAAGTACATCATTGTCCTCGTGCATTGCCCTCACCCTTACACACTTCAGGACGAGATCCGGAAAGAGTAGAGGGCGCCCGCCCCACTCAAGGATCAAGCCGTCAGATTCCCTTGGCGTGACTCCCCATCCCCATACGACAGCATCCCCTTCAACCCAAGCATCGCCTCAGCCAGCCCGTCAGTCGCTCCGTCTCGTTCCTCCGCCTCACCCCATGCACACGTGGGAGGAAGACGCCTCGTCGCAGCGCTGCCTCCTCGCCGCCGCCTCGCCCCAAGTGCCGCCTCCGCGCCTTGCCTCCGAGCGCGTGGTCAGCAGGGCGGGTAGGAGGCAGCCACACGCCCGTGACTGCCGGCCGTGCGTCATCCCACCGCGCACGTGGGAGAGAGGGAATGAAGGATTTATGCGCCGCAGCAGGCACACGCACAGCCGAAGCATCATCGCTCAACACATGTGGCGAGAGGAGGAGGTAGTGGCAATGACGGCGAAGGCGAGCAATGAAAGAACGAGTGCAAACAAGAGCATGAAAATATCAACAGAAGGGAGATCTCTTAGCCGTATTCAGGAGGGGTCGAAGCTGCATGCACGCGCGCTCCCGCAGCGGCACTTCTCCCTCCTCGCCTCGCCGTTCCTCCACAGGCGAGCAGTGGTCAGCAGCAGGGCAGCAGTGGTGCCTGCCGTGCGTCATCCCACTGCCGCCATCCCGCAGGTGCAGTGCAGCAGCCTCCGCCCCTCCAGTCGCCACCCGCCTCCTTGCACAGGTGCAATGCAGCACCCATCCATCCTCCTCCACCCATCCATCGTTCCGCTCCACCTCGCCGCCTCCTCGTCTGCTCCTCCGCGCCTTGCCTCCGAGCGCGTGGCCAGCAGGGCGGGTAGGAGGCAGCCACACGCCTGTGACTGTCGGCCGTGCGTCATCCCAACACGCTCGCGTCCACGTCAGCCACACGCCGTCCACGTCAGCCACACGCCGTCCACGTCAGCCACACGCCGTCCACATCAGCCACACGCCGTCCACGTCAGCCACACGCCCACACGCTTCCCCTCCCTTTGCATGCGCTTGCGTTGAGTGTGCTGCATGGAACAGCAAGCACGGTGGTGAGTCGAGGAACCGTGAACAAGCAAGGAAGCGAACGGAGCGAAGAAAGAAGAGACAGCAGCAACAAGGAAAGACGGGAACACGACGAGCGACGTACCGTGAGTGTGGGCGCTGGAGGTGCTGCAGTCTGCAGCAAGGCGGAGTCTCGTTAGTCCCGAAGGTGGCGCGTTGAAGGCGCTGCAGCAACGCACGAGCGCGCACCCACGCCCGTGCACACACCGTGCTGCAAGCATGCACTCACCAGTCGAGCTCGCCCCTGCCGTTGCCGCGTGTGCCTCACACGCTCGGGCCTCTGCCCGCTTGCCTCAGGGCACTGCCCCTAGCTAGACAATGTCCATTCCAATGTCCAAACCAATGTCCAAACCAATGGCTCAATGTCCAAACCAATGTCCAAACCAATGGCTCAATGTCCAAACCAATGTCCAAACCAATGGCTCAATGTCCAAACCAATGTCCAAACCAATGGCTCAATGTCCAAACCAATGTCCAAACCAATGGCTCAATGTCCAAACCAATGGCTCAATGTCCAAACCAATGGCTCAATGTCCAATGTCTGCTGGTGCTGCTGCTGCCGGGAGGTGCATGCAGGGACAGCAGTGGTCGGCAGGGCACGCCCAGGCCGTGCGACATCCCACCGCCCCGTAGCTACCTCTGCCTCCTCGCCTCAAGTGCGTGGGCGACCTGCACAAGTGACAGAGCACGTCATCAGTCCATGCCTATTCGGATCTGACAAAAACAGGAAAAAAAGGGCGCTAAGATTTCAATGCACCAGGGCGGAACGAGTGGTGGAGGGCAACTTACAAGGTGAATGGCAGAGGAGCCCCGCCAGTCAGTGATTCTGGCACCTCCTCTCCTCTCCTCTGCACCTCCTCTCCTCTGCACCTCCTGGCCTCCCCACGCCCATGCGTGGTGCCCCAGTGTCACGTCAGCCCTGTGCCTCTGCAAGGACGGGCAGGAGAGCACGTGGAGACAAGGAGGTGAGCCAGCGCACGAGGAAAGCGACAGGGACAAAAGAAAACAAGGTGGTGAGAGCAAAACACACATAAGCTGGGTGGGTAGGGAACTCACATAAGCTGGGTCGCAGGTGGGAGAGAGAGGCCATCCCACAGGTGCAGTACAGCAGCCTCTTGTCGCATCTCAGCGTCTTGCTGCTTCCCTTAGCAGCAGGTGAGACACTCGGCACGGCAGTGCTCCCAGCAACAGGCGAGCAGTGATCAGCAGGGCAGCAGCAGTGGTGCCTGCCGTGCGTCATCCCACTGCCGCCATCCCACAGGTGCAGCAGTCTCCTGGCCTCTCCACGCCCATGCGTTGTGCTCCAGTGTCACCTCAGCACCGCGCCTCTGCAAGGACAGGGAGGTCCGAGGGGAGCACGTGGAGACAAGGAGGTGAGCCAGCGCACGAGAATGAAAGAGAAAGGGACAATGAACCGGCCAGGGCAGAGAATATCCGTGGCATTACTTCAAAGGAGAACAAGGCGGTGAGAGCAGGTGGGAGAGGGTGGCAGGGCCGACCAGGGTGTGGGGTGGTGAGGGAGAAAACACACATAAGCTGGGCGGGCAGGGAACTCACATAAGTTGGGTCGCAGGTGGGAGGAGGAGGCAGGTTCGCCCACGCCTCGCCTCCTCACTAGCAGCCCCTTGCCTCCTTGTCGCCCCCTCGCCTCCTCAGCTGCGCAAGTCAGCACCTTCGCCTCCTCGCGTCATCGCGTCGCATCCTCACCAACAGCGTTGCCCCCTGGCCTTTCTGCTGCCGGTGTCGAGAGGGCAGGCAGGCACACTCTGCCTTGCTGCTTGCCGTGTGCACTGAAAAGGGCGGAAAGAGATGGGGGAGAGGAACAAAGGAACCAAGGAAAGAAGAAAACAACGGACGGTGGCAACGTATTGAAGGTGCAGAAGAAAACCAGATTCAATTTCCAATACTGAAGGTGCCAAATTACAGATTCAGCTTCCAGTACTGAAGGTGCTAAAAGAAAACAGATTCAGCTTCCAATATTGAAGGTGCTAAAAAACAGATTCAGCTAACGTAGGGAACGCAACGAAGGGAAGGCAACTCACACGTTCCTCCAGTGCGGCAGTGGCGCCATTCCTCCTCGCCTCAGTCGTTCGGCAGCAGCCGTTGGGCAGCAGTGCTCAGGAGCAGCGGTCCAGTGATCTCTGTAGTGAAGATTATCAGCACAAACGAAAATATGAAAGACAGACGATCAGCAACGGAAGCCAGAACAGCAAATCAGGAAACGTTAGCGCGAAAGAAACAGATCAAGGCAAGTATATGGATTCAGGTAACCCACCGTTGGCCATGGCGTCGAAGGCGCGGGTCGCCGCTACCGACGTGGAACGACACTCCCACCACCACTTGGAGCTTGAGGAGAGGCGCCTCGACGAGGAGAGAAGGCACCTCGTGTGAGTGCGCGCTGCAGCGAAAGAAAAAAAACAGATTATTAGCACAGGCGGAAAAACGAAGCGGGCGATTAGCAAGCCAATGAACACAACGGAAGCCCGAAAAGCAAATCAGAGCGAAACAAAACGGAATACGGCCAGCATAGAGATTCATGTAACCCACAGTTGGCCGCGGCGGCGAAAGCCATACCACCAGAGCCGTCGCTACCTCCCCCTCGCTGCCAAGCGAGATATGGAAAATGATTAGTAAGAGATATGGAAAACTGACAAGCATACATGCAAGCAACAAAAAATGCAAGACAAAAAAAGCTGGAAAACATGCATCACGTGAAGGTGGTGTGAGTGGCAGTGACAGTGCAGTGCAGTGGAGCGAGTGACAGTGCGAGCGGAAGCGGCAGCGGCAGCGGCAGCGGCAGCGGCAGCGGCAGTGGCAGCGGCAGCGCAGGCGGGGTGGTGGGTGGCAGCTGCATGACGGGCACCAAAGGACCGTACCGTACCTGAGCACACCTACTTACGCATGATGCCGCCGTTACCTGGACACACCTGGGGAATGGTCCAATGGTGCCGCCGGTGCGAGCTGGAGGAGGAGGAACGAGTGGCGCGAGGAGGAGGAGGCGGCTATGAGGGCGGAAGCAAGCAAGCGCGAAAAAGTGCCAACAAGTGCGTGAATAAACGAGATATCTTAGCCTTATATCAGCAGGCAGGGGTCGAGGCAGCGGCGCCTGTTCCTCCTCGCCTCAGCCGTCCCTCCGTCCGCCTCCGTCCTCCTCGCCGCTACCGCAGTTTGCCGCTCGCCAGCTCCCTTGAGTGCGCCGTGCTCCCTGAGAGGCGAGCAGTGGTCAGCATCAGTGACTAGATAACAGAGTTCCTAAAAAAGCAACGAATAAAAAAGAATCATTCAGGTTTCCAACATTGAAAGTGCTAAAGAACAGATTCAGCTAACGTAGGGAAGGCAACGTAGAAAAGGCAACTCACAAGTTCCTCTGGTGCGCCAGCAGTCGTGAGCAGCATCGCCTCAGTGGTGAGCAGCATCGCCTCAGTGGTGAGCAGCATCGCCTCAGTGGTGAGCAGCATCGCCTCAGTGGTGAGCAGCATCGCATCAGTGGTGAGCAGCATCGCCTCAGTGGTGAGCAGCATCGCCTCAGTGGTGAGCAGCATCGCCTCAGTGGTGAGCAGCATCGCCTCAGTGGTGAGCAGCATCGCCTCAGTGGTGAGCAGCATCGCCTCAGTGGTGAGCAGCATCGCCTCAGTGGTGAGCAGCATCGCCTCAGTGGTGAGCAGCATCGCCTCAGTGGTGAGCAGCATCGCTGATGAAGCAGCAGTCGTTGCTCCTCATCAAGATCAGCAGCCGTTGCTCCTCATCATTAGGCTCAGAAGGAGAGCAGCGAAGTGCAGCAGCAAGCCTTGGACCTGCACAAGTCAAGCCGGTCAGCATCAGTGCCTGAACCTTCAGTCGCTAACGAATAAAAGCAACCGCTAACGAACAAAAGCAACTCGGGAAACATCACTCGGGATTTCATAGGAATGCTGAAACAATGCTCGGAATTTCAATACACTGAAACATTGCTTCAACTTACCATGACGGATGCTTCGTAGGAACTTCACGAGCTTCGTGGCCTCCTCGCCAGCAGCGTCATTTCTCCGCGCAGCTCCAGGCTGCTGAAGCGCACTGACGGTCGCGCAGCTCCAGGCTGCTGAATCGCACTGACGGTCGCGCACCTCCAGGCTGCTGAATCGCACTGACGGTCGCGCACCTCCAGGCTGCTGAATCGCACTGACGGTCGCGCACCTCCAGGCTGCTGAATCGCACTGACTGTGCAGCAACACTCGTCATTCAACTGCAGCAGCGGTGGCCGAACCCTCCCTTGGGTCACCTGCACAAGTCGAATCACACACACATCATCAATCTGTGAGCATTCAGGTATCGGACAAAATAAAAATAACGAAGAATCACCCAAGATTTCAATACGCAAAGCACTGGAAGATTGCTTTGAAAAAATGCTTGAACTTACCATGGCGAACTGAATGGTGAGTATCCCATGTGTGTATATCATGGACTACGGAACGAGGTATTCGCGCTTCGTCGTCGGATTCGTATGGACGTCGTCAGATGCATCGTCGGACTCGCATGCGCAAGTCGCCAGCATCCACAATGTCGCTCGCGGTTGGTCGCCATCATCCTCAACTCGTTGCATGCGGAAGTCGCCAGCATCCGCAATGTCCGTCGTCGCTTGTCCGTCGTCGCTAGTCCGTCGTCGCTTTTCCGTCGTCGCTTGTCCGTCGTCGTTAGTCCGTGGCGGTTGAAGCAGAAGCGGAAATTCCAACTTTGTTTTGCTCGCCGTTCTTATGCAGTTGAGATGTCAAGAAGAATAGCGTCACGACACGTTGATGGTTCCGGCTACTAAAGTGTTGATGATGAAGCCGTAGTCGCGAATCGAAAATTTAAAATCTAGTCGCGAGAAGAACATCTCTTAGTATCAGCCGCCAGGACTCCTGGATATCTCCCGACCAAATTCCGTTTTGTAAACGAGCCGTTTTACTCCAAGCAGAAGGGGATCATGGAGATTGAGAGAATACTAAATCCATGGCGAGATGAGAAGACATGGCGACGGGAGCCACGGTGAAAATACGTGGACGGTACTTTTCACGAGATTCATGGCGGCCTTGGCGAGCAGAGAAGTCGGAACAATGGAGGTGTGGGAATGTGGGAGAAAGCGGTGGAGTGGAAGGCCTTGCGAATCTGGGAGTGTCGCTTGACGAGGGTGACCAGAGTCAACCCACAGTGGTGATTCTCCCTTGCTGGGTGAGGGGGTGGTGCTGGCTCGACGGTGACGACCAGCGTCAACCCAAAGTGGTGATTCTCGCTCGCTGAGTGAGGGGGTGGTGTTGGCTCGACGGTGACCAGGGTCAAACAAAAGTGGTGTCAGTGGGTGGGGAAGGATTGCGCCAGGCGGAGCGCGGGTGACAGAAAGTGGCGGGGGGAGAGGTGGGTTAGCGCGTCAAACGGTTATTGTTTTTTTGGGTAGAAAGAGTTCTCGGGACAGAGTGTTCGGTTCGGGGTCAAAGCGCTTATTTTTACAAGAACCTGGTGAAAAGCGGCAATAACCAGGTCACTTGGCATGACACCCGATTGAATTGGCAATTTTCTACCCCGGGATGCGAGGAAAACATTTCGCCGGCAGCATGCGCATGTGAATTTGACATCAGCGGAGCGCGGAGTTCACTGACGGGTCCGCGCGCCAGATGTGTCTGCGCGCCCAAGTTTCACAGCGGGAACTGGCGCAGTAACCTTGCGCACTGACTTCACATGATGATGTTCGACCGAAGATGGCGAACACGGATACACTCAGTTCGTGAATCAGCGACGATTGCACACGAAAGATAGATTCTTTTCTTTTGTTGCCTGTTTTCAAATCTTGAATGTTCAGTCACTGATGCTGTTTTGTCTGACCTGTGCAGATCGCCCAAGGCCTGCTGCTGCACGGCGAGGAGGCAACGCTGACTTGCGGGTGCGTATGGAAGCGAGCGATGACGCGAGGAGGCGAGCGGCGGCTGGAGAGCGGCGAATCGGAAAGTGACAGGCGGGCGAGCGCGGCAACCGGAAAGCAACGAGCGGCCACTGAACCTCGCTAAGTTCCCTCCTCAACTCCTTGCACTCGCGCCTTCCCCCCACGCCCCTTTGTCGTTTCACCCCTCTGCATCTATCGTTTCTTCTCGTGCCAAACTCATCGTTGTCTTGTAAGGCGCATGGTGGCGGTGGTTCAGGGTGCACTTTGGCAGGCGAGCTCATGTAGAGTCCAGAGCAGAGAGAGGGTCCAGTGGGTGTAGCATAGCTTAGCAGTGCATTCATGCCATGCGCGTGTCCCTCTCGTCCCTTGCTGCCTTAGCTCGCTGCTATCGTGCCCTTGGGCCACTGTCGCCATGCGCCTTCCCCCTCCCACCCCTCCCCAGCCGTTCACTTGTCGCTCTGCTGTGCTAAAATTTCACACTTTTCTGTTGTTCTCCGCTTGTGCTCTTTCTCTCTCTCTGCCGCTCTGAAGCTGGTTCTGCTCTCTCTCTTCTGATCTTCCTGGTTGCTCCTCGTGCAGAGCCAGCAGACGGCAGCAGTGGGATGGCGGCAGTGGGATGACGCACGGCAGGCAGCACTGCTGCTGCCCTGCTGACCACTGCTCGCCTCTCAGGGAGCACGGCGCACTCAAGGGAGCTGGCGGGCGGCAAACTGAGGAAGCGGATGGAGCGACAGCTGAGGCGAGGAGGACAGAGGCGGGCGTTGCTGCCTCGACCCCTGCCTGCTGAACTTGGCTAAGAAATCTCGTTACTCTTGTTTTTACATGCACTTGTTCGCTCACTGCACGCACTTGTTGGCACTCATTCGCACTTGCTCGCTTCCGCCCTCATAGCCGCCTCCTCCTCCTCCTCGCGCCACTCGTTCCTCCTCCTCCAGCTCGCACCGGCGGCACCATTGGACCATTCCCCAGGTGTGTTCAGGTAACGGCGGCATCGTGCGTAAGCAGGTGTGTTCAGGTAACGGCGGCATTGTGCGTAAGCAGGTGTGTTCAAGTACGGTACGGTCCTTTGGTGCCCGCCCTGCAGCTGCCACCCACCAGCCCGCCTGCGCTGCCGCTGCCGCTGCCGCTGCCGCTGACACTGCTGCCGCTGCCGCTCACACTGCTGCTGCTGCCGCTGCTGCTGCCGCTGGCACTGTCACTCACTCCACTGCACTGTCACTCCCACTCACACCACCTTCACCTGATGCATGCTTTCCAGCTTTTTCTGTCTTGCATTTTCCGTTGCTTGCATGTATGCTTGTCAGTTTTCCATATCTCTTACTAGTCATTTGCCCGCCCTCTCCTCCAGCCCACATCCTCGGCTTGCACGCCTACAGGCCGGCACACGCCATACGTGGGGAGGGCAGCAGCGACGGGGAAGCAGCGACGGGCGTGGCAGCGAGGGGTAGGCAGCGACGGGAGGCACTGCAGCCACGTGCAGACCCTACGTTGCGTTGTTTTCAGGTGCGTTGCTTTCACACCCTACGTTGCTCTCCGCACCTTCAGTTCATTTGCCCGCCCACTGCTCTTCAGTTTCCATGCTACCGTTCTCGCATCGTACTAGGCTCGTTTCTTCAGTGTTTCGCCGTTTTCCACATTCAATATTTCTTCCTACACCTTATTCTTCTCGTTTGCCTTTCTCCGCTGTTTCCAGAGCAAGCGCAGCGTTATCTCACCTGCTCGCCTGTCAGGGAGCACGGTGCTGAGCCAGCAGAGGGCCGCAGTGGGACGACGCACGGCAGGCAGCCCTGCTGACCACTGCTCGCCTCTCAGGGATCACGGTGCAATGCATCTCGGCAAGGAGCAAGGAGGGCGTGCAGTCTCACCTGTTGCTGGGAGCACTCTGCGCAGAGTGTCTCACCTGCTGCTGCTGAGGCTGCTGCACTGCACCTGTGGGATGGCCTCCCTCCCCTCCCAGCTTATGTGAGTTCACTACCCGCCCAGCTTATGTGTGTTTTGCTCTCACCGCCTTGTTTTCTTATGAAGCAATGCCCTATCACTTCATTGCCCTGGCTGGTTCATTGTCCCTATCGCTTTTCTCGTGCGCTGGCTCACCTCCTTGTCTCCACGTGCTCTCCTCCCCGTCCTTGCAGAGGCGCAGGGCTGAGGTGACACTGGGGCACAACGCATGGGCGTGGGGAGGCCAGGAGCTGCAGAGGAGGTGCAGAGGAGATGAGGTGCAGTGGGAGTGCTGCTGGAGTGCTGCTGGCTGATCCTGGCTCTGCTGGAGGTGCATGTGGACTGAGGTGGATGGGCGCGGTGGGTGGGATGACGCACGGCTGGCGTGGGGCTGCCTCTACCCGCCCTCCTGACCACCCGAGCGCATTTGAGCCTTGAAGCCTTGGAGCATCAAGGGATCACTGGCATCTCTTGGGCAGCAAGCAAAGCAACTGGGAAGTCTCTTTCCCCTCGCCTTCCGTTTTCGCCACCCTCCATTCGTTTCGTTTGGTCATTCTGTGTTTTCAGCACCTCGTTCTTCACTCCATCGTCCTGCATTTCGCGTTTGTGCACGTCCCTCTGATACGTTCGGCTGCAGCTTAGTAGATGTCCTCCGCGGGTTTTGGGTAGCATAGATTTTGGGTTGGGTAGCATAGAGTTTGGGTTTTGGGTAGCATAGCTCCTCCCTCTGCTAGCTGCAGCCGACGTATCATGGACGTGCATCCATCCCACCACCTCGTTTCCACGTGTTGTTCTCCGCTTTCAATTTCGCACTTCGTTTCCGCTTTCAATTCCGCAATTTGTGTGTTTGTTTTGCTTTCTTTTTCATTTCGCACTTCCGTTTACTGACTTCGCGCGTCTGTCTGTGTGTTCCCTCACACTGCTTTTCAGCAATCATGTGTTCTTCACTCAAGATCGGATCTTCACTCAAGGAGGCGCCGAGCGGAGGAGCAGAGGAGCCTGCAGAGGACGGTGTCTGACCTGTGAAGATCGCCCAAGGCCTGCTGCTGCACGGCGAGTATGCGAGGAGGCGACTGGACGGGCGGAGGCTGCTGCACCGCACCTGTGGGATGGCGCCAGTGGGATGACGCACGGCACGCACCACTGCTGCCCTGCTGACCACTGCTCGCCTTTGGAGGAACGGCGAGGCGAGGGGGGAGAAGTGCCACTGCTGGCGAGCGCGCGTGCATGCAGCTTCGACCCCTCCTAAATACGGCTAAGAAATCTCTCTTCTCTTGATATTCTCACGCACTTGTTTGCACTCGTTCTTTCTTTGCTCGCCTTCGCCGTCATTGCCTGCTGCCTTGCTGCCTTGTGTGTGCTTGTATGTTCGGTTGTAAGTGTGCCTGCTGCTTACTGCCTTGTGTGTGCTTGCGTGTTCGGTTGTAAGTGTGCCTGCTGCTTACTGCCTTATGTCTGCTTGCGTGTTCGGTTGTAAGTGTGCCTGCTGCTTACCGCCTTGTGTGTGCTTGCGTGTTCGGTTGTAAGTGTGCCTGCTGCTTACTGCCGTTGACTTTTGAGTCGACTCAAAAGTCAACTCGTGTTCGGTTGTAAGTGTCTGCTGACTGCCTTGTGTGTGCCACTCACACTTTCATCTGATGCATGCTTTTCAGTTCCTTTTTCATCTAGTGTTTTCCGTTGCCTGCATTCTTTGTCAGATTTCCGTATCGCTGCATTCTTTGTCAGATTTCCGTATCGCTGCATTCTTCACTCTTTCATTTTCTCTCTCCTACATGCGCAAAGGCTGTGGGGGAGCGAGCGTGTTGGGATGACGCACGGCTGGCAGTCACAGGCGTGTGGCTGCCTCCTACCCGCCCTGCTGACCACGCGCTCGGAGGCAAGCCGCTGAGGCAGCGCTGCGACGAGGCGTCTTCCTCCCACGTGTGCTGGCTTCTCCCCCTGCGTCCATGGGGTGAGGCGGAGGAACGAGATGGAGAGACTGACGGGCTGGAATTGAGGCGATTACAAGGAGGGTTGCTGTTGAATGGAGAGTGAGCGCCATGCAGAGACGAGGGGCTGAGGGACTCGGTCATTTGAGAGTGGGGGGCCCCAGCTCTCTCTTGGTCTTGTCCTGAAGCACGGGGCCACCCTCGGCCTCTGCGGGCTACTCACATACCTCCAGCACCTTGGCCCTTGGATCTGTCCTCTTCCATGCCTCTGTCCCACGTCCTCCTGACCCGCACTCCGTCCTCACTCCTCCCCCTTCCATTCCCTTCAGTTCGGGCCTTCACGTGGAGGGCGATGGGGCAGCGCGGCGGGGCAGCAGTGGAGGCGTTCTCTGCTAAATCCCCGCCTTCCTTCCTTCAGGGCTTCATGGGGGCAGCGCGGCGGGGCAGCAGTGGAGGCGTTCTCTGCTAAATCCCCGCCTTCCTTCCTTCAGGGCTTCACGGGGGGCAGCGCGGCGGGGCAGCAGTGGAGGCGTTCTCTGCTAAATCCCCGCCTTCCTTCCTTCAGGGCTTCACGGGGGGCAGCGCGGCGGGGCAGCAGTGGAGGCGTTCTCTGCTAAATCCCCGCCTTCCTTCCTTCCTTCAGGGCTTCACGGGGGGCAGCGCGGCGGGGCAGCAGTGGAGGCGTTCTCTGCTAAATCCCCGCCTTCCTTCCTTCAGGGCTTCACGGGGGCAGCGCGGCGGGGCAGCAGTGGAGGCGTTCTCTGCTAAATCCCCGCCTTCCTTCCTTCAGGGCTTCACCGGGGGCAGTCGGCGGGGCAGCAGTGGAGGCGTTCTCTGCTAAATCCCCGCCTTCCTTCCTTCAGGGCTTCACGAGGGCAGCGCGGGGCGAGGTGGCAGCGCAGGGGGCATCAAGATGCGCCTCTTTGCAATAACCCCCCCCCGTTCCCTTCAGCATGGCAGGTAGCGCGGCGGCACGGAGGGCGACACGGAGGTACGATGTCTAGCTGCATGTTTTTCAGTTGCTCCTGTTTTCGTATTTGCTCCTGCTTTTTTGCATTGCATGTGTTGTGTTCGTCTTGCATGTGTTGTGTTCGTCTTGCATGTGTTGTGTTGGTCTTCCCCCCCCCCCCTCCCTCCCCTCCCAAGACGTCCAAGGACCAAGGCCCAAGACGTCCAAGGACCAAGGCCCAAGACGTCCAAGGACCAAGGCCCAAGACGTCCAAGGACCAAGGCCCAAGACGTCCAAGGACCAAGGCCCAAGACGTCCAAGGACCAAGGCCCAAGACGTCCAAGGACCAAGGCCCAAGACGTCCAAGGACCAAGGCCCAAGACGTCCAAGGACCAAGGCCCAAGACGTCCAAGGACCAAGATGGCAGGCATTAGGGGGGACGCCTCCTGACGCCTGCAGACGTCCAAGATGGCAGGCGTTAGGGGGGACGCCTCCTGACGCCTGCGAACGTCTGTTTTTTTCTAACCCACCCCCCGTTGTTCCCATGCAGGTCCCATACGAAGGGTCCCCACCTCAACGTGGTGTGTGGGTGTAACACTAGGGGTTAACCCCCCTAGTGGCCAAGAGGGACCCGGAAGACCCAAGACGATGGCGCTCTCTATTGTTGCCCGCACGATTTTTGATATATATAGTTGCCTAATTAGTATTAGATTCGGTTAGATTATCAATCAGATACCTTCATGTGCAGCACCTTCATGTAGTTCAACATGCACCAGGGAAGCATATGGTGCAATGTAGCAGCTAAACAGAATGGCTTACATAACAGTAAAAGGATCTTTAGCATTCAGAATATTATTTCATGCAAACCAACAGTGGCAGCATGCAACAGAGGCAAATTCCCTCTGACATGGCAACATTTCTTCCCAAACATGGCACATTGCCACTTGTGTTGCGACTTCTGGCAATGCTGTGTGCTGCAGAGGCATCACCAACAGGGAGTCTCTGCGCGTAACAGCATGCCCAAGTATGAAGTATTGCTTTCCAGTGTGCTGTGCTGTGCCACATGCTGAGATGTTAAGGAAATGCTGTGCTGTCGATTGTTCTGCTTGCTGTTCTGTGCTGTGTTGTGCGCTGTGTTGTGCGCTGTGTTGTGCGCTGTGTTGCGTGTTGTGTGCTGTGCTGTGTCGAAGCTGTGTGGTGTGCAGTCACCTGTGCTGTGTCGAAGCTGTGTGGTGTGCAGTCACCTGTGCTGTGTCGAAGCTGTGTGGTGTGCAGTCACCTGTGGTGTGTGCTGTGTATGCAGTGCTGTGCTCTGTTGTGTGCTCTGCTGTGTGCTGTGCTGTGTGCTGTGCTGTGCTGTTCTGTGTGCTGTCACAAGCCACCCACACATGCTGCACACATGCCACGCACATGCTGGCCACTTATATTCACCACAGCCTCAGTCACAGCAGGTGAGAGCCTGGCAGTTCGAGGAGAACACGGGCAGGAAAGCATTATCAGTGCACGGCTTGAGCGAGTGTGTGTGCTGGGAGCTCACAATTTTGGACACTGCTAGACACATGAGTGTATGCGCGCTGAGAAAGTTGTGCGCTGAGTCACATTGGGACCAGAAGTAGGGAGCACGACCGGGCGAAAATGTGTGCTGGGTGTATGTGTGCTGAGTATATGCGCTGGGAGCGGGGATATGTGGTGAGAATGAGATTTTGTGGGTGTGAAAGTGACCGATGTAAATGTTTATGCAGCGCGGTGCAGCGCGGTGAAGCACATGCATGTGAGAGCACCTGCTGAGCGGCTCCTGCTGTCGGGACTCGGGAGCACCTGCTGAGCATGCAGAGGCTGCGGCTGAGACCGGCCGAGCGCCATCCGCTGAGCGCCGTCCGCCGAACGCCATTCCGCGGAGCGCCATCCGCCGAACGCCATCCGCTGAGTGGCACCTGCTGTCATCAGCACCTGCTGTCATCAGCACCTGCTGTCATCAGCACCTGCAGTCATCAGCCCCTGCTGTCATCAGCACCTGCAGTCATCAGCACCTGCTGTCATCAGCACCTGCTGTTATCAGCACCTGCTGTCATCAGCACCTGCAGTCATCAGCACCTGCTGTCATCAGCACCTGCTGTCATCAGCACCTGCTGACATCAGCACCTGCTGTCATCAGCACCTGCTGTCATCAGCACCTGTTGTCATCAGCACCTGCTGTCATCAGCACCTGCTGTCATCAGCACCCTGCCTGACGTAAGAGCGCCATGACCACGGGCATGCAGAGGCAACGGTGACGATGCGCGACGACACGGAGGAGAGAAGCATCTGATAGCCCAAACGAAGACATTCTACGGCCATGTGCGGGCAGCCGCCAAGGGTTAACTCAACTACCCGCTAATGAGCTGAGACCTTTGGTTAAAGAGCTCAGCCACCAAGTTCAATAATGACTAATACGCTGAAACCGTTAAAAAGCTGAGACCTTTCGAACGGAAAGGTTGACGCTACCAATTACTTTTGACGCGCCTCGAAGCAGTGCTGTCCTGGACGGGCGGATCGGGAAAGACGACCGTGAATTCGAGGAAGGTGACGCTGCGCGCATTTCACGCGAGTGCCTACCGTGTAAGATCCGAGGATTCAGTAATGCTCGAAACATGCTGGAATCGAGTCGCGCTGGATTTGGGGATTACGCTCATCAGATAGGCCTCGTTCATTACTCGCACAGCCAGATTACATCACGGTAGTCGATGGTTGAAACAGTTAAAATTTTCTACCAACCAACGGCGAAATAGTCGAAGGATGTCAGGACGATCACCTTCGTTTCAGCCGAAGACTCTCCGTGAAATTGTTTTCAGTTGTGGTGCTTTTTTGAACTGTAGACCTTCTTGCTCTGTCAGTGATGCATTGAAACTCGCTCTATGTGGTAACCTTTTTCGCTGGTAGATTCGCCTGAATCTATTCTTGCTCAAGGCGGAAGGTTGCTGCATCCTGATTGGCGCATCTTTAGGACCACAGTCAAGGGCGGGGGTTGGGGGGATGGGGGGGGAGCGCCCGAATGTGACGGGCGCAAATTTAGTGAGGCGCAGCGCAACATTCAATGTGGCCTTGAACGCGAATGCTTTACATTTCACCCTTTGCATTTTAGGAGAAATACCAGCGCCCATATCTGCTCTCCCGATCTTGCATTTTATTTTCCGTAAACTGCGCCTTCGTATTTAGTTTTGGACGTAACATCGAGTCGACCGTCTTCATAAGTTCAGCGGTCGAAGTCAGCTTTTTACTTGAAACGGTTACTGACGCACAACTTCGCCGTTAGGATGCCGTCATCACTTCGTATACGCGATAGAAGCCGCGCAGTGGCGAACAAAGTCGCAAGCTGTGAGTGAAAAAAATTATGACGCACGGAGTCCGACTTAAACGTTTTCATTGAGTCATTATAATATCTGACATCATGCCCATTTCGCATGCGCTGGTAACAATATCACATGTTTAAGTCGCACAACTTGCTTGTTTCAGTATCCGATCGCTGCATGTTCCTGTAACTTAGTGGCGAACGGTACGGTCGAAGGAAAACCCCGATTTGTGTTCTGCGATAACAGGGGACGTCGTAACGAAAGCCGTGGACCGCGCTTTCCTGGAACTTGCGGAGCTAGACGGCAAGAAGGACGAGGAGGAGCGGCCGGTGATTAACGTTCCGGAGCTATACACCGGCGTGCTCCTCGTGTACAAGTGAGTGCGTCATTATGGCGCCTCGGAAACGCCGGCATGTTACAGTGTACAAGTGAATGCGCCATGACCTGTCCTCTAAGAAAAGAACTTCCTGAACGTCTCCAGGGATTTTCATTTCCAACTCTCGAGCCTCTTCCCCCTCCTCCCCTTCCCACCCCCACCACCCCCCTCTCCTCCCCCCCTACCGCTCACTGTTTACCTCTACCCTACACACTCATTCCTTTCCCCACAACTTCCCCACTCTCGCATGCACTGCGCCTCCATCCCGCCCCCTCTGTGTTGCACTATAGCTATGTGAACCGCTACTCCCCGGGGAGTTATCTGAGCCCTCCAAAGAAGAAGGATGTTCTCAAGCTGGTCAAGGTGTGCCTTTCTGCTCTCGCCAGTGTGCATTCGCCACTGCGTTGTCACCATGACACTTTGCCAGCACCTGTGCACGGGCTTCCCTCATGGGCTTGACCAGCAATTCCACTGTGATACTGTTTCAGCTCCCCTTCGGTTGTTCTTCAATTCGAGTATTGTCGCATTCCCCCGTTGTTCCTCTGGTCCCGAGCAGAAATTCGATCTCAACAATGATGGGGTCATAGACCGGGAGGAATTCGGTAGGCTGCTCCGGCACTTCGTGAAGCATCTCCTGAGAAACATGATCATCAACATTCTCGTCATGCTCACTGTGATCCCGTTCCTATGCTACTTCACATGCAAGGCCATGGGTAGGTTCGTTCCTGAATCCCTCCTGGCCACTATTTTCACTTCCTTGTTTAAGATGTCTGGCATATGGAATAGGACAGGCGTGTGAGTCTCAAAAGGAATGGGGCACTCTCTTTTTGGGTGATTCAGCACATATCGACTGCAGCATTGATGAGTGCGCTGGGCTATGCCGTTTTGAACGCTGCTTGTGAATGGTATTGTGTGTACAGAGTGAATGGGTAGTGAATGTGTACAGATAGGTGCATAACTGCTAACATATACATTCTCTACTTGTGCTCTTTGTGAATGTACAATGCATATATGATCACAATTACTTTTCCTAATTTCCACAGAACTAATGCAACACTCAATATGGATTCTGCGAGCAGCATTTGACGGACAACGCAAACCCACATTTCGCCTCACTCCACCCAGAGGGGCCAACCATTTGCCGATTCCGCCTCCCCCAAAGAAGCCAGTGAGAATATCCATCAACGACGCTGATTGGAGGAGGCCTTGGCGCTGACGTTTGCGAAAACGTTACAGCTTTGCAACCGACACTCCGTTCGTAAACGCGAGAGTTCGAGTCCTCATCGCCAGCTCGCCAACACACATCGACAATGCTTTCCCAGTGGCCCGAAACGAGGAGCGGCGCGACAGGAGGAGGATGCAATCGCATCTCTCATGCAATCGCCTAGTCTTTGAAAATTGACTTTGTTTCGTGAAAACGTGACTGGCGTGCATGAAGAAAGCAAGCTTTCCTTCAGCGACGCAAATGGCGTGCAACTACAGAGTAGTCGTTTACCTGTTGTCGTTCGTGGCATCACCTGAGACCTACCCGCCTCTGAGGCTAGCCGACCAGCGTTAGGCATGTCCGTACACACAACCAAGGTTCTCTTCATACATAGCGCAGCTCACGTGCATAGCAAGAACTCGCAGTCGCGTAGTTATTACCAACCCCTTGACGCGGTAGTGCTATGGCAAGAAAATACGAGTCTTTGAGATTATGCGTATTTGTTTTTCTAATAGTCGCTTTGCTTCGCCTGCGAAGCTCCCAAGCCGCGAATCTCCCTTCGAACGGGTGTCACGTCCATGCCGTGTGTTCCCGTCTCAACACCTTCAACGATGTGACTATAACGGAGGGAAAATTCACGGACCTCACGCTGATTGGAAAGTATAGAGGCCGGTTCAACAGTCAGGGCGGAAGATACAAGGCGCACGAGGCGGGGTCAGGCCCGCTAAACCTCGAAGTCTATCAGGTGCGGAGCGAGGCGCATTCTAGCTCGTACTACTGCGAGTAGCATAGACTTTTAGTCGTTGTTTTGGATTTTCTCTGTCAATAGCACGTGGTAGCAGCTTTCAAAGCATCGTGCTTCGTTTGCGGCTGCATCATTCTATCAGTTCCGCCTACCTACATTCGGCTGGAAAACACTTACTCGCATTTTCTGAATGGTTTGGGACAGATTTGGGCCTAAATGAACAGCTGTGAAACTCGTTGCCGCATATTCGTTCGCTACGATTTCGTGACTCACATTTCTACTACGCCTTCCCGATTAACAATCCTACAACGAATTCACTGATGTGTAACAGGAGGTTGGTAACCACGTGGACATCGTGCGAGGCGCCGGCGGAGGCACGTTGGAGAGCTGCTGCAGAGCGTGCGCGGGTGACAAGGCCTGCCACGCCTATCACTTCTTCCCTAGCAAACGGCTAGCCGACAATGCTAACGTTCGGGGCTTCATTGACGGCGTGCAGTGCTACCTGCTGGAGAAGAAAGCTGGGTCTGGACGGACAGCGGGGCTGAGACATCCTTATAGCGGGGATGGAAGAGAGCAGGATGCTGTGTCGGCATTCTACCCGCTCAGCTGGTACGTACCACCGGGAAGGTTTGAGTAACCTGCCCGTCGCAAGTTGAATTGCCTGAATAGCTTTCAACGAGATGTTGCTACGGCATGGGCATGTTGAAAGGTGGGTGTGCTGGAGGAGGCATGTGACAGTGTTGTATGGTGCATACTGTGTCGTTCTGAGTGTGTTCTACTGTACATGTCAGCGCCGCTTTCACACGAAGTTACATTTTGAGGCTCTTGCGGAGCCGTAGTGCCTCGACATGTAGTGTCTCTCAAGCGCTGCTCCTTTCCCACGTGCCATGACCCCTGGCAGGGTGGGAGGCTCATGCGACACGTCTCGCCTGGACAACACCGACCCGCGCATCACAGGCTCGCACGGGACCCTCTTTGACTTCCCCGGGCAGCTCGGCAAATCTTTCTGCTTGCTTGCCGACCATCGGATCCACATCAATGTTCTGCTGCAGAGCCACCAGGGACCAGAGTCCGCAGCGGCAGCGGCACTAGCAGCAGCAGGCATGCCGAGGAGAGTGGCAGAGGGAAGCCTGCATGTGTGGGTGAAGGAGGTGGGAGTGGTGTGGGTGTCATCTGGCGGCAAGCAGCACTCGCTGCGCATGGTGGCGCGCACAGGCAACCAGCAGGACAGGGGGGCCAACGGTTTCCTCGCCCTCATGCAGGTGGACGGTGCTGACGTGGCACCGCCACGCTTCCATGATGACCTGGCAGTGGTGGGAGCGGATGGAAGTGTGGAGATAAGGAAGTCGGCGGAGGAAGAGGATGGGCCTTTCGATGTGGACACGTATGAAGTTGTGTTTGAAGGGCTGGGGAAGGTGCATGTGAGCATGAGGGTGGCTCACCCTTTGCTACAAACACCAGAGGAAGCTGAGGCCCATTTCAACATCCGGGTAGCTGAACTCCAGGTAAGAGAGGTGACTGTGCTGCTGGTTCGTTCATTTGGCGGAATCCAGAACATGGCTGACTCTCATATGCTTCCTTCTGATTTGTGCAGACCAGCTCATCAGTCCAAGGGGTGCTGAGCCAAGCTTTTAGTACTAGCGGGAACCTAGGGAGCCATGGCACCTTGACGTACTCTCATCTGTCAGATCTGCTTCACTACCCAGCACCTGGAAGAAGAGACATCGAGCAGCCATCCGTGCAAAGGACTGCACTTGACTATGTTACCCCATCAATTTTGAGTACAAGCTCCAGGATCGGAGCTCTGTAGGCTGGCTTAGTCATCCACTAACTATACTAACACCATGCTAGATGCACATAGGCCTATAAATAAAGCCCAATAAACAGCATCCCTGTAGCACCAAGACCTTTTTGCTGCTATAAAGGAGCCCATTGAAGATAACTGTGAGCATTGCACCTAAGACTGAATGGCATCTTGTAGGTAGGTATGTTAAACTAAACTAATACGTAAGTGCTGAAGTTGTACAGAACTAGCATCTTGTACCAGAAGGTGCAGTTATTTCAACAAGAACTGCTTGAATAGCGCATACGCGATGGCCACCCCCATTGCCGGTTTTTCCCACATGTTCTGTTTCAACAATCCCTGAAAGTTTCGCAGTACTTCTATTCTGTACGATTGAAGTTTTGACGTTTATTGAACTCCCGTGGTATCTTTATCAGTATATTCCAACATCGGAGATTTCCAGCCCTTGATGTCATCCGCACCCTGTCCGGCCGCCATCCCCAAGACCGAACCGAGCCTTGGGCTCTCCATTCCGCCCTGGCCCCCATTGCGCGCTGCCCCTCTCGGCTTCCCCCCGCTCCGCCCCCCTCCCCCTCCTCGCCTCTCTTCCTGCCTCACCTGTGCCTCTGAGAGCTGAAGCACACAAGTCACAAAGCTGGTAGTGGTGGTTTCACATACTGCTTGTACGGAAGCCATGACAGCAGCTGGAAACCCCAAGCTCGGCTCCTTTGCCTTGACGTATAACGTTCGCACAAGCGATTTTTTTGGGCGATTGTGACGCGCCTTCGGTCCGCTGCGGCCTGGTGTGATTCATAGCGACTCTTATCTTGCAGTAAGCCCTCTGTTCCGCCTGCGGATGTGGGAGTTTCATGGCTGTTCCGGGCCCATCTTAGAGCCTCACGGACCGTATAAGATCGATTTAATTGGCTGTTAGAAGCACCCAGTCGTCGGCTGTGAGGTCTCTAGAGTCTCCAAAGCCCTAGATGTGCGCTCAAATCGGACTTAATAGATCGGAATTTCTGGATATTCAAGGCCTTCCCTGATGGTCCAGAAGCCCAGACATGCTAACCCTAATTTTTAATTAGTCGATAATGCGTCGCCCGAGGTCCAGTAAACATCGTTCCGGCACGTTCCCGCGTCAAATCCATCCCCAGAGATCGCATATGGAGGCCTAATATCCGATGTTCCGCAAGCACTTCACCTGTTTGAGCGTAACCCTAATTTAAGGAATCCTGCTGTTTTAGGAGAAGAAAGCGTCGGGTCACATGTCGGATGGCCGGTGGGTGGGGTTTCAGATCCTCTTCAGTCCAGCATCGCCCTTGCAAATCCCACATACTGTCTGGTCTGTAACCACCCAGAGCAATCCTCCCTTGATACCTTGACTGTAGAAATGTATATTTTATTCGGTCTTTCTGACATCCCGCACTCCGACTAGCGCCGTTTGTCACTTCTTTCTCGTGGAGAGGTCGACGATCAGGGCCCGGACAGAGATCTGATCACTAGTTCAAACATTAGGGCAGGGTCACGCAGGGATCTAAGATAAGGCGTGGTCCCGCAATCACATGTGGATTTGAGACATCTGACAGTTTGGAAACGCTTCGCGCTTTTCCGTTTTGGAAATCTCGACCCTTTGCTTGCATTATCACCTCGGTCGTGGACCCTTTGTTCCGCGCTGTTCGCCTTGTCCTAATGGCGTCTCTACCTGGTGCCTCCCTCCTTGTATCTCCGCTGCCCTGCGTGCCCACAGCGTGTATTTAACGTCCACTCGACCCCCAGAGGATCAAATCTTCAAGGGCGGCTCGACTCCCTTCACATCCTCGACCTGGTCAACGCCGCCGCAGGCCTTCAAATTCGCTGTAGGGCATTGTGCGCTGCACTCATTCTCGGGTTCTTATAGCGCGTACAACGGGACCTGGCACGGGCGATATGAAGCCTGAGGACGACGACAGTGGGTCGGGCAGTTCAGGCGGGAGCGATGGGTCGGGCAGCGGCAGACGGGGCGGGCAGGGGGACGAGGAGGCGGGGTATGAGATGGAAGAGGACGAGGAGCGGTCGGAGGAAGACGAGGAGGAGGATGAAGCAGGTACGCCTGCCTCGATCTCCTTTGTTGTTCGGCCAGGGGTAGCTTCGTGCCTTGTTGAAACGCCTGCTGCTGTGGTGCCGTGCTCGCGGACTCGTGCGAATGGCACGCCTTACTGCCTCGTGAAATGCGGACTCGTGCGAATGGCACGCCTTACTGCCTCGTGAAATGCGGACTCGTGCGAATGGCACGCCTTACTGCCTCGTGAAATGCGGACTCGTGTGAATGCCACGCCGTGCTGCCTCGTGAAATGCGGACTCGTTAACCATCCACGCCTTCTTGTCCCCTGGTCTGCGCGTCTGTGCAGGCGACGACCCGGATGACGAGGATTTCGACCCCACCAGCTGCGCGCCGAATGGGCAACTGCCGCGGCGGGGGAAGGAGGTGAGCGCGGAGGGGGAGGGAGGTGAGCGCGGAGGGGGAGGGAGGTGAGCGCGGAGGGGGAGGGAGGTGAGCGCGGAGGGTGAGGGAGGTGAGCGCGGGCAATGTCGAAACACATTTTTCACCTTTTGCTGTGCAAAGTAGCCCCTGACGGTTCTGACTCACACGTTGTTCTGCCGCGCCCATCCGCTGCTGTCCGATACAGGGCGACGTTGCGGAGGAGGAGGAGGAAGAGGAGGAGGGCCGCGACTCACCCGCGTCGTCCGGCGACGAGTCGGACTCCAGCAGTGCCTCGTCCTCCGCGTCCGACGGCAGCAGTGGCGGCTCCCGCCGCCCCCAGCCGCGCCGCCCCAATAACCGCAGAAAAGCGCCCCCCAGACCCGCCGCCGGGAGCGGAATAGGCGGAGGGGGAGGGGGAGGGGGTGGGGGAAGAGGGACCCGGGCTAGCAACCGCTCGAATGCGAGACGGCGGACTGTAGAGTCGTCAGACGATGATGGGGTGGGGGACGAGGAGGAGGAGGCAGGGAGCGGGAGCGAGTCGTTTGACGAAGCTGGGGCGGGTGGCGGGGACGACGAGAGCTCGTCTGATTTCTCTGGGTCGGTGAGCGAGTCAGGGAGTGAGAGTGAGGGGCGGGGGAAGCCGCGGGCCAGGCGTGGGGGGGCTGGCGCGGGCGGAGGAGGGGGCGGGGGCGGGGGGAAAGGGGGGAGAAAACGCGCGCGGGGCGGGGCGGGGAGCTCGGAGAGTGAGAGCAGCGGAGGGGAAGGGCGGAAGGGGCGGTCGGGGAAGGGGGGAGGGCGGGCGGGGGTGGCGGCGAGGGAGACACGCATGTCACGGAGGGCTGTGCCGCGCAAGTCATACTTTGAGGATGATGAGGACTCGGCGGATGACCTGGCGCCACCTGCTAAGAAGAAACTCAAGGTGCGCCCTTAACTGTCAAGGTGCGCCCCTTGCTGTACCACCGTTCCTAGCTGTGCCTTCCTTCTAGCTGTACCGTCCTTAAGGTGTGTGTCAGTGCCACTGTGTGCTCACTGCTGTTGTGCGCCGGTTTGAGTGTGTCTGCTCCATCTCCCATGCTATACGCTCAGCGCTTACTCTCCTGTCTGTGAGCGCAGGGCATAGCAGCAGCGGGGGAGGAGGGCGAGGAGGAGGATGAAGACATGCTGCCGGCAGGGGATGCAGCAGAGGCAGACGCAGAGGCGGAGGGGGACGTGGTGGAGCGGGTGCTGTGGCACCAGCCGCTGGGGAGGAGTGAGGAGATGCGGGCAGCGGGGCAGCCCACGGGGCCGTGTGTGTTGGAGTATGATGTGAGCGAGGCCATCGACTGGGAGCAGCAGGAGCTGTACGTCAAGTGGAAGGGACGCTCCTTCCTGCACTGCGAATGGCTGCCCATCTCCACCCTCTCCACGGTACTGTATCCCTCTCCTCCACAGTGCATCCCTCTTACACGGTACTTCATCTTCTCTGCCTGTTAATCACCCTCTCCAACTCCTCAGCCTATCAAGCCTTCTCCAGTCCCATCTTCTTATCCTCATCTCCTTCCCACACACAGCTGCCCGGGTTCAAGAAGGTGCAGAACTACATGAAGCGGGCGGACGACGAGTGGTTGTACCGCCTCTCACCCTCTCTGTCTTCCCATTATGCCTCTCACCCTCGCACCTGCTCACCCTCCCACCCGCAGCTACCCGGGTTCAAGAAGGTGCAGAACTACATGAAGCGGGCGGACGATGAGAGGCGGTACCGTCTGAGTGTGTCAGCAGAGGAGGTGGAGGCGCTGAACGTGGGGCGCGAGATGGAGCTGGACCTGCTCAAGCAGTACTCGCAGGTGGGGTCAAGCAGTACTCGCAGGTGGGCGGGCGAGGCTGGTCATGTGAGGCGGTGCTGCTAGACTCTTAGATGGGTGGGTGCAGCTAGACTCCCAGGTGGGTGGGTGCCGGTGGGCTTACCGCATGCATCACTGGTGGGAGGTGGAGGCGCTGAACGTGGGCCGCGAGATGGAGCTGGACCTGCTCAAGCAGTACTCGCAGGTGGGCGGGTGTGCGTAGCTTCTAAGCTTCTGTCCCTTTTCTCTCCCCGTTCTTTGCGCATGACGTGACACGCCTGTCGTTCCCATTTCTTCCCCTTCCCCCCTTCCCCCCCCCTCTCCCCCCCCCCCCTCCTTCCCCCCGCCCCCCCTCCCCCCCTCCCCCTCCCCCCCTCTCCCCTGGAATCTTGCCCTGCCTGCCTGCGCCCATCCCAGGTGGACAGGGTGGTGGCAGAGCGGCCAGCCAAGGCAGCAGGGGAGGCGGGGAGGGAGGGCGATGAGGTCAGCAGCTACGAGTTCTTTGTCAAGTGGAAGGGGCTTTCCTACTCCGAGGCCACCTGGTGGGTTGGTTTGTTCTCTTTGAGAGCTATGCACTGTCCAGTCACCGTCCATCACCATACTTCATGCCTCACTACCATCCCGCACACGAGTTCTTTGTCAAGTGGAAGGGGCTCTCCTACTCCGAGGCCACCTGGTGGGTTGGTTTGTTCTCTTTGAGAGCTATGCACTGTCCAGTCACCGTCCATCACCACCCTTCACACCTCAGCACCATCTGGTTCACGAGTTCTTTGTCAAGGGGAAGGGGCTCTCCTACTCCGAGGCCACCTGGTGCGTTCTGTTCCTCTTCTTTTTAGAGCTATGCACCCTCTTGTCACCTTCCATCTCCACGCTTCTCTTCACGCCTCACCACCATCCCTCTCCCCCCCTTCCCCCCTTTGCTTGTTCCACGAGTGCAGGGAGACGGAGGCGGACATAGAGGTTGCGCGGGAGGCGATAGACGAGTTCAAGGAGAGGGAGGCGGGAGCGCTGGTGGTGGGCAAGAGCGTGGAGGCGCAACGAAAGAGCTGCCGAAGTGAGCATTGTGATAGAGTGGAGCGGGGTTGAGTCGGGCAGGCAGGGGGAGAGTGGCGCAGGTTGAGTGGTGCTGAGATAGTGGAGCAGAGGAGAGGAGGGGAAAGGGAGTGGGGCAGAGGGGTGGGGCGAAGGGGAGAGAGGGGAACGGGTCTTTGGAGGTGGATGAAGCATCCAAAGTAAGATCGTGCTGTGAGAGTAGGGATGCTGAGGAGCATGAGCGGGCAGGTGAGGTAAGGGAAGGGAAAGGTGAGCTGTGCAGGAAGGGTCAGAGGAAATGCAGCTTGTGTGTGTGAGCCCCTCCACACCCCTTCCAATCTCCATTCACCCCTCTCACTCCATGCTATCCATTCTGTTCCCCTGCATTACCATCTTCCCCTCGCCCTCCTCGTCCCGCCTTGCCCTTTTTTGGCCGCCCTCTCACCCGCCCCCCCCCCCTCCCCCGTTCCATCCCCCCCGTTCCATCCGCCCTCTTTGCCCTCCCGTTCCATTCCCTCCGTACCACCCCCCCTGTTCCAGGCATGAGCAAGCTGGAGGTGCAGCCGGAGTGGCTCAAGGGCGGCACGTTGAGGGACTACCAGCTCATGGGGCTGAACTTTCTCATCCACAGGTGGGGTTGTGGTGTGAAGGGCACTGCAACTCGCTACACGCGGGGATACCTGCTTTCAACATGGAAGTAGAGCAGTGGGGGGCGGGGACGGTTGTAGGGAGACACAGGGGCGGCATGTGAGGGACTACCAGCTCATGGGGCTCAACTTTCTCATCCACAGGTAGGAACCAGGGGGGGCGCAACTCAACACATGTTAAACTCCCACGGCCTCTCAGCACGAGGGGGGAGGAAGAGGGGTGGGAGGAAGAAGGGTAGGTGGAAGAGGGGTGGGAAGGAAGAAGAAGGGTAGGGGGAAGAGGGGTGGGGGGAAGAGGGGTGGGGGGAAGAGGGGTGGGGGGAAGAGGGATGGGGGAAAGAGGGGTGAGGGGAAGAGGGGTGGGAGGACGGCAGCTTGACACAAGGGCCCCCCGCGTCCCCTTTTATTGCTTCCGTTTCTGTGTCCATTTTGCCCCCTTTCTTCAATGTTGAAATGCACCTTGCTTCTTTCCCCATGGGTAAGGTCCCCTGGGACCTCGCGTTTGTGTGGGAATGCTCCTGCATAGATGCGTGTGCATGCCATGCTCATGCGTGTTCTTGTGCATCTGCGTTTGCATGTGTGCATGCATGTATGTCTATGTGCGTGAGTGTGTGTGTGCATGTATGTGTATGTGCGTGCATGTGCGCATGCTTGTGCGTGGTTGTGTGTGCGTGTGCATGTGGTGCATGGTGGCAGTTGGATGAGAGACACAAACGTTATCCTGGCAGACGAGATGGGGCTGGGCAAGACCGTGCAGTCCGTCTCCATGCTCGGCTTTCTCTTTGTATGTGGGTGCATGCGGGTGGGGTGCATGCGGGTGGGGTGCATGCGGGTGGGGTGCATGCGGGTGGGGTGCATGCGGGTGGGGTGCATGCGGGTGGGGTGCATGTGCATGAAATGTGTACTCTCGCATCAATGCCCCACTTCAGCTCATCTCCAAACCCTCCCCCCCCCCCCCCCCCCTCTCCCCCCCCACCCACCGCTTCCTTTCATTCGTCTACCCCTTCTTCTCCTCCGTTCTGATAATGGTGCCGCTAATTGAATCCTTCCCGCCTATCTCCCTCTTTTCCCTCTGCACCATCCGGTCAACTCCTCAACTTCCTCCCAACTTAACTAAATCCCCCCCACATGAGCAGCACATGCAGCAGATAAAGGGTACCTTCCTGACAGTGGTGCCGCTGTCAACCTTTTGAGAATTCTCAAGAGCAACTGGGAGAGGGAGCTACGCCGCTGGCTGCCCTCCTGGCTCTTCCCCCTTCACTCATTTCCCTGATCTTCCCCCCCATGCCCCCCCGACACGAGCAGCACATGCAGCAGATTCAGGGCCTTTTCCTGACAGTGGTGCCGCTGTCAACGATGAGCAACTGAAAGCGGGAGCTGCGCCGCTGGCTGCCCCCACCATCTCCCCAACTTCTCCCCTCTCCTCCCCTGCCCCTCCCCCCCGCACACACACGAGCAGCACATGCAGCAGATACAGGGTCCGTTCCTGATAGTGGTGCCGCTGTCAACCATGAGCAACTGGGAGCGGGAGCTGCGCCGCTGGCTGCCCTCCCTCAACGTCGTGCTTTATGTGGGCAACCGCGCCTCCAGAGAGGTGGGGCGTGAGGCATGCAGAGGGGTGAGGCATGGTGCAGAGAAGTGAGGCAACGCTGCTGCTGGCTGCCCTCCCTCAACGTTTTGCTCACCGCTGTGCGCATCCTCATGGATCACATCACATCCACATCCAGCGAGGTGACTTTTGAGTCGACTCAAAAGCCATCGTCATGGATCACATCCACATCCAGCGCCCCTTCCTCACACTGCTTCCTCTCTCAACTCCCCTCTTATGTCCCTCACCCCCCCCCTCTGTGCCCCTCCTCTCTGCCACCCACTCTGCCCCTCCTCCCCTCTGCCTTCCCCCCTCCCAACCTCCGACCGCCAGGTGGTGCAGCAGTACGAGTTCTGGCAGGCTGCGGGCAGGAAGGGAGGGAGGCAGAGCAAGTTCCATGCGCTACTAACAACCTACGAGGTGGTCTTGAAAGACAAGGCTGTGCTCTCGCCCATCCGCTGGACGTACCTCATGGTCGACGAGGCGCACCGCCTCAAGAACTCTGAAGCGGCGCTCTACACCACGCTCATTGTAAGCTAGGTTATTCATTCGCTAGAAGTACGAGTTTTGATTCGACTCATAATATATGCATGCAGTGCAGTTCAGTGCAGTGCAGTGCAGGCTGCTGCTGCTGTCTGATGGCCTGCACCGACATAAGGGTGATGGAGGACTGTCGACTCAACAACCGCTCCACTCTCTATCTGCCATTTTCCCTCCTTCTCCCCTTCCCCAAGAGCTTCCATGCGCGCAACAAGCTGCTCATCACCGGCACGCCCCTGCAGAACAGCGTCGAGGAGCTCTGGTGAGTGCTGCTGTCGTGGGAGAGGTGTGGCAGCTGAGGTGAGAATATCAATGGTGTCAATGGTTGTCAGTGGTGTCAATGGTTGGGTGGCCTACACTCTCACCCCCTTCGTCTCTCCTGTCTTTCCGTCCACCGCTCGTTTCATCTTTTTCCGCCTTCCACTCTTTCCGCCCTTCCTGCGCTCCCCCTCCCGTCGTCCTTACTCTGCCCTTCCCCGTCTATAAGTCGTCATCTCCTCGCCCCTGTTTCTCTTCTCCCCCCACCCTCCCCTTCTTTCCCCTTCTGTCCCCATTTTCTCCCCAGGGCGCTGCTGCATTTCCTGGACTCGGGCAAGTTTGGCGACAAGGAGGAGTTTTCAGCCAAGTACAAACACCTGCTGGAGAACCAGAGCGAGAAGGAGGTGAGGGAGAGGCAGGAGAGGAGGTGAAGGGGGAGAGAGAAGGAGGTGAGGGGAGAGGAGGGAGGTGAGGGGAGAGCAAGGGTGAGAAGGACAAAATGGAGATGAGATGCGGAAGGCAGTTTTAGAAAAGAATTTCTGTTCCCTTAGAAAAGAGTGAGCAGGATGTGCTCCCTTACTGTTTGTTTTTTCTATCACAGTTTCACTTTTCATGGCTCTTCTACCCCCTCTTGCACCAGCAGCACATCGTACCCCCTGCCCTTGCCCCCGCTCTCTACACCAGATCACGTCATTGCACCAGGAGCTGCGCCCGCACATGCTGCGGCGGGTGATCAAGGACGTGGAGAAGTCACTGCCGCCCAAGATTGAACGCATCCTGCGCGTCGAGATGTCGCCCCTGCAGAAGCAGTGAGTGCCACTGCTTGGCCTGGCAAAGAACCTCGGACAGGGAGTGGCTGTTGGACCCTCCCTGCAGAACAGTGGGTGGCTTGTTTGCCCTTCCTCTTCTCTACTCCTCTCCTTGCTATTCTCGTGCATTGAGGTCGCTTTTGAGGCGCCTCAAAAACGACCTCTTGTTCGCCCTTCCTCTTCTCTACTCCTCTCCTTGCTATTCTTTCCTTGCCCACTCCCCCCCCCCCCCCACCCCACCACTCTCCTTACTACCAGTGGATATTGGAGTGCAATTTTCAGAATCCGAGCATGCCTTCCGTTCGTTCTCACATGCCATTCCCTCTCCTGCCCTCTCTCTACCCTCTTCCCCCCCGTCCCTCTCTCCTTGCTCCCCCCTCCCCCCCTTCCCCCCTCCCCACCCGCAGGTACTACAAGTGGATCCTGGAGCGCAACTTTCAGGATCTGAACAAGAACGCGCGCAGCAACCAGGTGTCCTTGCTCAACATCGTGGCAGAGCTCAAGAAGTGCTGCAACCACCCCTTCCTCTTCGAGAGCGCTGACTACGGCTACGGGGGCGTCGGTGCAAGCAACCACCTTTCCTCTCATTCTCACATGCATTCTCACTCTCCCCTTCTTCCCCCACCTCCCCCCCGTCCCCCCCAGGTACTACAAGTGGATTCTTGAGCGCAACTTTCAGGATCTGAACAAGAACGCGCGCAGCAACCAGGTGTCCTTACTCAACATCGTGGCAGAGCTCAAGAAGTGCTGCAACCACCCCTTCCTCTTTGAGAGCGCTGACTACGGCTACGGGGGCGGCGCGGCGGGAGGGGCGCTGGACGCACAGGGCAAGGCGCAGCGGATCGTGCTGGGGAGTGGCAAGACGACTTTGCTGGATAAGCTGCTCACTCGGCTGAAAGAAACGGGCCACCGCGTTCTCATCTTCTCCCAGGTGGGTTACAGTTAGATGTAATTCGATATTATCTGATTTGGGCTCGTGAAAGCGCCACTTCTTTTATGCACTCTCAGTGGTGCTGGTGCTCCCTAGTAAGGGAGTGTCGTTGTGGTTCTAAACGACAACGACAGAGGAGTGCCATGATGACCATCTATCTCTCGTCCTTTACTCCTCCTTTGCTCCTCCACTCCCCGCACTCCTACAGATGGTACGCATGTTGGACATTCTAGCGGACTACCTCGCTCTGCGGGGCTTTCAGTTCCAGCGCCTGGACGGCAGCACGAGGGCGGACCTGAGGCAGCAGGCCATGGAGCACTTCAATGCGCCCGGCAGTGACGACTTCTGCTTCCTGCTCTCCACGCGCGCAGGCGGGCTGGGTATTAATCTTGCCACGGCGGACACCGTCATCATCTTTGACTCTGACTGGAACCCACAGAACGACCTGCAGGTGAGCAGTTGCATTCAGTCTGGTACGTGTATTGGGATATGCGTGTGGTTGGCATGCTTGGAGGGGCAGGAAAGCAGACTGTGTCTTGTCCCGTCTCGCCTTGTCCCCTTGGCCCTCTATGCCCTCTCACCAGGCCATGAGCTGCGCTCACAAGATCTTTCCCTCCCGTGTCCCCCTTCCTCCCGTATCCGCCTCCCTTCTCCGCCCCTGTCCGTCCTCCTCCCACCACCAGGCCACGAGTCGCGCGCACCGCATAGGGCAGCAGGACGTGGTGAACATCTACCGGTTTGTGACGAGTGGCAGCGTGGAGGAGGGTGGTGTGTAGAAGGTTGAGGTGCCTCTGACCATTTGTCTGGATGCCTTGCCTTGCCCCCTTCACGCCAGGCCATGAGTCGTGCGCACCGCATAGGGCAGCAGGACGTGGTGAACATCTACCGGTTTGTGACGAGTGGCAGTGTGGAGGAGGACATATTGGAGCGCGCCAAGCGCAAGATGGTGCTGGACCACCTCGTCATCCAGAAGCTCAACGCTGCCGGGCGCCTGGAGAAGACTCAAAGTAAAAAGAGCAGCTCCATGTTCGATAAGGTGGGATACGGTTGGGGGTGGTGAAGGGGGGGGAGGGGGGGGGTGTGCCAAGCGCAAGATGATGCTGGACCACCTCGTCATCCAGAAGCTCAATGCTGCCGGGCGGCTGGAGAAGACGCAGAGCAAGAAGAGCAGTAGCATGTTTGATAAGGTGCGGTGCAGTTGGGGGTGGTGAGGGGGTGGATGCGTTGGGGTAGTGTGAGATGGTGCTGGACCACCTCGTCATCCAGAAGCTCAACGCTGCTGGGAGATTGGAGAAGACCCAAAGCAAGAAGAGCAGCTCCATGTTCAACAAGGTGCAGTGCGGTTGTGGAAGGGGGGCGTTGGGGGCGGTGGAGGTTGGGGGTGGGGGTGATGAGGATGCATTTGGATAGGGTGGGATGGTGGTGGCTGAGAAGGAGAGCAAGATGAGCACCAGCAGCATGTTCAATTACGTGCAATGGGCGGAGGAGTGAGGGGGAGGAGGATGCTGCAGTGGGGAGTGCAAGTGAGCTGTTGAAGGAGCGAGTGAGTGAGGAGGAGGACGCGAGCTCTCTGACGATTCAAATGGCTCTCTGATTTATTCCCTTTCCCTGTCTCCTCCAGAACGAGCTGGCGGCCATTCTGCGGTTCGGAGCGGAGGAGCTGTTCAAGGAGAAAGTGAGCGAGGAGGAGGATGCAAGTCTCCTGACAATGCCTTTTCCCCCCATCTTCTCTCCTCCAGAATGAGCTGGCGGCCATATTGCGGTTCGGAGCAGAGGAGCTGTTCAAGGAGAAAGTGAGCGAGGAGGAGGGAGCGAGCCGGCTGGAGAATCTGGATATTGACGAGATTCTGGCGCGCGCTGAGAAAATCGACAGCAGCACTGCTGGGGAGGGCGCTAATGAACTGCTCTCCGCCTTCACTGTGAGTTTCTCAGATAGAGGGTGTGTTGTGTAAGTGGGTTACGAGTGGGAGTGGTTGTGCGTGTGTGGGCTTGGATGTGTGTGGGTGTGTGCGCGCCCGCGTCCATGGGTGTGAGTGTGCGTGCGTTCTTGTGATCTTGAGTTCAATACACGAAGACCTGCCTTCACTCGGTCTTATCTTGAGCACCTTCTTTTACACATTCTTTCACCTTCGATGGCCTCCGGCTCCCCTCCTTCGCCTTGCCCCTTCCCTATTTCCCCTCCCCCCGTCCCCCTCCCGCTCCTCCTCCCCGGCTATGCCCGTCCCCAGGTGGCGAATTTCAGCAGCACGGAGAACGACGCTGCTTTTTGGAGCCGGCTGATCCAGGCAGTGCCAGCAGAGGAGGAGAAGGCGCTGGGGCCGCGCTCCTCCCGCCGCAACGCCACCTACACGGGCGATGGGCTGCATGGGGATGCTGATGATGAGGAGGAGGATGGGAGAGATGGGAGGGGTGGTAGGCGGGGAGGGAAGGACGGTGGCGGGAAGAGGAAGCGAGGGCGGAGGGAGCAGGGGGATGGGGGTGCGGAGGAGGGCGGGTATCCTGCTGCTGCGCCTGCTGTGGAAGGGGCACTGGTGCGGATTACTCAGTGGACGGTGCAGGGGGAGGGGGAAGGGGGAGTGGGGGCGGGGGGTGCTGGGGGGGAAGGAGCAGCTGCAGGGGCGGGTGCAGCAGCAGGGGCTGGGGCAGGGGAGGCTGCTGCCGCAGCTGGTGCTGCTGGTGCTGGTGGTGGTGCTAAGGTCCGGCGGCTATCCAAGCGAGACGCCAACGCCTTCGTGAAGGCAGTGAGGCGGTACGGAGGCGCAGAGCGAGTCGCACAAATGACAGCGGAGGCCGGTGGAGCAATGGAAGCAGCGAGCGAAGCAGAGCGGCGGTCCCTCCACTCCCTACTCATGCAGGCCTGCAAAGACACCGTCAGAGCCGTCGCCGCCGCAGAGGAAGACGACCCAATGGGAGCAGCCGGAGCAGCAGCAGCAGGGGCGGCAGCAGCAGCAAAAATCCCTCTACTGGATTTCTTCGGTGTGGCAGTTAAAGCCCCGGAGCTCCTGCACCGGGTGAAAGAGCTCCAGTTTCTGGCGAAGCGGGTGGAGCGAGTAAGCGACCCTGTGAAGCAGTTCCGCCTGCGGTCGCATGCGCGCGTGCCCTCATGGGCTAAGACCACTTCTTGGACGCCTGTTGATGATGCGAGGCTGCTGCTAGGGGTGCACTTCCATGGGTTTGGCAACTGGGAGCAGGTTCGGCTGGATGAACGGCTGGGATTGGAGAATAAGATCGCGCCGCCGGGATCAACGGGTGGGATTGGAGGAGGTGGAGAGGGGAAGCTGCCCAGAGGGAGCCATTTGGATGCACGGGCGTCTGCTCTGCTGCGCAAGGTAGGGTGCCTGTGGAGGGAGGAGAGGGGGATACGGAGAAAGTGTGGTTGGGGTGATTGTTGGTTAAGCAAGTGTGGGTTGAGTGGGGGTTGAGTGGGAGGGTGTGAGTGCTCGTGTCAGTAGTGCGTTTCAAGCCTTCAAGGCCCATCCTTTGCACCTTTGTTCCTGAAACCCCAACCATCCCCCCACCAACTTGGTCCCTCAGGAGCTGGAGGCTGATCCTCACCACGCCAAGGCTGCAGCAGCAGCCAATGCTCTCAAGGTCAAGATCAAGGTGCGAGGAGGAGGCAAGGGCGCGTTTGCTGCTGGCTCTGCTGCTGCTTCTGGCGCTGACGAAGCCGTTGCTCTGGGTGGGGGACGGAGAGGCGGGGGTGGGAGGGAGGAGAGAGGGCGGAGAGGGCGAGGGGGGGAGAGGGAGCGGGAGAGGAGGCATGGTGGGGAGAGGGAGGGGCGGAGGCGGGGGAGGAGGGAGGAGGAGAAGGAGAAGCGGTCTCCGGAGAAGGAAAAGGAGGCTGAGGAGGCGAAGGAGGAGGGGGAGATCTCTGAAGGGGAGGACGCCGCTGCAGCAGCAGCAACAGCAGCCGCCGCCGCCGCAGCAGCAGGGGCAGCAGGCGGAGGAGGGAGCAAGGTCGGGAAGGAGGAGGAGGGGGTCGCAGGAGGAGCAGGAGCCGCAGGAGGAGTGGGTGTGGGAGAGGGTGGGGAGGGGAGGCGCGGAGTGGCGTGGTGCAAGGGGAGGCTGGCCCCTCAGGACAGTGTGCTGCAGCGGTTGAAGCGGCTGCAGACAAGGCAGGAGCTGTCACCCAAGGAGGTGACGCAGAAGGTGAAGAAGTACCTCCGACAGCTGGGCCATGAGATCGACAGCGTCATGAAGCGCGAGGCTGCTGATGCCGCCCTCCCGCGCCCCCACTTACAGAGTCAGTTCCGGGTTTTGCCTTTTCCTATTCCTTCTCCTGCTCCTTTTCCTTTTCCTCTTTCGTTTTCTTCTCCTCGTTCTTGTCTTTCTCCATCTTCTCCTTCCCCTCCCCCTTCTTCTTCTTCTCCTTCGCCGTGCACTGTCTCACCACCTGCCTCTCAATCAGGCTTGCTGCTCTCACACACTGCTGGACCAATGCATTGCATTCATATGAGCCGACTCTTCACTTTGGTTTGTTCTTGTTTTTCCTCGCTTCCTTCTCTCCACCCGCTCCCCACCTATGCCCCCCTCCTTCACCTCTTGTCAGAGATCTCTGAGGACTTGTGGGAGTACGTGGCTCCGCACTCGCACCTGTCCGGCAACCGACAGTCTTCCCACCTCTGCTCCTCACCTCCGCTCCCCATCTCTGTCCCTCCCCTCCACCTCCCCGCAGGGATCTCTGAGGACCTGTGGGACTACGTGGCTCTGCACTCACACCTGTCTGGCACGCGATTCGCCGACACCTACTGACCAACTTCCGAACTCTGCTCGCCATCTCTTCTCCCCCAATCTGCCACTTGTGTGCAGGGATCTCTGAGGACTTGTGGGAGTACGTGGCTCTGCACTCGCACCTGTCCGGCATCCGCCAGTCTTCCCACCTCTGCTCCTCACCTCCGCTCCCCATCTCTGTCCCTCCCCTCCACTTCCCTGCAGAGATCTCTGAGGACTTGTGGGACTACGTGGCTCTGCACTCACACCTGTCCGGCACGCGATTGGCCGACATTTACCGCAAGCTGAGGGACGACCGTGGGAGCGATGGGAAGGAAGGTGGGGAGAAGGACCGAGAACGCGAGCGGGAACGGGAGAAGGAGAGGGATAGAGAGAGAGGAAGGGATAGGGATAGGGATAAGGATAGGGATAGGGAGAGGGATAGGGAGAGGGAGAGGGAGAGGGAGAGGGAGAGGGAGAAGGATAAGGAAAGGGGCACTGAAAAGGATAGGGACAAGGACAGGGAGCGGAGCAGAGAGAGAAAATGGAGGGAGGAGAGGGGGAGAGGAGACGAGCGGTCAAAGGAGCAGGATGAGAAACACAGGAATGAGAGGCACAGAGACGAGAAGAACAGAGATGATAGGCACCGGCAGGAGGAGCATAGAACACACAGAGAGCACAGGGAGCATAGGGACCACAGGGAACATAGGGAGCACAGAGAGCATAGGGAGCACAGGGAGCATAGGGAGCATAGGGAGCATGGGAAGGGTGTGAAAGGAGAAGCAAGGGGTTGGGAGAGAGGTGAAGCTGAGAGGCCGCGTGACAGAGGGAGAGACAGGCGTGGTTCTTCCGAGCCTAGGAGTGCCCAAATGACTCCCGACCCTGGCGCTACCGTACCACCTGCTCCGGAAGCCAGGCTGCACCGTACTTCCGAACCTGGCCGCGAGGCTCGGGATCCGGCGCAACGAGACGCGATGGATGGTTCGGGAGGCCGGTCGTTTAAGGTTCGGGAAGTGGGGAGGTGGGAGAGGGAGAGGGAGAGAGGGCGGGAACGAGAGGGGGAGATAGGGAGGGAAGGGGAGCGGGATAGAGAGAAAGGGAGAGGGAGGGAGTGGAGAGAAGGAGGAGAAGGAGGAGGAGGGGGTGCGGCGTGGACGGCAGAGAGGCGGAGATCAGACGGACGAGATCCAGACCGGCCTTCTGGTGGTGGTTGGGGGAGAGCGGAGGGGGGAGACGGCGGATCTGGGAAGAGTGCAGAGAGGGGAGGGGAGAGGGGAGGGGAGAGGGGAGGGGAGAGGGGGGAGGAGAGGAGCGAGGCATGGAAACGCAGGTGGAGAGATGGGGAGGGGCCTACTTCCTCCTCTGCCCCTGTGTCCGGTGCAAGCAGCCCTCACAGAATGGGCAATGGGCAGGTGAGGGAGGGAGGAGGGGAGGGGGGAGAGGATGCAGGCAACGGCAACGGGCGCATGGAGAGCAGAGCTGAGGGCTCTGGGGCAGGAGGGGAGCGCGGGAGAAATGCCAGAGATTCCAGAGATACGAGAGAGGGCAGAGATTCCAGAGATACGAGAGAGGGCAGAGATTCCAGAGATACGAGAGATATCCCTTCAGGTGCTCCCAGGGACGTATCCAGAGAATTTCCCAGAGACTCCCCCAGAGATTTTCGAGATGCCCGAGATGCCCGAGATGCATCAAGAGAGGCTCCTCGTGATGCCCGCCCCCCTCGCCCTCCGCCTCCCCCCGCTCCGTCTGACGCCCGTGCGTCGAGAATGGTGGCTGGTGCTGTTGTGGGCCGGGGCGAGGATGGGGAGGTGGCGAAAGGGGCGGTGCAGGGTGCTGGTGCGGGTAAGTGGGGGGGTGGAGGAGGGGACAGGGAGATGGAGGCGGGGGAGGCGGGGGAGGCAGGGGAGGCAGGGGAGTTGGGGGCGGTGGCAGAGGAGGGCATGGTGCAGGAGTGAATGAATGAGGGATTGGGAGGTCAAGGAATGACAGGAAAGGGATCAGTCACAAGGAGTGGCAGGGGTCAGACATTCAGACTCCAGTAGGGTAGTTGTGAGAACTAACTCTGCTACCTCGTGGGAGAATGATAGGTGGCCTGGGTGGCTCTTGCCGCTCGGCTCTTGTCGAAGTGATGCTGCTGTAGAAAGGGGGAACACTGCTGGTTATGTCTTGTCGTTTATTCAGAGATCTAGTGGAAAATGTACCAGGAGGTGATATCCTTTGTTGCATCATATTGGAACGAGGAATTTTGGTGCAAGTTAGGGCCATCCGCTGTACCCGTTTAGTCCACTTCAACCATCCAAACACCACCACCTAGGATGCGTTCGAACAGCTGGCAAGCAACCACAGGTAAATTGTCAGGAAGGTTGAGACACGCGCCCACCAAACACTTCGTATCATTTAGTTGCTGTCCAAATGTCGCGCTTTCACCGAATGTGCTCGCCGGTCGGGGTCGCGCCCGACTGTAACCCGAGTGGGGGCCGAACCTTGGAATTGTCGCACGCCTGTGAGACCCTCGGCCTGCCACATAGATGACTCGTCCACTCCAAGCTGAGAGTCCGCAGCGGTACCACCTCGTAAGAAGTGGTGACGTGGCGGTTAGAGAAGGGGGCACCGCGTGAGGCGGGAAACCGAGCAGCGAAAACCCCCCGCTCCCAGCGGTGGAGGGATAGCGAGGCTGAGTGCGCGGCCGAGGTTTCCCTCGCAGGCTCGGGCCACGAGACCATTCCATCACCCTTTTTGCCTTCCTCGCAGAATTTAATCGAAATTAGTCGGCTTTCCTTTCCCCTGCCATTTTTTTTTTGTCCGATGCGTTGCTCAGCAATTGCGCGACATTAGGTTTCCCGGTCGTGCGTCGTCATCATCAGCAACGCCCGCACTCGCGTTTCCCTCCCGGTGCACCTTGTAGTCACGCGGTCTGCTCGTTGCCACCGGTGTTATGCATTAGAGCGGCCGCGCCGTAGAGTCTGCCTAACGGACGCGCCCAATGCTCGCCCGCGCCGCAGCAATAAGCGGCCTTCCCCTGATCTCCGCCTCCCGTGCGCGCATTACGCTTTTCCGCGCGCCGATGAACGAATTCATGCGCTTTGCGCACGTTGGCGCTGTCAGTGGCGGGCCGGCAGGAGGCGATTGGCCGGCAGGGATTCGCGAACGTGCAATGGATGGTGAAGCATCAGAGACTGTACCGCCGTCCGGCACAAGAGTTTACAGCAGGCGCGCACGGGGGGAGAGAAAGCCGGCAATAATTGTGCAGTACGAAGAGGACTGTAAAGAAGATGACAGTAACGGAAACGGGCAAGAGGCAATGCAGGCCTCGAGGCGCAGGTCTGCAAGGCAGCGAACGGGTGTGACTGTAAAGAGGGAAACGGACGAAGTGGTTGCGAAGGGGGAGTTAGAGGAGGTGATTGTAACGCAACAAGCAGGCGCTGTGGTTGTGAAGCGAGAGTCTGATGATGGGACTGCAACGAGCGGCGGTGGTGTGATTGTAACGAGAGGCGGTGAAGGGGGTGAGTTGACTGTAAAGAAGGAGGCGGAGGATGTGATTGTGAAGAGAGAGGATCTGGGCGACATGGCAGGCAGAGAAGCACGTGGACCCGAGGCTGATGGAATGGCTGTAGCCGGGGCGGAAGGCATGGCTTTAACCAAAGCTGAAGGTTTGGCTTTGACCGAGGCTGATGGCATGGCTGTTGCCAAGACTGATGGAACGGCAGTAGCCGAGACTCAAGGAATGGCTGTAACCGAGGCTGCTTGGGGTGGTGGCAGGGGCAGGAGGAAACGAAGACAACCAGCAGGGAGAGACGCAGATAGCAGAGCTGGGGATGAAATAGTTGTCGCCGGGCAGCCGAAAAGATTCTCCGGTGGGCAGGCAAAAAGGGCGGGAGTGGGGAGGTGGCAGGAGGTGGTGGGTGCGATCAAGGAGATGCGGAGTGGGGGAGACGCGCCTGTTGATACCATGGGGTGTGAGAAGGCAGGGCAGGGCATGGGGGAGAAGGTGGGTCAAGGCACCGGGGATGTGGGAGAAGGTGGGAGTTACTCAAATAACTTCTTATTTGTTATAAGAACAGGGAATTTAAGAAGAGGGAAAATTGCACCTGGGAAATAGTTGTCGCAGAGGAATGGTTCTCACTCTCTCTTTGCATCGCTCTCACATCCTTTTCCCACCCTCCCCTCTCCTCCCTCCCCTTGCTTCCTCCTCCCTCGTCCCCTTACACTCTCGCCCTCGCCTTTCTCTCCTATCCCATCGCCCGTCTCTCCTCTTCCCCCGCTCCTGCGAGCAGCAGCGGCGCTTTGCAGTGCTGGTGTCGGCGATGCTCTCCTCGCAGACCAAGGATCCTGTCACTCACGGTGCGTGCAGCAAGGGTACTGCAGGGGCGTGTGCTGCACTGTGGTAATAATGCACCCATGCATGCATGAGAGCATGGTGCCATGCATGCGTGCATGAGAGCATGGTGCCATGCATGGTGCCATGCACCCCTGTTGCTGTCGGCGATGCTCTCCTCGCAGACCAAGGACCCTGTCACCCACGGTGCGTGCAGCACCCATTGCATGCGCCTGTCACCCACGGTGCGTGCAGCAAGAACTGAAATGTTGCTGGTCAAGCGCGGTGCCTCACTGTGCCACACGCGCCACGTTGGAACATTGCTGCTCAAGCATGGTGCATCACCCATGGACGTGACTGTCACCCATCTTCATGACATGACATGACATGACATGACATGTGCCTTGCCATGGGAGCTCCTTCACCACTCCCACTTTCCTTCTGTTTGCCATGTAGCGTCCCTTTGTCCCTCTCTCATCCCTCCAGCACCTCCGTTTCTTTCCAATCCGAATTCCTCCTTCCCCTCCTCCCCTCTCCCCTCCCAACCACCACCAGGCACAGTGGCACGGCTGCACGCAGCAGGGCTGCTGTCAGCAGTGCTGAGTCGACTCAACATATTGTTCTTGTTCTCCCAACCACCACTCCACCTCCAGGCGCAGTGGCACAGCTGCACGCAGCAGGGCTGCTGTCGCCTGAAGCACTGAAGGCAGCAGAGGAAACTACCGTCAGCCAAACCATCTATCCGGTATGTCTCGTTGAAACCACTTATGGTGTATGACTTGGCCAAGCATGCTCCATGCGTGACAGCTCTCTCTTACCCTCCCCACTCCCTCTCTTCCCATCCCCACTCCCTCTCTTCCCATCCCCACTCCCTCTCTTCCCATCCCCACTCCCTCTCTTCCTATCCCCACTCCCTCTCTTTCCATCCCCACTCCCTCTCTTCCCATCCCCACTCCCTCTCTTCCCATCCCCACTCCCTCTCTTCCCATCCCCACTCCCTCTCTTCCCATCCCCACTCCCTCTCTTCCCATCCCCACTCCCTCTCTTCCCATCCCCACTCCCTCTCCATTCCCCTTACCCTATATCCATCATCCCCGCTCTCTCCCTCTCTGCCCTCGCAGAATCGCCTGTGTTTTCCTCATCCCTTCCCTCATCGCCTTTTTCTACCTTTGACTGCGCTTACACTCACAAGCATCCCTCCTCACCCTTCCTCACCCCTCCTCACCCCTGCCCACCCTCACCCACACATTATGAAGGTGGGCTTTTATGTGCGCAAGGCGGGGTACCTGAAGAAAATGGCCAATATCTGCCTGGAGAAGCACGGGGGAGACATCCCGGGCAGCCTGGAAGATTTGCTTGCGCTGCCCGGCGTCGGGCCTAAGATGGCCTACTTGGTACGTGCGAGTGGTGAGGTGAAAGATGGGGAGGTTGGGGAAATGCGGGAGGGAGAGCGAGGTGATGCCCCATGCCTCATGCCCCATGCCCCATGCCCCATGCCTCATGCCCCATGCCCCATGCCCCATGCCCCATGCCCCATGCTCCATGCCTCATGCCCCATGCCCCATGCCTCATGCCCCATGCCCCATGCCCCATGCCCCATGCCTCATGCCCCATGCCCCATGCCCCACGCCCCATGCCCCATGCCCTGTCGCACAGATGATGAAAGTGGCATGGGAGCGAGTGGAGGGCATCTCTGTGGATACTCACTCACAGAATTTATTCTCTGCACATCCAGTTACCCATGCGCCCACATGTTCCATGCCCCACCATACCCCATGTTCCTTGCGTCATGCCCTGTGCGTGTGCGCCACAGGTGATGAACGTGGCATGGGAGCGAGTGGAGGGCATATGTGTGGACACTCACGTGCACAGGATAGCTCGGCGCCTGGGGTGGACGGACGCCAAGGTACGCACATGCCCGCGTGCCTCAATGCCTTATGCGCCCATGAGCCCATATGTCCATGTGATGTGGAGGGCATAAATGTGTGGAGGGCATAAATGTGCGGAGTGGACACTCATGTGTACAGCATAGCGCGGCACCTGGGGTGGACGGATGCCAAGGTACGCTTGCATGCAGTGCATCCAATCACCCATGCGCTCATGCGCTCATGCGCTCATGCGCTCATGCGCTCATGCGCTCATGCGCTCATGCGCTCATGCGCTCATGCGCTCATGCGCTCATGCGCTCATGCGCTCATGCGCTCATGCGCTCATGCGCTCATGCGCTCATGCGCTCATGCGCTCATGCGCTCATGCGCTCATGCGCTCATGCGCTCATGCGCTCATGCGCTCATGCGCTCATGCGCTCATGCGCTCATGCGCTCATGCGCTCATGCGCTCATGCGCTCATGCGCTCATGCGCTCATGCGCTCATGCGCTCATGCGCTCATGCGCTCATGCGCTCATGCGCTCATGCGCTCATGCGCTCATGCGCTCATGCGCTCATGCGCTCATGCGCTCATGCGCTCATGCGCTCATGCGCTCATGCGCTCATGCGCTCATGCGCTCATGCGCTCATGCGCTCATGCGCTCATGCGCTCATGCGCTCATGCGCTCATGCGCTCATGCGCTCATGCGCTCATGCGCTCATGCGCTCATGCGCTCATGCGCTCCTGTGCTCATGCGCTCATGCGCTCATGCGCTCCTGTGCTCCTGTGCTCCTGTGCTCATTTGCTCACGTGCTCCTGCATCCATGTGTCGTGTGCTACCACTGCCCCCATGTGCGCCCTGTCACTTCCTCGTCTGACTTCCCCAGGCAAAGACACCAGAGGACACGCGGCGAGCGCTTGAGCAGCTGCTACCCAAGGACGAGTGGATGGGCATCAACCCGCTCCTAGTGGGCTTCGGCCAAACCACCTGCCTGCCCATCGGCCCCCGCTGCTCCTCCTGCCTCCTCGCTTCCCTCTCGCTCTGCCCCTCTGCCTCTCTCTCTCGCCTCCCGGCCCCTCGTCCTCGTCCTCCTCCTCCTCCTCCTCCTCCTCTCCCTCTCCCTCCAAGCACAACCGCACCAGAGACGTCGACACCCGATGCCCTGTCGCATCTCACCACCGGACCCAATGCGGACCCACTGTATCATGGAGCGCCCACACCGAATGGGCCTGAAAGCTCTCTTGTCCTTGCCGTTTCTGTTTTCGAGGCGACTGAAAAGCATCTCACCACCGCACCCGCTGCAGACCCACAGTATCATGGAGTGCCCACACCGAATGGGCCTGAAACCACCCTCGTTCTTGCCGTTTCTGCCCCTTCTGCGGTCTCCCCCTCTGATTCCTGGGACCGTTTCAAGCACAGTGGGCCTGGTAAGCATGGTGATGCCTCAAGGGAAGACGGTGAAAATGGTGGAGAGGGTGGTGATGCCACAAGGAGAGACGGTGAAAATGGTGGAGAGGGTGGGGAGAGCGGAGAATGCAGAAAGAGCAGAGAGGGTGGAGAGGAAGCAGAGGAAGCAGCGCCAGCAGGGGCAGAGGCAGGCCCCAGGCGCAGCCCTCGCTTTTCCAGAGGCCGAAAAGCTGTCTTGTGAGTGGTGCAAAGTGGTGGGGACATTTAGTGGGGGGGGAGGTTCGGAAGCCAGATTTGGGTGTTCATGATAGTGAGGCAAGCTGTACTGCTCATAAATAGTGAAGTGAGGTGCAAACATACAATGGGGCAAGCTATGTACACGGTCTGATGGGGTACAAGCGAGCTACCTGCTGCGCACAGCAGGCACTCCTGACACTACATGCATCTACTCCTGGTCCTGTAACTGTAATGGTAGCTGTAACTGTAATGGTAGCTGTAACTGTAATGGTAGCTGTAACTGTAATGGTAGCTGTAACGGTAATGGTAACACACACTGACACGCATCTGTTCTCCTGGCTGCCTAATTCGGCGGTGCTTGCAGCCCTGCCAACAGGTCGTCCTCCTCTCTTCGATACAGTCACCTCTCGCTGCAAGCACCCCCCCTCTTTCCAGCTGCAGCTCCTTCGTTGTAACCACATCCTCCTCTGTTGCTCCACGATTCTTCTTCCCCCATCACTCTCCCATGCCTTATCACTCGCGCCAGTACTCTCCTCCATGACTTGTCTACTACACTGTTCTATTCTCTTCTCTTCTCTCTACACCACGCTTGCCAGAACATCCTCTGTAGCTTCCTCCCCATCCGCACCAGCACTCCCCACCGCACCAGCACCATTCAAAGCACCAGCACCACCAGCAGCGCCACCAGAAGCACCAGCAACAGCAGCAGCGCCCTGGCGGCCGGCAAAGGCAGAGAAGCGGCAGTCAGGCGCGGTAATACCAGACGACACATAGTCCTCCACGCTGCCGTCCAGGAAGCCCCGCCCCTCCTCCTGGTCCGCGGCGATGGGGTGGTGCAGCAGCGCCGACAGGTGCGTGTAGCGCAGCGCCCTGCTCTGCTGCTCGGGGGTATCACGGAAGGTCTGACCCAACACCCCGTGCACCGCAGGGGTGGTCTGTGCGGTTGGTGGTGGGCGGGGGGAGAGGGGAAGGGGAGGAGAGGACAAGGGGAAAGGGAGATGGAGAGTTGAGGCCAAGGGGGAGTGCGGGCAGTGAGTCACAGGGGTTAATGCAAGGCAGATGCAGTCTGTGGGCATGTCAGCTCACCACAATGTCAGTAAGAGCAATGTTGAAGTGAGCTTCCGCCTCCTCAGGAGTCTGCAGCAGGGGGTGCGCCACGCGCATGCGCACGTCCAGCTCGCCCACACCCTCCAGGGACACCGTGTAGCGATCCACGTCAAACGGCCCCTCCCGCCCCTCCGCCACCTTGGTCACCACCACTCCCCCCTCCGCCTCCACTGCTTCTTCCATGAGGCGAGGTGGTGCCACGTCAGCGCTGTCCACCTGCATGAGAGCGAGGAAGCCGTTGGCCCCCCTGTCCTGCTGGTTGCCTGTGCGCGCCACCATGCGCAGCGAGTGCTGCTTGCCGCCAGATGACACCCACACCACTCCCACCTCCCTGTGGCCACGCAGCACACAGGAGAAGAACAGGAGGAGCATGGGGACGGTGAAATTAGGGAACGGAAAAGCCAGAGGAAATGAGAAAAGCAAACAATCTCATGAGAAAGAAATACCGCAGGGAAGTCACAGCAGGAAGCAATGAGAGGAGAAAGAAAAAGAGGAGAACGATAAAGAGAAGCAGAAGCACCAGAGGCGCCATGAACACCATACTTGATCCAGGTGTGCAGGCCAGTGTTAGGCGCAACAGCAGCAGCAGAAGCAGCACCAGCCACAGCAGGAGGCATGCCCTGGTACCCATCGAGCAGCATGTTGATATGCACGCGCTCGTCCGACAGCAGGCAGAACGCCTTGTTCAGCCGCCCAGTGAAGTCAAAGTGCGTCCCGTGCGCGCCCGTCAGGTGCGGGTCGTTTTCCACTGTCGCCTTGCCGTTGCACAGCCCGCCCACCCAGCTCAGCGGGAAGTACGGCGCCATGGCCGCCTGCTCCTTCCTGTCGCCCGCGTACGGGTGCGAGAGGCCGCCTGACATGCCCGTGCCCGCGTTTTTCTGCAGCAGGTAGCACTGCACGCCGTCGCGGAAGTTCTTCACGTTCGCGTTGTCCTCGATACGAGGGCTCACGAAAAAGTGGTACTCGTAACAGTCCATGGATTTCGCGCACGCCGCGCAGCACTTGGCGAGGGTGTTGCCCTTGGTGCTGGTTACCACCTCGACAAAATTTCCCACCTCCTGGAAGATCTCGAGGTTCAGGGGGCCGGATCCGGGCTTCTGGGGTTTCACCTTTCCGCCCTGGCTGTTGAACATGCCCTTGAAGTAGCCAATCAGCGAGTATTTGCGGAAATTCTGCTCCGTGATGTTGTATTTCTCGAGATTGACGAGCTTCTGGCACACCTTGGTGACGTGGCACCCACCAGGCGGGACATTGCACGCCGTGGCGGCAACGGCGAGAAAAGAGAGGATGGCGAAAAGGATAGCAGCACGAGCCATGGTGAGTACCAGCGAACAGGGGAGAAACCTAATGTCGATGGGAGAGCTACGGTATGTGGAATATGAAGAATCGGATTCGAATGTGACTCACGTGCTGCTGGTGTATGTGAGAAATAGCTCGGCGGAAACGGAAATGCGGATGGATGATGGGTCTGGTGAATCGAGTTGGGAGGAGGATGGGGCGAGATTTGCAGTGTGATTGTCTTCAGCGAATTCGAACGAATTTGTAGTCCCTCGTTGCGGCTCGGCGAACGCAGGTTGCGAAGCGGTCTGCGCGGTTGACGAATCCGATGGACCTTTCGCCGAACTGAAAGGATGCTTGCGGAGCGAGCCGCGACCGACACATCTGTTGAATGAAATGTCAGCTGACCACATAACTCAATTTGTCGAAATCGATGGGTTTATACTAGTGTATGATAGCTCTACAAGCAGGAAATTGTAAAGCATTATCGAGCATATTTATGGCGAGTATGACAGAGAGTTCACACAACCAACTTCGAGGGGCAAAGGCCAAACACCCAAACTTTCAAAAGTTCTGCGCAAAGCGAACCTCGAAAGTCAGAAGCACGCACCTTAGAAGTTGCCTCACATGCTCAGAAGCTCAGGAGAAGTAGGTTCTTCATCTCGGCTCTTTCTAGAAGAACAGACGGACGTCTTCATTGTTCATTAGTTCGGATCGGACGCCGTCGAACCTCACGGTTTAGCCTTGGTTTTTCCGGCTGGTCTTTAAGGCATTTATTCGAATCGCGCGAGGCTGTCCTGTCGTTTCGTTGCGGATCGCGAGCCATGAACGCGGCGCGGGGAGGCGGAGCGGGGGACGGGTCGCGCGATGCGTCGAAGAAGTCGAGCAAGCGCTCCACCGGCAGCCGGCGGAGTGGCGCGAGCAAGGGTGGATCGAGGTGATTGGGCGATTTCTTAGATAGACAATGACGTGATTCCGACCGAGGTATAGGTGATCGTTCTGATTCCCACGGGCGATCCAGGTAATGCGCACGTAGATCTCGAAGTTTATTTTATATGCCTACAGTCGATCAAAGGCTAAAGATCTTCTGGCGTATCATCATCGCCTTGGCTCATCATCGGGTTGGACTCCCCCGCCCTTTTTACGGTCCGCCTTGTCCACACTCGATCCTTCCACTCATTCCCTTCTTGCTCGGGTTGGACTCACCTCTCCATTCTCTCTTTCCTTTCCTTGACAGCGTACCTTGCCTTTCTCCTCCCTCCCTCCGCTCAGCGGCGCAGCAGCGGGTGAGCGAGCAGTGCGGCGCCTGAGGCTGTCAAAGGCGCTAACGCTGCCCGACACCACGACAGTGGCGGACGCGTGTCGACGAATGGCCAACCGCCGCGTGGACGCGTGCCTGCTCACCGACTCCAGCGCGCTGCTCTGTGGCATCATGACAGATCGGGTGGGTCAGGCAGTCCTATAGCGAGTACAGGCAATCTTCGTGGCGTCATAACGGATCGCGTCACTCTTATAGCGATTACAGTGGTGTCTTGCTGAATATGTCTTTTCTATTTAGTACCCCTCTCCTCTTCTCTCCTTCTCTCCTTCTCCTCTTCTTTTCCTCTCTTTACTCCTCTCTTCTCCCTCGCTCACTCTGCTCTGTTTGCAGGATCTAGCATTGAAGTGTGTGGGCGAGGGGTTGGTTGGATGTGAACAGCACGTTGGCGTCAGCTGTGATGACCAAGAACCCCGCTTTCCTCCTCCCTCACTGATCTGTGTTTGTGTGCGTAAAGGCTGCTATGGGTTGCAGGACCCGGCATTGAAGTGCGTGGGCGAGGGGGTTGATGTGATCAGCACCGTCAGCCATGTGGACTGGATGAGCTGCAGTCGGGAAGTCACTTTTAGCAGAAGAAAGACTGCAGCTCATCCAGTCCACATGGCTGACGGCATTGAAGTGCGTGGGCGAGGGGGTGGATGTGAACAGCACACTGGCGTCGTCGTTGATGACCGAGAACTTCACCTTCCCCCCACCCTCACTGATCTGTGTGTGCGTCTGTGTGGGTGCTCTTTCTGGGTTGCAGGACCTGGCGCTGAAGTGTGTGGGCGAGGGCCTGGATGTGAATAGCACGTTGGCGTCAGCAGTGATGACCAAGAACCACACCTTCGTCACCATTGACTCGTTCTCCCCCAACCCCGCCCTCCCTCTCCCTCTGCTCCGGTTGCTTGCAGGACTTGGCATTGAAGTGTGTGGGCGAGGGGTTGGACGTGAACAGCACGCTGGCGTCGGCAGTGATGACCAAGAACCACACCTTCGTCACCATTGACTCGTTCTCCCCCAACCCCGCCCTCCCTCTCCCTCTGCTCCGGTTGCTTGCAGGACTTGGCATTGAAGTGTGTGGGCGAGGGGTTGGACGTGAACAGCACGCTGGCGTCGGCAGTGATGACCAAGAACCACACCTTCGTCACCATTGACTCGTTCTCCCCCAACCCCGCCCTCCCTCTCCCTCTGCTCCGGTTGCTTGCAGGACTTGGCGCTGAAGTGTGTGGGCGAGGGGTTGGATGTGAACAGCACGCTGGCGTCGGCAGTGATGACCAAGAACCACACCTTCGTCACCATTGACTCGTTCTCCCCCAACCCCGCCCTCCCTCTCCCTCTGCTCCGGTTGCTTGCAGGACTTGGCATTGAAGTGTGTGGGCGAGGGGTTGGACGTGAACAGCACGCTGGCGTCAGCAGTGATGACCAAGAACCCCACCTTCGTCACCATTGACTCGTCTGCTGTGGACGCACTGCAACGCATGGTGCAGGGTGAGATGTAACGCACGTGGTGCAGGGTGAGATGAGATGAAACGCATGGTGCAGGGTGTGAGAGGTAACGCATGTTACAGGGTGAGATGTAACGCATGATGCAGGGTGAGATGTAACGCATGGTGCAGGGTGAGATCGCATGTTGTAACGCACAGCAACTATTGCATCGCATACCCTCCAGAAGTAACCCAGATTCTGAATATCGCGTGCCTTTGCCCGTCCGTCCTCCTTCTTAACTGCACCACCAGGGAGGTTCCGGCATCTGCCGGTGATAGAGGAGGGCGAGGTGGTGGCGCTACTGGACATCACGCGGTGTCTGTATGACGCCATTGCCAAGATGGAGCGCGCTGCAGAGAGGGGCGACGCGCTCGCTGCTGCCATGGAAGGCGTGGAGCGCCAGTGGGGGGGCAACGCCGGTGGGTCATGGAGGCAGAGGAGGGTGGATTATTGGGCCAACTCGGGTGGGAGGTAGAGACTCTATAGAGATAAAATAAAAACGTGTTTTTGATGAGTGTATCTTTCTAAGCCACATTCCGCTCGCCCAAGCTCTTCTCTTGTCAACTCCTCTCAGAAGTTTCACAAGCCAACTTCCCTCCTCTGCTCCTTGTCTCTGACGATGCACGATTTCAATCTCTCTTCCTCTGCTCCCTCCCCCCTTCCCCTCCGCCCCCCTTGCAAGCAGCCATGGGCTTCGTGGAGACGTTTCGGGACAAGGTGTTCCGGCCCACACTTGCAACAGTGCTTGGTGAAGAACCCAGGTGCGCCCTTCCCTTCACCTCACCCGCTTGTGATGCCATTCCCACGACGTGAGTCTTGGGTCAACTGGAAAGACAAGGTGTTCCGACCCACACTTGCCACTGTGCTTGGCGAAAAACCCAGGTGAGCGCACCCCACCTCCCCTGCTTGTGATGCCATTTCCGCGAGGTGACTCTTGGGTCAACTGGAAAGACAAGGTGTTCCGGCCCACACTCGCGACAGTGCTGGGGGAAGAACCCAGGTGGGTGGCTTGTGCTTGGCAAAGCCCCTTTGCCCTTCACTCTCTCCCTCACTCACTCACTCCCTCACTCACTCGCTCAGTCACGCGCTCACGCACCCACTCATTGTCCCATTCCATGCATGCCTGGCAGGCTGGCCACAGTACTGAAGACGGACCTAGTGTGCACAGCAGCGAGGAGGATGAGGGAGAGCCGAGTGAGCTTACTCTGCCCCTCACTCACTGGCTGTGCAACACATGCAGTCACTGCGCCCCTCACCACACTCACTGTCCCATGCATGCCTGGCAGGCTGGCCACGGTGCTGAAGACGGACCTGGTGCGCACAGCAGCGAGGAGGATGACGGAGAGCCGAGTGAGCTCGCTGTGCCCCTCCCTCGCTGCCCCACATCCGGTCACTCATTGTCCCCCAATGCCTGGCAGGCTGGCTACAGTACTGAAGACGGACCTAGTACGCACGGCAGCGAGGAGGATGAGGGAGAGCCGAGTGAGCTCAGTGATTGTCACCAACGGCGCCACCAACCGCCCCTGCGGCATCCTCACGTGCGTCCTTGGGGGGCGTTGTGGGCCATTGTGGGAAGTTTTCGCCTTCACTGCTGAGTTCTGGGTCGATTATAAGATTGGCTCAGTGATTGTCACCAACGGCGTCGCCAACCGCCCCTGCCGCATCCTCACGTGCGTCCTTCGGGATCCGCTGCCTTTTCTAGCTGATGCTGTGTGGACGTTTCTTTTGCCCCTCCCACTGCCCCTCCCTTATGTCCCTCGCCCATGCCCCTCGCCCATGCGCCTCCCCCATGCCCCTCCTCACACGCCTCTCTCTCACCCCCATACACTTCCCGTACCCTCACGCGCATCAGCTCCAAGGGCGCTCGCACTTGAGTACTCGCACATCAGCTGCATTGAGGTGGTTTTTGAGGCGCCTCAAGAACCACCTCAATGCACGCGGATTTCATACGGAGAGGATTATTACACTTGAGTACTCGCACATCAGCTGCATCCTTGTCGAGTTTTGAGTCGACTCAAAACTCGACTCATTACACTTGAGTACTACTCGCACATCAGTTGCATCCTTGTATTGTATACCTCTCGCCCGCGTGCCTCCTTCCATGCGCTCCCCCATGCCTCTTTTCCCCCACACACCCTTCAGATCCAAGGACATTCTCACACGAGTGCTCGCTCTTAACCTGCACCCAGACACCACGCTCGTTGACAAGGCAAGCACCTGGCGGGAACGGGAACGGGAAGGGGCGAAGGCGGGAAGGGATGAGCGGGGCTTGCAAAGTTACGGTTTTCATTGCGTTGGACTTGGTTCGTTGCATCTATCGTCTTCTAGCATCCCCTGATTTCATTGCGGGGCGGGGTGTAACCCCACAATGCGCGATGTTTTGAGGCGCCTCAAAGCATACCTCAAGCATCCCCTTCATTGCGGGGCGGGGTGTAACCCCACAATGCGCGATGGAGATGTTGAACACAATCCGCGTGTGTGTTCAATCCAACATCTCCATCCCCAGTAGCAGCTCCGCTCCCCCATGTTCTTGTGGCCTGGCACTGCACTGTTCCATACCTTACTGCACCCGTGTGCACCGCACTGCACTGCAGGTGATGACGCCGAATCCAGAGTGTGTGCTGCTGAGCACACCAGTGGTGGACGCCCTTCACACCATGCACGACGGCCGCTTCCTGCATCTCCCTGTGGTGGACCCAGGTGAGTGACCGACACAGGTCAGACAGACGTCCAGGCACCTCATAGCCCCTCTCTGTGGGACATAAGGAGAGCACGCCCGTGGTGGACGCCCTTCACACCATGCACGATGGCCGCTTCCTACACCTCCCTGTTGTCGACCCAGGTGAGATGTTTACCAGTTTCTTGGGTGAGACAGCCAGGTACCATAAGGCCCCTCTCTGTAAGAGGCAACACAAGGTGAGCACGCCAGTGGTGGACGCCCCTCACACCATGCATGCACGATGGCCGCTTCCTACACCTCCCTGTTGTCGACCCAGGAGAGATGTTTACCAGTTTCTCGGGTGAGACAGCCAGGTACCATAAGGCCCCTCTCTGTAAGAGGCAACACAAGGTGAGCACGCCAGTGGTGGACGCCCCTCACACCATGCACGATGGCCGCTTCCTACACCTCCCTGTTGTCGACCCAGGTGAGATGTTTACCAGTTTCTCGGGTGAGACAGCCAGGTACCATAAGGCCCCTCTCTGTAAGAGGCAACACAAGGTGAGCACGCCAGTGGTGGACGCCCCTCACACCATGCACGATGGCCGCTTCCTGCACCTCCCTGTTGTCGACCCAGGTGAGATGTTTACCAGTTTCTCGGGTGAGACAGCCAGGTACCATAAGGCCCCTCTCTGTAAGAGGCAACACAAGGTGAGCACGCCAGTGGTGGACGCCCCTCACACCATGCACGATGGCCGCTTCCTGCACCTCCCCGTTGTTGACCCAGGTGAGATGCTTTTCCGTTTCTCAGGTCAGACATTCATCCAGGCACCTCATGGTACCGCGGGAGGCAACACAAGGTGAGAACGCCAGTGGTGGACGCCCTTCACACCATCCATGCATGACCATGCATGCACGACCATCCATGCACGACGGCAGGTTCCTACACCTCCCCGTTGTCGACCCAGGTGAGTGACTGACACAGGTCGGACAGACATCCAGGCACCTCATGGCCCCTCTCTGTGGGACACAACACAAGGTGAGCACGCCCGTGGTGGACGCCCTTCACACCATGCACGATAGCCGCTTCCTGCACCTCCCCGTGGTTGACCCAGGTGAGATGCTTTTCCGTTTCTCAGGTCGGTTGCTTAGACATGTGCCTGGCCAATGCGAGACTCGTGAAGTGGTTGGTTGCTTAGACACGTTTTCTATGTCTCAGGTCGGTTGCTTAGACACGTGCCTGGCCAGTGCGAGACTGAGAGAGCACCAACACACCATGTCATGCATGCATGCATGCATGCATGATGCTTTCCCATGTCTCAGGCCTTCTCTGTGGGACACAAGGTGAGCAATATGACGCCCGTGGTGGACGCCCTACACACCATGCATGCATGACAGTAGGTTCCCGCACCTCCCTGTTGTCGACCATTCATTCACCCCTGGTCACTAGCTTAATAGAAGCCTCCAGTCACACCATCCACCGTGTCACTCCTGCACCCCATTTTCACTTCCTCCTCACCCCACTGTCACTGCTTCAAACGTGCACTCTTGTTTCCCCTTGCTGTGTTTGCATGCATGTGCTGTGGTGGAATGTGGTGTGGTGGCATTTGGTGCGGTGCCATGGGTGGCTTGGGCACAGATGGCAACTGTGTCGCATGTGTAGATGTGCTTCAGCTCACTCAAGGCGCCATGTCCTCCGCTGCGGTGAGTCCCCTTCCACTCGTGTTGACCTTGCATCAGGAATGCCTTCCTGCTCCATACCTCTTGCTCCATACCTTTTGCTCCATACCTCTTGCTCCATACCTCTTGCTCCATACCTTTTGCTCCATACCTCTTGCTCCATACCTTTTGCTCCATACCTCTTGCTCCATACCTCTTGCTCCATACCTCTTCCTCCATACCTCTTGCTCCATACCTTTTACTCCATGCCTCTTGCTCCATTTGCTCCATACCTCTTGATCCATACCTTTTGCTCCTTGCCTCTTGCTCCACACCTCTTCCTCCGTACCTCTCGCTCCATACCTCACCCATGCCCTTTGGCCCATGCCCCATGCCGCATGCCTCATGCCGCGTTCCCCCCGTTCCATGCCTCTCGCCCCGTTCCTGTTTCCCATGCCTCGCAGGCAGCATCAGGTTCAGAGAGCGGCGACGCAATGGGCAGCTCATGCAGCGCTTCTGGGACTCTGCCCTCGCCTTAATGTCTTCCTTTGCCCCCCTGCTCGTTGCCCCATGCCCCACGCCGCATTTCCCTCGCAGGCAGCATCGGGGTCGGAGAGTGGGGGCGCCATGGGGCAGCTCATGCAGCGCTTCTGGGACTCTGCCCTCGCCTTAATGTCTTCCTTTGCCCTGCTAATTGTTGCCCCATGCCCAAACCCGCACGCCCACGTGCCGCACCCAACTCGCAGGCAGCGTCGGGGTCGGAGAGTGGTGACGCCATGGGGCAGCTCATGCAGCGCTTCTGGGACTCCGCCCTCGCCCTGCCGCCTGCTGACACCGAGGAAGACACCGCCAGGTGGGAATCAGGACAGGTGGCATTTGACGGAGGTCCGACTTGGGGGAGGTGGGCTTGGGAGATTAAGACTTGCGGGAGTTGAGACTGCGGGGAAGTGAGGCTGCTTCAATCCTTTCTGAGCGCTATGCCTGAACCGTCGTCCTGCACTCCGTTCTCCCAGTGTGTGCAGCAGTGATTAGCCGGACCTCGTGCATCCCTACAAGTCCTTGTCTCCTCTCCCCTACTTCTTGCTCCCCCGCCTTTCCCCCACCTCCACAGTGTGCGCAGCAGTGATATGTCGGACCAGGTGCGCCCATATATAAGCTTGTCGTCTCCCTCTCCACTCTCTCCCTCTCTCCCCTTCCCCCACCTCCACAGTGTGCGCAGCAGCGATATGTCGGACCAGGTGCGCCCATATATAAGCTTGTCGTCTCCCTCTCCACTCTCTCCCTCTCTCCCCTTCCCCCACCTCCACAGTGTGCGCAGCAGCGATATGTCGGACCAGGTGCGCCCATATATAAGCTTGTCGTCTCCCTCTCCACGCTCTGCCTCTCTCCCCTTCCCCCACCTCCACAGTGTGCGCAGCAGCGATATGTCGGACCAGGTGCGCCCATATATAAGCTTGTCGTCTCCCTCTCCACTCTCTCCCTCTCTCCCCTTCCCCCACCTCCACAGTGTGCGCAGCAGCGATATGTCGGACCAGGTGCGCCCATATATAAGCTTGTCGTCTCCCTCTCCACTCTCTCCCTCTCTCCCCTTCCCCCACCTCCACAGTGTGCGCAGCAGCGATATGTCGGACCAGGTGCGCCCATATATAAGCTTGTCGTCTCCCTCTCCACTCTCTCCCTCTCTCCCCTTCCCCCACCTCCACAGTGTGCGCAGCAGTGATATGTCGGACCAGGTGCGCCCCTCAGGCAGCAGGAGGAGAGGAGGCGGCGCAACAGCAGCAGGTGGAGCGGGGGGAGCAGGTGTTACTCCTGCTGGTGCAGTTGGCGCAGGGGCGCTGGGAGCCGGAGGAGCGATGGGAGGAGCAATTGGAGGAGCGATGGTGGGGGGGTTGGGCGAGGATCTGTTTTCGTTCAAGCTGGAGGACAGGAGGGGGCGCGTGCACCGGTTCACAGCGGGCAGTGAGAGCATGGCGGAGCTGGTGTGCGCCGTGGCGTCGAGGCTTGGAGGGGACTATGACCCCGACAACCCGCCCTCCATCCTCGTGAGTCCATCACTCTCCTCTGGTCACTTCTGGTCCAAGGACTGTCATCCCAGCAACCAACGGTCTATCCTGGTAAAGGGTTGCCACGCCCACGCCCACGCCCCCGCCCACGCCCACGCCCACGCCCCCGCCCACGCCCACGCCCCCGCCCACGCCCACGCCCACGCCCCCGCCCACGCCCACGCCCACGCCCACGCCCACGCCCACGCCCACGCCCCTCCCTGTATACTGGTTCAAGCTGGAGGACCGGAGGGGGTGCGTGCACCGGTTCACGGCGGGCAGTGAGAGCATGACGGAGCTGGTGTGCGCCGTGGCGTCGAGGCTTGGAGGGCCATCTATTTTGTTTGAGATTAGTTTTGAGAATTCTCAAAACTGATCTCGGGGGGCCATCTATCTCGGAGGGCCATCTATCTCGGAGGGCCATCTATCTCGGAGGGCCATCTATCTCGGAGGGCGACTTTTGAGTCGACTCAAAAGTCACCTCAGAACTGATCTCGGGGGGCCATCTATCTCGGAGGGCGACTTTTGAGTCGACTCAAAAGTCACCTCAGAACTGATCTCGGGGGGCCATCTATCTCGGGGGGCCATCTATCTTGTTTGAGATCTCGAAACTAATCTTGGGGGGCCATCTATCTCTGGTCGTTTGTGGCCATTCCTGGTCAAGGACTGTCATGCCAGCAACCCTGCCAATCCCCCCATGCGCCAGTACGCGGATGAAGACAATGACATGGTGGTCATCTCCACTGATGAGATTCTCCTCTCTTACATGTACCTGTTACCTTACCTAAACACCCCATCAGCATCCCCTCCATGCCCCGCATCCCCCCATGCGCCAGTACGCGGACGAGGACAATGACAGGGTGGTCATATCCACGGATGAGGACCCTCCATCTTACATGCACCAGTTACCCATTTCATTCGCGCCTTTTACCCCCATGCCCCTCCGTCCCTCCATCCCCATCAGTACGCGGATGAGGACAATGACATGGTGGTCATCTGCACTGACGAGGATCTGCATGCGGCTGTCAAGTTTGTCGAAACTTATGCTCCAGTATTTCGTTGCTCAATGCAACCCCATCACCCCATACACCTGCCCCTTCACCCCCATGTGCCAGTACGCGGACGAGGACAATGACATGGTGGTCATCTCTACAGACGAGGATCTGCACGCGGCTGTCAAGTTCGCCAAAGCTACCGGCATCAAGGTACCGTGAACTCTTTCCTAACCCACTCCTGTGTTGCTGCTGTTGCTCTGCCCCTGTTATGCTACTGCGCTGCTTCTGGTGATGTTTTGTTGGTACCCGTCACTATCCTCTTTCTTCCATGCAGCCCAGGCTGCTGCTCACCACTTCCCCTGCCTTCGCTCTCCGCCACACCTCCCCTCCCCCCCCTCCCCCCCCCTTCTTTCTGCCCCACCAGGGTTTGAAGCTCCATCTTGAATTTCACGATGATGAGGACCCGGACTCCCATTCCATGCACGGATCGCAACATGGGTCGCAACACGGGTCGCAACACGGGTCACAACGTGGATCGCTTCGCACGTCGCATCACCAGCGCACACCATCGCAAATCAACGGCTCTCGTCGCACCAACGTTTCCACCCCACCTCGCCCATCCACGCCGCGAAAATCCACCGGGCCTGCCTCTCCGGCTCGGTCCCGAGCCTATGGTGCAGGTTCGGAAGAAGGTGCGGCGGCTTCAAGTTGGGACAATGCAATGTGGGCGTACACAGTGTCGATGCTGGCGGTGACAGCGGTGGCAGCAGTGAGTGTGGGTGTGGCTGTGTACATGCACCGAAGCAAGCAGTGATTCCTTGGCAGAGTGAGTAGTCGTATCAGCAGTGAGCTTTGTAGGCAGGCAGTGCCGCAGTGAGTGTGGTTGTGATGTGTATGACGAACTGAAGCAAGCAGTGGTTCCTACCTGTGATTAGGCAGACTGTGGCTAGCGTATGTAAGCGGCAGTTGATGGGCTACGAATAGCACTACGTGATCCGATCTGAGGGGTGTTTTAGGTAGAAGTGCAAGAATGGCACAAAATATACACCGATAAGTGCAACATACCCGCCAAGCCAACCATCTGGTTGAGGTCCTTTCCCAGCAATAATTTTTTAGGAAGCACAAGCATAGAACTGGCAGCCTTCAATCCAGAACCCTGCTGGAAAGACCATCTAGAGAGGCCATCTAGAGAGGCAACAACTTGCCATCTAGAGCGGCTGCTGGAGAAGTTGCGGCTGGGCTATCCAGCAGACATGATAACATCCTTAAACCCAGCCTGATCACACGCTCTTCTTGCACAACTCTACGAGTGTCCAGTCTTCACGTCCTCTGCTCTGAATTTTCTTGTGGTTGGGAATAATTCGCCGTGCCAAGCTAAACGAGAAAAACCGCGGAAACCCCAAAACATCTCTCACGCTTCTTCCCATGGGTCCTTCCAGGTACGCCACTTTTGGGCGCAGATCGTTGTCCACGTGTTTCGTCAGGACTGGCGGAAACTCTGCGACGATCCTTGCCACGTCAGCTCGTGTGAACCCTAGAGACAGGAGGAAATCGGTCCGCGGCTCGAGGGTTTTCCCGACGCTTCGGCAAAGGATGTACGGGTGGTGTAAGAGGAGATTAAGTAGTTTATCTTCTACAAGACCTATTCCACGCAGATGCCCAGTGGCGGGAATGATCTGTTTCTCGAAATTGCATCCCAGGATTTGCGGGCATCGGGTAACCATACGTCCGACTTGCGACGGCGAGAAGGGCAGGTGGGATTGGAAGAAGAGAACGAGCGGCCGCATTTTGTCGTCGATGCTGTAGCTGACGAGCCGCGGGCAGGCGAGAATCACGCGTCGGCATTTTTCCTCGGCAATATCGAGATGCTGCAGGAGCGCGAGCAGCGGGCAGAGCTTCTCCTCGATGCTGCGCACGAGGATCCCGGGAAAATGCGCGATCGCGCGGCGGAGGTCCCGCGCGGAGAACCCCACTCCGCGGCGGATTTCGGGGACGCTGTACGCGAGGAGCTGCGGGCAGCGGCGGAGGAGCGGCGGAGGAGCGGCGGAAGGGCCTTGGCGGAGAAATGTAGGTCGTCTAAGAGAAATGCGACGACTTCCCGCTGGTTGTTGAGGGTACTCGGCTCGGCGAGGCGCGGGCAACGGGATAGGCAATGGTTGGCTTGATCGGGGGAGAGGGTGAGACTGATGAGATACGATGCGGCTTCTGCAGCTGCCATGAGCAGGCAGGCGAGGGGAGGCCGACGTGGGTCCTTCCTGGCGATAACTACGGGCTCGTTGCTGAGGATGAACTACTCGCGCCGCGACTGGCCATTATGGTTCATGATGGCAAGAGGAGTCTCGAGCAAAATGGCTTCAACATGGTAGGGGCGATTTGAGCCTACAAATGGATTTCAAGCGATATGAAGCGTTCGTGTGGCTTATTGCGTGGTTGAGAGATTTGACAGTCCGGCGTGTAACACTTAGGGATTACACCAAATTCCGAGGCTAACATGCCAGCTTCACTTCAGGGCTGTCAGAGCAGGGTTGAAGGATATCTTATAACGCACCAATTTCTGTAAACAGCACACTGCAGAAGTCCTGAAATTCCAGTTCACCCATTGATAGGCTTCCACTGGCCTAGGAGATTCGAAACCTTCTGCCCTCGTCGATGCGTACACGTCAGCTGCGATTGCTATCCTTCGGCCTGACTTGTGGCTGGCAGGTTACGGCACGAGACATTCTGACGACACTCCACGTCAGTGCCTTGACAAATCTCGAGGCTGTGCCACACTGGTGGCTCCGCTGGCACACTCTGGCTGCCAGACAATCACCCTCCATCCAATCAGCAGGGAGTTTTGGCCCAACGACCACCAACTTGTCTGCCTTCTACAAGTCCTTGCCTGATCCTTTCTGCTCGCCCCTCAGCTGTTCGTTTGTGCGGCAGAATCTGTGTTACAAAGAACACCACCTGGTGTGGACTTCCTCCTCCAATCTATCTCCTAGCTCCATTGAATTCCGTTTTTCTGGTCAGTGGAATTGACCGTCTCAGCATTCGTGCTGTGCTCTCATCCCAGTCCTTGCCTCGTCTATCCGTCGGTTTTACCTCGTCGCGTTACGACAGGTCCTTTGTCGTTCCGGCAGATATGGCACTGGTAGTCGTGGCTGCGGCTCCTGTCACCGCTTCAACTGGAGCATTGGTGCAGCGCTCCTCGAGCGGGACAAAATCGAGCACGGTTGCGTCGTCCCTGTTCCCAAGCAGCACAAGAAGCTTGAAATCAAACGCCGTTGTTTTCCGGCAACGTGAAAATGGTCAGTTGAATGCCCGACGTGAGAAACATTCGTACACCCAATGTTCGTTCGTCGTCGCCCGTACATGACGATGCACGGCGATATCGTTGACATAATCAGTAAAAATCACCGCTTCCCGTCGTCTGTCATGTCTTCCCCCTTAATACGCTCCAGCGGCTGTGAGTAAGGCCAGCAGAGTGCGGGCGGATGCAGGGGACGCAGCAGCGGCGCAGACGGCGGAGGCAGCGCAGGCGACGTCGCGGATGATGGAGGTGGACAAGGACTCTTTCTACCCCGAGCTCGAGAAAGCGGCGGCGGCGGACAAGCTCGTCGTGCTCGATATGTACACCCAGTGGTGCGTTACTGTCGCCCTCTTCAAAAGGCCGACAGTCTCGTTAGTTCAATCTCCCGCTCTTCCCGACCGTCGAACACAAAGTGAATTCTAAGCAAGCTCAATGCCATGCCCCTACAACGCGCTGTAGGTTTCAACTGAATGCTGTTCGAGCACGGCCCAACGCGTGTTTTTTCTCCTGCTCTGCCAAAATCCCGATGGCTGCACGGCAGGTGTGGGCCGTGCAAGCTGCTGGCGCCCAAGGTGGAGGCGTTGGCAGAGGAGATGCAGGACGTGGTGTTCCTCAAGCTGGACTGCAACCAGAATAACAAGGTGAGCCGTGTGACTGTGACTGGAGGGATGGAGTTCACGAAGCTGGACTTGCAACCAGAACCAGAAGGTGGGCACTGTGGATGTTCCTGTACTGAAGGGTGTAAGACGTGGTGCTTGTTAATTTGCAAATGGAGGGGTGAGATTGTCCTGGTACTAGTTAATAAGAAGGTTCAGAATTGAAGGTTGAAGTTTTATACCAGCAGGTTAAGCTCAATGGGGTTCTGACCTTGTATGCAAGAAAGACGCAGCTACGTTCCCGGTTACTTATGCCAGATGAACCCAGAGCCGCCGCTATCTGTACAGGCACCTGAGTCCGCCTGTTATGCACATTAATTTGCACGACCAACTTAACAAAAGCACAGGACCCTGCTTACAGACTCTTTTCATGGTTCTGACCCTTCAATCGTGGCTCTGACGGCTTTAGGTGTCGTCCTGATCACATGCCATGTATATTTCTATCCGCTTGTCTTGCGTGAGCAGCCTCTGGCGAAGGGCCTTGGAGTGCGGTCGGTGCCGACGTTCAAGCTCTTCCGCAACCTGGCGCAGATTGACGAGGTGCAAGGCGCCAAATACGACCTGCTGCTTGAGAAGATCACCAAGCACCGATGATGCTTGCGATGCTGCTGATTGTTCGGTGATGGTGATGGTATATTTGGCGATGGTGGTGATGATGTCTGTTTGGGGATGTAAATTGGTTTTGAATAGTGGAGCTCTTTACAAGATCTGCAAAACAAATTAAGCTAGAGTGCATTGTCCATCAAAGCTGATATTGATGTCATAAGATCAGGACGATGAACTGTACTGAACACCTCAAAGGACTATCTCGTTATTGCTTTCCTATGGCTCGCTCAACCCACGAAAGGTTGATTCTAGATTCGCTCGCCACCCAGCTGAACGCGGCTGCTTAGCTGTTCCTTGCAAGCTATCGCCAACGCCTCCCTCCTCCTGATCAAATCTGTCGCCAGGAGATTCGCATCCATCTTCGCCTTTTCGCCAGCTGTACTTTCCAGCTGAACATCCAAACCAGCCAACCGAACCAGACCAGACCAAAACTAAACTGGACCGTCAGAAATAAGTTTAGTGAAGACTGCGTCATTTTCTAGGGTTGCTTTGCAGCTGTCCGTTTCGTTTCGTTTCGTTTCATAGTTCTGTGGCTGTGGTTGTGGCTGCCAGAACGTGACCCTCGGCACCTTGTGATTGGTTGTTTACAAATTGCCTTTTCCAAGGTAAGCAGCAGGCCGATGCTGTGATACTGTTACTTAGCTTGCCAGCTTGCCATGTTAGCCGTTCTTGCATCGCCTTCAGGCTACGTGCAATGGATTAGCGAGGATAAAAACGCTGATATCGTTTATACCTGGTTCCGTAGTTCGACGCTTGCGAACTTTTAGGGTTTCGTTGGCTTACGGCGGCTTGCAGGGCAAAATGCCCCGTGATGGCGACTGCGGGGACGCCACAGCGGATGGCGAAGGCGAACGGGAGAGGATGAACCCGTCCAAGCGCAGGAAATGCGACGTCGTCGATGCTTCCGGCGTTGCGCTGCGCGATGCTAAAGCGTCGTCGGCCCCAGCCACGCCGGGTAACACAGCGTCGGCGAACAACACGCCGACAACTTCGCAGGATAAGCGGCGAGCGAAGACTCCGCAAACGGAGGAGTACTCAGATGGTTCCTCTGATGAAGAACCTGACGAAGCACCTGACGAAGCACCTGGAAATGACGTGTCGAAAACGCAGAATGGAGGGAATCAGGCAGACAGCGCGCCTGGAAAAGCACCTGAAAAGGCACGTGGAAAGACGCCTGAAAAGAACGCCGCGGCGCCGCAGCCCAAGGATAAGGATAAGGGGAAGAACAGAGGGTACCTGGGAGTCAGGCAGAGGGCTTCTGGCCGTTGGATCGCGGAGATCAAAGACACGAACCACAAGATCCGCAAGTGGCTCGGGACCTTCGACACGGCGGAAGAAGCCGCCCGAGCCTACGACGAGGCTGCGCGGCAGATTCGGGGAGCGACCACCCGAACCAACTTCACCGCGCCGGACTCTCCCACTGGGGGAAAAGGCGGCGGCGCGATTAAGGCCTCCCAAGCGTCGGGAAACAGCAGTCTGCCGCCCATTCCGTGCTCCGTCGTTACGGACCCAGCAACCTCGAGGAAAACCCTAGACGATGTCCTTCGGTCGTTACCTCCCCCGCGCAAAGCTGGCTCGCTGCAAAAGTTCCCCCCTGCGCCTCCGCTCCCCCCTTCCGCCGTTGCCGCCGCTCTTTCCGCGACCGGATCCGCGGGGTCGGCACTAGCCTTCCCCCTGATACAGCCCCCTACGCGCCAGGGCTCTGCTAGTATTATCTCCTCCCCTAGCCCCTTCCCTACTTCGAGCTCTGTGGGAAACGTGGCGTCGGTTATTCTTAACGGTCCTGTAGCCGCCCTCCTGTCGAGTTTCGAGTCGCAGCAGCAGCAGCAGCAACTGCAGCAGCAGTACGAGGCGCTTCAACACGAGCAGGAGCAGCTGCAGGTGCGGAAAGGGCAGCTGCAGCAGCTGATGCAGCAGCATTCGCAGGGGCAACTGCAGGGCCAGTCGCAGGCGCAGTCGCAGGGGCAGTCGCAGGCGCAGTCGCAGGGGCAGTCGCAGGGGCCGTCGCAGCAGCAGGGATCGTTGACTACGGCGTTGAGTCCTAGTGATGCGCTGGCAGCAGCAGCAGCCCGGTTTCTCTCCGTGGCCTCTGCAGCCCGAGCAACCACCCCCCCTCCTGACGCTGAAACTGCCGTTGCCCTCTCTCTCGCCCTTGCCGCCGCCGCTGCGCCTAACGCTGCTCTTGCAAACTCAACTGCTTCTATCGCAGCTGCTTCTAACGCAACTGCTGGCGCCGCTCCCATCAGAAGCCCTATTGCTGCGGCTATAGGTCAAAGCAAACCGTTCGTAAACGCCTTGACCCCCTCACCTCCTCCTTCCATCCTCACCCCAAGCCTCGCACAAGCAATGCGCTCCCTTTCCCCAGCACCAGCACCAGCAGCAGCAGCAGCAGCAGCAGCAGCAGCAGCAGCAGCTCCTGCCAGCAATGCGCTACCTTTCCCCAACATCACCCTTCCCCCGCCTAGCAACTTCCGCCGCCCCTCCGTGCTTCCGCTCTTCCCCCACGCCTCGTCTGTGGGCAGCAGCGCGCATGAGTCCGCCTCTAGCGGCTTCCACGTCCCCCTTCCGCGCTCCCCATCCATCAAAAAGCCCCTGCCCCAGAACCCCCTTCCCCAAAGCAACCTTTCTCAGAACACCCTTCAACAGAACAACCTTTCCCAGAACCCCCTTCCCCAGAGCAACCTTTCCCAGAACACCCTTCCCCAGAACAACCTTCCCCAGAACCCCCTGACCCAGCAATCCAGTGGAGTGTCGGCCCAGGCTGTCGAATTCGCGGTCGCAGCAGCTGCAGCTGCTGCAGGGAGTGCGGGTGGTGCAGGTTCAGCTAAGGTAGGGCCAACTGGAGCGAGTTTAGGTGGTGCAGCTGCTGGTGGGGCAGGCGGTGGGCTTGGGCAGTATCTAGGGCAGCAGCAGCAGCAGCAGCAGCAGCAGCAAACGCCGCAGCAGCAGCAGCAGCAGCAGCCCAACCCCCTCTTCCCCGTGTTTCCTTCGTCTGGGTCTATTTCCTCCCCCCCGCCCCCCCAGTGGGCGCAAGGGGTGCTCGCGGGGGCGTTGACGGCGCAGCAGCAGGCGCAGGTGCAGCAGGAGATGCAGCGGCTGGAAGCAGGGCACATTGGGGGTGCAACCGGTGCAGGTATATCTGGTGCAGGTGGCGCTGCTGGTACTGGTCCTTCCAGTGCGGTTTTGAACGGTGCTGGTGCTGCTGGTGCTGCCGGTGCTTCTGGTGCTCCTGCTAGTGTCGGCCCAGGTGCTCCAAGTGTTGGGACAGGGATTGCTTTGGGAGGCGTAGCTGCTGGTTCAAGTGGTGGAGCTGGTACGTGTGGTGGGATGGCTGCTTCAGGTGGTGGGGTTGTTGCGTCAGGTGGTGGGGTGGCGGCCCCAGGTGGTGGAAACAAGAAGACACTGAATGATGTTGAACTCTTGCTGTTGCGCGCACTGTTCAGTGCTTCCCAGATGCCAAACGCTCAGCAGCAGCAGCATCAGCAGCAGCAGCAGCAGCAGCAGCAGCAGCAGCAGCAGCAGCAGCAGCAGCAGCAGCAGCAGCAGCAGCAGCAGCAGCAGCAGCAGCAGCAGCAGCAGCAGCAGCAGCAGCAGCAGCAGCAGCAGCAGCAACAACGACAACAAGAGCAACAGCAGCAGCTGCAGCAGCAGCAGCAGGCACAGCAGCAGCAGCAGCAGCAGCAGCAGGCACAACAGCAGCAGCAGCAGCAGCAACAGCAACAGCAGCTGCAGCAGCAGCAACAACAACAGCAACAGCAGGCACTACAGCAGCAGCAGCAACAACAGCAACAGCAGGCACTACAGCAGCAGCAGCAACAAGATCAGCGGCAGCGTCTAGCACAGGTGTTGCTGCAGCAGTCAGGGCAAGCGGACAGGCCGACAGGCACAGGTGGGACTGGTGCAGGCGCATCTGCTATCAACCCCAGCAGCACGGTTGATATCACCAGCACCCGCAATGTGAGCAACACTCACACCCGCACCGTCACCCACACCAACAACGACGACAATGTCACCAGCAGCGCACACAAGCACACTAGCAACACAGGCAACACCCACACGCAGACACAGACGCACACAAGAAACACAAGCAACTCCAACACCCAAACGCAAACGCAAACGCACACAAGAAACACGAGCAACGCCAACACCAACACCAACACCAACACCCTCACACAGACGCACACGAGCGGCAGCAACGAGAGCACCGCCCTTCAATCCATCTCCATCCGCGCTTTGGCAGCCGCCATTGCCGCGTGGGGCAAGCAGTATGGCGTCAACGGGGAGGTGCAGGTGAAGCTGGGGGAGGGTGGATCTGGGGCGGGCGGCTCTGTGACCATCCATGGGCTGGCTGGCGGGCAGGCAGAGGGCACAGCTACAGGAGGGGCAGGTAAGGCGGGAGCTACGGCTGGGGAAAAGGGGGATGGAGGAGACAAGGGAGTGGGAGGAGGGGAGGGAGCGGAGGGAGGGAGAGGAGGGGGGAGTGGTGGCGACAAGGGCGGTGGAGGATGTGGGGAGGGAGGGAAGAAGCCACCAGTGATTCAGATTCTGCCTGGGGGGGTGCGTGTGTCTGGGGACGTGTTCCTGGAGTTCTCTAGAATGGATTCGGCGGAGCTCTTTGGTGACCTCGCTGCCCTCTCTTCCCTTCCGCCCAAGACCGCTGCCGCTCCTGCTGCTGCTGCCCCTCCTGCCCCTGCTGCCCCTGCCGCTGCTACCCCTCCTGCCCGTGCCGCCCCTGCTGCTGTTGTCCCTGCCGCCTCTGTAAGACCCCCTACCCCGGCTGCCGCCCCCGCCCCTGCCGCCACTGCTTCTGCAGTCCCTCCCACGTCTGCCTCTGCTCCTCCCGTCGCTATCTCTGACATGGCTTCCATTGCAGCTTCTGCCCCACACGTTGCTACCACAGGGAACCCAGCCCACACTGGCAACCCTGCTATTTATAGTAACCCTGCCATGTGCGGGGTTTCGAGTGAGGGAACGGGGTTGAGCCTTGGGCTGCATGCCCCCATGGCGCATGACAGCGCTACAGGCACTGCTACAGCCGGAGACGCTTTAGACTCTGCTACAGCTATGGACGCAGACACAGCTACGGCCGGAGACGCAATAGGCGCAGCTGTGCCTGCAGACGCTGCTGCTACAGCCGTAGACACTGTAGATGCAGCTGCAGCTACACACACAGCGATGGATTCCAGTGGCGGAACTGGCGCTGGCGGTACAGCAGGGGCAGCAGAGTTGACTTTTGAGTCAACTGAAAAGTCAACACGCACAGCAATGGAGTCCAGTGGCGGAACCGGTGCTGGCGGTACAGCAGGGGCAGCAGAGGTTGTGGTGGTGGGCACGGCTGTAGCAGCAGAGACAGCAGGGGCAGCAGGGGTAGCTGGGGCAGGAGGGGCAGGAGGAGAAGCAGGTGGGGCAGCAGAGGCAGCAGTAGCAGCAACAGCAACAGATATTTCTCCCGCAGCAGAGCCAATTTCTGTATCTGCGAAACGTGCTCGTTCCCCTCCCGCCCTTCCCTCCTGGGCTACCCCGTCAGTCCTTCCTCTCAGCGACACCGATGTGGCTACGGCAGGTTTAACTGGGACAGGTTCTACTGGGGCAGATTCAACTGGGGCTCATGCTGCTGCTGGGGTAGCAGCTCTCCCCAATCAGCCCACCACTGATGCTGCTGCTTCCGCTGCAGCTGCTGCTGCCGCTGCCTCTGCTGCTGCCGCTGCCTCTGCTGCAGCAGCTGCTACTGGTGCCACCTCCCCAGGAGGCATAGGGAGGAGCGGGTGGGGGGCGTATAGCCTCAACCAGTCTCCAGGCCTCGGTGTGTACCTCTCAGGTTCGGCGACTCCATGTTCGAGGACTCCAGGCCCGGGAACGCCGGGCCTGTCCCGCAGCTTCTCCGACAACCCGTTGCTTCGGTTTGCCAGGCTTGACTCATCTGACCTGTTCGGTTACTCCCCTAGTGCCAATATGGCTAGCCCTGGCGGTTCAGGTGCGGGTGGGGGTAGTGCTGCTGCTGTAGTGGGGGAAACGGCTGATCTGAAGGGTGATTCGGCAGCGGCTGTGGCTGCTGCTGGTGCTGCAGAAGCAGCAGAAGCAGAGGAAACTGGTCAATTGGGCGGTGGTGATAAGGGATGGCAGGAGACCATGGGCAAGGGCGAGAATGCTGGTAATGGCAATGGCACAGGCACTGGCAACAGCAGCCTGATGCCTGTGAAATGGGGCGCGTTCAAGTCCCCTCCTGTGCGACCACCTGCTACCATGGCAGCTGCAGCAGCGGCGGCAGCAGCAGTGAGGAGTGGGGATGCATACGGGGTGCAACCCTCGCCAGCTACTCGCTTCAAGGCCGGACTGAGTGACATGAGGTATTGATTCGATTCCCTTATCCTCTTCATGCATCAATCTTCTCGTGTGGGCATCTTACTTAACGCCTCACTTCGATTCCCTCTACCCCTCCATAGACACATTCCTCATTTTGTTAAGCGCCTGAAAGCTGTTACTTAACCGCCTCAATCCAATTTCCTCTACCCCTCTATACTTCCAAATTTCACTGCTCCACCCATCCCTGCCCCAATCTCCAAGGCCCCAATTTCCCCAGCATCCCTTCCTGCCACCCAAATCTTCAATGCCCCACCCTCCTTCTACCCCAAACTCCCACGCCCAGCCCTCTGCCATATCTCCCCACAGCACGCCAGAAGGTCGCCAGGGAGCGGGAGCAGAACTCTCCCCCTCTCGTTCCTTCAACACAAGACGCACTTTCCTTTCCCCAACCCCAATGTATTCCCCCCCCCTCTCCGCCCTCTGCCATGTCCCCCCACAGCACTCCAGAAGGCCGCCAGGGAGCGGGAACAGAGCTCTCCCTCTCTCCTTCTCCCTGCAAGCCCAAACCGCCCCGCCCTCCCCTTTTCGCCTCACCGCCTGCCTCCAGCCTCCCGTTCCCTGTCTTGCCTCCTCCCATCAAACCTCCTTTCTCGACTGCTACTGCTGCTGCTCCTCCTGCTGTTCACAGTGGTGGTGGTGGTGGTGGTGGTGGTGGTGGTGGTGGTGGTGGTGGTGGTGGTGGTGGTGGTGGTGGTGGTGGTGGTGGTGGTGGTGGTGGTGGTGGTGGTGGTGGTGGTGGTGGTGGTGGTGGTGGTGGTGGTGGTGGTGGCGATGGTGGTGGTGGCGATGGTGGTGGTGGTGCTCCTGCTGCTGCATCTTCTGCTGCAGATGCTGCCACTGCTGCTGCTGCTGGGGCTGACGGTTTTGCAAACGTCTCTGCTGCTTCTGCCTCTGCTGCTGCCGTTGCTGCGGCCAGTGGTGGCGCTTCAGACGCCAACGCGAATGCGAAATTTAATGCGAATGCATCTCCATGGGGACCTCAACCATCTCCTTCCACCCTCAGCATGCTCTCGCCTAGCTCCCGTGAGTCTCTGCCTCTCTCACCTCCCATCCCTCGTGTTGCACCTGGTTTTACTTCAATACAACAAACCATCTGCGTGGGGACCTCAGCCATCTCCTCCCACCCCGCTGCTGGGTCCTGAGGCTCTTCCAGATGCATTGCCTAATCCCCCTTCTTCCCATTCTTCTCTCCCTCCCTCTCCAGGGGGTCGCTGGGAGTTGAAGCGAGCAACAGCGTCGGTGCTGCCGCCAGCCACAGACGCAGCAGACGACCCGCTGCTGGTGATCGCACAGGCGGAGAAAGCAGCCACCATGGCTGCCGCTTCTGTCGCCCATATGCTTGCTGCTCAGGCATCTGCTGCTCGCGTGTCTGCTGCACCTCCTGCTGCTGCTGCTGCTGCTGCTGCTGCTGCCTCTGCTGTTGCTGATGCTGCTCGTGGCGGTGGTGATGGTGATGATGGTGAGGATGATGATGGTGGTAGTGATTCGGATGGTGGTGAGGATGGGGACGATGCTGCTGCTGCTGCTGCTGGCCCCCGTCACTTCTTCCCCAAGCAGTCATCCTTGGTAGACGATTGGGTCAATGCCAGCAGCAACCCTCACAGCAACAGCGAAGCAGCAGGGGCAGCAGCAGATGCACCTGCAGATGCTGATGCTGCTGTTCCTGCTGCTGCCGGCGCTCGTCACTTCTTTCCCAAGCAGTCATCCCTGGACCATTGGGTCAATGAAGCAGGAGGGACAGCAGGAGGCGCTTCTGAGCCAATGCTACAGACACCACCAGCACAGCCACAAACACAACCACCAGCAGGAACAGCAGCAGCAGCAGCAGCAGAACCCACCCCTCCCTCCTCGCACCCGCCTCCCTCCTCATTCCCCTTCCGAGTGCCCTCAGGCCCCCTCCCCTTCCCCATGGGCAGCCCCAGCCTCAATCTCCAGTTCACCATGGGAGGCAACGTCCCTTTCAACATAGGCAGTCCGTCAGTCGCCGCGTATCTCAGCAGCCCTTCCTTCGCTGCCTCCCTCGCCGCCTCTCTCCTGCACAACCCTGCCGACGCCTTCAGCCGCCAGAGCTCCGGGGAGCTTTTCGGCCGGCAGAATTCGGCAGATCTGTTCGGGCGGCAGAACTCGGCCGACCTCTTCGGGCGGCAGAACTCGACGGATCTCTTCGGGGAGTCCCTCACGCCGTCCGCGCTCGCGGCCGCAGCAGCCAGGCTTGCTCGCCTCAGTTCCGCCGAGCTGCTTCATCTCGCCGACTCGCCTCTCAACGCCTCGCCTCTCCCCTCCATTTCCACCACCACCCCGCCGGTCTTTGGCAGCGGTTACTCTGGTGGTGGCAGCGATGGCAGCGATGGCAGGGGTGCTGCTGCTGGTGCAATGGCAATAGCAGCGGCAGCAGCAGCAGGAGCAGCAGCAGCAGGAGCAGCAGCAGCAGGTGGAGGGGCAGGAGTAGTGGGGGTAGCAGGAGGAGCGGGAGCAGTGGGGCATTTGTCTGCTGATGCGAGTGCGACAGCAGCAGCAGGGCTACACGCGTCGAGGGTAGATTCTTCTGAGCTGTTCGGCCAGTGGGTTGGCAAGTGGCCCTCCCCCAACCCCAACCAACCTGGCTTTTCCTTCTCCTCCCCTCCCCCTGCTGCTGCTGCTGCCACTGCTGCTACTCCTCCTCCTGCTGCTCCTGTTACTCCTGCCGCGTCTGCTCCTGCTGCTCCTGCTTCAGCTTCAGTTGCATGTACAGACACTGCCACTGCTGGTCCTGACGCTCCTTCAGAACACGCGATGGATTTGGCTAAAGGTGTCCATGGCGATGCTGCTGCTACTGCTGCTGCTTCGGCAGCGTCTGTTTTGGCTTCTGCTGGCGGGGCCACACGACACGACCAAGCACTGGGAGCACTCGGTTTGCTGCAGAAGCTGCTGTGAAGTAGACGGCGGGTAGATAGCATCATAGCAGCAAGCTCTGTTAGCCGACGGTTGCTGGAGCTGCGACTCGCCAACTTCCGAGTTGAGCAAGGCATCGTTTTCTTTCCATGCTGGCTGTTGCTGATATAACCAAAGGATCAAGTAGATAGGATAAGATCTGCTAAGTCTGGGAGGAGACAATGAAGTCTCTGTGGTGACCTTGTTGATGAGAATTTGAAAGAGAACAAGATGATTATAAGATGGAAGTACAGGGATATAAATAGCATTCCTAGCTAGCCATGTACTCTGAGGGGTACATTCCCTTATTAATTGAATTGCATTGCTACAGTAACCCACGACTATTGCCATTCTAGACAGTTACCATGTCGCACTTCGCAACTGCCTCGTGCGATTACTGGACAGTCGAGGGTCACGACCGTTGACTGTCTTGGACTGTTGACCTTCGGGTGACCCTCGACCTTCCGCGTGCTCTATATGAGCTATTGCGGTACTGGTACCGTATTCTCCCGGATAAAACACCCTAGGGTATTATGAAAACCACTGGGAAAAAATGGGGGGGGGTCTCAAAGGAAAATCCTACATAATACCCGGGTCTTATTATATGGTATATTTTTTATCAAGTAGAAAAGATGTGAAGCAAAATCAGGTGTCTGACTTCACTTCAAGATTGTTGACCAGTGCCGCAAAACCGAGTATACGAGGATAACGTGACCGCCCACTGGAATCTGCCACGTGGCATATTCGAGTGGGCAATTTTGGCACTTGATAGGGTGAAAACAAAGCCAATTGCGTGGCGAGGGTTCATGCAACCGCCGAGGCCAGAATCGCGCACGGTGGTGCGTTCTTACTGTACCAGTCACTTCTTGACTGGTTTGGTCACGTGTCTGTGCCTCATGTGAGAAGGTGATTTTCACCTATTGGGCCACTTGCAGCGGAAGATTTGCCAGCGTGGCGACAGCGAGATTGTGGGAGGGGGGAAATCTTGGCAGATTTTAAGTGAAAGTACACGCGAAATTTCACCTAGGGAGCAATTCTCGCGATATCCTCCCGTAAGGAATCGGACTCGATAACAGCTATAATAGGAATCTATAAGAAAAGGGGGGTGTTATAGAAAATTACCCCAAAAGGGGGGGTATAGTACAAACGGGGTCGGATATAACACCCACCCCGTATTAGCTACCCGGGGGTGTACAATTACGGGGGGGTGTTTTATCCGGGAGAATACGGTACAGGCGTGCACCTCGTTATGGAGTGACGCGGGAGTGAAGAACCTTCGGGAATGTTTATAATAACCTTTCGGTTATTCCAACAGCTGTTTCTCAACCTGTGTTGTGTCAGCAACAATGCGGGATTTTGTGATTGGTCTACTCCACGGCGCCTTTGCAGGAATGGTAACATCTGGTATCCCCCTTAGGGTGAAACAAGCAGCAAGCTCAACCACTGGATTTGAGGATGATATCTACGGTAATCTATAGGGTGAGAGGAACAAGCATTAGAGATTGAGGTGCTGACAAGTCATGCAATAGTTTAGGCTGGTTGAGTCGTGACTGTATAAAATATTCAATCCTGTCCTGCCTCTTGGGTAAACGGTTTTCGCCCCCATTTCGTTAATATCAAAACCCTCCACAGCTTTGTGTCAGGATACAATAGATTATACACCGGCCAAGAACGTACACACAACTCCAACTGTCAGAGTCGGTCATTGGCAATGCAACCAAAGATCGTGCTGTACTTAGGTGAATGCAACGCGAGAAAAGGCGCCCTACCCTACCAAATCAGTAGGTGATACAGTAAATTGTGTGAAATTAGTATGGGCTTCACACTATGAACTAAAGTTTTTGGTGTAATAGGCTCTGCTGAAGTCGATAAGCCTGCTTTCAGCGACACAGGCATTAGAATCCTCCACCTTCCATCCAGATAAGGATTTTATAGTGACTTTGGGCAAAACTGATTCCTCGGACCTCACCAGTGCAAGACTGGTGCAAGTGTCACCACTGCAACCGTCCCGGTTGAAAGTTCACGCTTACTTATCTCGTGTGTGTGTGTGTGGCCTGTGGTGCACCCACTTGCACCGGCGACAACAGTCTATGAGACTGCATCACCAGAGGACCAGGGGAAGGCCTAGCGACAGGAGTGCTGTCACCCCCGCCACTTTCTGCCTGGCTGAACGCCGGTTGCAGCACACACTGCATGGGAAGAGAGGGGAACGACAAGCAAACCAAACACAAAGCCGCATCGATCACAGGTGCAAAAATGCCTGGCAGAAAAGACGCAGAAGCAACATGGATTGGGTGGCTGGGATCAGGGGCCTGGGAACAAAGGGTTGGGATCAGGAGCAGGTGACTGGGAACAAGGGGATGGGAGCGAGGGGATGGGAACGTGTTGTCTACAGAAATGTGTGAAATGGGATGCGGGAAATAAGTATGAAAGCACAAAGGAGGAGAACAAGCGTGGCACAGGGGGGGGGGGGGGCTACATTAGGACATGGCCTCACAGTGCCTAAGCCAGTCAATATCTGAGGCTCCCCTAACCTCCCAAGGAGTAAACATTTTGGTCGCACCAAAAGAAATGCACTGATTGAGTTGGCTTATATTGGGAGATGGCCTTGCCATGCCTAAGCCAGCCTTTAAAAGAAGTGTTGTTTTAAGGCGTCTCAAAACATGCACTGATTGGGAGGACTTACATTGGGAGATGGCCTTGCCATGCCTAAGCCGCTCTCCACAGCTCCTCCAACCTCTCCTCCTCTCCCTTTTCGCATCCCTCCAGCTGCTTCACCACCACCAGCACCAGCACCACCAGCACCACCACCACCAGCAGCAGCAGCACCAGCAGCAGCAGCAGCACCAGCAGCACCAGCAGCACCAGCAGCAGCTGAATGCAGCCTCGCCCCACCTCCCGCTCTCTCCTCCCTGCATGCCTCCTCCTCCCCACCTCTCGCACCGTCCCTGCCCTCTGCTCTCCCAACACTCGCGCTCACAGCAGCTCCATACGTGCTGCTATGGGCGTTACCACAGCTCGCAGCACCACTGCCGCCTCTGTTCCCAGTCCCATTCACAGCACCAGCACCAGCACCATCCCCGCCCCCACCAGTGGAAGCGGCACCTTGAGATTGCCGCATCGAAGTGACAGCCGGTTGTAGCACAGGCGAGTTTTGAGCCGTCTCCATGGTTGAACGCACCAACGGCTGTAGCGCGGGCGATGCTGCTGGCTTGACCGGCCGAAAGGACTGGGAGGGCCCTTGTGACAGCGCATGCAGGGCAGGAGAGGCGGGTCTTTGATCGGAGGAAACCGCCTGCTGGAACCTTGCTCCCTGCTGCTGGAAAGGCGATACTGCTGCCCTTACACCCTGTTGCTGGTAGGGGGAGGCTCCGAGCCTCGACACTTGCAGGAGAGGCGAGGCCGCTGGCTTGAGCGCGTGAAAAGACGGAGAGGGGGCGGAGGAAGGAGAGGGAGACGGAAGGGCATGTGGGTGTTTGGAAACTTGCAGGGAAGGAGAGGGCGGGGCTGCTGTTGCTGCTCTTGGCACGTGAAGAGGGGAGGGCACAGGCGTCGATGTGTGGAGGAGTGCAGGGCCGTGGGTGGGTGTGGATGCGATGGGAGTGGACGCACGCAGCGGTGTGGGGCTGTGTGTGGGCGTGGAGGCACGGAGGGGGGCACGTGGCCCCATGAGAGGGGAGGGGTGCAGGCGGGGCCCTCCTATTTGGTAGTGCCCTGGCAGCAGCTGACTGCCTCCCGTGCTGCCCAGGCGAGGAGATGCTTGAGCTGCTGCTGCTGCTGCTGGTGGTGCGGCTGGTGCTGCTGCACTTGATGCCTGCTGTTGCTGCTGTTGTTGGTGCTGTTGGTGCTGCTGCTGCTGCTGTTGCAGCTGTTGCTGATGCTGTTGCTGTTGTTGCTGCTGTCGGTGCTGTTGCTGAAGCTGTTGGTGGTGCTGCTGCTGCTGCTGCTGCTGTTGCTGCTGCTGCTGCTGTTGCTGCTGCTGCTGTTGTTGCTGCTGCTGCTGCTGTTGCTGCTGCTGTTGCTGCTGCTGCTGCTGTTGCTGCTGCTGCTGCTGTTGCTGCACTGCGAGATTCGAGGCAGACGCAGGTCCCGTCTGCATTGGATTGGTGGGAGTTTGAGAGGGCGAAGGGGACGGTGGAGGTGGGTGGTGCTGCTGTGAAGCTGGGCCCAGTGGCTGGTAGGAGAAGGGCTGGCGAGGCAAGCGACCGTGCTCCCAATGCATTTGCACTGCCTGTTGCCCTGGCCTCACCTGTTCCTGCTGCTGCTGTTGCTGCTGCTGCTGCTGCTGCTGCTGCTGCTGCTGCTGCTGCTGCTGCTGCTGCTGCTGCTGCTGCTGCTGCTGCTGCTGCTGCTGCTGCTGCTGCTGCTGCTGCTGCTGCTGCTGCTGCTGCTGCTGCTGCTGCTGCTGCTGCTGCTGCTGCGACTGTTGCATCTGGAAGGGCGGGTGGTGTGGTGCTGCAGGGTGTTGACCGGGAGACCTGAAGAAAGGAGTAGAATCACCAAAGGAGAAAATAACCGCACTGCCAGAGAGGCACTGACAGACAGCACCAAAGTACTAGACGGCAAAGCGAACGCGCAAGTGCGGAAGAAGGGCTGAGGCAGGGGGGCTTAGGGTTCAGATCATGAAGCCGAACAAATTGAGTGAGACAGGCACACTTTTGGAACCAGATGAAACAAAAATCACTAACAAAACGACAGAATTACGAAGAAAATCATGACAAAGGTACGCGGATCTAGTGCGCAGTTTGGTTTAGACAGTGTGCGTGAATGAGACAGGCAGGCACCCACGAGAGAGACCCGTGAGGAGGCGAACCTACTGGCTGGGGAAAGACCCCTCTCCTGCTCTTTGTACGCCCATTGCTGATGCTCCTCCCACCCCTCCTTGCTGCATCCCTGCTTGCTGCACCCCTCCTTGCTGCACCCCTGCTTGCTGCATCCCTCCTTGCACTGCATCACCTGCGCCTTGTAACTGCTGCGTTCCCTCTCCCCCTGTTACCATTCCCCCTTTTGCTACACCTCCCTGCCCCGCCCCACCCTGCCCTGACCCGCCCTGCCCTGCCCCGCTCTGCCCTGCCCCGCTCTGCCCTGCAGAAGGTACCGCGACTGCATGCACGGGAGGGGGGAGAGTGAGGGGAGGCGGGGCGTTCCCGTGCAGCACTGCTGGCACAGCTGCTCCTTCCGCAGATGGGCGGAACATGGCAACAGCAGGGTGGGTGGCAGTGCCAGGGTAAGTGGCACTGCCGGGGTAAGCAGCAGTGGCAGGGTAAGTGGCACTGGGAGGGTAAGTGGCACTGCCGGGAAAAGGAGTATTTCTCTGGGAAGTGGTGAAATCCGTGGTGTTGAGGCTAGATGGGGTCATATCACCTGCTTTCACTCCCGCACCTCCTGTTCCTACACCTCCCCCCACCCCTCCTGCACCCCCCGCTGTTGCACCCCCTGCTGCCCTTGGTGTGCTTGCATCGCCACCAGTGGTATCACCGCCACCGCCACCACCAGCACCGGCGCCACCAGCACCGCCAGCGCCAGCGCTGGCAGCAGCGCCAGCAGCAGCAGGAGGGCCGTCGTCAGCATCATTTGCATCAACGAGGGAGGTGCCTGGAGCAGCGCGGTCGTGAGTCTTGCGGGAGCGGTTGCGCCCGCGATGCATGTGGCGCTCACAGTACTTCTGATCCGGTACCACCTGGTGGAGAGGAGAGCGTGAGGTAAAGAGAGCGATGAGGGGGATGAAAGATGCACGTGGCGCTCACAGTACTCCTGATCCGGTACCATCTGGTGGGGTGGGGGGATGGACGGAGGGCGATGGTGGGCGGGAGGTGAATGAGGTGCAGCGAAGGTGCATTCATCAAGCAGTACAGAAAGAGACAGCAGGATGGATGGTGGAAGTAGTCCGCAACTCATGCCTCTCTAAAGTAATCCCAAACTCTCATACATACCTCTCTAAAATAATCCCAAACTCTCATACATACCTCTCGGGAGCACCGCCATTTCTTGCCGTCCGTTCGTCTGCATCTAAACGGCTCCAGCTCCACCTGCTGTGTAACCTGCCCCCACCCCGCTGCTTGATGGGAGAGGCGACAAGGGTGGGACGGGGAGAGAGGAGAGAGGCGAGAGGCGAGAGGAAAGGGAAGTGAGGGGTGGCAAGAGAGGCTTGATGAGTCAGAAGCGGCAAGACGAGACGGGACACAGACGAGAAGGAATGTGGAGAACACGGAAGGATGAGGCAGAGGAGGAAAAGGTACGGTCGGTGTTGATACGAGTGAGAGTGGAGCAACAAGCAAAGGAACGAGCATATGCATAGGATGGACATGCACAGGAGAGAGAGGGACTCACGTTGGCCGGGGGCAGCAGGGGGCTGCTGCAGTGCGGCCAAGGGGGGTAGGCGCGCGCAGGAGGCTCTGAGCGCGGCAACGAGGTGGGGGGGAACGGGCGCGCCTGCAACAAGGTACTTGAAGACTAGCGCCTGCTGCTCCAGCTCCTGCCACTGCGTCACTGTGAAGGGCGCCCACGACCCGAAGTCGCCTGAGAGATGGGTGGGGCGAAGGGGGAAGGGGAGAGAGGGAAGAAGGGGGCTTGTGAAAGACTGTCTCAACAGCCTGCCACGAGGTACTTGAATACAAGTGCTTGCTGCTCCAGCTCCTGCCACTGCGTCACTGTGAAGGGCGCCCACGACCCGAAGTCGCCTGCAAGAGGGATAGGAAAGCAGGAATACAGAAGGGAAAGAGTGAGCGAGAGGGAAAGAGTGAGCGAGAGGGAAGGAGGGAGCGGATGCTCCTGCCACTCCGTCTCAGTGAAGGGAGCTTATCAGCCGAAGAAATCTGCTGGAGGGAGAGAGGGGTGGGGGAGGAGAGCGAGAGAGGTGGTAAATGAGTGCGTGGTGGCGATGAGTATATGAACAAACGTGTTGGAGACCAAGGGAGAGTAGCTGAGTCTCCAATCAGAGAGACGAGAGACTGTTGCATACCAGGCATGTTGTTGTGTCCAGGAACATGACCGGGCTGCTGCTGCTGCTGCTGGGGCTGCTGGTGCTGTTGCTGCTGCATGGGGGCAGGAAGGGAAGCTGAAACCACTTGCACTGTCATTGGCATGGTAGGGGTGGCAGGAAACGGCTGGTGCGGGGGCATTGGCAGGCCTGGTTGAATTGGCGCTCCAACTGACGGCTGCATGGGCACCGGGCCTTGTTGCATCGGTACTGAACCTTGTTGCATCGATACCGAGCCTTGTTGCATAGGCACCGCGCCTTGTTGCATCGGTACAGAGCCTTGCTGCATCAGTAACGGTCCTTGTTGCATGGACACTGAGCCTTGTTGCAGTGGCACCGGGCCTTGTTGCATTGGTACCGAGCCTTGTTGCATTGGTACCGAGCCTTGTTGCATCGGTACCGGGCCTTCTTGCATCTGATGGCCTTGCTGGAAAGAGGGCACCTGCTGCATCGGCTGCATCGGCTGCACTTGTTGCATCTGTTGCTGGTAGGCTTGTCCATTGTGAGGCAGGAAGGCGGATGGCCCCCCTTGGAAGCCAAACATCGGCTGCTGTGGAGCTTGCTGTTGCGCCATGCCTTGCTGCGGCATGCCTTGTTGCGCCAACCCCTGTTGCGACATCCCTTGTGGCGCCATCCCCTGTTGCGCCATCCCCTGTTGCGCCATCCCCTGTTGCGCCATCCCTTGTTGCGCCATCCCCTGTTGCGCCATCCCTTGTTGCGCCATCCCCTGTTGCGCCATCCCCTGTTGCGCCATCCCCTGTTGCGCCATCCCCTGTTGCGCCATGCCTTGTTGCGCCATGCCTTGCTGTATCATCCCCTGTAGCGCCATGCCTTGCTGTTGCACCATCCCCTGCTGCGTCATCCCTTGTTGCGGCATGCCTTGCTGCATCATCCCTTGTTGCACCATGCCTTGCTGTTGCGCCATGCCTTGTTGCGCAAACCCCATCCCTTGTTGCAACATGCCTTGTTGCGGCATGCCTTGTTGCGCCATCCCATGCTGCGCCATACCCTGTTGCGCCATACCCTGTTGCGCCATACCCTGTTGCGCCATACCCTGTTGCGCCATTCCCTGTTGCGCGATGCCCTGTTGCATCATTCCGTGATGCATCTGAGGGTGGGGCATCCCCTGCTGCCCTGTGCCCTGTCCCTGCACCATAGCCTGCAGCTGAGCCACCATCTGCGGCGGACCCATGCCCTGTGCCTGCGCCATGCCCTGCTGAACCATGCCTTGCTGCGCCATGCCTTGCTGCGCCAAACCCTGCTGCGCCATACCCTGCTGCGCCATACCCTGCTGCGCCAAACCCTGCTGCGCCATACCCTGCTGCGCCATACCCTGCTGCGCCATACCCTGCTGCGCCATACCCTGCGCCATACCCTGCTGCGCCATACCCTGCTGCCCCATGCCCTGCTGTGCCGTGCCCTGTTGAGCCATGCCTTGCTGCCCCATGCCCTGCTGCTGCTGCGGCATCACTGCCACACCGTTCATTACAGGAACGGATGAGGAAGCCTGAGATCCCTGCTGCTGCTGCTGCTGCTGCTGCTGCTGCTGCTGCTGCTGCTGCTGCTGCTGCTGCTGCTGCTGCTGCTGCTGCGGCTGTTGCTGCTCTTGCTGCGGCGGCTGCTGCGGCTGTTGCTGCTGTTGTTGCTGCGGCTGCTGCTGTTGCTGTTGCTGCTGTTGTTGCTGCGGCTGCTGCTGTTGCTGCGGCTGCGGCTGCGGCTGCTGCTGCTGCTCTTGCTGCGGCGGCTGCTGCGGCTGCTGCTGCTGAGCCTGTTGCTGCTGCTGCTGCTGCTGCTGCTGCTGCTGCATCTGCTGCATCTGCTGTTGCTGCGGTTGCATCATTGTTTGATGGCCAGGCATTGGCTTTTGCTGCGGTTCTGACACCAGTTGTTGCTGCTGTTGCTGCAGGAAAGGTTGCTGCTGCAGCTGCTGTTGCGGCTGCTGAAGTTGCTGCTGCTGGTACGCAGGTGGACCGTACTGCTGCTGCTGCGGCTGTATTAGCTGCTGCGCCTGATGTTGGATTGGGCCAGGAAGAAATTGCTGCGGAATCGGCTGCTGCTGCTGTGGTTGCTGATAGTAAGGCTGCTGAGGCTGCTGCTGTTGCACGACGGGAAGCTGGGAGGAAAAAGGCTGCTGCGGTTGAAACTGCTGCGCCGGCTGCGTCTGCATTTGCTGAGCTTGACCATGGGATACCATCCGCTGCTGTTCCGCCTGTGCCTGCGCCTGCGCCTGTGCCTGCGCCTGAAGTTGCTGCTGCTGCGCCTGCGCCTGGGAATGTTGCTGCGGCTGCGCCGCTACCTGAGCTTGCTGCTGCGGCTGTCCTTCGTGACCTTGCGCCTGTGGTTGCTGCTGCTGCTTCTGTGCTTGTTGCAGCTGTGATTGCTGCTGCGCGGATTGTTGTTGTTGATGCTGCTGCTGCTGATGCTGCTGCTGTACTTGTTGCTGCTGTGGTTGCTGTTGTTGCTGATTTTGCTGCTGTTGTTGTAGTTGCTGCTGCTGCTGCTGCAATTGTTGCTGCTGCTGCTGGTGTGGTTGTTGTGGTTGTTGCTGCTGTGCTGTCTGCTGCTGCAACAGCTGCTGGTAAGCCTTCTCTGGCACTCTGGTTTGCTCCTGTTGCTGCGCCATTCCTCGGATTGAACTGGAGAGTGCAGGCATACCAACGGCAGCTGCTCCAGGCTCCTGACTTTGGGCCAGTCGAGGCCCCGAATCTCCTTCCTTTTGCTGTGGAGAGTTGACCTTCATCTGATCTTTCCTGTCCGCGTTATTAGCAGCACCGGGAAGCCCTATAGCCGTGTGGACTTTCTGTTCCCGATCTCCAGATTTCGGTTCACGCTGCGCTACACGATCCTTCGGGTTCGGCTGTGTCGACTGCAGCGACGGCGAAGAATTTGTAACCCTGTGACACGCGCCATTCGCATGTGCCGGATTCTCTCCCTCCGCCATCGGATTTCCCACACGAATCGACCCATCGTGACTGTCCGTTAACGAGCTTCCGTCACGCTGGCGCTGGTTCTGAGGGTCGGCTCTAGAAGCTTCGAGTGTATCGCGGTGGTTGCGACTTTCAGCGACCGCAGTCCGTTGCTGCGAATCGGATCCCCCTTGAGCCTGCGAGGATGCAGGCTGGTTCACGACCATATGGAGCCGCGACTGATGATTGGTCAGATTTGTTATTAGCGGACGACGAGCATTCGGCGAGCTCGGGTCAGGAGTATGCTTCCCTTTCACGAGGTCAGCTGTTGCGCGGTGATCGCTCTTCAGGTCGCTGTACGCGATATAGCTATTCTCGTCGACGCTCGCTACGTGTCGAGTTGTTAGACAGTCAGCGAGACTACCAGGTACCCGATTTGATCGGAAGCCTTGGCTGGCCTCCACATCACCAGGCGAATCTCGGCAATATCGAGGTACAACGTGAGCAGAAGAGCGCTCCAATGAGGACATACGAGACACAGAGTGCCTGGTCGTTTCAGCATGTGAGGCTAATGACATTAGAAAGCGCGAACATACGCCTAAGCAGATTGGCGGACGCTCGAGTGTTAGGATACATATTTCGGAAGCTAACAAAAAATAACGACCGTGTCAGGACGGTGAGTAGCTGTGGCGATAGTTGGTGATCAGGCTTGCTCAGCATACGCTGAGACGATCTACCAGTCACTAAGGGATGACAGACAGACACACATCCAAGATCTCGAAAGCTAGCAGAGCAGTGCAGAAGCAAGGCGCCACTGTAGCTTCCATGGTTCCTGATTCCTCCTGAACGAAGGGATTGCACGCTCTGATGAATTACAGGGAAGAGCGGCGGGAAAACCAGATCGGAGAGCGATGGCAAAGGCGGGAAAGATCGGACGGTTCAGAGAGCGAACTTGAAAACTGTCTCAACACATGCAAGCAGAAGCGTTCCTTGAGTTTTCCGGAGATCGAGCCAGTGTGACAGGTTCGTAGCCGGACCTGTTTGTCACATGTCGAAGCTGTGACGGAACCAGATTTGGGCTTCGCCAAATTTTGAGCGCCAATACTGCATCAAGGGTTTTGAATCAACCAAGGTACTGGTTTGGTTTGGGCCGGAAAGTCAGAAATTCTTCTGAGGGTAATTACATTCTGGGTAACCAACATTGAGCCCGCTGACGTCAAAAGTCACCTACGTGGCTCGATGGTACCCGTCAGATCATGCGCGCCCCTTGGTGGTACCCATCTTCCCTCCGTGGTACCCATCTTCCCTGCGTGGTACCCATCAACTGTGCGCGAATTCCCTGACTGGTACCGCAACATTTCAACCGAGCTGTACACCGTACAACAAGGGTGTCAATGCGTTTTTCACTATATTGTCTTAACGTTTACAAGCTCAATAGAGTCCGAAGCCCGAAGTGCCACATAATCGGGTCAAATTTTCAAGCGCATTACCTATAATAAAGTGTAGAAGAAAAGCTGAATTTAGGAAAACATTTATTGTGTAGATTTCTTTAGGCTCATAAACATCCACATTATAACGTGCTATAATTTAAATCACCACAGATATATTGCATCAACCGAAACAAAAAAATTAACATCCGTGTAACAAACGATCAACTGACACGTAATATATATATTGACTTAAGGTTATTTGATTTTCATTAATGGGTATTGTTTTGTTTCCAGAAACCAACGAATGTACGTATTATTTGTTTATGCTTTTCTATTTAGCTTTGGGGGTACATGCTCAATTTATTTGCATACAACCTTATGAACTTTGTTCAGATTACCAACTGCGCGCTGAGAAACATGGTCGTAAGATTCACGCTACCTACCGCTCAGTGATGTGAGCTTACAAAGGTTCGGAGGTAACGTGAGGATTTTAGAAGGGGAGTTGATTTTTTATAGGTTGCACTCTATCCAGTGTAAGGCACGTTCAAAGGTATTAATGTTCAAATGTATTAATGTTCAATTGCAGACAGAAAACGTTGGTATAAATCGCATTGAAACCCTTGTTGTACGGTGTACAGCTCGGTTGAAATGTTGCGGTACCAGTCAGGGAATTCACGTACAGTTGATGGGTACCACGCAGGGAAGATGGGTACCACGGAGGGAAGATGGGTACCACCAAGGGGTGCGCATGATCTGACGGGTACCATCGAGCCACGTAGGTGACTTTTGACGTCAGCGGGCTCGATGTTGGTTACCCAGAATGTAATTACCCTTCTTCTGACAGTGGGACAGTTCCGATCAATCGCTATGCGCCAACGTGGCAAGCGTTCACGAAGTGGTAGCGCCATTTCGCATATCATGTCGCCTGTCAAGCCTGTTACACATTTTGCTCATCTAGGGAACCAAATATACGGCTATGCATGTGAACACCCTCATCCAGAAGAATCGAACCCGCGACCTCTGTCCATCCTGAACAAATTTCACCCACTCGGACATCTCGGCAATTTCAATGTGGTCTGGCGCAAAACGGACCCCAACCCCAAGAGGACCATGCGCGACTCGTCTCACCTTGGTAATGCCTGGACAGGAAATAGCACTAGTGCTTCCTGATGGACGCCTTGCTACGTATGTAATGTAACTGTATTCAGGTCGACGAAGAGGAATAGGTCACCAAGCCAGGGAGCATTTCTTCTCAGTTTATCTGCAATTTATGCGATAGCGTTTTCTGTTGCGATGACGTGAAAGTTACGGCAAACGATTCAGTTTATTAAGTATTGGACCTAACAAACTAAGAGCGATTCCAATGGGATTAAGTGGATATTGCTTACGCCGTTGATTGCTGCGAGTGGCATTCATATATCGAAGTCGCTTCGTATTCTTAGATTTCACAACTTCTCGTACTCGTCAAGAAGCGCACTGACCAGCTTCGTCGCGAGCTAGCACCCACCCACGTAACCTTACCGTTTTTGTCTCTTCTTTAGGTCGTTTTCATGGATTACTCTAGTCACAATACCGGCTACGAGGGTAACGATGACGACGAGCATGTGGACGAAGAGGAGGAGGAGGAGGAATACGACGAGGAGGAGGACGAGGAGAGGGGTGTGCCGAACATGCTGGCGTTTATGCTAGGGAACGTGAACGACGAGGGTTCGCTGGAGGAGGAGTACATGGATGAGGTAACATGAATATACGGTTTCGTCTTTATCCTTCCAATACTCGTGACACCAATTTCTCATCACAAACTGTAACATGATTGCGCTAAGAACATGAAAGTCAGGTTCTTTCGCGTTCTGACAGGAATGGTAGCTGGTTAAGGCTGTGTGTTGCATACTAGTTAAATCTGACCGGTCTTGTCCTGGTTCCTGGCAGTGTTTGTCTCACCCGTCTTCCTGAACTGACTCTTACACTCTGGTTCATTGTGTTACCCCTCCTGATCCGTCTCTTACACAATCTTCGTTGTCTTATCCCGCAGGAGGCGAGGGATCACTTAGCTGGATTGGCGGACCAGCTCGGTCCAGCCTTGGCTGACATGGAGGTACTCTCGAGTGATGAAAAAATCTTTTGTTTTATTCTTCCTTAGATGATTCGATTCTGGTTGACCTAGCATTTGACCTAATGAACACCCCAATAGCTCCCAGCTCTGCCCAGCCTTGACCGACGTGGAAGTGCTGTTGGGATGGGATGGATATATGTGATTCACTGACTATCTTCCAGTTTAGCACTCAGGAAAATGAACGTGGCTTCTTACACCGCTCAGCCTTCTCGGGGACTGCTGACCTCCGCTGATGCCCGCGTGTCGTTTCCCTGTGCTTTGAATCTTTCCTGGCAGTTTGAGGCGCGGTCAGGGGCCGGGCAAGCTGGTGATGATGTTGATGGTGAGCCTGTTTGCTGAGACATTGATTCTCAGGCTTAACTCCGTTGCCGCTGCTGAACGAGCAGGCCATGATTGGGAAAGCATATAACGCGGGTAGCGATGGGAAATCGCAGGACAGCAAACCTGATTTGTGTATTTACTGTGCGCGCGCGCCTCCTTGTCGCTGTGCTGACGCACAGATGTAACCGGAAAGGAGGAGTTGCATGGGTTTCGATTGTTGATCTGATAAGAAAATGCTTGTGTGTCCCTCGACCCTGCCTTAACGAGCAGACTACGACCGGAAAGCAGACGATGCAGAGGACTATGAGGATATAGACGAGGCGTTTGAGGAGGACGATGCTGGCGCTGGTAGCAGCGGTGCTGGTGCTGCTGCTGCTCCTGCTGCTGCTGGTGGCGATGCTGGTGGAAGTGGGTTCGATTATGCTGCTGGGCTGGAAGCAGTTGGTGCGGGTGATGCAGGGGAGGAAGAGGATTATGACCTGGAGGAGGAGGAGATGGAGGGGGAGGAGGAGAGGGAGGAGGAAGCGGAGGAGGCAGCGGGACAGGGCGCAGGGAAAGGGGGGTTTGAGGATGGGAACATGGGTGCAGTTGGAGGGGGAGAGGCTGCAATCGAGGGGAGTGCGGAGCAGGAGGAGGAAGAGGAAGAGGTGGACGAGGGAGAAGGAGAAGAGGAAGAAGAGGAGGACGAGGAGGAGGAAGAGGAAGTGGAGGAGGAGGAGGGGATGGAGGAGGATGAGGAGGAGAAACGGGAGGAGGTGACAGGGTTGGAGCTGGAGTTTGGGGATATGGGGAATGTGGAGATTGGGGCAGAAGAGGGAATAGAAGGGCAAGAGGAGGAAGAGGAGGCAGAGGATGAGGAGGATGAGGAAGAGGGTGAGGGTGAGGGTGAAGGGGATCAAGAGAAGGAGGCGGAGGAAGAGGAGGAGGCAGGCATTGATCCTGGATTCGGAGAGGAAGGATTTGGAGGGATGGAACAAGACGAGCAGCAGCAGCAGCAGCAGCAGCAGGAAGAAGTGAGGCAAGGAGAGGAGGAAGAAGAGGAGGACGATGAGGATGAGGAACTTGATGGGCTTCTGGACGAGTTGGAGGAGGCTGGGCAGGCAGATAGAGCAGAGGAGGAACGGGTGGGAGAGGAGGGAGGAGACGGAGGAGGTGAAGAGGAGGAGGACGGAGAAGGGGGTGCAGAAGGGCAGGGGGAAGGAGAAGAGGAAGGAAGCGAGGAGGAGGAGGATTCTGATGAAGATGGGGGAGAGGGTGAAGAAGAGGAGGGTGGTGAGGAAGCAGGGGAGGATGGTAGGGAGGGGATGGAGGAGGGAGGTGGAGGGGAGGACGAAGCTGCATTTGCGTCTCAAGGCTATGAGGCTGAAGATTCTGCATGTAGGTCTTGTTACCAGTATGGGGCGGGAGAGGGAGGGGGGGGGGGGTAGCGGTGGCGTTTTGAGTCGACTAAGAAAAGGCTATGAGGCTGAAGATTCTGCATGTGGTCTTGTTACAAGCAGGGGGGACGTAACGGCAGGTTAGATAGATTGTGATGTGTTAGTGAATGCAAAGACTGGATTCCAAGATACGCAGGGGTGCATAGGTTATGGTGTTGGAAGTAGGGTGTTTTGTGATTATTCCAATTTTTTGAGCAGTTTTGTTTTCGCAGTTTTCCTTCGAGGGTGTCGATCGGGGAATTGTCTCGAGTGCACTTGGTCTGTCTGTCCTTGAATTGGTTGTCTCACTTTCAACCTTATTCTCCGTGTGTACTCTTGGACTGCAGTGCCGACCACCCCTGGCGAATTGGGATTCACAGAGGACGAAGAAGAGGACGAGGATGAGGAGGAGGAGGAGGAGGAGGAGGAAGCGGAGGGTGCAGTAGAGGGGGTTGAGGATGAGGGGGAGGAGGATGAGGAGGAGGAGGGGGACGAGGAAGGGGAGGAGGAGGAAGACGAGGAAGAGGAAGAGGAAGGAGCGGAAGGAGAGGACGATGGAAAGATGGAGGAGGAGGAAGGGGATGGGCTAGATGAGGGGTTGGATGAAGAGGAGGAAGGAGAGGCGGGCACACAGGGCTCACTGGATGAAGGGTTGGATGATCATGAGGAAGCTGAGGAGGATGAGGAGGAGGAGAAAGGGGATGAGGAGGAGCAGCACGAAGAGGAGGAAGAAGAGGAGGGGGGTGAAGAGGAGGAGGAGGAGGAAGAGGAAGGCAAAGAAGGTGAAGATGGAGATAATGAGGTAGGGGGAGATAGAGGGGAGGACGATGGAGGTATTGGTCAAGAGGAAGAGGAGGATGAGGACGAGGATACAGAGGAGGGAGGGGAAGAGGCAGAGGAGGGAGGGGAAGAAGAGGAGGCAGAGGAGGAGGGAGGGGAGGAAGAGGAAGCAGAGGAAGAGGGAGTGGCGGAAGAGGAGGCAGAGGAGGAGGAGGGAGGGGAGGAAGTGGACGGAGAAGTTGAGGGAGAGGGTGTGGGAGAAGAGTATGGGAAGGAGGGAGATGAGGAGGAGGAGGACAATGAGGGAGCAGAGGAGCAGGAGGACGATTTGGAGGCGGACTTAGAAGCAGCGTTGGAGGAGGCAATGGATGAGGGTGAACGGGAGGGGGATAGGGGGATGGATGAGGGGGAGGGGGGTTTGGATGATGGGGAGGAGGGAGGAGAAGGGGAGGAAGGGGCAGGAGAGGAGGACGAGGAGGATGAGGAGGAGAAAGAGAGTGCTGAAGGTGGTGCTGCTGCAGATGAGGAGGCAGGTGGTGTTGTGGCAGGCAGCGGAGAGGGAATGGTAGGAGGACAGTGGGCAGCTGGTGACATGGTTGCAGGGAGTGAGGAAGGAGGACAGGGAGAAGAAGAGCAGGGAGTGAGGGGCGAGGCAGAGAGTGGAGGTGCTGCTGTCAAGGGTGCGGAGGAGGCAGATGGGGGGGTTGGGGGGGAGAGGGAGGATGAGGAGATGAGAGAACAGGAGGATGCTGATGGTGAAGGGGAAGGTGTGGAAGGGGGAGAAGAGGGCGGTGGGCAGCAGGGCATGGGTGCTGGTGACGGTGAGACGGATGCAATGGATTGGGCTGGGGAAGGAGAGGGGGAAGGGTCAGGGGAGGAGGAGGGGCTGGATGGAGGGAGGGGAGACGACGAGGGAGAGGAGGGAGAGGCGGAGGGAAAGGAGGAGGAGGGGAAGCGGAGGAGTGAGCTGCCGGTGCTGTTCAAGGAAGGGGGCAAGGATGTGTTGCGCTTCTCAGACATCTTTGGCATCAAGGGCTCCTTCTGGTCGCTCGTCGTGCAGCGAGGGTCCCGCCCCAAGCGCCACCGCGTGCTGCCTCGTGCGCCTACTGTGTGTGGTGAGTGGGGTTGCTTCTTGGCTCATGGGATAACAATGAGAGCTACGAGTTGAATGAAGTTTAAACTGTTACTTGATGTGCTGCAAGGAGCCATAATTTGCAAGGAGCTTTAATCTTTAGAACTGATTTCTCACGCTTTATTAGTTTAAAGTGTTGTATGTGTTGTGGGTGTGTTTTTGTGTGAACGGGGAATGTGTGCGCATGGGGAACGTATGTGGATATGTTTCTTGTAGATCCAGGGCAAGAGGACGATGAGGTGCTTCTTCGATCTGCACCGTCACCGAAACGAACAGCTGAGATGATGCGAGAGCGAGCTATTGCTCTTGAGAAAGAGCTACAATATCAAGAAATGTTGGAGAGGGAGGAGGAAGAGGAGGAGGAAGAAGAAGACGAGGAAGATGAGGAAGAAACAGACGAAGAGGAAGAGGATGAAGTAGAAGAAGAGGTAGAATCAGAAGAAGAAGAAGAGGAAGAGGAAGAAGAAGAGGGAGAAGCTGCGGAGGATGAGGGGGAAAAGGATGAAATAGAATTCAGGGAACAAGAGGCGATTGGTGCTCAGATGAAAGAAGAGCGGAAACCAGCAGCAAGGGAGGAGGAGAAGGAGGAGCGGTTGGAGGAAGAGGAGAATCAGGCCGTATCTGAAAGAGCTAGGATAGAGGAGGGTCGAGAATGGAACAAGGAGGGAATGGATGAAATGGAGAGGGAAATTATGAAAGAGGGAAGGGAGGGTGAGGGCGAGGGTGAGGGCGAGGGTGAGGGGCCAGCGGAAGAGGAGAGGGCAAGGATTGAGGAAAAGAGGAGTGCTGGAGAGGAGGATGAAAGGGACGGTCAGGAGCAGGGGCAAGCTGAAAGTGACGAGGGAGAGAAAGATGGGAGTGCGGACGAGGGGAATGAGAAAAATGAAGATGTGGAGAAGGGAGAGAAAGGTGGGAATGTGGAGAAGGGAGGGTTCGATGAGAAGGATCAACGGCCGAAGGAGGAAGGCTTGAGAGGTGATGCTGAGGTGGCAATGGAAGGGGACAGGGCAAGGGTTGAGGAAAAGGGGAATAATGGAGAGGAGGATAATTGGGAGAAGAAAAGGGTTGAGGAGAAGAGGGATAGGGAAGAGGTGCCTCGGACCACTCTTGAGACGCCTTCAAGCACTTTGGAGGGCGAGCCTAGAGGGCTAGAGGGCGGTGGCTCAGAGAAAGAAACTAGGTATGAGGGAGCGAGTGAGGGAAAGAGTGAGGGAGGGAGTGAGGGGACGAGTGCGGTTATGGTGGATGTGAAGAAGGATGAGCGGGTCAAGGTTGAGGAGGAGAGAGGAGGTGGGAGGGAGGAAGAGGAGGCGAAAATAGGAGAAGGAGACGGGGCAGGAGGGGCAAGTGCTGAAGGGGCAAGTGCTTCAGGGGCGAATACAGCAGTGGAAAATGGAGAAAAATCAGGAGGGGAGGCAGGAGGTGGAGTGAAGCAGGTGGTTGGAGAGGGTATGGAGACGCAGGAGATGGAAGTGGAGCGAGCAGAGGTGGGGCAGGGTGACTTGGGGGAGGTGGGGACTGGGCAGGGTGACAGAGGGGAGGTGGGAAGTGGGCAGAGTAACACAGGGGCAGGGGCAGCGGTGGGGCCTGGAGAGCAGGACATGGGGGTTGGAGAGGGCACGGAGAAAGGGGTTGAAACCAGCAAGATGGAGGTTGAGAAGTCAAATGTTGAGACTTCTCAAAGCCCTATAAGGGCTGGAAAGGACAAGGAGAGAGGGGCTGACACTGGCAACATGGAGGTTGAGAAATCAGGGGAGGATGTTGAAGGGGCTGGAAGGCGTATTGGTGGGGGCGATGGGGGAGAGACTGCACGCATGGACGTGGACCAATCTGAAGGGGTAGGGGTGGAGCAGAGGGAAGGTGAGGGGCTAGGGGCGGAGTGCCAGGGATTGCGTGGTGCTGCAGAGGAAGCTGTTTTGGGGGCGTGTCAACAGGGGCCTGAGGGGGTGGGAGTGAGGGAAGGAGAGGAGGGCGTGGTAGGGAGGAAAGGAGAGGGGTCACAAGTTGCGGAGGGGTTAGATGGTGCAGAAAAAGGGTTGCATGGTGCACATGAAGGGTCACTAGTGGCAGTAGGGGAAACGGAGGCCGTGAGGGAACGTGAGGTCAAGAAGAGTGAAGGGGCTGAGGAGAGCACAAGGGGAAAGAATGAGGAGGCGGAGGAGACGGGGAAAGAGAGTGGGGAGGGGAGGGAGAGAGAGGGTGAGGAGATGGGGAGCGGGAATGGGGAAGAGGAGAGAATTCAAGTGCCTTCTGAAACGAGGGAACAATGTGCTGTCCCTGAGATGCCTCAGAAACAGTCAGTTGAAGATGAAAGTGCAGCAGGTGGTGCTGAGGGTGGTAATAATGATGGAAGGGACGGCGAAGTGGGCGGCAACGGAGGCAGCATAGAGGACGGCGTGAAGGATGGCAGTGAAGAGAGCAAGAAAGAAGGGAAGGTGGCGGGGGCAGGCGAAGGTGATGGGGATGGGGACAGGCGAGGGAGTGGAGATGGGCTTGGTGATGCGAATCAGATCGGCGGGGGTGATGGGCATTTGAATGGGCATGGTGATAGGCGTGTGGGTGGTGATTCTCGTAAAGATGGGGATGGGAATGGGATTGGGGATGGGGATGCGTTGAGGAGGGTTGTGCAGAGTGAGAATGGGGTGGAGAAGGAGGGCGATTGCCTGGTCCGTGGGGAGAAAGAGGGTAGAGGGAGGGGAGAAGAGGAGGATGCAGGGCGGATGGTTACAGAGGAGAGTGGCGTGGGGACAGGTGAGGCAAGGGAGAAAGAAGGAAAGGAAGGAGCGAAAGGAGAGGATGGAGGGAAAGGAGAGGGAGACGGGCTTGTTGGTGATGGGAGCGAGATTAAAATGCAAGTGGTGGATGAGAGTGTGGAGGGAGGAAAGGGCGATGGGACCAATAATGGTGGTGACGGTGATGATGGTGGTGATGTAGAGGGTTTGAGGGAGAACGAAGAAGATGGTAGGGAAAAGGAGCAAGAGCAAAGGGAAGGAGCAGGAGAGAAAGAGAAGGGAGGAGAGGAAGAGGGGAGAGGAGAGGAGGGGGGCGAGAAAAGGACCGTGGTAGGCGAGGATTTGGAGGGGAAAGGTGAGATGAAGCTTGGAGTGGAAGGGGGTGGGGAGCAGGAGGAGATGGCTGCGGCAAGGGATGGCAAGCTGGGAGATAGCAGTGATAGAGGGGATGGCAATATAGAGGATGATAATAGAGAGGATAAAGGTAGAAAGGATGAGACGATACAGGTTGGTAGTAGAAGAGATGGTGATAAAGGGGATGTTAATAAGGCAGTTGGATTGGAGGAGGGAGCGGGGGAGGGAGTGAGGGAGGGGGTGGAGGAGGGAAGAATGGGTTATGTAATGGAAGCTATGGGCGAGAAGGGGGAGAAGAAGGGAGAGCAGAAGGATGAGAAGGGGGAGAAGAACGAGGAGAAGGGAGAGGAGAAGGAGAAGGTTGAGAAAGGGGAGGAGAACGAGGAGAAGGGAGAGGAGGAGGAGAAAGGGGAGAAGGGGGAGGAGGAGGAGAAAGGAGAGGAGAAGGAGAATGGGGAGAAGGAGGACGAAGGGGAGGATGGTGAACAGATGGAGGTGGACGCACAGCCTGTTGAAGAGAGAGAGGGTGGAGAGGAGGGGAAGGAAGTGGGGGAAAGGTTGGAGGAGCGGAAGGTTGAGGAAGGGAGGAAAGAGGAGGAAGAGAAATTTAAGGAAGAGAATGAGGCGGGGGAGAAAGTTGAGAGGATGGAAGTGGAAGGAGAAACCGAAGAAGGGGGCGAAGAAAAGGGAGAGGACAAAGAGGGGGGGCGAAAGAAGGAGCCTGTGAATGGGAGTGAGAGACAGGGGATGGGAGGGGGCGATGGCAGTGGTGCGGTGGAGAGAGGGTGCGGAGAGAAGCAAGGTAACGTGGCAGGGGTGGAAGGCAAATGTGGGATGGGGATCCCTCCTGAAGGGGAGGGAGAGAAGGGGGTGAACGATGCAGGACGAGTTGATGGGGAGGCAGGCGAAATGAAGAGGTTGTGGATGGGAGAGGCAGGGGAAGGAGAGGGTATGATGCTGGAGGGACAAGGACATCAGGTGCAGGGGGGAGTGGTGGGGGGTTTGGTGGAGGGAATGGTGGGGGGATCTGGGGAGTTGAAGGAGGCACAGCAGCCACAGGAGTGTGTTGATGGGTATGAGAAGGAAGGGGAGGAGGAGGCAAAGGGAGAGGAGGGAAAGGGAGACGAGGGTGAGGGTAAGGAGGATGGGACGGATGAAGCTGCAGTTGATGGTAGACAGGTGGGGATGGGCGCAGAGAAGAGTGAGTTTGAGGACGGTGCTTCTAATGCCTGTGCAGCGGGGGAGGGTAGTGAGAAGGATAAGGAGGATGGGACGGATGAAGCTGCAGTTGATGGTAGACAGGTGGGGATGGGCGAGGAGAACATCAAGTGTGAGGACGGTGCTGCTGATGCCTGTACGAGATGTGATGGCAGTGGAGAGGGCAGTGGGGAGGGCAATGGAGAGGGAAGTGGAGAGGCGACTGGAGAGGAGATTGGAAAGGGGAGTGGGGATGGCAAAAGTGAGGATGCTGCTGTGTGTGAGGGGTGGGACACAGTCGAAGGAGACAGAGGTAGCTTGGGAGAGGGGGAGGGAGTGGTAGGGGAGAAGGAAGGGGGGAAGGAGGGGGGAGGAGTGGGAGGGGAGGGAAGAGAAGGAAGGTTGTCTGAGGAGGGAGGGGATGGGGGAAGGGGAGGCGAGGGAGAGGAGGGGGGCGAAGAGAAGGGGATGAGAAAGGGAGTGGTTGGGGAGGGAGGAAAGGAATGGCAAGAGAGAGGAGCAGGCGAAGGGATGCAAGAGGGAGAAGTAGGACAGGGGGAGGATGGTGAAGGGGAAGTGGGAGTGGTTAAAGTGAAGGGGGCGGGTCATGAAGACGAAGGAGAAGAGGGAAGAGAAGCAGGGCGAGAGATGGTGATGGTGGGGGGGGGTAGTCTGAACGAAGGAGGGAAAGAGAGTGATGAAAGAGGGCGGGAGATTGAGGGGATGATGGTGAGAGGTGGTCTTGAGGAACGAGGAGGAGCGAGAAGAGAAGCAAGTCGAGAAATTGTGGCGGTAGGCACGAAATTGGGCAAGAGAGCGGACAGAGCAAAGCTCAAGGCGGCAAAGAAGGTGCTAAAAAAAAAGACGCGTAAAACGAGGATGAAGAGGCCATCAAAGGGGGCTGTTCGGCAGTCTCTGGGCGGGTCATTCTTTCAAAAGCAGGGCCGTTTGGAGGAAAGGGATGAGCTGATGGAGTCGTTTGCAGGGGTGTTTGACAGCACGCCTGGTGCTGTGTTCTCTGCTCTCATGCAGAGCGACTGGGAGGACCAGATCGTGTGGGGCAGCCCTGAACGCGCCGAGAGCTGGGAGGGCGAGGGTGAGGGTGAGAGACGGGAGAGAGGTGGAGTGGGGGTGACGGGGCATGGGGAGAGGGAAGGAGAGGAAGAGGAGGAGGACGAGGAGGAAGAGGAGGAGCGGAAGGGGAGGAGGGAGGAACGTGGTGAGAGGGAAAACGGGGATGTGGAGGGGAAGATGGGAAGTGAAAGGCACATGGAGACGGATAAAGTGAAGATGGATGGCACGAGAGAGGGTGGTATTGGAGCAGAGCAAGGCGGCAAGGAGGAAGGGACTATTGAGAGGCTTGATATTTCTGGCGGGGAGGAATCAGACGAGGATCTAGAATGGGAGGATGGCGGCACAGGGGGCTCAGGTGAAGAGAAGGGTGAAAAGAGCAGTAAGGGTGGAGGGAAAAAGGGAGGTGTGCTGGTGGCGGCACGAAAGCAGCAGCCGCCAGCAGAGCTGGTGGGGCAGTATGGGGATGTGCTGGTGTATGATGATGGGGTGGTTCTTGAGCCCATAGGTGCGTCTTGGCCCAAGCCCAGGGCGTTCAGAGGCTGGGAGGAGGACGGAGAGGCTCGGGAAATCCACCCGCTGCTGCTCCGGCTCGAGTGCCAGGCTCGGGCCGAAGCTGGGGCCAAGGCTCGGGGAAGGAGGAAGGTGGGAGAAAAGGGAGGTGGGGTTGGAGGGGGAGAGGGAGGGAGTGGTGGTGGTGCAGGTGGGGAGGGGGCAGGGGGTGTGTCTGGTGACGCGGAAGGTGATGGTAGGGGCGATGGTGGTGTTGGTAAGCTTGATGATATGCCTGGGGATGAGCATGGGCGTGAGCATGAGGCAGAGGGGGAGGAGGAGGAGGATGAGGAGGAAGAAGAAGAGGATCCAGCCAAGGCGGCAGTGAGGAGGCGAGTGAGAGAGGTGCTGCGGACTGCAGCCGTGCCTAGAAACACAGAGCTGGACTCGGGCGCATGGTTGGATGCGGTGCTGTGGGGTGATGAAGATGAGGAGGAGGACGAGGGCGAGGAGAGGAAGGAGGCGGGTGAGGAGGAGAGGGAGGGGAAGAGGAAGGGTAGCATGAGGGAAGGGAGAGAGGGGAGTGTCACTACAGACGCTCCTGTTCTGCTGACCTTCTCACAGGTGTTTCCACGGGCTTCAAGGCGCATAAAGGTGCACAAGCCAACGAAACTGGCACCGTCCACCGTGGATGTTCCCTTGGCCCGCCCTTCTCTCCTATCTCGCCCCGCTCCTCCGCGCATAATCTTTGACCTCAGCGATCGCCGCATGACCTTCCAGCTGGTGGGACCGGTGGGAGAAGTCACTTGGAGGGAAGGTACTGGGGTGGGGAGTTCTTTGCTGGGGAGGGTATCGCTGGTGGGTGTGACTGAGGCAGGTGCATCTAGTGCAGGTGTTTCTGGGGCAGGTGCAGGGCCAGGTGGTGTAGTTGCAGGTGCGGGTGGGGCGAGCGGCATGGAGGAGGTTGCAGGGAGGGTGGAGGCATGTGGAGAGGATGTGGCAGGTGGTGCTGGGACGACGATTTCTTTGATCGACCATGCGTTGGCTATGATTGTGCCAGCTCAGCCGCTCGTCGTGCCACATCAGCAGCAGCAGATGCTGACGCTCCCGACGTCAGCACCCGTAAGTGTCGGCGAAACAGCAGCCGCCGCTGCCACCCCTGCCACCACCACCGCCGCAGCAGCAGCAGGAGCAGCAGCAGCAGCAGCAGGAGCAAGCGCGTCTGAACCCAGCAGCTCCATCGTCCCTCCACCACCCTCCCTCTCCTCCACGCTCCCATCAGCACACCGCCCACTCCCAGGCGACGCAGCAGCGGGGTGGCTGCCTCCCGAGTTCCTGGCAGAGGCAGCAGCGTGGGCGGTGGATTTCTCGCGGGACCATCTGTACCAGAGCAGCAAGGCGGGCGTGGGGGCGGTGGGCGGGGCTGGGGGTGGAGGGAAGGCGCACGGGAAGAAGCGTGCGAGCACGAGCGTGAAGGTGTACCACTCGCTGCCGGCTATTCGACTTCAGACGATGAAGCCACGACTGAGCAAGTAAGTGCGGGGTTGAGGGCTGTGATTGTGAGGCGCGGCGCGGGGAAGGCGCATGGGAAGAAGCGCGCGAGCACGAGTGTGAAGGTGTATCATTCTCTGCCAGCTTTTAGACTGCAGACGATGAAGCCACGGCTGAGCAAGTAAGTGCGGGACTGGGGGGTTGAGTGCAGTGCTCCAATTGCTGATTGAGTGGTGGATTGTGAATCTGAAGGGGTACCACTTGCTGTCGGCCATCCGGCTTCAGACGATGAAGCCAGGACTGAGCAAGTAAGTGAGGGGTTGAGGGCTGTGATTGTGAGGCGCGGCGCGGGGAAGGCGCACGGGAAGAAGCGCGCGAGCACGAGTGTGAAGGTGTATCATTCTCTGCCGGCTATTAGACTGCAGACCATGAAGCCACGGCTGAGCAAGTAAGTGCGGGACTGGGGGGTTGAGTGCAGTGCTCCAATCGCTGATTGAGTGGTTGTGAATCTGAAGGGGTACCACTTGCTGTCGGCCATCCGGCTTCAGACGATGAAGCCAGGACTGAGCGCGTGAGTGTGGGATTGTTCAAGGAAATCGTACCCTCCTAGGGGTTATAAGGAAATTGTACCCTCCTTCCCTCCCCTGTCTGTTCCCCCATCACCCCCCATCCTTCCCCAACTCCTCTGTCTGTTCCCCCTCCACCCGTCACTCCAACAAGGACCTGTCTCGCTCCCACCGCCCGCAGGCACTGTGGCTTGCGCACCAGAGCGAGGCTGCTTTTAAGATGTCTCACTGCTCTTCCAACCCCCCCCGTTCCCAATACTCCCCCCTCCTCCCTCCTCCAGCAAGGACCTATCGCGCTTCCACCAGCCACAGGCGCTGTGGTTTGCGCACCAGAGTGAGGCGGCGGCAAGGGCACAGGGGCGGGTGGAGGGGCAGGAGGGCAGCCTGCGCGTGATCGTGAGGAGAGGGAAACTTGAAAACCCCCCAGTTCTCCCCCCCTTTCCTCTTTCGCAACCTCTTTGACCCCCTCCCCATCCGTTCCCCCATTCCTCCCCATCGCCCTGTCTCTTTGCCTCCATCTCCCCCCTTTCCAGCAAGGACCTATTGCGCTTCCACCGTCCAAAGGCGATGTGGTTTGCACACCAGAGCGAGGCGGCTTTTAAGATGTCTCACTGCTCTTCCAACCCCCCCCGTTCCCAATACTCCCCCCTCCTCCCTCCTCCAGCAAGGTCCTATCGCGCTTCCACCGTCCACAGGCGCTGTGGTTTGCGCACCAGAGCGAGGCAGCAGCAAGGGCGCAGGGGCGTATAGAGGGGCAGGAGGGCAGCCTGCGCGTGATCGTGCGGACTCTGGGCAGCAAGGCTGTGAAGCTGCACGTGGGCGCGGGGGAGATGCTGGGTGCACTCCGGGCCAAGACAGCCAAGAAACTGGGAGGTGCGTGTGTTGAAGGTGGGAGACATGTGAGACTGGGAGGGAGGTATGTGCTATGACGGCAAGGCTGTGATGACGCTGGGCAGCAAGGCTGTGAAGCTGCACGTGGGCGCGGGGGAGATGCTGGGTGCTCTGCGAGCCAAGACCGCCAAGAAATTGGGAGGTATGTGGTAGGGCAGCCTGTGGGTGCTCGTGAGGACACTGGGCAGCAAGGCTGTGAAGCTCCATGTAGGCGCTGGGGTGATGCTGGGGGCACCGCGAGCCAAAACGGCCAAGAAGCTGGGAGGTGGGTGGGTGGAGTGGAACAGGGGGGTATGTCCTTGCTGCACAGGACATGTGTTGCTGTTGCTGTTGCAAATTGCAAGAAGGCCAGTGGGCGAGCGTGCACAGGGCAAGCCGAGCACACAGAGACACTCCCTTCCCTGCCTGCCCCGAACCCTGCTGTCTCTCATCTCTCTCCTCCTTTCCCTCTCCATACTCTTCCCCTTACTATTCCTATGGACAGACATGAAGGAGAACGAGCCGGTACGCTTCTTCTCAAACAACCAGGAGGTCACAGCAGGCAAGCCGCTGGGCGAGCACACACAAACAGCCCCTTCCTGCTCCCACCCCTGCTTTCCCACCCCTCCTTTCCGCCCCCCTTGTGTTTTCCTCCTTTCCCCGTACGCCCAGACATGAAGGAGAGTGAGCCGGTACGCTTCAACTCAAACAACCAGGAGGTTACAGCAGGCAGGCCGCTGGGCGAGCAGGGAGTGCGAAGCAACGCCATCATTCACGTCGTGCGCCCGCGTCTGCACCCCTGGGGGCGAGCGCACCTGAAGCAGCTCCTGTGTCCCCCCTTTTTTCCTCTGTGCAGACATGAAGGAGAGTGAGCCGGTACGCTTCTTCTCAAACAACCAGGAGGTCACAGCAGGCAGGCCTCTGGGCGAGCAGGGAGTGCGAAGCAACGCCATCATTCACGTGGTGCGCCCGCGCCTGCACCCCTGGGGGCGAGCGTGCCCAGGGCAAGGCGAGCACACATAGAGACACCCCCTTTCCTGTCCTCACCCCTGCTGTCCCTCTCTTCCCTCCGTTTCCCTCTCCATACTCTTCCCGTTACTATTTCCATGCCCAGACATGAAGGAGAGTGAGCCGGTACGCTTCTTCTCAAACAACCAGGAGGTCACAGCAGGCAGGCCGCTGGGAGAGCAGGGCGTGCGGAGCAACGCCATCATCCACGTCGTGCGCCCGCGCCTGCACCCCTGGGGGCGAGCGCACCTGAAGCTCCCCGGCGACAGCAAGCCCAAGCGTCCCCCTGGGGCGTTTCGGAAGAAGGCGGATCTGTCGGTGAAGGATGGCCACGTGGTGCTCATGGAGTGAGTGGGGGGGGGGAAGGGAATGGGGGGGGGAACTTGGGGGGACTTGAGGGGTTTTGGGAGGATTTGGGGGATTTGGAGGGTGTTGGGAGGGGTGAATGGTGGTGAGTGGGATAGGACTATTTCATCCGCCTTTCTCTTCCTTTCCCCTCCCCCCACTTTCTTCTCTCCCTCCACCTATCCCCCCCCCTCCCTCCCCGTCCCTTTCCCTCCTCCTTCTTCTTTCCCCCCCTCTCCCCCCCCCTCTCCCGCCCTTCCCCCCCCACCCGCAGGTACTGTGAGGAGCGCCCGTTACTCCTGAGTAACGTGGGCATGGGCGCCCGGCTCGCCACCTACTACCGCAAGATCTCGCCCGTCGATTCCGGCGCCGCTGCGATCCGGGACGTCCCTTTCTCCGGCTCGGTGATGCCGCTCGAACCGGACGAGGAGTCCCCGTTCCTGGGCGACGTCAGGCCCGGCACGAGCCAGTCCAGCCTCGAGACGAACCTGTTCCGAGCCCCGGTGTTTCGGCAGCATGTGCCGCATACGGACTACCTGCTTGTCCGGTCGCCGAAAGGGAAGCTTTCTATAAGGAGGATAGATGGCATGCAAGTGGTGGGGCAACAGGAGCCGCATATGGAAGTTATGAATCCGATCTCTAAAGCTGCCGTACTCCATAGTAGCAACCGCCTTATGGTTGAAGTCTGTCGGACGTTTCGTGATTATGACAAGGATAAAGACGGCGGCGGGAGCGGCGGTGGGAAGGGAGCGGCGCAAGGGAAGGGTGGGAAGAAGGGGGGGCGGCGGGCAGTGGTGAACGCGCCTAAAGTAAGGGCGGATGATATTGCGGCGCAGTTCCCCACGCTCACCGAGGGGCTTATAAAGAAGCGGCTTAAAACGTGTGCGGAGCTGCAGCGGCTGGAGGGCGGCGAGATGTGGTGGGTGATGCGGAGAAACTTCCGGGTTCCTTCCGAGGAGGAGCTGAGGAGAATGGTGACTCCAGACTCGGTGTGCTGCCATGAAAGCATGCTCGCAGGCCTGCACCACCTTCGACGAATAGGAATCCGCCACCTCACCAACGCATCGCCGCCTCTCAGCACCGCCATCGCCCAGCTTCTCCCGGACAACCCGATTAAGATGGCAGCGAGTCTGCTTATAGAGAGGGAGTTACTGCTCACTCCCTGGAACCTATCCCATAACTATGTATCGAGTATGACTCACGGGAAAGGGGGGCTAGAGAAGCTTGAGATTAGCGGAGCTGGGGACCCTTCTGGCCGTGGCCTGGCGTTTTCCTTTCTCAAAATCCAGCACAAGCAGCCAGGAGCAGAGAAGATCAAGGTGGTGGAAAAACGGGCGGCGCAGGCTCGGGGTGGGGCAGCGGTGACAGGCACGGACGCAGACCTGCGCAGGCTCGGCATGGAGGCGGCTCGGGAGGTGCTGCTGAAACTGGGAGTGGCAGACGAGCAGATCCAGAAGATGGGGCGGTGGCACAGGATAGCTCTGGTGAGAAAGCTGTCTTCGGAGCAAGCGGCCGCTGCTGCAGGGAAGAGTGGTGATTCTGTCGCTGCGCTGAATAAATTTGCGCGCGGGCAACGCATGTCGTTTTCGCAGCTGCAGCTGCAGACGCGGAGCAAGTGCCAGGAGGTGTGGGAGAAGCAGGTCAGGAGCTTATCGGCTCTGGCGGAAGGGGAGGAGGAGGAAGAGGAGGAGCTGTTGGGGGACTTAGACTCGTTTGCGGGGGACTTGGAGAATCTGCTGGAGGCTGAGGAGGGCGGGGAGGAGGAGAGGGAGGGAGGTGGGGCGAGAGGAGGGGGCGTGGGGGGGATGAGGAGGAGGAGGGCTTGGGAGGTGCAGCGAGAGGAGGAGCTGGAGGATGAGGAGGCAGAGGCTGCTGCGCTCAGGCGCATGCTGCTAGAAGGTGGGTTGGGAATGGTTGTATGCGGTGATGGGTGGTGACTGTGGGTGGGCTGATGTGTGGTGAGGTTCAACAGTGGGCGTGGGAGGTGCAGCGAGACGAGGAGCTGGAGGATGAGGAGGCAGAGGCTGCTGCGCTCAGGCGCATGCTGCTTGGAGGTGGGTTGGGAATGGTTGTATGCGTGAACCTTAATCTGGGGGTGAACCTTCATCCGGGGGTGAACCTTCATCCGGGGGGTGAACCTTAATCCGGGGGTGAACCTTCATCCGGGGGTGAACCTTCATCCGGGGGTGAACCTTCGTCCGGGGGTGAACCTTCCTCCGGGGGTGAACCTTCGTCCGGGGGTGAACCTTCGTCCGGTGGTGAACCTTCATCCGGGGGTGAACCTTCATCCGGGAGTGAACCTTCATCCGGGGGTGAACCTTCATCCGGGGGTGAACCTTCATCCGGGGGTGAACCTTCATCCGGGAGTGAACCTTCATCCGGGGGTGAACCTTCATCCGGGGGTGAACCTTCATCCGGGGGTGAACCTTCATCCGGGGGTGAACCTTCATCCGGATGGCCTGTGGTTTGATCGCTGCAGCATGGCTTGCTTGAGGGGAGGATCGTGGAGGCTTGGCTTGCCTCCACGCTTTGTGCTCTTTCAGATTGATCTTTCTCTGCCTTTGTGCGTGGATGGCATGTGTGTGCATCGTCTGTGTGTACATATGTGTGCATGCATCCTGTGTGTGTGTGAGAGTGTGTGTGTGGGTGGGGAAGGTGCGTGTGGGGGTGGAGAGGGGGATGCACGGGGGTGGGATGGGGGCGCACGGCGCGGGTGCGTGCATGTGCATGTGCATGTGCGTGTGCATGGGTGCGTGTGCATGGGTGCGTGTGCATGGGTGCGTGTGCATGGGTGCATGGTGGCATGGATGCATGGTGGCATGGGTGCATGGTGGCATGGATGCATGGATGCATGGTGGCATGGGTGCGTGGATGCATGGTGGCATGGATGCATGGTGGCATGGATGCATGGATGCATGGATGCATGGTGGCATGGGTGCATGGATGCATGGTGGCATGGATGCATGGTGGCATGGATGCATGGATGCATGGTGGCATGGGTGCATGGTGGCATGGGTGCATGGATGCATGGTGGCATGGATGCATGGTGGCATGGATGCATGGTGGCATGGGTGCATGGTGGCATGGGTGCATGGTGGCATGGATGCATGGATGCATGGTGGCATGGGTGCATGGTGGCATGGGTGCATGGTGGCATGGATGCATGCGTGCATGGTGGCGTGCAGATGATGATCCCAAGGAGAACAGCAAGAAGAAGAAGGATAAGAAGAAGGAGAAGGAGAAGAGCAAGGAGAAAGAGAAGGAGAAGGAGAAGAAGGAGGATGGAGGGGAGAAGAGCAGCGCTGCAGCTGCCAAGCACGGCGAGGCAGGAGCAGGAGGAATGGTGGTGCGTCCTTGGCTTGGCTCCTTCCTTGGTTTTCCTTGGGCTGTATTTGCCTCCTTGCCACCTCCCATCTCTTCCCCCCCCCTCCCTTGCATCCTTGCATATGAAACGGTTTATTGTCCTCAAATTCTTCGCAATCCGCTTCCTCCTCCTCACTCCTCCCCTCTCATCTCCGTGCCTCCCTTCTCCTCCCGTCTCTCCCCCCTCCACCCCTCTCCTCCCGTCTCTCCCCCCTCCACCCCTCTCCTCCCATCTCCCCATTCTCGTCCCTCCTCCCTCACGTTCAGGACCAAGAGGCTGGGAAAGTTGCAGCAGCATCAGCAGCAGGAGGCGCTGAGGGGGCCGGAGGGGTAGCGGTGGGTGCGGAGGGAAAGAAGCGGGTGGTGGTGAAACGGCTGAAGAAGAAGATCAAATCGCGGCTTCCCGATGGCACGTTTGTGTTCAAAGAGATCATCATCACGGACCCACAGCTGGTATGTGGGTGCATCCTGTGGTGTTCCTATGCACGTGTCAAGCTTTCCTCACCGCAGGCAGCCCGACGGCACGTTGGTGGTCTAGGAGGTCACCATCACAGACAGACCCACAGCAGGCATGTATGTGGCAGGCAGGCAGTATGCAAGTGCGTGCATGGCATGGCAGGCAGGCAGTATATGCAAAGCGTGCATGGCATGGCAGGCAGTGAGCGTGTGTAACCACTGATAGTGTAACCATCAATTTACCACTGATAGCTGGATCGCACGGTGTTGGTCAAAGAGATCATCATCACGGAGCTGCAGTGGCAGGTAGTGGCAGGTAGTGGCAGGTAGTGGCAGGTAGTGGCAGGTATTGGCAGGTAGTGGCATGGCAGGTAGTGGCAGGTAGTGGCAGGTAGTGGCAGGTTGTGCGTGCGTGCGTGCGTGCGTGCGTGCGTGCGTGCGTGCGTGCGTGCGTGCGTGCGTGCGTGCGTGCGTGCGTGCGTGCGTGTGTGAGTGGCAGGCGGTGGCAGTGGGGTGCATCTGAAGGCATGGCAGGCACGGCAGACTGTGAACCCAAGGGCCAGACGAGCAACTTCTGAATCGACTCAAAGGTCAATTCTTCCTTCCACCCCCCACTCTCCCTCTCTCCCCTCCCTCCCTCCCTCTCTCCCCTCCCCCTCCGCCCCTCTCTCTCCTCCCCACCCCCCCCAGATCGAGGCTGAGATGGCCAAGCGATCAGCCCTGGCAGCACAGAGAGGCGCGGCAGGGGGAAAAGGAGGGCAGCAGGCAGAGCAGCAGGCGGGGCAGCAGGCGGGGCAGCAGGAGGGGCAGCAGCAGGAGCAGGGAGGAGGGGCAGAGAAGGGCCAAGCAGGTGCAGACGAAGCAAGCAAAGCTGCTGTGCCCGCCCCTCCCTCCCAACCACCTGCCACACCTTCGAAAAAGGCTGCCCCAGATAAGGTAAGCTCCTGTCGCTGCCTTTGAGCCCTACCTTTTCTAATGGTCCTTCATTGAATAAAGCATGTGATACAGCACGATACGGTATAACGTACAGGCTTCCTTTGAGAGTCCCTCCCTCTGTCCTTCCTTCCCTCTGTCCTTCCTTCCCTCTCCCACCCCGCTTCTTTGTCCCCGACGTCCCATCCCTTCCTACCTTTCTTTCCCTCCAGCTCTCCGCCCCCACTTTACTCACCTGTTTGATCGAATCCGTGCTCGGTACACTGTTCACTCATTGCTCTCGGTACTCGTTGCTCACTACTGCGACTCCCCGAGAATCATGCGTGTAGTGAGTCGATTTTTTAGTCGACTCAAAAATCACTCTCGGTGCTCATTGCTCTCGGTGCTCATTGCTCTCGGTGCTCATTGCTCTCGGTGCTCATTGCTCTCGGTGCTCATTGCTCTCGGTGCTCATTGCTCTCGGTGCTCATTGCTCTCGGTGCTCATTGCTCTCGGTGCTCATTGCTCTCGGTGCTCATTGCTCTCGGTGCTCATTGCTCTCGGTACTCGTTGCTCACTACTGCGACTGCCTGAGAATCATGTCTGAGGTACACTGTTCACTCATTCTCTCTGTGTTGTTACTGTGCAGGGGGGTGAGGGCGAGGGGGCAGGAAAGAAGCGGAAGAGGGGAGGGCAGGCAGGAGCCAAGGCAGAAACCCCCGCCAAGGGAACCCCCTCTAAAGGGACCCCCACTCCCACCAAGAAGGAAGCTGCTGGGAAGAAGGACGGCAGTGGGCCAAAGAAAGGACAGAGGGCGTCAGTGGTGTGTGGGGCGTGCGGGCAGGAGGGGCACATGCGCACTAACCGCGCTAAGTGTCCCCTCTATATGGAGGATGAGGAGGGGAATCAGATTCACAGGGATGGGGCGCTGGCAGAGGGGTTGTTAGAGAGGAAAGGGACGAAGATCAAAATTAAGTCGAAGCTGCTGCTGGGGAAGGCTGGGGGAAAGGGGGGAGTTGAGGGGTCGGGTGGAGGAGTGAGTGGTGCTGGGGGGTGGAGTGGGGTGGGAGGCGGTGGTGGGAAGGTTGGTTCTGCTGGTGCCGGTGGTGTTGGTGAGGGTGCAGGCGATGGTGATGGTGGTGCTGCTGATGCTGGGGATGGGGAGGATGGATGTGATTTTGATCTGACAGCCACACAGCCTAGCCAAGCCAGTTATGGTGCTGATGCTGCTGCTGGTGGTGCTGCTGGTGGTGATGGTGATGCTGGTGTTGGTAAGAAGGGTAAGGAGAAAAAGGAGCGGAAGGAGAAGAAGGGGAAGAAGGGGAAGAAGGAGAAGGAGGAGAAGAAGAAAGGGAAGAAAAGTTCTCACTCTGCTTTGGATGATGAAGTTCCTGCTGATGCAGAAGCTATTGCCAGCGGTGTTGACGCTGATGCTGATACTGATGGTTATGGTGCTGTTGGTGCTGGCAATGCAGATGATGCTGTTGATGTGGATTATGGTGATGGTGATGATGGCGATGGTGGCATTGGTGGCGATTATGGTGTTGGTGGTGATGGGTATGGTCATGGTATGGGTGCTGGTCCTGGTGATGGCAGTGGGGATGGCAGTGCTGATGGTGTGACATCCCCCCACCGCCCTCGCTCCAAGACACGACACGAGTCCCCAGGAGGAGAGTCTCCCTCTGCTCACGAAGCTTCCATGCAGCTTCAGCTTGCGGACAACACTATCGAGAGGATCACGGGAGGAGGTGTGAGCGAGAGGGAGGGGAGTGAGAAGGGAGGGAGTGAGAAGGGGAGGAAAAGGGGAATGGGGAAGAAAGTGTCTCTGAAGGTGAAATTCCCTAGTGTGAAGATCAAACTGGGAGGCAAAGGAGGTTCCGAGGCGCAAGGGAATGTGGGGGAAGGGGAGGATTCGCATGGAGGAAAAGGGAGAGGGCGTGGGGAGGAGGATTTGGCAGGGATGCATGGCGATATCAGGGGTGAGGGGTGGCAAGGAGAGGGGGACAAGGGAGGAGATGAGGAGGGGGAGGTTGGTGGTGAGGGAGAGGAGGAGGAGGGGCATTTGGAGGGATGGGGGAGGAAGGAGGAGAAGAAGAGGAAGCGGAAGAGGAGAGAGAGGGGTGGGGTGAACAGAGGGTTGGAGAGGCAGGAGGGGGATGGTGGGCAAGAGGGGGGAGGGGCAGTAGGAGCAGGGGAGGATGAGGAAGGTGGGAGGAAGAGCGGAAGACAGGGTGAGGAGGAGAGGAGTGTTGGGAAGAAAAGTAGGGAGTTTCAGAAAAGGAGGAGGAACGAAGGGGAGGGGGACAGGGAGTGGCAAGAGGAGAGTGTGGAGGAAGGATACCATAAGCCGAAGAAGCTGAGGAGAGAGGAGAGGAGCGCACGTGGGGAGAGGACTGGGGATGAGGAGGAGGAGAGGGGGCGACAGGAGCAGCAGCAAGAGGAGGCAGAGTCAGCGGCAGAGAAGCAGGGCAGGAGAGGTGATGAGATGCGGCAGCGATTCAAGAAGGCAGCAAGGGGTGGGTTAGATCCGTTCGAAGAGGAAGGAGAGATGGAAGAGGTGAAAGGTAGTGTGAGGAATGAAGAATGGGAGAGAAGGCAGGGGAGTGAGAGGAAGGGCGAGAAGAGGAGGGAATGGAGGGAAGAGCATGAGAGGGAGAAGGAGAAGAAAAGGGAGAAGGGGCTGGAGAGTGAAGCTATTGGCAGTTATGCCGAACCTCACCCTGCTGCCAGGAGGCTTGCTGCTTCGGAGAGGGAGCGAGGAGGCTCGGCATCACCAGGTTCGGTAGACAGGCTCGGTAAAGCTGCTGGTAAGGACAGGCATGGTGAAGGGTGGGTTGGGAAAGAGGGTTGGGAGAGGGGGAGGAGTGAGGAAGGAGAGGGTAAGGTGCACGAGAGAAAAGGGGAGGAGAGGGAGAGGAGGAAGGATAGGGTAAAAGAGAGCAGGCATTATGAAGACAAGGATAGGGAGAGAGTAAGGCACAAGGAGAGGGATTGGGAAGGAGCTAGGGAAAGGGAGAGGGATAGGGAGATAGGGAAGGAGAAAGGAGAAGGAAGGATATTGAAGCTAAAGCTTGAGAGGAAAGATAGTGAGAGGGATAGGGGAGGGGAACGAGCAAGGGAAAGGGAGAGGGATACTGGGGTGCGGAGAGGGGGGAATGAGGTGGATAGGGATGGATGGGAGGAAAAGGGGCAGGAGAGGAAGCAGGATCGTGAGTGGGGACGCGAGAAGGACAAGGGCGAGGAGAAGAGGAGAAAAGGAGATGCACACGGGGAGAGAGATGAGTGGAGGGGAAGGGAAGATAGGGACCGGAAAGAGACGAGGGAGGGAAGAGAAGAGAGGGAGGGGAAAGAGGAGAGGGAGCGGAGGCGAGAGAAGGAGAGGAAGGAGAAGGAGAGGAGGGAGGAGAGGGAGAGGAGGGAGGAGAGGGAGAGGAGGGAGGAAAGAGAAAGGTCTCGTTCTGTAGGTATTGAAGAGCCACGAGGGAAGGGCCGAGAGGAGAGAGAGGTGAGAGAGGAGAGAGACAGGGATTGGCAGGAGGAGGAGAGGAGACACGAGGGGGCGCATGGAGGGAAACGGCGCAGTTCTCAAGCTCTTAAGGGACCTCGCTCAAAGGGGGTGGCGGGGGAGGGAGCGAAGCGCAGCGCTACTCCTGGTGCTTGGGACAGTGGTGGTGGGCGCAGCGAGGGGGGGAGGGGAGGAGGGCCGGCTCTGAAGCGTGTGAAGCTGCCTGAAGGGGGTGTTCTGGTGAGTGTTCCAGAGGAGCCTAGCCTAACTGAAACCAGTTTCACTATTTTGGCTTCTTTTGCAGATAGGATATGACGATGAGTGGCTTTGTTTGTTTATTGTGTGCCGCTCTGCTCTTTGTTGGCGGTCTTGCTCAGTCCCTTTTTGCTCATCTCTGTTTGCTTGCAGGCCAAAGATTCTCTTCGGAACATCTTTGATAATGTGCTTGTGTTTCTGCGGCTCCATGCGGATATCTCCTACATTTTCCAAAAGCCAGTCACGAAGAAGGAAGCTCCAGACTACCATACAGTCATCAAGCATCCCATGGATCTTTCGACCATGTCTAAGAAAAACCGGCAAGGCGTGTATATGTCGCGGGATGCCTTCTGGAGCGACATGAAGCTGATTCAAAGGAACGCTCACGTTTATAATGAGGTGCGTAACCCGGGCATCCCGCCGGTCGCTGATCAGTTGGCAAGCCTCTGTGCGCAGGAATTGGAAAAGCACAGGGAAGAAATCGCTGATGCAGAAGCAAGGCTTAGTTCGTTTGTTACATAACCGGATTATGTCACTGGAGATTGTGTTGCTGGTTTTTACATAACCTAGTGTACATATCGTGGTGCAATGGTGAGACGGTGTATCAATCGTGAGCCTTCCCCTTTCCGTTTCCCCCACAGCGTCTTTCTTGCTTCGTGTTCGTAGCTTATTATATTTTAACTGCGCTACTTCGTTGATTAGCGGCTTCGTTGAGTCGTAAGCAAGGCAGACTTATGTGTTAGTGGCGACTCCAAGGAACAGTGTTGGTTTGGTCTCACTTGCAGATGCTGCAGTGCTGCGTGCTCGCAACACCCACATAGATTGCTACAGTCTACCACAAAAAGTGGTCAGTTTATTATGAACGGCTCACATTTCTGACTCCATTTCGCAGACATCGTCAGACGATGCTGTAGTCGCGTCGTCCCACCGTTTTAACATACACAGCATTCATTCCGGCCAATCACAACGCCATTCTCCCCTCTAACTGAAACTGCGTTACGAAGACCGCACTCACGCCTAACTTCACCAACTTCTCGCTGGAAGCCTACCCGAATATTTTGGGAAATATATTCATTTAGACGGCTAAAGAAATCCATAGCGTGTAGGCTACTTGAACCTCGGGTGTCGCAGTTCCGATAGCCACTACGCAAGAGAAAGTTCAAACTTTTCATACTCGTGATTGTCATTCGTGATTCTCTCTCAGTTATCACCCTCACGTAGCCATCGATAGTCAGGCCAGCGGCCATGCAGTTCCTGCGATCGGTCCTCGGGACTGGTGGAGGGGCGAAGGAGTTTCCGTATAACATCGGCGAAGCTTATCCGTCGGCATGGGGCCCGTGGACGCACCAAAAGGGCACCTGCAAGGTGCGATGTCCTGCTACTTAATTGTGCTGATTTTCTTAGGGCCGTTTTTTGGGGGGCTGAGAAGTCTGATTGCCTTAAAAATACTATTCTTAATTCTTACAAGCACCCGCCAGGTGCGAACTCCCGAGCTGGCCTAGCGGTCGCTGAGTACAATATCAGTGGCTGATCGTGGTGAAATCGTGAGGCGCGTGAGAATGTGAGAAGGGATGTGGGAGCTGTGTACTAAGGAGAAGATCGTTTCAACGCTGATCGTATATCGATGTCCTCCCTCTCATGTTGTGCACGCCACTTTATACCATGTCGTATAAGGTGACACGTTTGTGTATGACGTGAATCCGTTTGCTCTGCGTGTAATATCAGGAGGACGGCAGCGCGGTATCAATTTTCTCCATAACGGGTTCGAATCCTCAAGACGCCAGGCTTCCTCCTGCCCGAAACTGCGTCAAGCGACTCAGAATGGTGCGTTCGGCGATATCAAAAGGCTCGTGAATCTGAGATATCAACGCTCATGTATCTACAGTTGTTGCGGTTCTAAGCTTATGAACCAGCAGCCAGATGCTCTTCTGTCGTTTCCCCCGCGTGCGAAAACCCTCCCTTCCTCCCCACGCCCCCCCCTTCCCTCATTTCCGCACCTTTCCTTCGAATTTTCTCGTTGCCAGCTGCGGCACCCGAACGTGCTGTCGCTTCTGAACAGCCTGGAGGTGGAGCGTTTCCGAACCCTCATTACTATGTCCTTCCCCTTCCGCTCCCCCTTCCCCCATCCGCACCTTTCCTCCACACCCTCACCTTGCCAGCTGCGTCATCCGAACGTGTTGTCGTTCCTGAACAGCCTGGAGGTGGAGAAGGAGGAGGGCGGCGTGCAGAAGCCGACCATCTACATCATCACCGAGCCCGTCATGCCACTGGACCTGCGACTCAAAGAGCTCAAACTCAAGGGGCCGCAGAGGTAAGGGAGATATGTTTGAGGGGGAGGGATGGGGTTGGGGGATGGGAGGCATGGGGTGGACGGGATGAGGTTACAGGGGGAATCGGAGGGCTTTGTGCAGAAGCCCACCATATACATCATCACAGAGCCTGTCATGCAATTGGACATCCGGCTTAAAGAGCTCAAGCTCAAGGGGCCGCAGGGGTGAGAGGACTGCGGGGAAAAGGGAGGGGGAGGGAGGGAATGGGAGAGGAAGAGGGCAGGAAAGGCAGAGGTCAGTATGCGGAGCGGGTGCAGAGGGTAGGTATGGCGTTGCTGTGTGTTTTGTGAGTGCGTGCTGATCAGGCGCCAGTCTGAGCTGTGCTGTGTGCGTGGCACTGCTGTGCTGGTGAGCAGGGATGAGTACTACGCATGGGGATTGCTGCAAGTGGCCAAGGCTGTCAGCTTTCTCAACAACGACTGCAAGCTGGTGGGTTCATCAGACATACATAAAAAGCCCCCTTGCCCCATCATGTCTTCATGCCCCCCCTTTCAATCACCCATGCTCAATCCATCCCCTCCCCCTCACCCATCCTCTCCCTGCCATGCAAGCAAGTTGTGCAGTGCAATGTGTGAATGGCAATGTGTTTGCCTGGTCTGGTCTGGACGTCTTACCAAGCGTTTGCCTTTTCACGCTGATTCATCTTCTCCTCCCTGATGCCATCTGTATGCATCCCCCAACTCTGCAGGTGCACGGCAACGTGTGCATGGCATCAGTGGTAACCATCGCTGTACTGGTCTTGTGCATTTTCTGACTTCCCTCCTCGGTGTCACCACCTACCCCCATCTTCCTCGCAATCCTGCAGGTGCACGGCAACGTGTGCATGGCGTCGGTGGTAACCACCGGTGCGCTGGATTGGAAGTTACACGGCTTTGATGTGTTGTCAGAGTTCGATGGGGGCAAGGCAGACGCCCCTGAGGGGCCCATGCTGGTGAGAGATGCAACAGTTGCTGAGGGAATTTCGTAGTGTTTATTAGTTAGGGGCATTGGGACATTGGGACATCGGTCATGGCAGTATACAGTCATGCCCTTGGTCTTCTTTCCGTTCTCTCCTTGCCCTTGCTTTTGCATGCTCGTCTCTTTCCCCTAGCCTTGCTTTTCCTGCTTTCGACATCTTCCCCTCTTCCCCTCTTCCTCCTCCCGTCTCCTTGGCATGTATGTGCGGCATGTGCATGTGCGTTGCCTTCTGCATGTGCATCAACTGCACCATCCACCATGCCCCATACACACCATCAGCCATACGAGTGGATGGTGGGCACGCAGTACAAGTCAATGGAGCTCGCCAAGAGCGACTGGGCGGCCATCAGGAAGGGCCCTCCCTACGCCATTGACTCCTGGGGCCTTGGTGAGTGTTTTCCGGGTTGTTTGTTTTCCACAATCGGGCTATCTACCTTGCTTCCTTACTAGCCAAGAGCGACTGGGCGACCATCAGGAAGGGCCCTCCCTATGCCATCGACTCCTGGGGCCTTGGTGAGTGATATGATATGTGCTACCACAGCTGGTATTTTATCACACAAAGCCTATCCGCCTCCGTTCCTTCAGTAGCTAACAGTGGCTAAAATCGTCTCCCCTCCCCCTTCCCCTTTCCACCTGCCCTTCTTCTGTCTCCGCTTTTTGTTCTTCCCTGTCTTTTCCCCTGTTATTATGTCTTACTCTTCTTCCGTTTCCTCTGCTATGATTGCAGGCTGCTTGATTCAGGAGGTGTTCTCGGGGCACCAGCTGACACGCACAGAAGAGCTCAGAAACACAGCCTGCATTCCCAAGGTGACGCACCATGCATTCCCAAGGTGACGCACCATGCATTCCCAAGGTGACGCACCATGCATTCCCAAGGTGACGCACCATGCATAATGTGCGACCTTGATTGCCTCTCTTCTTGCCCTTGCTCCTTCCTGTCCACCAGCCATTCTTGCCTCCAACTCCCACACGCACGCACCCCGTTCCATCCCCACTCCACACACAGACAGACTGACTCTTCAAAGTTCTTCGGGCCATCTGCCTCTTCCGTCACCCCCCTTGCCCCAACCTTCCCTTTCCCCACCCCCCCCCCTTCTTCTCCACACGCAGACCCTTCTCCCCTGAACACCGCTGTCTGCTCAGCGCCGCCTCTGCCAGGCGGCTTCTTGAGCCGACTCAAAGGCCAATCCACCGCACTTTGCTCAACATTCCCTCCCCTTGCTACCCACCCCCCGCTTCCCACCCCCCTCCTTCCCCACGCACAGACGCTTCTCCCGGACTACCAGCGCCTGCTCAGCTCTGCCCCTGCCAGGCGACTCAACCCCGCCAAGCTCATTGACAATAGTGGTGAGTGTGCAATTTTTACAGTTGGATCTAGCCAGAGTGCAAGAATTGACAGTTGGATTAGGTCAACGTTCGAGCACGGCGCACCTGTCTCCTCGTACCACTCTCTATCCCACCCCATCCCTCCCCGTCTATCCCTGCTGCCCCACACGTTCCAGAGTTCTTTCAGAACAAGCTGGTGGAGATGGTGCAGTTCAGTTCATGGAGGTGCTGAGCCTCAAGGGGCCAAGCTATGCAAGGGCAGCTCACCTTCCTTCCTCCCTCCCTCCCTCCCTCCCTCCCATCCCTCACACCGCACAGAGTTCTTTCAGAACAAGCTAGTGGAGACGGTGCAGTTCATGGAGGTGCTGAGCCTCAAGGACAGCGTCGAGAAGGACGGATTCTTCCGCCGCCTCCCTGCCCTGTGTGACCAGCTCTCGCGCCCCATCCTGCTCAACAAGATCCTGCCCCAGCTCGCCTCTGCTCTTGAGTTCGGGTCTGCACCTGCTCCTGCACTGTCTGTGTTGCTGAAGCTGGGCGGGTGGCTCAACCAGGAAGATTTCAACGCTAAGGTGGGCGTGTGTTCAGTGCGGTGCAGGTAGGTGGTACATGTTTTCTGTGTGTGCGTGCACCAGCAGCAGCAGCACCACCACCACCCACCACCACCACCACAGCCGCCGGCCCTGTGACCAGCTCTCGCGCCCCATTCTGCTCAGCAAGGTCCTCCCTCAGCTCGCCTCCGCCCTCGAGCTTGGGTCCGCCCACCGGTGCCCGCCCTCACTGCGCTGCTCAAGCTGGGCGGGTGGCTTAGTGCTAAGGTAAGTTGGTGGTGGTCCGTGGTGGAGGTAGAATATGTTTGTTGTGTATGGACGCACCACCAGCAGCACCAGCACCAGCACCTGCCCTCTGTGACCAGTGAGTGTGTGAAGTCTGACAAGCGAAAGAATTTCAGAAGTGTTGCAAAAGGAGAGGTGGTTGGTGTTCATATTTGTGTTACACACAGTCATTGCACAATAGTCAACAAAGAAAGCAGGAAAAAACGTGAACACAAGAGAAAAAGCCGCCGCCCGTGGGGCTCGAACACACGACCACAAGGTTAAGAGCCTTGCGCTCTACCAACTGAGCTAGGGCGGCTGACAATCACAAAACCGAGCTAGGACGCACCAGCAGCACCAGCACCAGCGCCACCACCTGCCCTCTGTGACCAGTGAGTGTTTGAGGTCTGACGAGCGAAAGAATTTCAACAGTGTTGCAAAAGGAGAGGTGGTTGGTGTTCATATCCGCGTTACACACAATTATCTAACAATAGTCAACAAAAGAAAGCAGGAAAAAACATGAACACAAGAGAAAAAGCCGCCGCCCGTGGGGCTCGAACCCACGACCACAAGGTTAAGAGCCTTGCGCTCTACCAACTGAGCTAGGGCGGCTGACAATCACAAAACCGAGCTAGGACGCACCAGCAGCACCAGCACCAGCGCCACCACCTGCCCTCTGTGACCAGTGAGTGTTTGAGGTCTGACAAGCGAAAGAATTTCAACAGTGTTGCAAAAGGAGAGGTGGTTGGTGTTCATATCCGCGTTACACACAATTATCTAACAATAGTCAACAAAAGAAAGCAGGAAAAAACATGAACACAAGAGGAAAAGCCGCCGCCCGTGGGGCTCGAACCCACGACCACAAGGTTAAGAGCCTTGCGCTCTACCAACTGAGCTAGGGCGGCTGACAGTCATAAAACCAAGTTTTTATCATCGTTTTTCTTTCTTTCTTTCTTTTCCACGTGATTTTTTTTGGCGCGTAAATTTCTTGGGCCCGTGAATTTCTTTGACGTGTAAATCTCAACTCAAATACTTTCCTCCCATCCTTCCCCCAATCCGCCCTCAGGTTCTCCCCACTCTTGTGAAGCTCTTTGGCTCGTCAGACCGAGCCATCCGGGTGTCACTACTGCAGAATCTGGACTCGTTCGGAGCGCAGATAGCCCCCAACGTGGCAGAGGAGCAGGTGTTTCCGCACCTCAGCTCTGGCTTCACTGACACCTCGGCGCTGCTCAGAGAGCTCACACTAAAGTCCATGCTGCTGCTCGCCCCCAAGGTGCGTATTCTACTTCCAAATGTGCTTCTCTCTACGCGCCCAAGGTGTGGATAGCTATCTCCTACAGATAGCCCCCAGCGTGGCAGAGGAGCAGGTCTTTCCGCACCTCAGCTCAGCTCCGGCTTCCCTGACACCTCGGCGCTGCTCAGAGAGCTCACTCTCAAGTCCATGCTTCTGCTAGCCCCCAAGGTACTTCTCTCTTGCATCCAACATGTAGCTAGCCCCTACAGATAGCCCCAAGGTGCTTCTTGCTCCACCCAAGCTGATCTTGGCTCCCCACCCGTCTCCCCAGGGCTAACTGTGTAGTAGTTGGTGCAGCTCTGAACCTGCGGAGTGCCTGTTTGCACGCAGATCTGCTGGCCAGGTGTGAGAGCGTTGCACTCCAAGTCTGGGTTGGCAACATTGAGGTACGCCTGGGTCACACTGAAGAGGGTGGCAATAGATGCACAGGTGTCACCCTGCAATTGGGCAGGAGGGAAGAAATTGGATCAAGGAAGACAGGATGCTGGGACTCATGAACCATGAGGAATACCAGCTATTTTTATACAACAAACGGTGAAGAAGCAGAGGACAGCACACCATGGCTCAACACCCTGAACCAGGAAGGTGGGGTTCAAACCTACCTGAGCAATCGTGTAGGGAACAACACAGCCCAGTGTAGCAGCAGCACTGCCGGGATTGCGGATGACAATGCTTGTGCCAGCAGGGAAGGTACCAGCGCACTTGAGCTTCTGCACAATGTAAAATCAAGCAGAAAAAACAGCATAGAGTATATCAGTCGGAGGTAGTGGTGAGCAACGCAGGAGAAGCGAAAAAATCACGTGCGCATGCGCACGCACTCACGCACGCGCAAGCAATCACGCACGCACGCACGCACACACTCACTCACTCACGCGCACTCACTCACTCACTCACGCACGCACGCACACACGCACACACACACACACACACACACACACACACACACACACACACACACACAATTCTAGCTCAGTGAAACAAACTGTGCTTACTGGGTTGAGGGCCACAAAATCCTTCTTGGAAAGCTGGTAGGTAGTGCGGACGAAGCCACAGGACATGGCAACAGGCAGCACGACCTTGGACACAAGAGAGCCCGGCACACAGGTGGGGGTGCCGTCTGTGAGAGATCCAGAGGTGTAACCCAAGGAGCAGAGGCAGGAGTAACCGCCTTTGCCGTCGTCAACGCATGTGCCGAAGCCACATGGGTTGACCACAAAGAATGTGCACACCTTAGCTGTTAACAGGGATGAGATTGATGTACTCATACCCATATGAAATGAAGCACGATGCCTTCACAAGTTGAAGAAAGCAAGCTTTCACAATGTATTTTACTTCACCTCTAACAATATTCATGGCAGGTTGAAATTGCGTATACACACTCAGGACAAGCTCACTATCACAGCAAAGCTTACAGAAAAACAACACATATAAACAGAAAGAAATTAGCAGGTTTTAAGAACAAAACAAGACAAAACAAATAAACGAATAGTTTTTGAAAGAGGTTGACACAAGGCACCGCATGCCACTTATGGCCTACTTTTGAAGTGACAGAGTAACTATGGCGGCAGGCAGAGCACCTTCCCGGCATAGATTGAAGATGTCGTGCACGTCCATCCGCCATTGTACTTGCTCAGGAGAGAGGATTGGCCCTTGAAATACTTCTGGATCACAGATGCACAAGTATCCCCTCTCACGACAGTGTACTTACCATAGAGGCAAGTTGTTGCACCCACCAACACAGAATTCACACAGACCTGAAAACACAGCGAACATTGGCCGCTCTCCCTCACCTCCTTCCCCTCTCCCTTTCCCCTCTCTCCCCTCCCCCCCCACTCAGCTCTCGCAACGCACTCTCGGAGGGTCGCTGCTCAAGCACCTCTCAAAGCTGCAGGTCCGTTCCATCTCTCTCAATCTCTACGGCTTCTTATAACTGTTCCTCCTGTCTTCCACCACTTCCATTTCTTTCATCCGGTCCGCCCTTGGCTTCTTTTGCTCCCGGTCCTCCTACCGCTTGCAAAGAACAAATTATCTGCCGCTGTTCCGTTTAGTATCGATCTGCCTGTCTTCCTCGCTGTGCGTCCATCCCGTCTCTTCCCTGCATCCCTTCCTTTTGTCTGACCTTGCTTCCCTTTCTCCCAACTGTCTGTGCTTCCCTTCGCCAACTGTCCTTCCATCCATGCCTCCTCCCAACTGTGACCACTCATGGGCCTTGTGCCAGGTGGACGAGGAGGCAGCCATCCGCACCAACACCACCATTCTGCTCGGCAACATTGCCAGACACCTCAACGACGCTGTGAGTTGCACCCAGAACGTTTGGTTTGGCCTTCTGAATGACGCTGTGAGTTAGTTTGCAACTCACCTAAGAGAAAGGAATGACACCCATCATCCGCACCAACAGCACAATTCTGCTCGGCAACATCGCCAGGCACCTCAACGACTGTAAGTTACACTCAAAAACATCTTGAAGGCGCCTCAAAACGCAACTTGATGATGTTGTGAGCTGGACTCTATATGTTGCATTCCACACGAGTCAGCCTGGACTCTTCCACATGGACGCTAAAAAATCACCTCACTGCACAAGTTTGCCTGGAGTCTTCCACATGTGGTCAGCTTGGCCCATACACCAAATCACTTTCCTCGCTCTCTCCCTTCCCTTCCCCCCGGCATTCTCCACTTCGCCACCCCCCTCACGCACCCACACTCCTGCTCCTCCCTGTGGCGCCCACAGACGCGCGAGCGAGTGCTCATCAATGCCTTCACTGCACGCGTTGTGTAGATATTTTTACACATCCCGCTCTTCTCTACCCCACCACCCCCCTGACATACACTCTCACTTTCCTCCCTGTGGCGCCCACAGACGCGCAAGCGAGTGCTCATCAATGCCTTCACTGTTCGCGCTCTAAGGGACGCCTTCCCCCCTGCCAGAGCTGCAGGTACGACCTCCCCCTTCCAAGGCTGCAGGTACGACCTCCCCCTTCCAAGGCTGCAGGTACGACCTCCCTCTGCCAGAGCTGCAGGTACGACCTCCCCCTTCCAAGGCTGCAGGTACGACCTCCCTCTGCCAGAGCTGCAGGTACGACCTCCCCCTTCCAAGGCTGCAGGTACGACGTCCCTCTGCCAGAGCTGCAGGTACGACCTCCCCCTGCCAGGGCTGCAGATACAACCCCCTCTTTCCATGGCTGCGGGTGCAACAGACATCATTAGCTAAAAACGCAGGAATCTGAATCTGCTGCAAATTACTGTTGTTGATGTTTCGCTTTCATCATACTGACTTATGGATATCCCAGAGCTCGCACTGCCCCCAAAATCTCAGATTCCCCCATGCCCCCAGCTGCACATCATCCCTCTCCCCCCCCCAAATTCACACCCCCCTGTGCAGGCATCATGGCGCTGTCAGCCACACGAGAGTACTACGATGCCATTGAGATCGCCCACCACACCTAACCCCACCGCATCCCCCTCACATCTTCCGCAACCCCTTCACATCCTCTGTGCAGGCATAATGGCACTGTCAGCCACACGGGAATACTACGATGCCACTGAGATCGCCACCCGCATTCTGCCTGCTCTGGTGGTGCTCACTGTAGATGCCGACACGTGAGTCCACTTTATGAGTTGTGAGGCGCCTCAAAGTGTGCTTTATGAGTCGACTTATAAGTCATTCTGCCTGCCCAGGTGGTGCTCACAGTAGATGCCGACACGTGAGTCCACTTTCCTGCGAATGATGTGCACGTTGGCTTTCCACCCCTTTACTTTCTCCATCATTTCACCCCACCACCATCCCCGCCCCCACCTCTCACCCCCTTGCCAGTGATGTGCACACCAAGGCAGTCCAGGCCGCCTTCTCATTCCTTCTGAGGCGCCTCCAAAGTCATCATCTCACCCCACCACCCCCCCTCCCACCCCACCACCTCATTTCTTCTGAGGCGCCTCACCCCTTTACGTGTCCATCATTTCACTGCAACCCCCCCCCCACCCCCCCCCCCCCCCCCCCACCTCTCACCCCCTTGCCAGTGACGTGCACACCAGGGCAGTCCAGGCCGCCTTCTCATTCCTCCAGTCCGTCTCTGATTTCCACGCTAAGGTGATTACCCCACGGCAAACCCACCCTTCTCCGTCACACACACCCTCCTTCTCCTCTCCTATTGTATTCGCACGCGCTGTCAACCAAGTGTGAACCTTCAAGCCTCTCATTTCCCCTTCTTTGTCGCTCTGCGTTTCCCCCTTTCAACTATGTGTGGTTTCCATGTTCTTACTCCGAAGAATTTGATGCTCATGCACTCGTCACCATCCTTCCTCCCTTCCACTCCCCTCCTCCTTCATCCTGTTCCCACTGCTCCCTCTTCTGTCTGATACCGCTGCTTCTAACCTCTACTTTCCAGTGGCAGCCGGAAGGGCACACAGCTGGACATCAAGCCCAGAGGCCAGCAGCCACACCTACAGCTCCCGCTGCTCCCATCTCACTGCCTACCCTGTTCTCACTTTTCCCTCTCCTGCCGCTGCTGTTGATCTCTTCGTTCCAATGGCAGCCGGAAGGGCACACAGCTGGACATCAAGCCCAGAGGCTGGCAGCTGCTGCTGCTCCTGCTGCTCCCATCTCTCACTTCCTACCCTCTTCCCACTTTTCCCCTCCGCGTCGATTGCTCTCTTCGTTCCAATGGCAGCTGGAAGGGCACTCGGTTGGACAACAAGCCCAGGGAGTAGCCGCACCCCCTGCTGCTGCCCCTGCTGCTTCTTCCATCTCACTTCCTACCCTCTTCCCACTGTTCCCTCTTCTGTCTGATACTACTGCTGTTGGCTTTTTCGTTCCAATGGCAGCTGGAAGGGCACTCGGTTGGACATCAAGCCCAGGGAGCAGCAGCCGCAGCCCCTGCTGCTGCTCCTGCTGCTGCCGGCTCGTCTGGGGGGCTGTTGGGGTGAGTTCACAATTCTGCTGCATGTGTTGAAATTGAGATGTCTTTTGGCGGGCTGTTCAAGTACGCATGTTTCTCTCCCTTTCACTCCCATCTCCTCTCATCTTCTCTCATGCTTCTGCTCCTCATATCTTCCCTCCCTCCCGCGCCCCCTCCATCCTCCCCAAATCAGCTGGGATGTCAGCTCACTCACCTCAGCGGGCTGTCAGCATTCGTGTTCATCTCCATTCCCAAGGCGGGCCAGGAACAGCAGTGTTCCCAAGGCTGGCCACTCCCACCATTCGTGTGCATGTCTTATCATCCCTCTAAACCCCTCCGTTCTCCCTCCCATACCCCCGCCTACTCAACTCCAGGTGGGCGGTCAGCTCGCTCACCTCAGCAGGGCCCAAGGCAGGCCCCACTGCACCAGCTGCCGGGGCTGCTGCTGCTGTCTCAGCAGGAGATTCCGCCACTGCCACGTCTGCTGCTGCCGCTGGTGCGTTGCCTTTCTCAAGCTTGCAGCATGCCTCTTGCCAGCTTATCACTTGTTTCTTTCGCCTTCTCTTCATCCTCTTTTCTTGTGAACAAACCGTTCCCTCCTCCTTCCTGTTTTTCACCTCACCTCACCTCACCACCCCACACACCACAGCAGCATCAGAGCCTGAGGGCAACGGGTGGGGAGAAATCGAGGAAGAGGAGGAGGAGGAAGAGCAGCCGAAACCAAAGCCCTCAGTTCACCGACCAGCCCCTGCCAGACCCACCGCCCCCGCCAGACCCACCGCCCCCTCCTCTCACACCTTCTCCAAGCCTGCCCCAGCCGCACCTTCCCCAGCTGAACCCGAAGCAGAGGAGGACGAGGAGGAGGATGGGGACGGGTGGGGCGATCTGGATGATGGGAAGGAGAGTTCTGCGTCTAAGGGTGCTGCTGCTGCTTCTGCCGCCGCTGCTGCTGCTGCAGCCTCTCTCTCTCGCATGCAAGCAGCCCAGCAACGACCGGTGGTGCATCACACTCCTGCTGCTGCTCCTGCTGCTACCCCTGCAGCAGCAACAGCTCCCACTGCGTCGCCTCAAAAAGCAGCACCAGTGCGGCCAGCAGCGGTGAGATTAGGTGGAGGAGCAGCGGCAGGCAAGGCCGGTGGGTCCCTGGGTGTGACAAGAGGGAAACCGGCACCAGCAGCAGCCTCGTCTGCTGCCTCACACTCAACCAGTAAGGATGAGGATCCCTGGGCCGCCATCGCTGCTCCTGCTCCTGTCAGCTCGGCCAAGCCTCTGCGCGCCGGAGCTGGCACATCTGGCTCGGCAGTTAGCAGAGGTTCGGCAGCAAGCCGAGGCGGAGCTGGTGGTACGGCAAGTGGGCATGTGAAGCTGCCAGCAGGGGCGAATATGGATCTAGAGAGTATGCTTGGGGATGACAGTGGGGGGAAGAAGCCCACTGGCATGAGGCTAGGAGCACAGAGAATCAGCCGATAGTCCATGCATTTCTTTTGTGGAGGTTTAGAAACAGATGCCCACATTTTCAGCACATGGAACAGAGGACAATCATGGGCGCTAGGCTTGAACACCTTTTGGATCTTACCCGTACTATATAAAGTTATCAACTTGTCCCTCTAAGCATATGGAGCCCTACATACATTGTAATGTGCAGATTGAACTGGTATGGCCATGACCGTCCGGGGATGTGATCTGGTGCTATTGGCTGTAAGTGTGGGTATGGTGCAGTAGGGCATGTTTCAGCAGCTTTTAGACAGTGTTAACACATTTTTAGGCAAGCCACTTACCGTAGTTTTAGAATAGGGCCTCAGCAGGGGTTGAGTTGAGGGATCTGCCTACAGACCTAGTGACAGCACAAATGCATCAGGGCTTCTGTGGACCTTTGTGTGAGAAGACCTGAGCACAGGCAGACATAAAACTAAGACATGAGCACAGGCACACATAAAAATAAGACATGAGCACAGGCACACATAAAAATAAGACATGAGCACAGGCACACATAAAAATAAGACATGAGCACAGGCACACATAAAAATAAGACATGAGCACAGGCACACATACCGTAAAAATAAGACATGAGCACAGGCACACATAAAAATAAGACATGAGCACAGGCACACATAAAAATAAGACATGAGCACAGGCACACATAAAAATAAGACATGAACACAGGCACACATAAAAATAAGACATGAGCACAGGCACACATAAAAATAAGACATGAGCACAGGCACACATGATAAACGTGTGCACAACTAAGGGAGAATGTGTTCACAATGGTATATATTCTTAAATGCTACTGATGGGGTACATAAAGGGCCAAACGCTGTTACCAAAACTACCAAGATACGAAGTTCGGGCAACAACGCAAGACGCTGGTTTTGCTTAGGTAGTACTAGAAAAAATCACACCCAGCAAATCATTCCTCTCAGTCCGCCATGGCCACCGATTAAGAGGGTCGCAGGGTGAGATGCGAGAGCAGAATAGCGCCTGCTTCGTATCCGCGCTAGAAGCCATCGCAGCACAGCGCTTTCTCGTTCCTCAAGCAAAAAACGCGGCGACCTTGATGCGCGCCGCGACGGCGAGCAGCTCTGGGAAGCTTAGCGGAACAAGCGGCGGCTTGAAGCCCTTGGGATACCGGTGATCACGGAGAAACGACTTGAGGTAGTTAATCGGAACCGCGTAAAAGCGCAGCCTTCCGCCGAACACCCCCGCCAGCGCCGCCGCTTCGGAAAATGCCACGGCTTCTTGTTTCGTGTTGTAACTGAGCTGGGGATTGTTCTTATGGGAGCCGTAAAAGCGGTGCTTGCGGAAGCGACCGATCTCGCGAAGAGTGATATATTTTTTTGTCGATGAAAAATCAAGCATCTGGTTGAAGAGCGTCTTGTTAACGAGGTAGTTGTTACCGAGGTAATAATCGTCGCTTACGAGCGACACGTCGTGCTCGAGCTTGTTGTGCGCGCGAAGCTGGACGAGGTCGATTGTCCCCGCCTTGCGATCCCCCACGCCGGCGGAGAAAGCGCCGTTAATTAGCGCCTTTGTCACGGTCGGGGAGAAAGAGTAGAATTTGCGGAAGGCTTGGACGATGCGCTTGCGCGGAATGGCGGAGCCGTCGCGCGGAAAGACGCCGTGGTTCGCCATCGTGTTGAACCCTGGGCACGGGCCGCGGTTGTCCGTGGCGCCCGGCGCGATGTACGGGCCGAGCTTCAGCGCGGCGGTTGACGGGGCGAGCAGCGCGAATGCCGCTACGAACGTCGCGAGGGCGAGAGAGCGGGTGAGAAGGAAAAGTTTTTGCCTGGAAGGACGGCTCTTGTGAGAGAAAGGGAGAATTTTGGGAGTCATGGCGCTGCAGAACACGCTCGATTATTGAACGCGTTGTTATTCTGCTAGCTTGTTCTCGGTTACCTGGTGATAGTACGCTGGTGCCTCGCTTACAGGCTGGTCATCCGCTGGCGCAAGCTAGAAATGTAGCGAGCTGGCGTGCAAGAAGAGGAAATGGAGTAAGAGCAGATTCGAACTCCTAGTCCTGAGGTGTAAATCCTAGGAAGGACGAAGGCGCAATTTCGAGAAGCAGCAAAGCAAAACGGGTGGATGGGCGGGAGAAACGAGGTTGAAGCGGCGTACAGATGGTGCTGAGAAAGTTTGCGCACTGTGCTGAGCTGTGAGTTGCGGCGAAGAGTGGCTGGCGGGGGAAACACGGAAAGGCAGCTGGAGGGGGGTAACGCGGGATGTGAGAGGGGGGGAAGAGGCACGGGGGAAAGGGTCTCCGCTGTAGTTCCCCCTGCCCTGGGGCACGGCACACCATTTCATCACATCACCTCTTTCTGCCGCCCCTGGCGTCCGACCCGAACCGAACCGTGTAAATTTCCCCTAGTTCCCCGCTTTCGTTTCGTCGCATGGAGCCGCCGACACGACGACCATATCACACTCCGACCACGCGCAGGAAACTCGTCGACTCGAATTGCGTTGCGAGACGTGTCAGGCTGACGGCTCGGCTTTGGACACGTGGTTGGATCTTCAGTGCGCGTCGTTCGCTCCGAGCCTGGATTAGCCGGTCAATTTGAAATGCGATCCAATTTTCGCAGTGCGTGTTTGCAAATGCGATCTTTTCGGGCAGAACCAAGCGGCTGCCCGTGTTTAGGGTTGGGGCTCCCCGTGTTTAGGGTTGGGGCTCCCCTTACCGCATGCCATCCAGATGGGGTTTATTTTTTTTCTGACCGCGGGCAGATAACGACCCCTCAGCTTCTTCCACTGGGGATCGCATTTGCAAACCGCGCTGGCCTAATTGGATTGCAGCTGAAGTTGTCCCTGGATTAGCTGCTGAGCTCAGGCCCAGCATGGTCAAAAGTTCCAAACCAGTTTCATAACGGGCTCGGCCTGAGAAGCTTCAGTGAACGTTTGACTGCCTCGAAGCTTCGTTTAACACGACGACAGACCGTGGGCGGCGTTCACCGAAAGGCTAGGAGAAGCGTACACTGTTGCATTCTGTCGGTGTACACTCTACATGATGCGGCATTGACTGATTCGGTAGTGCGGTTCCATCCACAAGAGGTTGTCAAAACCTTACACAAGAATTGGCGCGAACAAATTAATCCGCCTTTACACAATTACACACAACCGTGGCGTGCCATACCCAGCCAACTCATCAAAACTACATAGGGGCTTATCTGGCACACGTAGGGACACGTCATCCATGACAAGATTCCTTCATAACACACCGAGGGTTTGCCTCCCTCCTGCAGGAGTGTCTGGTCCGTTCAATTATCACAAGCTTGGGAACGCGGCGCCGATGAATGTGGAGCTCACCCCGCACATCTAGAGCCCACACAGAAGTCCAGGAGTGAAAGACAGCCGTCGATTTGAACGATCAGAAATCACTTGCTGCTGTCCAGGCTTCTCACAAGTGGCTCCCTTGGCGATGCGATCAACTGGTGCGGGTTTGCTACGAAACCTTTCGGAATGCGGGTCGGAGGAAAACTCATTAATGGATGAATAAAAGCCGTCGAATTTTGTGTGGCATCGTATCGAACGGCTGAAATATAACACAGCGTCAACTTTTTCATCCGCACTGCCCGCTCACTCCTTTTCCAAAGTGCACACAGTCTGAAAAGCGTTTTATGGTCAGGTGTCAGTGGAGTGGTTGGTAGAGGCTGGGCCAGCGGACACGGAGGCAGGGCCCCAGGTGACGTTGGCAATGGCCCACAGCTGAGTCATCGCATCACCAGCATCTCCCATCTGATCCACCCGTTTGAACGTCAAAACGGAACCAGAGAAACCCCGCCTGCACGAGCTGGGGAGCCCGAGGGAGTTGTCCTGGAGAGCTGATCCAAACCAGCTCCAAGAGTCCGTTACATTCGCTCTGGTCACTCTTGTTTCGTCAAACCACGTTATTGTTGCCTGATCGCGCTTCCTCATATTGAATTGGTTTTCTTAGGAGAAAGTTACTTCGTGTCGATCGTGATAGATTACACAGTTCGCAATTGAGGGTGATTACCTTTTCTTCATGTTGATCGTATCTCGTTTCTGATAACCTAGGCCATTCTTGCTGTCGAGGCTCCTGTTACATTAAGTGTTTTGTAGAACAGGCTTCTAGTTTCGTGAATCTATTTGCTAGAATGGAGAGAGTTTTCTCAGTCGACGATATATTAGGAACATTCTGGAAGGTAGAGTCGTCAGGCGATGTCGCCGCCGCTGCCGCCGCTGCCGCCGCCGCCGCTGCCGCCTCTGGCGGGCTTCTCCCTCCAGGAGCGTCCGCCTTCCCCGGGGGATATTCCGGCGGAATGTCCGGCGGTTTGGGTAGCAGCGAGCTACAGCGTCCTATCCCACGCACAGGCTCTTTCCATCGTATGAACAGGATATCCTCGGAATGGGCGTTTCAGGAGTTTATAAAGGAGCAGACTGCAGCGGGGACAGTGACAGGTTTCAGTGGAGTCAGCCCTCTAATGGCGGGTCTTAGCCACGTTCCGAGCCTAGATAAGCTCTTAGGGGAGAGCCCGTCTCGGCTTAACCTAAGTATGTTCGGCCGGCCGGGGGCAGAAGCTGACGCAGGGATCTCCGCTTCCGCCGCCGCCGCTGCCGCCGCCGCAGGAGGCGCTGCTGCCGACGGGCTCGGCGCAATGGGGGGCAGCAGGCATAGTCGTTTAGACCTGGCGGGGGGGGATCCGCGGCTGGGGTTATCCGCGCCGAGGCGGGCAGCGGGGGAAGAAGCGGAGGCGGGGCGAGGCGGGGCAAATGCCGTGGCGGGGGATGGCGGAAGTTTCGGCGGGCTCGGAGTGTTCCGCTCCCCGTCTAGCAAGGGATTGGCGTCAGGCGCGCTAGGCGCGGCAGCGGATGCGGCAGCGGCAACGGCAGCAGCAGCGACAACGGCAGCGGCAGCCGCAGCAGAGCAGGTATGAAAGACCTGGAACAGTGCCCGTCCGTATCTTCGGGGTTTATATGTCGCAGATCCGGTTACCGACACCCTCTTTACCCCGTTTCGTTCCTGCCACTGATCGTCTCCGTTAAACCTGTGGCCCCTCGCTCCGACCTTTTTCCAGCACCCTCCCCCCGCCTGCTGCTCCTCAGGCCCCAACCGCCGACCCCCCTCCCCCCTCCTCGCTCCGACCATTTTTTCCCCTACGCCCCCTTCATTTCTCCTTCCGCCCCCGTTCCGCTCCTGTTCCCTCAATTCGCATTGAGACCAAAACCATTCCTCCCCCCGCCCTCCCCGTTACTCCTCCCCTTCCATCGTACCCGCTCCCCCCTTTGCCTTCCGCCCCCCGCCTGCTGCTCCTCAGGCCCCAACCGCAGACGCAGCAGCTGCCATGACCGGCGCCTCCGCCGCAAGTGCCGCAGCCGCAGCCGTAGCCAATGGCGTGGCGACAAATGGCACTCCAGCATCGGCGAACGGCGCGCCTCTCTCTCCGCCTCCCCCGCCGTCCGTGGTCCACCCGACCCCGGAGGAAATGGGCCGCCTGTGCGCTCCGCCTGGCGCGGCGGAAGCCGCCAGCCCGACCTCCGGCAGGCAGCCGGGCGGGGGAGCTGGCGGAAAGGGTGCGGGGAAGAGGGGTTTGGGAGGAGCGTCGAGCGGGCGGGGGGGAGGCGGAGGGGGAACGAGGGCGGGCGCGCATGGGGGAGGCGGGAGGGAGAATGGGATTGGGTCGGATGAAAATCATTCTGATGATGGGGGGAGGTCGGAAGGGGAGGATGAGCTGGTAGCGTCGTTGGAGCATCTGACTGATCCAGAAGAGATTAAGCGAGTCAAGAGGTAAGAACTGACTTTTGAGTCGTCTCAATGGTTGGAGGGGGAGGATGAGCTGGTGGCATCTCTGGAGCATCTCACTGATCCTGAAGAGGTCAAACGAGTCAAGAGGTAAGAAGATGTGACTTTTGAGTCGTCTCACAGGTCGACATGAGCTGGTGGCATCTCTGGAGCGTCTCACTGATCCCGAAGAGATCAAACGAGTCAAGAAGTGAGAATATTGTTGAGTTGAGCTGATCTGAAATCAAAATTAGCATATATACATACCAAAGGCTGGAAGACCATCAATATATCAGTGTACCACCCCCCATCGATTCATGTAGGATGTCAATTTGCTTATCTCGCCTGTATTGCATGCCACGTCATTGTGTCCCTTCCGGCCCCGCCTCTGTCCACGTGGCAGGATGCTGTCCAATCGCGAGTCGGCGCGGCGGTCGCGGCGGCGAAAGCAGGCGCACATGGGGGAGATGGAGACGCAGGTGACTCAGCTGCAGATCGAGAACGCCAACCTGGCCAGCCGCCTCGGGGAGATCGGGCGCAAATACAGCGACGCCGCCGTCGACAACCGCGTGTTAAAATCTGACGTGGAGGCGCTGCGAGCTAAGGTGAAAATGGCTGAGGAGATGTTAGGAAGGGTGAATCACATGGCACAGTATATGTATCATCATCACCACCAGCCCATGGCTTATCGGCATGATCCTGCTGCTGCCGCTGCTGCGGCTGCGGCGGCTGCTGCGGCGGCGGCTGGTTCGATGCCGTACGGCCCGTCTGCTGCTGAGATTGCTTACTATCAGCACCACGCGCATAACTCCTCGGCTGCAGCGGCGGCAGCAGCTGCAGCGGCGGCCGCTGCGGCAGCAAGCGCTGGGGCCACTGCTGCCGCTGCTGCTGCGGCTGGGGAAGCGGCTGGTTCTGCTCCTGCCACCAGTGCTGGGACTGCTCCAGCTGCCGCGGCCGCTGCTGCTGCTGCTGCTGCTGCTGCTGCTGCAGGAGGAGCTGCAGGAACAGCGCAATCTCATGCGTCTTTGCAGTCTCTCCAGTCATATGCCTCTCACCACCATGCAGCTGCGCTTTCAGCAGCAGCAGCACACCATGGGGCATATTCACTCGAGGCTCTGCGTGCTGGGGGTGTGCACCTCCCTGGTTCGGGTATTTCCCCTCATAATTATGCTGCTGCAGCAGCGGCCGCGGCGGCAGCTGCAGCGGCGGGAGGAGGGCTGCACCCGAGCCTGGCTGCCATGCCTGGAATGCGTGGGGCAGCAGGGATGGCCGGACTTGGGGCCGGTTCGGGGATGGCAGATCCAGCAGCCGCTGCTACAGCTGCTGCTGCGGTTGGGGGAGAGGGGGGAGCGGCAGGAGGGATGAGAGAGGAGGCTGGGGGAGGGCATTATAGAATGGAGAGGAGTGCAAGCATGGAGAGGGCAGCAAGCGAAGAACATGCACAGAAGAGGTTTAAAGCTGCAGAATAGCCCTTTTCTTTTACTGAATTCGGTAGTGTCGTTTCAGTGTGAGCTTGATTGCATACCATAGCTATCCAGCAGCCACAAAAGCGTGGCTGTTAAAACCAGGGTCTCAAGTAAGAGATTATGCCATCAACTGCAAAACATCTGAGACTGAGTTACCTTGTTTTTCTGGGCGAGGCGGACTGGTTGGCTAGGGAAGTTGGCGTGCGACACTCCCCCACTTTTGTCTCAGCACCAATTGCACAACAAATTTCAGGTACATGGGACTTTCGACAACTCTTGACATTTCACTGGCACTCTAGCTTCGGCTCCGAACCTGTTTCCATACCTAGAAGGTTTGGAACACAGCAAACGATTTTGTTCCCTTCGCATCCCTCGCTGCACCCCTTTTCGTTTTTCCAACCTCGTCAACCAATGGGAAACGGGGGTTTCCCATCAACTGCAAAACAAATGATCTACGTGAGACCCTGGTTTTAACATCCAGTTTTGTGCATCAAGTGTTGTCTTGAATCTATTTGACTTGCTGAAAGGTGGAGAGGTGCACTAGGGCTCTCGTTATCAGAATAATTTAGTCTGTTGGTCTAGATTTCAGACTCATTTTTTGTAGTTCATGTGTTTTCTCAGACAAAACAATGTGAGATCTCAGACAAGGCGTTCATACTCATGTTTTTTCCAGAATACTGGCTATATTTCATATGATAGCGAGGCGAGGATACATCCAAGGTTCCAGATAGCGAGGCTAGGATACATCCGTCTGATAACGGAGAAGGCAAAGGAGCTCGAATCAAAAGTTCCCTTGCAAGAATCGATTTCCACACTGCACCTCATCTGAAAATCAAATCACCCAGGATCCATCGTATGATGGTCAGACTGAAAATGATTAAATAATTTTTTATCAGACAGACAAGAGCCCTGCTAATGTACCATACCGGAACTAGACTCTTGAATGCTCTACAAGAGACCCAGGTGCGAAATGGTATGTGGATGATTCCAGCTTTGCGGTCAGGAGGAAAAACTTGAAACATGGCATTCCATTACTACTAGAGGCTGAAGTAAGGGATGAGTAATGATTGAAAGAACATCTAAAAGGAATCATATATTCGTGTACACATGTATCTCAACTATTCACACTGGGTCTGAAGAATCCTCACTACCCCTTGAGAATTGGCTGCAGCAAGCAGGTCACTCTTTGGGCGCTGCTGCCAGCCAACGGCGCTCACGAAGACGTTACCCCCACCGCCTCCGCTTCCGCTTCCGCTTCCCCTCATCTCCCCCCCGCTGCTGCTCTCCCTCCCAGTCATTTCCAAAGGAGGAGTCTTAGACCGTCCCTTAGTGTCACAACTCCCGTGGTTGGCGAGCAGCTTAGCGAAGCCGAAGTCGAATTTTAAAACACAACTGCAGCGGGATTTTGAGTCCACGTGGTAAATCACCAGCTCGTTGCTCTCAGAGCCTGTTGCGATAAGCCCGGCTCTCGAACCACCCGCTGAACCTGACGTCCCCTTGCCGCACCTGGTAGTACTGCTGCGGCAGAAGCTTGAACCGCCGTCTAGCTCTCTGACGGATAACCCGACGAAGTTCCGCACGTTAAGATGGTCATCGCAGCTCGCACGCAGGTTATTAGAGACTCCTACGACTGGAAGATTAGAACAGTCGCTCGTCGCACTACCACTAGCAACTTTAGGTATCCGGCTGGGGGAGCTAGTCGATGTAGAAACGCCGTTGCTGGGATTAGAACCCGTGACGTCCCACAGCTTGACAGTAGAATCGACGGATGAGGACACTAGGGAGCCCGGGCCCATGAATCGCACGAAGCTCACGGTGCGTTGGTGCCCTGCCAGCGAAAAAAGCGGCTCCTGGAAATTCCGAAGGTCGTACAAGTACACTTTCGAATCGGCTCCGGCCAATGCGAGAAAGTTTTCGCCGCCCTGAGTCGGACCGAATTTTGCACTGCAGATCGCACGCTTGCCGGAGGCCAATCGGATCGTCCCCACGCTGTCTTCCGAGTCTGCCGACCAGAGACATACCGCTCCGTTGTTCGACGCCGTAACGGACATCGGCTTGCCGTTGGATCCCATCCATTGGGAGTAATCGACGGACCAGATGCGCTGCCCTTCGTGCTCCTCCCTCTCTGTCATGCAGAGCCCCTTCTCGATGTCCCACTCCGCAAAGACCCCGTCATAGTCACCCGCGCCTATAATGCCACTAGATCCGGGGACCCACATCACGGAACTTAACTTCGCTGCGCAGCACATAATCTTGGACGCTGATTGGTCTGTATCGAGTATGCAAGCCTCTTCCTCATCCGCATCGTCCCTGTCCGAAGCTTCGGCGTACCGTCGAAGATCGCTCGTCGACGCAGCGCGTCGCTTTCCTCGTCGAGACCCTGCGTAAGATAATCCATAGTTGCAAAACTCCGCATCGCCCACCGAATCCGCCACTGCTGATCCGATTTCACAACTCCGTCGGCCCCATCTTTCCCGCCAGCCCTCCAGCTTCCGCTCCTTCAGCGAACGCAGCGACGATAGCGAATATACGCGAATCTTTCGCGAGATGCCACCAGTGGCGAAATAGTTACCCGACTCATCGAAATCGATTGAACCAATCACGTCAGAGCATCCCCAGAGGCGGCCCCTTGTGCACTGAAGAGTCAGATCGACGTCTAGCCGCCACGATTGGCAATCCGCGCCGCTTTCCGCTGCATCGTCACGATCATCTTCATCATCGGCATCATCATTCTCAACGTCGAATGAGAATGGGCCATTACTGTTTGCAACCGCTTCCTCCGTTGCTTCGTCAGGGAAACATTCTTCGAACCGCCACGTCTGCCGCTGTCCGAAGCTGAAAAAGCTGTAATCAGGTTCGCTGTTAATCGCGGAGGAGACGGCGAGCAATGGCGAAACAGCGTCAGGCTGTGGGTTCAGAAGATGCGACAAGGACGGCTGCGATACAAGGCCGTCTTCGTCGATGGAAGGAACGGATCGGTCGCCAGCTAACCCCGATAAAGGCGGCCTTGATAGAAGCAGCGAAACTCCCACTGCGGCTGCTGAGTCCAAACAGTCTTCGCCCGGCCCTAATTTAAATTTCTTGGACGGCATCACGGCGCGGCCTTCGGGAGAGAGAAGCTCCGTGGCTTCCCCGACCTTCCCTGATAAGGTCTCCGAGTGTAACGTCACGTGATCCACGGATAGAATCGGTAGCATGGCGCCGTCACCTCCTTCTGGGGCTTGGACCTGCGGCACGATCTGTTGCGCGTCTGTGGGTCGTCCTAGCGGCCGCTGGGCTGCTGATGTGTCAATCGTCGCGAAAGAGCGCGAGGAGCGGAATGAATGGTCGACGAAAAAGGGGGTAGGTGAGTCTATTCTAGCCATGTCGTCGAGGCACACTGCTCCTGCTCGCTTGTTTGAATTTCGTGCTGCAATGGCTGTAAACATTGTGACGATGTTGTGCGGCTAGGTTTACTTTACTTAGAGGATGCAATGAGTGCTGAGGGTGGGCTACTACTGCCACCAAGAACGACGGTTCAATAAATTATTTCCGACTGATGTTTTCAAGACTAAGGTTGTGTGTTGAACGCCAGTGACCAGGGTTTGTAGGAGAGAAGGAAAGGAGTCGTCCAGGCATGACTTGCGGATTCGCACATCAAGTAGCATCTGCAGATGTGTGTGGCTTGGCTTTGTTGGTGGAAGGGTTGAGTGGAATGGTTTTGTTGACTCGTTGGCTTTCCATGCCTCCCTCCAAGTCGTCAATTCTGTTGTGGTTTGCTGGAATCTTGCCACGTCGACTCCCCCGTAATCACTCGTCTCCCGGCCAATTCAGAGCATGCGAGGGCTTTCCAAGAACGCCACGCCGACTACGCTAACCTGGGGTTTTCACCTGCCACTTAGCAAAGAGCTCATTTGAAATGTTTTCTTCCTCAGTCTAGGGAAAGGGAAGGGAAGGGAAGACAGGCTGGAAAATCTGACTACCCGACAAACGCACAGTGAATGCTCTAGAAGGAAAAGATCTGGGATTTCTGGTGACAACCAATGAAAGATATGAAATAGATGGCTTTGCGACGTGGAAAGATGTCAACGGCAAGAATGCGTCGTTACAGTGTGTGATTGAGGGATCTATTGCAGGCAAGCTGCTAATTTGACAAATTTGCTTGCCTTACATGATCGAAGTACAGCACAAAACTACGGCACACGAAGTACAAAGTAAGACGACTCAGTTTTTTCCAGTCCAACAAGAAAAATCTCAATTTTTTTTTTACGAAAACATTGGTGACATGCTCTATTGTGTGTGGGCTAATATACATCTATCTGAACTGTTTGCTTTCCAAGGCGAAGTTTGTTATTCACGCTGAGTTACGAATGCTATTTTTGTTTATGCGTGTTGAGACTGAAACATAGTAAATAATCCAATGCACTGTGATAGCTTCAACCATCTATATTCACCCTTGGTCAGCCATAGACCAAAATGTGCTGTGTATGCGAGCCTGAAGCCTTATGTCTCTTCCCAACAAAAGTTAGAGCAAGCACGATCTTCAAAATGTAATAAGTAAAACTTATCATTGGAAAAAACGAAAGTACAATTCTCCGTGTTTTTGTTTGGATTTTTTAAATATCATGCTTACCATAGACCAATCTCTTAGGGCCTACTACTCCATAATATTCTCGGAATTTTCCAAAGACCGAGCTTACTAAACACGTGTGCTAAAATATATAACTAATACCACACAAAAATTATGGCAATTCAAGTGTTAGTAGTATTTTGATATGCGAATCATCCAACTATTAGCAGATGGATGTTCAACGTACATAGTAAAAAAATATTAGGTGGGGAATTGGAATCATTCCAGCTAATGAAAGAAAGGGGTGGAAAACGGGGCCGTGAGGCAACCTGTTGTTGGGGTCGTACTTATATGTGACTGTATAAAATGCAGAAAAAAAGTGGTGAATTAGTGAGCCACAGCAACGCGGAACTTTTCAACGAATGAAATTGCAGCGACAGATTGCAATCGCATC